GGTTTGCGGTGCCTACCGTTTGTGAAATATCGTCAAAGGGGGGTGCGTCGGCGACTCTTACCCCTGTGAGAACAGAGCCATGTCGCGGTGCAGTTGGTCGTTCACGAGGCCCGTTGGCTGCACAGATCTCGTTTCCAGGCCATCCTGGTTGTCCACCCCGTACGATGGATGGGTCGCCAAGCGGTCCCGATCAATCCTCGACGCGCGAGATTGCTGTGCTTACCAAGTCGTAATAACTAGAGGGACTGGCTTCTAGGCCGAGGCATCCTGTGCTGGGCCGTTGCTGTGCCGCGTGAGAATGGAGGCATGCAAGCCGGGATGGTCCCTGTAGCGAGTCTGTGGGCACGATGTGATGGAGCAGCTGCCCACCAAGCGGTATGATATGGATGCCTGCCTGCCCATCACGCACACTGTGGAGGAGAAAGACTCAATCACCATACAGACCCCGATATCTACCGGCCGCAAGTCCGATCAACTCCGCCAAGCACCCGTGGGACACAGGGGTACGGGCCTGCAACCTGCCATTTGCCAAGATGAGCCCCCAAACGGTGGCGCTGTGGCAGTCAGTCTTTGTTGCGCTGCGCCTCTGGCTCGAGTCGACATGGAGGCGGTTGCTATGCACGGGCAGAGACCTGCTCCGGCTCGGCAGGCTTTGCCTCGCGTCGTCCAACGGCACGACCTGCGACTCGCCTTCGACGAGTTTCGCAAAGTTCACGGCAACCAGGCACAGGACGAACACAGCACCGGGTCGGCCGATGGAGTATGCAGTGCAGAATGCATGTTGATACCCGGCCCGGGTGCCATCGCTGGCATATGTGATGACAGGTGCATCCCTGCCGGGCATGGCCGTCACTGGGAAGGCCCCCTTGCGTGACGCGAGCGCTTCCAGCACCGGGAGGATGGAGAGACCACGGCAAATGCCGTTTCCCCCGTTGGCGTAATTACGGTAGCTTCATGCTTCTCGTCGTCTGCCCGGGAACGCGGACCTTTGCCTAAATAAGATGGGCCATCGAGCGTCGGTCGCGCTGTTGCTCTGTCGGCACATGCCGCAACGGTCGTTGCTTCTTGTACATAAGGCCACATGCCGAGCCGGAGATGACATGTCTCGTACGAGCCACGTGCTCATCGTCAAAGTCTCACCCAAACCCCTAAAGTAGTGGCGTCTGGGGACACATTATTGCCCTCTGGCGTACAAAAAAGCAATAGGAATGGCATGATTTAGACCCATCTATGCAGCTGGCCCGCTCGTTGCAGCTGCATGATGGCTGGGATATTCGGCTCTTGCCGCCAGCGTGTGTTGGAATTGCTGCTACGCACACATCGGAAGTGAGGGTAGCGCACAGATCTATCACTGCACTTGCGACGCCCGCGGCTCTGGCGTGCTGTGTCATGGGAACTCGACGGCGCGGGCCTAGCTCCAAACCACCAGTCCTTCTGCGAAGCAACTCGACATGTTGAGAGCATGACCGCAGCCGGATTCGGCATGCTGTTCACCAGGGTGCGTTTACTCGCAAGCCGGCAGCACGACAGATGCAGCCGCTCGGCTACATTGCTGTGTTGCCTTGATGCAGCTGTCTGCGCCTTTGTGGGAGTTTCCTTTTCCAGGTCGGGCAACACACCTCCTGCCGGCCCATGGGACAGCAATGTCTTGGAAGCACCTCAAGGCGTGTGGCCTATCACAGTACCCGTCAGCTCTCGTCCGGGGGCGACCATGATCCGCTGTGACCTGCTCCTCTCAAATGGTGACCGACCTTCTCGACTGTGTCAACTCGGAACAAAATAGCTTCATTACCATGCTGTGGCACCTCGTGTTTAAACCCTGTGTTGAGACCGTTGCGCTAGTCGTCCGTGGTTGATCGAGCTAGGAAAATAACTGTCGGGACACTTCTGGATCAGGCATGGTGTGCAGCGGATAGTCCCACACTTATCGTCGATAGCTAATCTGGCAGCTAACGGTTCCGAAAAGAGCACCGCGATGGTGTATGGTCGGATGCAGGACAAATGGCAGCGGCGTACATAGTGGCCAGGGATCCATCTGGTTGTGGTCATGCGCACCAAGATAGAAGGCGAGAAATGCCTGCGTCATCTTGCTGAGATCTCCCTGAACGGACGCCCTGGTCCATGGCCTAGTGGAGGAAGCGCAGCCGGGCAGGGGCCTTGATCCTTCTGCTCAAAGGAGGGCGTGAAGCCAGGGCGAGCTGATCGGCTAGATCCACTGCGCCATGCTCATCCGATGTCTGAGATACCCCGGTCCACTGCTGGTCCGGCAGGGTAGGATCTGCCGACGACTCGGGGTCAGCTCCGTCGTAATTCTCGTGGCTGACTGTCCCAGAACAGGCAGCCAGCTAGTCCCGAGGTTGACGAGTGGCCACGATACCGGGACAACATCATTTGCTACGTTCTCGGATAAATTGCCATGGTAGGATCGCATGCCCACGTTTTGTATTGGAGAGAGGGAAGAGGGCGTAGGGCCAAGGGCGATTGACCTGTTCCACCTTACCGAGTCATGACCTGGAGCGCTGGGATTCCAAGCTGGCTGGCACTTCCTGGCTCGAGATTGCAAGCGTCAGCACGCCGCCGACTGCATGCAAACCTTGGTCTTCGCAGTTGTCGTGTCGATCAGCGAGACAGACATGGAAATGAAGTCTGTACACAAGCCTGTATCCTACAAGGTATCAATGCAGACGGACGACTTGTTGTGCGCGTCCGACCGATCAAGGTATCGTCTTTGCCTACGAAATATCGATCTTTCCAAGATCTGTTTCATCTGTCCGGTCTCGTCGGCAAAGGTGGGGAACCACGCCAGAATCGTTGGTCTTTGCCAGGATGCTCCTAGTCGTGAGGGTTGGGGCCAGGAATTCCCGTGTTGGACATTACGGCACACTCCACTCATACCTGAAGCAGGAGATTCGGGCCCTGGTCGTCGGACCGGTGATTGCCGTGCGGACTCGGCTGTACTTTCACGCCCGTATGGATAGGGTTTGCTGACCATTTTGTCATATCTCAGTCATCACCAGATCTGGGTCAAGCAAGACTGTGGAGCTCGCCTGGGACGCACTCAAGTGTCATACCCACATGCAAGCCACATCGTCGATCGAACCCTTACCGGCTTTGTGTGCATGGCGTGCAAGATTGCCTATGTTTTGCCAGCACGTCCTTTGCTGACAGAGCAGCAGGCTGGCCCCTGAGCAGTGATGGGAATTCCGCTGATTTTGCTCTCTCTGTGTGTGACGAGGTCACCCAGTTCTCCTTACTGACGGTGTTAACAATGCGGAAATACGGTACGACTACCTTGTCTCCCATAGAGAAGAGCCCTTCCAGCTGGTCTAGCATGGACTCATTGAGCCATTGAAAAGCATACGCGGTTGCACAAGCACCGCCAATTCGCTTGAGCATGTGCATGGTGTCGGATTGCAATTCATTAGGGAGACGCCCCAGCATGCTGCTGTCGCTAGGCACATCCAGGATCCCAGGTGGTGTCTGTGGTCGGCTTATTGATCGCAGCGGAGGAAGGTTAACGTTGGCTCCCGGGTGTTCTCCATCAGATTCCGATCCGGCAAGGGCCCTTTGTGCCAGGGTCCAAATTTTCCTTGGCGTCAGATCCTTCCCTTGAAGTGCGGATCCGAAAGATTGTGGCGGACGAACACCATCATCTAATGGCTCCATTCTCGTCATCAGGTTGGGGAGGGGGGGGTGCCGGACGGCGATTATGAATGGGCTTGCAGCATGAGCGCAGCCTTTACCATCGCCTGGTGCAAGTGCGAAGCAACCGTGGCTTCTGCCCACGGGGTAGTGGTTCACCTAAGCTTGGAGTTGCTGAAAGGGTGTCGCTCCTCGTACGATCAGATGCTGGTCATGCGATGCATGCAGGTGGAGCCGACTAGGGTTTTCTGCAACTGGGACCAATAGGGTGATATGATTGTACCCTGGTCGTGCATCGGGTCGACGTGCAAGATCGTGCCATGGGCCTGGCGCGGAGCATAACTCGATATGATGCATGCATTGGAGGTGCAGAACACGGCCTCGTCTCGTTCTTAAGCTCGGAAATATACCAGCCGCCGTTTTGCCTCTGGAGACGGAAACGCCGTTGTGAGGGAGGCACGGGTTTCAGCGGTCCTCACAGCGTCTGCCTCGAGGTCGAACATGCCTGCGTCTCTGGAATTATTGTCGCATGCGCAAGCAAGTAAAGCTGGCTGGCTGCCACAATTGCAACGAGGGCGCTAAACAAGAGGAGTGCTCGGGAGGAGTATGTCGTCATGCTATTGATGAGCCATAGCCAGCCTGCTCACCACGCTGAAAGCTGTGCGATCAGATAGATTCGCGGGATGCTCGCCGAACGATTGTCAAGCCAGATGAAATGCCATGTGATGACCGCCACGGGTTATTACCATTCAGCGCAGATGGCCAGCATCGATTTCGGCCACGTGGAAGAATTCAGCCTTGTTTCATCGACTATGGTGCACGGCTGCTTGCATAATGACTGCATACGATGATGGGCACTTGCGATCATGCGTCCAAACAAGCAACTTTGATACGAATACCATTGTCTCCAGTCCGTTGGTCACCGGGCCTAAACCGTGCCGCAAGGCCAGAGTATCCGCAAGTGTCGATGTTGAATGGCCACACCAATATGCCCGAGTATTGACTTCGCGTGAGGACCGGAACCCACCGTAGTCTGCTGTGACAAGTTTGGTCAATCTCTTTTAGATACCCTCGGCCGCTGATCGCGCAGCAGCCTGCGACACAGCGATCGCGTGTCTGGCGATCGGAAACCAAAGCAAGGTGCACGCCACGGGGCCAGCTGGCCAGGGCCGCTGCAAAGCTGCCTGGGCGAAGGCCTCAAGTTCTGATGGACGGAGGACAAGACAGTTGTTCAGCAAAGCCGCAGCCGCAAGGTCGAAAAGATGGGAAAGCTACTGATGTGCAGTCGCATTGATTCACATGCCGAGCTGGGCTTTGCGTCTGCAAGGTTGTCGTCATGTCAAGGAGCTTCAAAACATTCAATACTGAGGCGCCGCATCGGGGTGGTTGCGATTTCGTCGGGCGCCACCACGGACGTTAACGAGCTCGATAAGTTGGGCCTGCACCTATTTGACTTGGGACATTGAGGCATGTGCACCGGATCATACTAGCTAGTCGTCTCAGCTTTGCCCAGAACCTACCAAGACTTACATACCTCAGGTATGTTGATAGGCAGATACGCACCTGTAGATGGGCCCTCAAGGTCGTGGTTGATATGTTTACTTGGCGAGACTGCCAACACGAAGGCAGTGCGCAATGCCCAGCGCAACCCCGGACCATTGCATTCCTTGAGATCAAGTCCGGAGCGTGCACTATGGCCATGCGGGCCGACCTCGAAAGCTCGCTGTCACTCGCACAACAGGCATGTTGCTGCCCGTGGATGATTCGGAGAGGAATGGGGTTGGTCGCTAACACGAGGCGAGATTTGGTGCAAGGGTTTTGGCAGGGATGAGCGCTGGACGTGTGGATGAACGGGCGACTTCCGTAGGGCGTGTGAGGACACTTGAGATGATGATGGACCCGATCCGGCCGATATGAAGGACCCATGATGGGAATGCAGCGCCGAGCAGATGTCAGAGGTGCTCCTCCAGCCCAGGACCGCCCGGCGGCGTCAATGGAAGGTGCATGGAAGGCTCTGCAGGGCCGCCTGGCAGGCACTAAACGGTAGCGGGCGGGCCCCTCTGCCCACACCCAAGCGATTCTGGGGCTTGGGCTCGCGTGGCTTACGTGGGGACAACCTCGGAAGTTCTGAAGGAGCAGCCGAGCCAGCTCCCGAGGTCCCGACAAGTGCAGGCGAGAGCTTGAGCCACCGCCCCACTGCTGTCCCTTCTTACTTGACGCAGCGTCATCATCACCACCGCTGGGCAGCCCTGCCCGACCTCAGCGTCGTCGCCCAGCTCAGGCGAGCCAGGGACCCCTAGGCACAAGACAACCGCCCAAAGCCATGTCCCAGGCAGCGCATGGTGGGCCGCGAGCCGTCTTGTCTTTTCTTTTCCAGACCAAGGGCAGCGGCCACTCGCAACGGAACTCTTTCCAGCACCCTGGGCGGCCGGTTCGGCATCCCCACCCGCGACGGAAGATGCCACGACGAGACCAGGGCCTCACAGTATGCACTAGACAATGTACCTGGCTACGTTTCCATGCGGCCTCGCTCTCGTCACCAGCACATCACTGTTACCAGTCACAATACCTGCGAGCCTGGCAGGCTTCACCGACGTATCCCCATCCAGGGCACATTGGTCCCAACCGCTGACTGAGATAATAATATCCACCACATCTCATCTCGCAAACGGCTTGCCATTCGGCCTAGGTCAGGATACCTCGTTCAGACGAGGATAGCCGCATGTGCTTAGTGGCTCACCCGCCTGTGTGCTTGTCAAGTGATGACAAAATGGCCGCGAAGACCCTACCCCGGCACAAAGTATGAGCAGGCAGGATCGGCAGTCATCTGTGGCTCCTGTATTCACACTTTCGACAGTGCCCATCACTAGTTGCGTGGAGTTCCCCACAAGCTCATACCAACACGTTGACAGGCGAGGACGGAGAGAGCTTTGTTTGACTTGTCGACGGAGGGCGATGCGCTCACGAATGACGGGCGAGAAAGGACTCCCTTCCTGGGCCAAATGCAAGTTGAACATATCGTCGTGGATAATGGCCAACAATATGCCGCCCAGTCTCAGCTGTTTCAGCTTACCGACCGGTTAGGCCGAGACGGCCATGTTACTCGATTGAGTTGGCCCCCCATCTGGGCAGATCCCGATCTTGATCCCTTGCCCTGGCATAGCTGCGTCTTGCCGTAACGATATTACTGTAGGTAGGTGCTAAGCATGCCCTGACCACTATGACGGGCCACTGGACCGGGCTTCTTGCCTGAGTCAAGCGGGTCGCGGTTAGGGATGTCCACGCCACGGCTTCCACCTCCTACTCCCATCTTACCGAATCGTGTCCTCGTATGTAGCATGCTTGATGTTCGGAACGCAGCAGGGAGCGAGCCATGCCATGCAGTGCCGACGCTATCAACGTTCTCGACATCGCGAGCCTTTTGCCGCAGTGACACATCCGGACAGAGTAGAGGGCGTTTTCTAAATATTTGCTCCCCTCAAGCCAGTGAGCGTGCCTACGCTCTGACGGAAGCGAGCCGTCCTGAAGCCTCCCCTGCTGGGCAACAGCGTCAGTGGTCGTATGGCGGTATCTGGCGGAAGGAGGATCTGCGGATCGAAAGAGTCTGTGCCTAGGCGTTGTATTGTCCAGGCATTTGCAAGGCAGCAAGCTAAAAGTCCAGCGGTCACTGGATTTTAAGCAGACACCCCTGGCTGCCGTTCTAGGTACTGCCCCAAGCAGCTGGGGAACAGGCATTTCCATCACTTGGCCCACACCCTGCTCGCATAAGCCCTGGGAATCCATCGGGCGCCCACCCACCGGATCGCATCTCTCATCTGCGTAGTGTGGCCGGGTAGCGTTCCGCCATCTGCTGAATGTCCAGCCGTTAGCCACCATTATGTCCACAGATGTAACCATTGCATGTTCCCTTCTTTAGGCAAGCCTCTTCCCTCCTCGTTTAGTGGCGACCTCCCCCCTCTGTTGGTTCACACCGCGATCCAAACAACCTGACCATTTTCCTTCTCTGGACGCTAGGAGTGGTTCCGAACGATTGCAAACATCGCGATTCATCTCGGCACTTGGCTTTAAAGCGTAGGCTCTTCGACAACGCCTGCCTCATCAACGCGACCCGACTACCCGACTCGTCCGTCAGGTACACCGAGCTCCTTGTTGTCTTCCTGGGCAGCATACAGCACAACAAGTGGAGGGCTTCTGCGAGGCCGCTGAAAGCTTGCCGTTAAAGAGTGCGCTAGACAACCTCGAGTCTGGCTCAAGCGACCTTGAGCGAAACACGCAAAGGGAAAAACCCACACCGCACCATCCCCATAGAGGTAAGAAATTCTTGTTTCCAGGGCTGGTCTAAGACGCCCACTCATGCCACATTCGTGGAGAGTGGAGGCGTGATAACTGCCGGCGACCAGAGGGGCGAGTGTCACAGTGCGGCAAAAGCAACCACGGCAACGGGGAGGGGGGGCGTGCAGCACGGCGGCCGGCGTACCTGCTACCTCGCAGCCTGGGCGTGTCTGCTGCAAACTAGTAGCCAGCACTCCTGGCCCTCGTCCTGGCCCTGCCGTGGCCCGCCCCCTCAGGTTTCTTCAACTTGCTGGTGTCGGCTTTGAAGCACTTAGATCCACACCAACTGGCACAATCATCTTCTCCTCCTCCCCGGGGCGAAGCCAGTACACTTTTGTGCCGCTTCCAGACAACGAGCCACGCCGCCCTAGCACTAACCAACCTGCCTCTTTTAGGAGCGTCAGCTACAGCCAGTATCTTTGTCCAGCCGGCCTCACTAGCTACGAACCTACGCCACTCCATACATAGAGCAGAACCGGTTCTGTCGCGAGCTCCTCGGCGGCTTCTAGGTCACCTCGTCTCGCAACTTCAGAGCGAGCCGCGACCCAAAGTGTTGGAAGTCGGCTTCTGGCTCCCACGGGCTCATTCTTCTGCGCTGTGTCTCGTCAGATCCAAACAGCGCGCGGGACACCACAACTCCAAAGGTTCACTTTTTGGACCCGGAGGACAATCGGATCTCGAAACAACCATCACCTTCGCGGACCGCTGCCTCGGTGCTCGCTCTTCGTTTTCGCGCTCCTCCCCTCTCTGCCAGAGCACGAGGCATGAGTCGCACTGCATCCACATAACGGCTGGGGAACTCAGCACCATCACCTTTTAGCAGTGCGATCTTCCCAACCAGACTGCTCGTTAGCACGCCGCGCTATGGAAGCGGGTGAATCTGGCGCTAGGCAAAGGTCCGTCCGCGACTAGTGCGAGCCGTAACCCTTCTCCGATTGACCCAACTTGCTGACCTGCCCACCCGCCTGGGTGATTGATAGTGGCTACACCCCCGGGACAAATTCCAATTCCTACTCACAACCACACCACCACCTGCCCTCGAAAGATTCTACGCTCTACAAACAGCCTACCATGGCAACAGCGGCTCTTCTCAACCCGAGTCCAGCGTATCCTCACACGGCGCCATTCACGTTCTCCCAACCTCAGCATCACAGCCATCACCCGCCTCATCCCCCACGTCCACCGCTTACAGCTGTCTCCGTGCCGGGCATGGGCCCTCCACCAGAGAGCCGCACATTGGCCCAGGACAACGATGCCTCACAGAGACAGTCGCTCCCGTCGTTATCTGAGGTCTTTTCGACAACGAAGACGACACCCTACTCACCGAAGCCGGCACCAATAAATGGCTTGACCTCGCAAGCACCTGGGCCGTCGTTCCATGCTGCACATAGTCGCCAAGAGTCCCTCCAAGACACGCGGCCACCTCATCAACCGTTGGAGGATAAATTCTTCCGTTTCACACAGCGGCCTGACAGCAGCGCATCGGCACATCCCACGGGGCCACCGCCTTACATCGAGCAACGTGACTTGTCGAAAGCTTCAGAGCCATTGCGTCCGGAGCCGAACCATGTTGCCGGTCCTCCTGCTCCTTTACCTCCATCAGGACCGCGCACTTCCCTCAGCCAGCCAACACAACTGCCGCCTGGACAGTATCCCCTGAGCCAACCCTCGGTCTCACCTCGTCATAATGGTCCTTTTCCTTCGTACGAGCCTCAAGGACCTCCACCACCAACCGAGGCCGACTACGTAAGGAACCGGTACGACCATACGACGGTGAACCGGCATATTGAGGCATGGAGCTACCAGGACTGTCTGAACAAGGTGAGTGACGGGAGTGACGGGAAACCCATGTTGTGTCGTGACGAGCACTAACCCGGAGCCGCAGATTGCTTGGCACGCGCGAACAGTGTCTAATTTTGCTGAAGCTTACAGCAAGATTGCTTCGGAGCAGCACGGCGGTCATACGATACCCGAACGACTTCCTTCTGACAGCGAGGTCATTGACATGCTCTCAAACGTGGACTTTATCAAGCAATCATTGACGAACGTCCGCGATCTTGTCCAGCAGAGCATAGCAAGTGAGAAGGCAAGACAGCTTGGCCGGCCCAAACACGCGTACGATGGAGATGAAGATGTCACCATGTATGCCGACGGATCCTCGAACAAGAGTTATGGCATTGGCGAGGTCAAGAAGCGGCGAGGGGTGAGTGCTAGATCTTTTCTGCCTACAAGGCTGTCCAGCTTGGATTACTTACTGATTTGACCTTGTTCTTCATTCAGCGTGCCGCACCTCCCGGACGATGCCATAGCTGTAACCGGATCGACACTCCCGAATGGCGCCGCGGTCCTGACGGCGCGAGGACGCTCTGCAATGCCTGTGGCCTTCACTACGCAAAGCTGGAACGCAAGCGCCAGATGGAGCAACGCTCGATCCGGCCAAAAGGAGTAGAAGACCGTGCCTAGTCCTCGAAACTTTGGTCATTCCGTTCAGTTCTCACCGGACCCAGCCTCAAGGATCAGTTCAAGCTAGCCCACCAGCAACTCAGGGCTGCGCTGGGCTAGTGCGCCGGCGCGTGCCCATAGCCACCACTCGAGCACACACCATCAGGACCAGTCACTCTCGTAGCTTCAGCCTCGCAGCCAACGTCGTCCTGGCTAGATCCGAGTCGGCCAGTGCGGACGCTTAGCAGCAGGGCCAGACCATCATGTCAAATCGCATCCAGGGTCTATAGGCTGCCTCACTGGGTGTCCGCCTCAGACTTATTCCTTTTTATATTATTTGCGCCAATATTGGGTCATTGCATATACCCTTTCGTCTACTGTGGAGCCAAACGACGAGCCCGGATTCTCCATGTCTAGCTGGGTGCATTTTGTTTGGCGTTATGGAATGGCTTTCAAGGACGGTCTCGTGACCGGCTGTCTTTATTGATTTTTCTGTTGCTATCAAAATTCTACAATCGCCAGTATTTTTACGGCAGAGGCCTTGGCCTGTGATCACCTCGTGTCTGCTAAGGCACACGGACACTATTCAGTGACAAGTGGATAGTTGTCATACATCCTAGGAGTCAAAAACAACATGTCAGCGACACAATATTAAAACGCACACACCCCGTACATTGTGGCTGTATGTGCTTGTCAACTGCAAGGGTCTCGAAGTGTCAGGTGTCCCCATCTGTTTGTGTGTTCTTCCCTGATGCAGCCATCGAGTGTGATTATATGCCCCGCCAAAGGCCCAGGGCACCGACTCGTGGCTTCGAAAATGATCCGATAATCTGACTGGGTCCCCTGATGACCCTGGTTGTTCGCTGGAGATCCTGCCGATCATCATGATGAGAAAGCGCCATAACAACACCAAGTGATCAAATCTGCCCCCCCCCCCTTCCCGTGCCCCTCCCTTCTCTACCTTGGGCGCTGATTAGCCTGCACCACTAAGGTTCTAGGGTACGCAACCTCGGCGCCTGGTGCTGGTGTGTTTAACGCAACCAAACACGCTTACTTCTCGTGCATTCCACAGCGCGTACCTCGCAAGTGCACATCTAGTGATGCAGCTGTTCGTACCCCACCCCACACAAGAAACCTCCATCGTCGATGTGAAGCGGAGCGCAGCCGCCCGCTCCTTTCCCCATCCAACAAAGCGGCCGGATGCATCTCCGTAAATCGTCGTCATTCCTGTCGCTCTGCTCACGCACGTATGCCGTAGCAGGCGCAGATTTGTACTGAATGATCGGTTCAAGTGAGACCTTTTCATCTGGAGTCGGGCTACATCGAGGCTCATGGTGCGAGTCTTCCCGCGATGAGTCTTTCGGGGCTTTGCGTGTCACAGTCCTGTCGCCTCTTGAGGTAATGCAGCAGATGGCGAAACTCAGAAACATGCGATCTTGAAGATCTGAGATGTTCCAGATCTCTGGGTTTTGATTGAACTGTTGGTGGCTGTCAATAGCGGTGGCGGTGGTGGCTGTCGGCGCCAGCGCCGAGCACAGCCATGATTACTCACTTGGAGCAGGGTTGGTTGGTCTACGTCAAGACGCCGAGCGGCTGAAAGGGATCCGCAAAATGACCTCGGATCTCCGTCGTCATCGTGCTTCCTGGCCGTCGTGGTTGCAGGATCCTGCTCGTCCGAGCCAGGCCAGGTAATTAATCAACAACTCGAAACGTGGGTGATGCCACCATGCCATGGTGCAAAAAGAAGACATCCAGGGGGGATGCCTGCTTGCATCACCCGGCATCCCTGTCCTTATGTGCGTTAAACTTAATGCGTCGGTCGTTGGGGTAGCAGGGCGACGGCAACGACATCATCTTCTGCCCAGCCTCCTGCGTGGCAGCTCAGGGTCCACAAAGCACCGAGCAGTTGGCGTGATGCTCAGCGATTTCCCGGGCCATGAGAGTTTCAGCCAATCATGGCCGGGTAATGACCCGGAGATTGCTGCGATAGGTGATTGGGTGCCGGTTGAAGATTGGCAAGGAGAGTGTCTGGGCCCCACTGAACCTTGATCTGCCTGCTTGAGCCTTGAGGGTCTCCGAGAAGTCTAGATTCAATTTTTTGTGGTCTTCGTGGGAGGTAACGAACTGGGCAATGTGGATGAGGCTGATGGAGTGCCGGGTCACGCGAGAGGGATCGATCCGCTGGCCTGCAGGTGGCGGACGAGAGGCTGATTTGCTCGGCCTCGGCTCAGCAGAGGCAGGCGTGGCTGTTTGCAGACATTAAACGGCGGCGATGTTGGCAAGGAGGCTTGTCGTGAGTTTGGTGGCCATTGTTGAGCCTGGAGGGAGGCGGGGACACCATAGTGGCCAAGATGGAGAGGCAGAGGCCAGACCGCCGCCGCCGCCGAGCTCATCGTTTCTTCAGGGCCGCGGCTCCGTGTGGCTGTCAGCTTGGAAGGGGTGGACGTGGTGGAAAGGGTGGTGTTCGTGATGACATGGCTGTGTGTGTGGGCGGGTGGGTGTTGAGGGCGCGGAAGATAAAGTATGCTGTGACGGGGGCTTATGCGTGAAGGCAAACAAGACATGAGATGACGATGCGTTGAGGCAATGCAGCTGCCAGATCCTGCGGGCGGGTCAGGCAGATCTGAGGCAGGGAGCGGCGGACTGGACTCGCAGGACGCAGCGACTGATGCTCGCGTCGTCAATCTGTCTCTCGCTACCAGTTGCTTGGTTGTCCTTGGCTTTCCAGGTTCCCTTCCCTGGTGCAGTCAGTGCAGCAAGCAGCACACGTCGGCCATGAGTGGGAGTAGGTAACCCTCCCTCTTCCATTCCTTCCTGATGAGGCAGGCAAGCGCGGGCGCGGGCGAGACACGCACTGAGCACAGGGAGACGCTAGACGCAGGCTAGTCCAACCCAATCTCAGATGAGCCCATCGCCCGCTCGCTTAACTTGGCAGGCCCGGCTCCAGGAGGGCAGGTGCGCGCACAGGCCTGCGCCTGCCTCAAGTAGCGCGGGCTGTGCGTCGCGCGGCTGTCACGCCCGGCTCCGCCACCAGGCAGTCCCGGCCGACAGTTCGGCCTGCCGGCGCCAGCTCCGCGCGAGTAGGAGGCCACGCACGCACACCTGGCCCCCGCCCCACGCCCAAATGCCACGATCTTGCACTGCGCTGGGACCCCCCGGCTTGCCGCATTCGTGCCATCGTCTGCCCACCAACTCATCCTTCCGCGCCCCCAGCATCCTTAGCCTGACCCGGTCCGTTTTTGATCCACAGCCCTGGAGCTTTTTCCTTGTTAGAAACGATGCAAAGCCCTCAAAAACCCTCCCTGCCATTCCCGCCATGCCGTCTGTAGCGATCGCCTAGCGTGGCACCAGCCAGTAGGCAGGCAACCTCGGCAGCCAGTGCAGTAATCGGCAAAACATGCTCTCCCAAACGACCACCGGTCGCAGGAAACCTTGTGTCTCACAAAGCATGTACTATAGGCCTGTTAGCGCCAGAGCCGGCGTGGTTGTCGTCTGCGAACCCGAAGCCATCGTACTCAGTTTGTTGCCCTATCGTTTCGGACGAGACGCAAAGGCGGTTAGCGAGTAAGATCGAAAATATGTGAGTGAGTGGGCGCTGTCGAGAATGTTAGGGGGGAGGGGGGTGTCAATCGTAAGGCGGCCTCGCCCTTCCTCAAAGTTTTTGGCACCTGCTGCCCAGTCTCAGGAGCGGCCCAGTCGTCTGGCTCGCACATCATGTGCCGCCTGGGAGAATGGAGATACCTTCGTCAGGGTTCACCTCAATGCATGCGCACGTGAGCGTGCTTGCAGTGCAAGTGTCTGCTGCCTGCAACAGGATTTGTGGCGTGACGACTGGAACGCGGGCGGGCGTTGAGCCTCCCTAGGGGTACCTGCCCCGGTGAAGGGCAGCTGACTTTGCGGCACGCCCATGCCTTGCTGGCGGGCAGGGTTTTTTCATGACTGTCACCCGCGAAGCAAACCATGTCCATTCGTTGGCCAGGTGTTTGTGCCTTTGCGTGCGCTTACTCCTAGGGTCTTTCCGTTCTCTCCCGGTTTTCACGCCTTGATTGGCTGACAAGAGCAAGCATACGAATTAAGCATCTGCAACCGTACGGACGCCTACAACAACGACAAGCAAAGTTGACCACTCATCAGGTGATTTGTGCTATTCCTAGGGGCCGGGCACTGTGAGGCCGGACAACACAAGCGTACTCGTACTGTGTGTGTCCCTTTGAACACTATTGTCTCCTCACTAAGCCATTAGCGCTCAGTGCGAGTACCCGCCAGCGCCAGGGCTTTCGTCTACAAGCTGCTGCCATCAACCAGGAACCCCCAGCAGCGTCGTCGTGCCCATCGCTGGCCCGGAAGCGCGTCCCAAGGATCCTTCGCGCAAGACAAGCCGAGTCAGGTACTCACCCCCACAGCCGCCAAAGACACAAGCGAGCCCGTGCGCACGTCACTTGCTGCACGCGAGGGAGCTGCCCGTCTTTCGGTATTTGGGAAGAATATGCCAGGATAACAGACACCGAGAGAGTGGGAACGCCCTGCCGGCGCGGCGCGGCGCGCTGGGGGACCCTTAGCGCGTGTGTGTGCGTGCCCAGGGGACTTTTGGACGCCCACGCATATCTTCTTGTCTGCCACTTTACTGACAGTGGCTCGGGCGGTGCATGGCAAACGCTCAGGGGTCCAACGGGCCCTCTGGCCTTGGAACCGTATCGTCCAGTTGTGGCAAAGGGCTTGCAGCGAGCGTGCCCCGGGCACTGTCACGCAGAGTCCGGCCCGTGGCAGAGCGCACGTCAGGGACCGGCCGCCACCGTCAGAAAACCCATGCACCAAAGTCGTAGGCTTCGGGGGGAGGGGCCGAGTCAAGGGAGCCTGGTCCAGCCACTTGCGAAGCAACTCGAGACTCGCGTAGGCTCGGAAACGGCAAGGCAGGTATTTCGAGTTACACAGGCGCGCACACTAAGTCGACTAGAATAGGTAGCCGAAACGTACGATCAAGCCACAGCCGCCACTCGGACGATCTCCGATTCAAGCCTCCCCAGGTTGGGCGTCCGTGGCCCACCTCAAAACACGTGCGCCTGTATGGAGACGGACCGAGGAGAGACCAAGACGCTTTGTCGTCGGTCAACGTTAGTGGGAAGCCATGCCCACCGTCGCTCACACCACACCTCGAGCCAGCCACTCAGGGTGACGGCCGCTCGGGTAATCCGGACCCCCCCCCCTTCAGCCGGCAGGTCACACAAAAGCTACTTGGACGGCACTAAAGAAGTCCTTTGTGGCCCTGTAGGGATGATGGCCTGCGTAGCGCAGTCTGACAAGCGAGAGGGAGGGGTTGCAAAGCAACGATCTTTGTTAGATCTGTGATCGCCCACGCCAAACCGGCGGCCCCACAACCAGCCGCTCCAACGGATCACTCTTGGTGGTCGATGAACGATGCACTGCACGTCTCTTTTTCCTCCTGCTCCCTGGGATAAGTCCGTGCTCGCTCTCCAGTGGCGCCCTTCGTCAACTGTAGTGCCACGATCCCATGCATACGCATGCATGCATGCATGCAGCACCAGACAATACATTGAGCTGCGGGCGGCCCTTGTTATCCCTGCGCGGTGTTTACAGACTTTGACAGCTGGTGGCGAACTCAAGGCGCCATCTTAGCACCGCGATCAACCGCCCAGGACTCTCAAGACCCAGGCCCAGGCAGGTCAGATCAGGCCATGGCGCTCGCGCGAGGCAGCTGGTGCTAGACAGGGAAATCTTCTCTCCGTGTGGCTTGTCATGGTTGAGACTTGGCAAAGTTGCCAGCTGCCCTCCCTTGCTTTCTTTTCTTGTCTCCTTCCCATTGCCACTTCTCCAACACTCCACCTTTGGATAAGCAGAGACACACACAGAGATGGGTTAGGCTTTATCGTTGGCCGTCGGAAGTAGATCGTCATGTTTCTTGTCGGGCGACTTTTCATGTCTCGGTTTCTGACAACGAATTGATTTCCGAATTGAGAAAACAAGATGGGACAAGACAGACACGCAGGCAGACGGGCAGGTGCACAAACGCGAAAAGAGCACTGCCGTGCCATGCCCTGGAGATGTGGTGAGCCATGCAGTCTCCCGCGGGTGTCACGGCGTCTACGCCCTCACGCTGATGCGCTGACGAACGGCCAGGGCGCACGTTCTGAGGTGCCCCGTGTGGAAGTACAACTAGTTGAGCACATTTACGACCTACCTGCTGCAACAAACGTTGGTTGCCCAGCATGCAGCATGAATGCTTGGGGTGGGAAAGCACCCGCCGAACACATCATATGCCGGCTCCCACTGCGCCGGGACAAACCAGCGGTACCTAAAACCCGCGTCTGGGCAAGTAAGTCGAAGCAAAAAGCTTCGGCACTCCTCATGTCATCGGTACGCCACCGGGCAATAGGCGTACAGCTTCTACAGTGTTGAGCAGACACTGTGTCTCAGATGAAGGGTGTGTGTGCATAGTCGAGGACCGGGAGTGTCTTTGTGAGCCTATGTGCGACATATGTGGGAGCACGCATAGTTGGAGCCTTCATCATTGGTATTCTCCGACCCGCGCACTCTGTCTATGGTTGCGTTTCCCAGGCCTGCCGCCGCGCTTCCAGGCCCAAACTGTAGGGCCCCTCGCCGAACAGCAACGAGTACGAGTCACGATGGCCAGTACGACGGGCACAGCAACCAAAGCGGTGTCACTTGTGGCTCGGCTCATGCGTACCACCACCGATCCAAGCTGCAATCGCCCGTGGCAAAGCTGTCTCACTTTTTGCCTGGGAAACCAACCACTATCCAATGACAGGTCTCTTGTCTTGGCACACACACACATAACGGCCCACGCTGCTCTAATCACACACGGCAGGGCTTGGGCTTTTTTCTTCGTCAGACTGAGATGCTAGCTTTGTCTTGGACCAAGTGTGCGCGGCAGTTGATTGGGCTAATGCCGGACCATTGCACATGGCAGCAGATCCCATCGGGGCCGTGCCGCGTCACGCCTGTCCCTGATGTTGTCGTTTGTGTGCCATCATGTGATTAGATCTGATCTGGAAGTGGTTTGCGAGCGAGCACGTCCAGATTAGTTAGTTGACCTGGTCAGGGCTCTCAGCTCTCACTCCGAAGAGACCCAATAGGTGACCGCCGATCGAGAGGGTGCCGGGGGTATCCTGGTCCAGGGACTCGACTCAGCAAGCCTCTCAGTAACGTTTATGTTCGCATCCCTCGCCCGATTCGTGTGGCTTGTATCAATTGCTTTTTCTATTCCTCGGTACGGACGGTTAGCCGGGTCTCATAGTGGAGAACCCCAGCTGTTGCATAAACCTGTCAACTCTCTGATTCTGACAAGGACCAGGTAATAATGCAACTGTACCCCACAAGACTTTGCGGGCGAGGCGGACGCTCAGCTCCGGTGGAAAAAGCAGCAACCAATATGGGTTGGGTTTTGACTGATCTACTTTGAGGCCAGCAGAGTATGAGGAATTCCGCGCCGAATACGAGGCTGAAGTCAGATCGGGACAAGTGTGCATGATTCACCCTTGCTGGATGTGCATGAGAGCGTAGATATGCCTACCCTAGTCAGGCACCGTAACTTTTCCGCCTGCCTGACCAACCAAAGCTTTGACAGCCTCCCAGGAAACAAACCCATGACGACAGGCTGACAGCTGTGTCCGTCATGCAAAGCAATCTGTTTGTTTGCTTTTGTTCCTCTTTCTTTTTTTGCTTTTGCCGAGACTGTCAGGATCTTCTCAGGGGTCTTTTTCCTTTTTGCCCCCAAATTCAAGCCGCACGGTTTGCTCCCGCCGCAACCTGGCCCAGCCCCCTCCCCCCCAGTCAACCTTCTCCTCCCGTTTGAGATCGACAGCGGCGAGACCACACAGAATTAATGCTCTAATTATCCTTTCCTGCTTTCGGTCCGTGGACTCAACCGGCAAATAGTCCGGAGAGAGAGGGGAGAGGGACCCTTAACCCGCTGTTCCCCGGACCGAAGTGTGTGTGGACGCCGGCGGGCTGGCGCTTTTCAGGGTCCGTCTCCTGTCTGTGTGTGTCTGCGCGCGCGTGTTGCGCCTTGGGGTTCTGGGCGTGGCGTACGGCTCGAGCGTCTTGACACAACCCCCCCCCCCCCCTAATAAGACTGTTGCGATTCGCTAAGCTGCTCCTCGTCAGATTTTGGGGGGCACGGTTGGCACTCCGATGCGTACGAGCCCCCTCCTCGTACCATCATCGAGGTTCAGCAACCCATGCCGTCCCCTCCTATTATTATTATCGATCTTTCCCGCTGCCGGGCCGCTGCCGATCTTTCAGGGGGGGCGGATGGGGGCGGCAACGTCCAACTACAGTACATATCAACGCCGATTTTGGCAGCTTGCATCACCCGCCGCAGGCAGGGCAGGACAGGGGGGAGGAGGAGGAGGAGGAGGCGCAGAGGCCACAGGCGGCGGCTGCTGGGGAGGCTTGGGCCTGGATGGACGAAGTGGTGCGCAGGTAATAACAAACAGGCGTGCGTGTGCTGCAGGAAGCGCATCACTTTTGCGCTTTGACGCGACCCTCCGGAATAAGTGCCGAGAATTAGGGGTCCTTTTGGTGAGAGAGAGATGGGGAGGGGGGGGGGGCGTTTGTTGTGTGAAGTACGGTAGTTCCTTTTCCCCCGCGTGTCAAACAAATGTGCCTACTCGAGGTAGTATTGATTTTTTAGCGTTGCTGAAACATCACTGCTGGCGGCTATGTATTTACTAGCTTACTGCTGGCTGTGGTTGATAATGGTTGATAATGACCCTTGGAGAAGGGCACGGATGTTGGGGCGTGCTGTGGTTCAGGACTCCTATCTGGCAGAACCAAAAGGACGTATGGAGGAGGGTGCCGATGGCCGACGCCAGGGTCTCTCTCCTGAAGTTCACGCACTGTTCTTTAGTTTTTGTTTTCTTGTAGAATCCCCCATTGGCCTCAGGGGCCGGGGGGGGGGGCGCGAACCGAGTGGATGTGCTACCACGTTGTCTTCCTGGCTCGGAACCATACCTTGCTTTCCTGGGTCATCGGCTGTTGTTGTGGAATGAGGAGTAATGCTATCCTTGTATCTGCCGTCGGTTTGGACAGGTGGTGGCTTGCCCTGCTGCCGTCGAGGATAACAAGCCGTCAAGCTCTCTGCGCACCACGAGCTCCCGCTGGAGACAAGTTTGTGGTTGCCATGGCTAGTCTGTTAGAAGGGACCGCCTTGTCAGACGGCGCCAGATAGATCCTGATGGCATAACTCTCCGAGGTCACGTAAGGTCAAAGAGATGGCCAATGTTGCTGAGCTTCTTGTGTCAGACTTGCCCTCTTTTGTGCCCCTGGCACACGCGTCACCATCCACGGACACTATGAAATGTACTTGAATTAGTCTCGATGGGAGATCAATTCAGACATACAACTCCAAATCGTCACATCAAACTGATTAGTTTTTCGGATAAACTGAAATAAGTGTCCCGTGAGGAACAGCCAATTCTCCATATTGCAATCTGATCTATAGAGAGGGCGTGGACCGCGTGGACGAGTAGTGAGTACCAAGCAAGCACTTCTGAGCTCATCACTGAACACCCTTTCACGCCCGGTGCGGGAATTGAGGCACAACACTTCACCATGGCGAGAGGTTCGACAAACAACTATCCGAGGGTACTCGAAATGAAAGTCATAATCACCTAGCTGTTCCCTCGCTGTCTCCATCTTGCACGAAGTCTAAAGAAGCATGTCACAATCCATGCCTTGGCAACATTCCTCTATCACGCTCTTTCCAGGAGTTCTCATGTGCTGGACATGAACTGTGCCCCCCCCCCCTGGACTCGATCCCCCTCTCAGGAACAAGGTTCTACGACTGCTGCTGTGACATACCATATCCCATTGAAAATCCGGCAGACTAAAGTGTCGTCCGGTACAAAGGGGGGGTTTCATTCACGGGCTAACCACATTCTCTTGCGTTTCTGTCTCTTCAGCTTTAGTCATCTGATGGGCTCTTCTTCTACAGGCACCAAACAGTACAGTTCTGTAAATGTGCCAGGAGTATATGTTCTCAAATAGCATAGTCGGAAATCAAGGAAATATACTTTGACATTACACAAAAGCGTAGTCTGTAATGCTGCACGAGTATATGTATATTTTATCTCTTTTGCCCGGTCACACTCTCGCCTCAGCCCCTGAGTACGGAGTCCCTGCTGAACACATGAAATTGGAGGGACAATAACACTTTCTCATGCTATTTAGCAGACGCCCAGGCAACGTAGAGTCGAGCCCGGATTGAGTTCACAATGACATAAATATATATATCGAGATAGTTCTCTGTCTAGTGCCCCGTCCAGATGCGGTTATTCTCTGCTGTATATATCAAGCTGTTCGCTTCCCGCTCCTCTGCATCAGGCTCTTATGCCAGACGGTGGAATTAAAAGAACGTCCCCCTTCGCCACCTGCGTCGGCTCGAACTACCAAGCAATGCGCGCTGATCTATTTGTTGTATTTTCTATCACCAGCCCCTACACCCACCCCTGAACCCGTCAAGCATCTTACCCAGGCCGGGGATGTCCAGATCCTTCCAGCCCTTGCCGACCTGCTCCCGCTCGCCGATGTCGATGACCGCGCGAATGAGATCCTTGTTGATGTCGTCGCCGACGACGCTGTCCTGCTTGTATGCGTCGTGCTGCTGCACAAACTCGCGGATCCACCGCGCCGCCGTCCACAGCTCGCCGCTCGCCCGCTTGCGGATCAGGTCCAGATACGTCTCGAGCTCGCAGCGCGTCTCGACGTCCATGTTGACCGAATCGAGATAGCTCTCGACAATGGGGATGAGCCCCGGGAACTCGTGGTCGCTGGTAGTCTTGGCGCCATTGATGATCTCGTCGATCGTCATGAGCGCGTACTCGTCCTCCACCGGGCCAAGGGGTGTGGCGGGCCTGCTTATGTTGGGTGTCGTGGTGCCCGAGGATCGCGGCTGCCTCAGCGGAAACGGGTTCTTGCGGAAGTAGAACTTCTTATTGAGTACGGCGTTGCGGGCGTGCGCCGTCTCCATACCCTCGTCCACCTTGACAATCGGAATATAGAAGTTGAGGTCGAAACTGAGAATCGCACGTGTAATGAGGACCATGAACACCGAGAACGCGGCGTTCTCAAAGTCCGTGACTTGGATCTCCATCGGCCGGAACTCGACACGCCAGCCAATGTCGGACCCGGCAGGTGGTGGCTTGAAACGCATGTGCTGCCAGTTTGTGCTCTGGATGTTCTCAAAGTGGTCTGTCTTGGTCATGTCGAGCTCCTTGAGGTCTTCGCTAAAGATGACAATGGGGTCCCGGATGAAAAGATGCGCGAAATGTGTCGCGAGGCGGTCGTCCATGCCACCATCCAACAGTTGCTGTTTGATGTCCTCGTCAATGATGAGGTTAGGGTCTAGATACTCGGGTCTGAGCCGATGATCAGTGCTGATGTAAGTAGAGTTTGACGCATAACGTGACTTCGGGATTCTCCACCGGTCGTTCTTTAGCGGCTATACTGAAGTTAGCACCTTTTCTCTGAATCAAGTCCTGCTGCACTATGCCAAACTCACCACCTCACCCAGCTCCTCCGCTGTCCGATCATCCACCGCCCGGCTGATTTGGTTCCACCTGACATCTGTGTCTGCCAGAAAGCCCTTGTATATTGGGGTAGCCGCAGTCAGAGCGAGCATGATAGGGCCGAGCGGGCTGAGCTGGTCGTACATCTTGCGCCCCTCGTTGATATTCTTCGCCTGGAACGTGATTTGCAGACAGCAGCTGCCCATGCCAAAAGCCATGGCATCCAGGTGGATAAAGTTGTCCGGCGCTGCACCATTCCTCACGTCGTCGTCCTCGGGCCAGTTGTGCAGGTTATAGTCCACCGTGGGGTCCTTCCACGGGTTCGCCGTGTTCTTGTCGTGGAACACGGGCACATTGACTTGCACCTTCTTGCCGCGGCGCCACCGAATGTTGGCGGCTAACGTCGGGAAGCGGATGTGCGGGTTCGCAATCTCATCCGGCACAAATTGCGAGCGCAGCCGGGGACCAGACGGCGGGTAAAAGGGCTCCGTGAAGATGCCGGGGACTCCCAGCCGCGGGTATGTGGTCAGGGTGATGGGATACTCGTTGCTCTTCATGTGCTCCTTGGCGATCCTCCTCCTTGTCTTCATGTCGGCCTCGACGTCCAGCAGCTCGCGGAAGCCTATGCCCCAGGGCTTACCGGGGGTGGCCTCGAGCATGAACCTGCCAAATTCTGGATGGAAGACAGGCAGCGGCTTGGTCTTTGGAGCCTGGATGTCCTGCAGGGCGGGGACGCAGCCACCCTTCTTTGACAACTCCTCATCCTCGGCGAGTGCTGCGAGGATATCGGCTTGCCGCAGCGAGAGGAGTACCTTGGGTTCCGATTCCGAGTACGTGACGACGAGGTACTCGATCTAAACGAATTCCCCAAAAGAGAATGGATCGTCATGTGAGCAAGACTTCTGGCTTCCGCTCCGCGGCGTGTCCAAACGTACCTCGTCTCCCCACAGCATGGCGTCCCTCTCCTTGTGCTTGGCCTTGTTCCATATTTCCAAGAGTTGCTGTAAACAAGGACCACCAGTTTAGCAAATACTATCCTCCAAACCGGCCAGCGCACGCGACATGTACCGCGCGCGGACCTCGTTGGGCGACTAGAACAGGCGAAGAGAAGATGATCGCACCTTGATTCCCCATTCCCTGACCTGATTGGCATGCTTCTTGGCGTCCGGCCAGTCCAGCGCCGTCCCCAATGCTCTGTAGTCATGTCAGCAGCTGCAATGGTGCATCGGTACAGTGGAGGCTGGCCAGAGTTGTCTTACAAGAGACCCATTGCCAATGCTCAGCACGCAATCGCGGGGTTTGAAGGGGAATTCGAGAGCAAGACCAGTAGCGCAGGTATGCAGGTGCTTGCAGAAGATGTGCCGCTTGCGACTACAGACAGCTTGGGTGGCGGACGTTTCGGTCAAGCAGGAATGCCCTGACCGTTCAGTCTCCGGAACCGCAAACTCTAATTGAAAAAGTGGTTTGCCGCCGAGGCCAGCCAGGAACTAGCAGTGATCAGGCAAAACGCACGCGGCCCGCCGATGCTCAAGACATTGGCCGTCGAGAGCCGAGTTCAGGACGCAGTAGGGCACGCAGGAAGGCAGAGCACGCAATTTCTGCGGGTTGTGAGTGGCTGGCGGAAGGTGGCAGGAGGGACGTCAGCGTCGCCGGCTCGCATGTAATTGCTGGAAATCGGCCGCAGACCCGGGCGGGTGTCAAGGGCTGCCGGCTGCAGGGAGCAGAGGGAGGCGTGCGGGCTCCAATGGGATGCGGGGGAAAGATGGTTACTAAGAGGCTGGCGATGCGAATCTTGCCAGGGAGACAGCCTTTGACTGTTTTGCCAGGCGGATCTGGGTTACGGCCCGTAAAGGAGAGCGAGCTCTTGGTGCGCAATCTTGGATCGTGAAAAAAAACCCAACGGCGGCAGCATCGCTGGCGGGGTTCCCGCTCCTGTCTGTCCCTTCCTTTGCTGGGGCCATCCCGGGCGTGCCCACCTCGCCAGCTCCGACCGAGCCCGCTGCTTAGAAATCTGCACCGCTGACAAACGCCCGCCTGCGGCTGGCCCGTCGGCCATGCCCGCTCCCAGCTTGAGACCCTCCAAGCATGCAACGGGACGTCGGAGTCAAGGTCATGACCTATTCATTGCATCATGCCGCTGGCTCGCCTGGATGCACCATCACACAAACACACGCCAACCAGCATCTCCCACCGAGCACGCCTCTGCCGGCCCGGGGCCTCCCGGGCCCCTCCCGGGCCGTATCTGCTTCTCAGGCGCCCGGCTCGACATCTCGTGTCTATCATATCTGCTTGTATGGTTTCCGAGGGGATCGGCACCGATACTAGAACCAAGATCTCCATGGGGGAGCGCATGCGGAAAGACTCCGCCGTGGCCCGCTCCTTGGCTCGTGGAGCTTTTCAGCCCCCTCGTCACACACACTTGCTGCCCAGGTGCTCCTCCCTGTGGCACGTGCCAATGTCTAACCAGTCATCCTGATAGGCTCACTTCGGCCTGGCATTACTCTTCTAGGTAATATCTCTCTATGAATACCTCACGTCTTGTCGCACGGCTGGGCATCCCCTCCCTACTGCTGTATTCATGTATGAATCTTACAATCATACAACAACACAAACATACACACAACCTCTCATCGAGGCCCGTGTCCCAGGTTCGACCCTCTGGCGGATGCAGGCGTCATGCCGTACTCTCCCACCTCTGTGGCCTCGCGTTTGTGCAAGTTTTGCTGCCGGCCATGGCCCACCGCCTGCCCACTGCTGCCACTACTAACCTCTTCGGAGTTCGACCAGTCGCCTACCGTGAAACGTTCTAGCTCTTCCTCCACAATCTGGACCATGTGCCGCTCCCTCTCCCCAAACGTATCCGTCGCTCTATTCACAGTGTGGGGCTCTCTGGCCGTGGCGCCGGCTACTGGTGCGTGCATGCCAATCTCACGAGACATGTGCTTGGTCGACGGCTCCGTATCGCTGTCATGACTGTGGCTGTGACTGTGACTGTGCAGACTGCGCAGGCTTCGCCTGCTGACGCTGCCGACCACATCCCCAAGGGCGTGCAGGTCGCCTACCAGCTCATTGGCACGCCTGCCAATCTCTTTCTGGGCGGCCCTGACCGCCTGTCGGTTCAGATGGGCATCGTGGTCGACCAGGCGATTCAGCTTGCGGATCTCACTCCAGCGACTCAGCGCTCCAAGCTCGAGCAGATTCATTCGACGATGTTTACGTGTCGGATTACCCAACAGTAGAGGTCTCCACCGTGGTTCCTCAGCAACGGTATCGTCGAGGTCGGTCCGTCCCTGAGATCGCGCAATGGCCAAGGCCCGAGCATGACTGTGAAGACTGATTCGTCTCTCCACCGTCCATCTGTCCATCTCCTTGATCCTGGAAGCTGGGATGATCTGCACATTCCGGAAACGAACGAGGACAGCCAGGAGCAAGCAGCTTAACACCAATAGTATACCTGCGACGGCGCCAGAAGCTGCGCGCTGGCTCAAGTTCCGCTGGAGCAGGCCACCCACTATCGTCACGAAACCAGCGAGCACGAAGCTCAGACTGTGGGTGATCGCAAGGCCAGCACTGACTCGGGGGAAAGAAGAGTAATTACTCCGTAGTCTGCGACGGGTTCTGCTGCCTTGATGGATTTCCGTAACAGGTAGTAAGTCAGAGCAGTCCCAGTTCTCCATCAGCATGCCGTTGCATTCCGATATCCCCAAACATGACAGAAACCCTATTAGGGCTGCGAAAGCAGATGGAGCAGCAATGTGCAAGGGTGGTCCGGTTGAAACGACGACGTACAAAGCCGCAACAAGTGGCAGCGCCAGCACAAAAATCGCACGGCGAACAAGGTGAGACGTCCAAGTGAAAGTCTGGTCGAACGTCATGCTGTTGGTGCGTTGAGGGTGATACCGGGATCGTGAGAATATGCTCGCCTTCTGGAAAGGAACTGCAGCAAGTGCACCAATGGCAATGGAGGACACGACCGCACCTACATAAGTCGGGCGCAGGTGGTAGAGCCTGGAACTAAGTGATGCGAGAAGCTACAACAAGCCGATTAGGAACAAACATGTGGCACCGAGATGGGCCTTTATGCACTTACAATGATGATGAGCACAACTTGTGCGTAGACCCACGCGGCAAAAAGTGTCATTACCGCAAAGCCTGGCTGGCGAAGCATTTCCATGGACATGATGAGGCCATGATAGACGTCTTGTCCCCACGATCTTGGTGTTTCATTGATGTGTTGCATCATGATCTCACCTCTTGCAGGACACCTTGATATCGTTTGACCGACTTGGACCTCTGCCACATAACGGCGCCAACTCGACCGGCGCACTTCGGGACAGAGCACGTTCACGACAAGGACACATGCCGTCATCCCGATGCAGACGTAGAACGCGTTAGCAGGCGCCACATTGTCAATCACGAGACCACCGACAAGAAACCCAAGGGCAATTGAGCCAACAAAACACCACGTCCACAATCCGAGCCAAACGCCAAGCCCGCCTCCATGTCGTCTGAGGTCTCGCTGGTCCATCAATTCTTGGTGAGGGGCCGTTGACATCAGAGAAGCTCCAAAGAGGTCCGTCAACATCGCATGACAATTCATGCTTGTCAATCCCAGTACCGAGCCCATGAGAGTCCTTGAGACGAGTATCACAACTTCCCAGACTGGAGTCGATGGCGATCTCGGCGCGCTTACAACTATCGCCTGGGGGAAAATAAGTGGCAGAGCGATACTCAAGCCGCACACGACGTATGGCTTACGTCCGTGGAGAAGAGGTAAAGGCCAGCACATGAACGACACCAGAGCCAAGCCGAGGAAGAAGCCGACGTTGCCAAACACCATCGAGTGGTTGAGGTCTACAATGGCGTACTGGATTGAGGGCAGGGCTCCAGCGTATATCCCCGCATTCACACCAATCAGAGCGGTGTTGAGGCAGGCCACAGCGGCAGCCAGTCGCTTACGCACGAGTGGCCAATCTCGGGCTATTGGCTTTCGTTTCAAAGACTTTGAGAGCCTGGGCTCTCTCCCTTGCTGAAGACTGGTGCATGAGCGTTGATGCAAACGTAGCCGAGTCGAGTGCTGCGGTCGACTCGATCGACCTCTCTGCCGTAAGTGGTATCTCCGTGATCTATCTCTGCCGCTATGCGTGGGCTTTTGTGCGATGGTATGGCCCATAAGCTGGATCCTATCCGCAGGGACAATTTTTGACATTTCTATCTCATCATCAGAAGTGCTTCCATCCAAGCCTCCAAAATCCCGACCGCCGGAGGTGAAAGGACGACAAGATGCAAGCAATAAACTTGGACAAGTGCCCTGAATTTCTGGAATGGTTGTCGAATGGATCATGCCTTGATCACCCGCTCTATCGTCATGCCTCTCGAATTGCTCATTCTCTGCCCCACTCTTTGGCTTGCTGAGATTCTTCATCTGACGCGTTCGGATATTGGAGCTCGCATCTTGTTGTAGGTAGTGATCCAACTGGTTCGGCATGTCGTGTCCTTGGGCGGTCTTGATGGCTTGTGATCGCTTAGCGTGCAGGCTAGATATCCTTTCAGGCCAGACTGGGCCAACCATATTGCCGTGCGAATCATTCGGCATTGAGATTTCGCGGAGACGCAGTGGCTTCAGTGCAAGAGCATCGCGGCCATGGCCTTGATGCTTGATGCTGCCAACCAAATGGAGGCTCCCAGGCGATGGGCTCCTTGAGGGGGGAGAATGAATGTGGCAGTGATTGAAGTTCAATATTGAGGCTTCTTTGGACGCTCGCGCTATTGAGCTATTTCTGACTGTCGTCTTATCTACGTGCAGCTCGGTTGGCGTTTCTACGTGTGAGCACTGATGCATCAGGGAGATCTGATTCGCGATATCAACCGCTTCTTCGAAAAGACGTTCCATATCCTTCACAGCAGCATCCAAGGCGATAGCATCGGCAGAAGTGTCAGCGGAGAAAGTGGCGGCTCTTGAAGTGGGAGAGAGCAGTTGTGTAGGTTGGCTTTCTTTCCTATCTTTAGCGTTCGCATTGTTACGCCGGAACGGAGAGAATGTAGATTCAGAACCAGCCTGTCCAGTTTGATCAGGAATGTGGCGGATCCAGCTTGCCGTATGTTCCAGCCGCGTCTCTGGGTCGATCACCTTTAGTACGTTGGAAGCGGAAGCGCCCATCGAGACCAGCAAGCTCGAACTTGGAAGCGACGAATCATAACTGGTACCTCGTTGCAGGGCGCTGCGTGACAGACGGCTTCGATCCAGAGCCCCGGCATTTGTGAGTTGCAAGTTGCCCGACCACTGGCTCTGAGAGTTTCTAGCGGGTCTGAGTTTTGGTGAACCATAGCCAGTGGCCCAATCCATGTCAATGGGAGAGACAGTATGGTTAGTTCCAACCGCATTGCTCGTTTCAGTCGAAAGTGGATTTTCCAGGACTGGCCGAAGTTTATCGACAGTATGCCCAATCTCAGATGCATTCTGAGTTATGCTAGTTGTCGCCCGTGGCGGACGGTCGAAAGTGATGGCGGATGAGAAATTCTCGGCATTGCCACGATGATGCCACAGTCCTGTAGCGTCAACGTTTGCTGATGATAGCACTGGCGATATGGGGGCTAGTTGCTGAGGAGGCGTCTCCTCATCGGAGCGAGACGATAGGAGCGCGTGGCGTTGCTATCGCCCTTTCAGTTGGGAAAATGTCATGCCTGCAAGCCCAATACCTTTGATCTCGACAGCGCCAAGAAAGGTGTCTTAGTTGACAAGCGGGACTTTGTTTCGGCGTCCGACAGCCCTCATGGGTTATCAGGGTGAGGCGATGCGCGCTGCAGATGGTCTGTGGTGATGATGAAATTGCTTGACGGAGATTCCAGAACCGACGTTGGGAGGGAGGAACTAGGGTTGAACTCGGTTGCTGGGATATTTGCGGTCGTCGACAGCCCTAAATCACTGACGAGGAGTTGTCAGGGGGATTCTGAAGAGACTGGTGGGTATGCAGGTCTGAACTATGTGGTGAAGCTTGATAGGATAGGTTGCTGGCATAAACGAAAGCGCCAGCCATATGTTTGACGAACGTTCAAGATGGAGGCAGCTCAAGGACTGGGCCTTATGTCTAGCGACAACCTTGTAAGGCGTAACGCCACGATCGCTCCTTCCCACACTAGCCAGATGTTACCAAACGCGTGATTTGCTGCCGCCAAGTATAGGCGCAGCCGGTTTATTGCTCGAATGCGCCTCACTTCTCGGAAACTTTACCAAGGTGCCATGCTAAGACTGTTTTAAGGCACGTCGTGATTCCACCATTATTCAAAAGATATGGCTAGCGTATCACGGGGTAGCCTCTTGAGGTTGGGAGAGAAACCACAGGATCAGACGCAATAGCCCCTCATTGGCCAGCACTGTGGCCTCAGCCAAAGGTCTCCTGGCCAGTAGCCAAGCCACCTCGCCCCTCGGTGATCAGGGACGCACAAATGCCACTCTGTCTCTGTTAAACAGCTGGCTCAGTGATCCACTGAGTGGCATGAAAGCGCAGTTTACGTGAACACCTAGTGTAGCATAAGTGGGTGAATTTCAAGTTCGCGCTGTCGGCTGAAAACACGGTTCGCAACCAGTAATTACGTTAGCGTAATCATTGCACGAGCACAAGCCTTGCGCACGAAGAGCGCGGTATGGCCCCGTCACTGGGCCGTGTCGGAAGATACATCACAAAGTTTGACTTTGGTATTGTCGAGCTTATGCCACCAATAGTTTGCCTTGAAGTCAGCACAAGCGTGGTCACCCGTTCCGAGGAGGCTGGGTGGCGCTCTAGCCTTGGGAATGCAACCAGGCTCTCTATGCCTGGCAGTCTGCCTGCTTCTGGTGCTGACGCAAGCATGTCTCTGTCCTGCATGCCTCAGTGGCAACGGCACGAGATCCAAAGGCCCTTCGTGCCGCTTCATGCAGGGCATCGAGCAGGCATGACTCCCATCGCGTTCGCACGAGGTATCGCATGAACATGTTCTCTGGCATGCCCTTTGTCATTGATTGAGATGGCATAGCTCCCAACAATGGCTCTGGCAAGGACGCAAACTTCCCTGCCTGTCGGGAGCCAGAAGACGAGTTCGCGAGGACGATCCGCCATGGTGTTCTTCATCAGCCTGGTGGCCAGGGTTGCCTTTTCTATGCTGGGCGGGGGTTTGATCATCCCGAATAATGAGCTCAAGGGTCTCGGATGACTTGTTCTGTAAGCAGGCGATGGGCGCGGCCGGAACCCTCGGTGCGGCACCACGAAGAAAAAAAAGGCTGCCATGACCTTGGATGGCGGGTCGCGGGACGACCCAGGCCTGGTCAGGCGCTCATGTCAAGCCGAGTCACTTGCGCACGCGCTGGTCACTTCTGGAATGGCAGGGACATGGATGTCTGGCCCATCGACGTGCAGGGGAAGGAGGCTTGGTTTTGGCAAAGCCTGCTGCTGCGCCAGCCTCGACAGCGGGGGCATATGACACACAGGACTCTCTGCAACAATCCGATTGTCGAAGCCCACCCCACCCCCTCTCTTGTTCATCTCCCCTCCCACCCAGCTCGGCGAACGGTCTTCTCGGCTGAACTCAGTCACTTCCCAACTTGCTAGTAAGCCATCATTTGCAGTCTGTTCCTAGACGACAACAATTATTGCACGCGCGAACTCTTGCTTGCGACTGTTGCCCTTTGCGACAGCTACCCTCGCCCTACAGATAGCCCCGGCCTCCCGCGGGGAAGCTGACGTCATCCTGTTGACTTGCAGCGGCCTGCTGTGCAACAATGTCGGCAATCTACCGCGACAGGGAGTTTCGGTACTCACGAGACCGCAGCCCCTCGCCAGAGGATGAGCGATACAAGACCACCACTGTGAGACGCTACAAGGTCGCCGGAGCTGGGTCTTCGAACGGCAGCCGCGTCATCGAGCGCTACGACGAAGAAGACGACGACCGCCGCTCCAAGTACTCACACTCCCACTATGGCCGAAGCCCACATGAGCACGTCGAAGTCGAGCGCCGTGAGAAGACCACGTACCTGCCAGAGCGACCAAGATCAGCATTCGACCCTCCCACGGAGCGCATAAGGGAGCGCGATGTCTCTTACTATCGAGGCGGCGATGATGATCGTTACCGTGTCGAAGTCGAGGAGGACCTGAGGATCAAGTCACCTCGCCACTGGGACAGACCTTCGCGCCCATGGGATGATGATGTTCACGTGGAGAAGCGTATTGAGAAGCGCGTGGAGAAGTATGAGGCTGATGGCGACGTGACGGTGGAGAAGAAGGTGGTCGAAATTGATCGCGACGAGCCTCGATCGCCTAGGGACAAGGAGTTACGTGTGGAGCGCCGCATCATTGAGGAGAGTGATGCGCACGATCATGATATTGAGCGCTACCGCAAGGAGGTTGAGTACTACTCTGCACCCGAGCCACCGCCGGCCCCAGTCATTATTCGTGCACGAGCACCCGAACAAAAGATCATTGTCCAAGAAGCTCCGCCGCCAGCTCCGATTGTTCTTCCGCGACAAGACCCTAGCTACATTGTCTTGAGAGAAGAAAACCAGCAGGTCGCTCGACGAGAGCCTCGCTACGATGATGATTATTACCGGCGAGAGGAGGCATACGCTTTGGAGCGCCGGGACCGTGAACGGCGCTATCGTGAGGAGGAGCGACGTGGTGATGACGAGGCCTACGACGAGGACTACTACATCAAGAGAACCGTCATCCGACGTGATCGCAGTTCAAGTTCTGACCACCATCACAAGCGTCACTTGGCAGAGGGCGGTCTTGCTGGCGCAGGCCTGGCTGCTTTGCTTTCCAGCCGACAAGGCCGGGACGGAAAGTTTCAGGAGCACAGAGGTCAGAAGGTTTTGGCTGGTGCTGCTCTTGGTGCTCTTGGTACCGAAGTCGTCAGACGTGCCCGTAGCGCCTACGAGGACCGTTATGCAGAAGACGATCGTTATGGCTACGACGATGACCGCCACCGCCACAGAAGCAAGTCAAGAAGCAGACTGGCGACTGGCTTGGCTATTGTAAGTCTTGCTACATCAACGCGGCGCCACTCCGAGTCAGCACTCGTTCCACTTGAAGACACTGACAATGATCTGTAGGGAGCTGCCGCCCTTGCTGTCGCTGGTGGCCTGAAATATATGCAGAGCGACAAGGTCGAGAAGGAGGAGGCCACGCGTGGTCGAAGCCGCCGAAGGTATTCAAACTCGTCAAGCTCTAGCAGCAGATCTGGCCGCCGCCGGAGCCGGAGCAAGTCGAACGCCGCAAAAGCTGCAGTTGCCACGAGGTAAGAACAGCTCACATACACCCGACAGGATGATCGCTAACATTCTCTTCAGTGCAATCGCTGGTCTCGTCCACCACTATCGATCTAAGTCGCGCGGCAAGTCGCGGTCCAAGTCCCGCATTCGGACTGGTGAGACTATTACTACACGTGGGCGTCCATTACACTGAGCACTAACGTCTCTGCAGGAGCGGAAATCGCGGCTGCTGGCCTGACTGGAGCTGCTGCCAGCAAATTGTGGGAAAGACAGAAGGACAAGAAGGAGAGAAAGGAGCACCACCGCTCCCGTGACCGGGGTTATGAAGATGACGATTATGACCGCCGGCACCGTGGCCGCAGCTACTCAAGAAGTCCTTCCAGGTCCAGGTCGCGCAACCGAAGCCTCGGCTCCAGACCGTCCTCGGCTAATAGAGAATTAGGCCTGGTACCAGTGGCTCCTATAGTTCCCGGGGTTGAGTACGGCAGCGAGCCTCTTGACGGCTCGACCTCTGATGGAAGGAGACGACGCCGACACCGGCGGCACCACGATTCGAACGGCCGTGATAGATCCTCGTCCGCCTCCAACTCCGACATCAAGAAGAAAAGAAGCCGAAGCCGACTCCGGGAAGCTGCCGCTGGTATACTGGGCACTGGAGCTGCTGCTATCGGCATCAAGAAGTACAATGACCATCAGAAGAGCAAGGAACGGGAACGTGAAGCAAGATCGCGGGAGCAGAGCAGAGAGAGATCGCCAGACCACCGGAGTAGAGATAGGAAGTCTCGGGGGCGCCTGAGCCGTGACCGGGAAAGGAGACGTAAGTCCTGGAGTGATGGAGTAATCAATTTGCCTCACTGACAAGATATTGCAGGATACGAGGAGGAAGCAGATGCGGACCACTACGACGATTACGATGCACCACCGTCACCACTGCACGCATCTGGAGGTGCCTACTATCCGCCCCCAGCTGGACCTCCATATGGCAGCGGGCCCATGCCACCACCACCAGGTGCATTTGCGCCGAACCAGTATCCGCCTCAAGCATATCCTCCTGCTGGACCAATTCCCCCGCCTCCTGGTGCACCACCGGCTGCAGGGTACCCCCGAGACCCTGGAAGTGTAAGTTTGATGATCCCTATGCATCTTTCCTCTCGGCTTCATTGGGCTCCCACTGATGCTTCTATAGATGGTTTAAATCGTGGCCATGAAACGTCTGTTTGCAATGCCATTGGTGGTTTCTGCTGTTCATGACGAACGATAATTTGGATTTTTCAGTTAGTTGCTTTCATGACGGAATTTGTATAGAGATTGCTCTTTGGTTGTTTTTGGCTGGGTCTGGTTATTTGGTCGACAGTTTCCAAGATGACGACGGAACGATGTCTAACGAAACGACCTAACGATTCATGAATAGTGTCAATCTTTCTTTCCTATAATGACCTATATACCTGTTGAATACAAGTCATGTTTAATGCACTAGCTTTGTTCAATATGTGATGTTACGTAAAGAAGAGGGTGCTGTGAGAAGGCCAAAAGGTGGTGGAATTACATCCATGAAATTCCAAAAGGAACATCAAGTACACAAGTTGATAATGAGCAGCGTTGCATCACGCGAACTTCAGATTCGTCTCTATATTGTCTATATCGCTTTTCGCTCAAACAGCAACAGCGTTTCATAATTCGTCATGAGCGCCCGCGGAGATGGGCTCATCTGGTCTGCCGCTGTCCTTGTGCAAATCGACGCCGACCTTGCCGCGCCACTTTTGGAACACAGACCAGAACTCCTTCTCCATGCCCGTCTCCATCTGGTCGGGTAGCACGACCGTGTACTCGACGTAGAGCTTGCCGAATTCAGTCTTGTGGTAAACCGAGTCGCCCTCTTCGTGCCAGATGGGCATGCCTTCGCCCTCGACGGTCTCGACGTGGCCGGGCTGCACGGTTTCACCGCGCTTTCGCGACAGGCGCACCACGTGGCCGTCCAGGTGCGTGATGTTGCGCGTCCAGTCGCCCATCCAGGCCTCGCGGAGCGACAGAATCTCCCGCCAGAACAGATCGTTGCCCTTGCGGCGGAAGAACACGCCGTCCACGTGGTCCGGGTTGTCCTCCTCGAGGCTGGGCTCCTTCTCGACGAGCGTGACAATGAGGTCGCCGGCGATGTAGTCCGGGCTGGCATCGGCCTCGTTCTCGTAGACGACGCGGGAGTCCCTGGGGGCACCGCGCTCGACCTTGAGAGAAACGGGCGTGGCCTTGCGGATCACCCGGTCGCCGTTGCACACGGGGCACTTGTGCTTGATCGTCTTGCCCCGCCCGCCGCACGCGTCGCACTGCGTCTGCATTTGCTGGAACATGCCCGGTGCCAGCTGGTGCTTGATGATGCGCACGCCGTGGCCGCCGCACGTGGAGCACCGGTCGACCTCGCCGTCGGCAGAGCCCGAGCCGTCGCACTCCTCGCAGATGTGCTGCTTTTCCCAGGAGAACTCGGTGTCACGGCCATTATAGAAGTCGCGCAGCGAGATGGCGACCTTGACTTCGAGGTTGTGTCCGCGAGGCTGGCCGCGCTGGTAGTGGCCGCCGCCACCAAAGAATCGGCTGAAGAGATCGAACGGGTCGTGGTGGCCGCCACCGCCGCCGCCTTGCTGGCGCTGCTTCACGCCTTCATGGCCGTGGCGATCGTAGACTTGGCGAAGCTCAGGATCGATAAGTGCTTCATATGCTTCGGCGACTTGGACAAACTTGCCCTCGGCTGTCGGATCTCCTCTGTGAAGTAAAGCTGTGTAAGCATGTAAGTCGCATGCAGAGGCGAGGCGGGAAAACCTACGGGTTCTTGTCTGGGTGATATTTCTTGCTGAGTTGCCTGTAGGCGGTCTTTATTTGCTTGTCGGTAGCTTGGCGATCTATTCCAAGAACCTAGAGAGGATCGCACATTAGAGAGTGGCTGTGGTACAACAGGACTGCAAGGTGCAGGAGGCAGTACCTTGTAGAAGTCCTCTGCGCAGAAGCCTAGCTGGACGAACGCCAGGCAGGCCAGCAACAAAGATATTGTCCCACGGAGCAGCATCGTACAAGATTGGGACGAAAAAGTAGTGGGAGCTGCAGGTCGAGGTCCAAGGCTGCTTCAGTACCTCTAGTGGGGTGGGTGTACAGTAACTGGCAGGATAAAGGAAGCTTGCAGCACAAACCACCAGGGCAAGGTGACGGAGCACACCCGAACGTTGGTAGCTGTGTTGGATCTCAAAGAGGGCTGGTTGTGGTGCGTCGACAACCCTGGTGTAAGAGAGAGTCCTGGGCGGACAGCTACCACGATGACCAAATAATAATCTAGAGGCCAGCACATGCTTGATCCGCAACCTCAACGTGGCAATTGTTGGCGCGCGCCGCCCGCCTGCCACAGATATCTGGGGCCGATAAGATAAGCATCAGGTACAGGGATCTGGGGAGCCCCGACCTTGGCGACGTCCGAGGGCCAGGCTAGACTTGCAGGAGCTTTAGCGCGTTGGAGGAGAGCACCTTGCCTTGGGCATGCGATTAGTTTCATATCAGCAGCTGCAGCTACAAGCGAACTCGGGGATCAGCTCACGACGGACGAGTCTACCTTCCGCACCGACGGCATCAGACGATATTGAGCGCAGCCAAGTGCTACACGCAGCTGTTGCCCAACTCGAGCTGCTCCAGTTCCTGCACGGTCCATTCCTGAAGCACGGAGCCATGCGACAGAGCCTGCTTTAGGCAGATTCTCTCTCCCCCTCCGCCAAAGTCCCAGAACATTCAACCGCGGTCAGCATGAGCGGCAAGCGATACGCTTTCGTCCCTATGGACGAGGGCGAGGTCGGGCCCCAGAAAGTCGAGAAGAGGGACTCGAGAAAATCATCCCGTAGGCACCGCGACGATAAATCACGCCGGCCTGATACGCACCGATCCTCCCGCCGACATAGTCGATCTCGGAGCCGCTCACCACGACGCGAATCTCACAAGTCCAGACCAAAAGCGATTCGCAAGCGGCCGGACGACCGCGACCAAGACGACAGATGGGGAGACGAAGAGCCAGATCCGGATGCGTCAGACGACCAGGAGGACGCTGACAGCGTCGCCGACGAGCCCGACTTCCAGGAGTCAGCCTCAAAGCGGGTAAAGCTCAGCCACGACGAAAACGAGCCTCGGGACAACAAAGACGATGACTCCGAGCTAGAAGCTGCGCGCGATCGGGAAGAGGCGGAAGCTTTCGCGAAACGGCTGAAAGAGCGCGATGATGGTCGCGGCAAGAAGTCCGGCGAGAAGGCCGGCAATGAGCGCCAGCGGCTTGCGGAAGAGATTGCAGCGAACCGCGCTGCCATGCCTGACCTACGCGAACGTTCACGCCAGGACTATCTCAAGAAGCGCGAAGCCGAGCGGCTGGCACTGCTACGGAAACAGGTCGCTGAGGAGACGGCAGAACTGAGGAGTGGCGTTCGACTGTCAGAGAAAGAAAAGGCAGAGTTTGCCAAGAATCGCGAGATCCTGCGATTAGCCGAAGAGCGGCTGAAGATCGACGACCACCGCGATGGCTATTACATGCCTGAAGATTACATCACTGAGAAAGGCAAAATCGATCGCAAGCGGAAAGAAGACGCGATGTACAAGCGATATGTTGAACGAGACGAGTTTGGCCAAGAAAAGTTTGTCACGGAGCACGAGGAATGGGAGAGGGAGCAGACTCAAAAAGCAAAAGCGCAAATCAACAGGGCCGAACGTGAATACGAAGGCGACTACGAACTTGTACTGGACCAGGACCAGTATATCCAATGGAACATGGACTCGACAATGGCTGGCGAAGGCAAGACGCTGACGAAGGAACAGCGATTCCTGGAGGCCCAGATTGACGCGGCGGAAAAGAAGGCTCTGTCCATACAAGAGACCCGGAAGAGCTTGCCGATCTACCAGTATCGCGACGAGTTCATCGCAGCCATTGCCCAGCACCAGATCATCGTTATTGTCGGCGAGACTGGTAGTGGTAAAACGACACAACTCCCTCAGTATTTGCACGAGGCCGGCTACACCAAGGACGGTCGTAAAGTTGGCTGTACGCAGCCGCGCCGAGTCGCTGCCATGAGCGTTGCTGCCCGTGTGGCAGAGGAGATGGGTGTGAAGCTGGGCAACGAGGTCGGCTTCTCAATTCGCTTCGAAAACAACACGAGCGACAAAACGATCTTGCAGTACATGACGGATGGAATGCTTCTGCGAGAGTTCATGACGGAGCCCGACCTGGCCGGCTACTCGGCTCTGATGATCGACGAGGCCCACGAACGCACTGTCCATACCGACATCTTGCTAGCCCTCATCAAGGACTTGTCGCGTGAGCGTCCAGACCTCAAACTTCTCATCTCCTCGGCGACAATGAATGCCAAAAAATTCGCAGAGTATTTCGATGATGCTCCCATCTTCAACATTCCAGGTCGTAGATACCCGGTTGACATTTACTACACACCTGCACCCGAGGCCAACTATCTCGCGGCCGCCATAACGACGGTCTTCCAAATCCACAGTACGCAGGGCAAGGGAGATATCCTCATCTTTCTCACGGGTCAGGACGAAATCGACGCAGCCGAGCTGCAGATCACCGAGACTGCAAGAAAGCTAGGGAACAGAGTAAAAGAGCTGATCGTCTGCCCGATCTACGCCAATCTTCCATCAGAGCTGCAGGCGAAGATCTTCGAGCCAACACCGCCAAATGCTCGCAAGGTCGTCTTGGCGACAAATATTGCGGAAACGAGTTTGACAATTGACGGTATCGTCTACGTCATCGATCCCGGTTACGTCAAAGAGAATGTGTTCAATCCGACGACGGGGATGTCGAACCTCGTCGTGGTTCCGTGCTCTCGCGCCTCTGCGAACCAGCGCAGTGGTCGCGCCGGGCGTGTCGGACCTGGCAAATGCTTCCGCCTATACACCAAGTACGCCTACATGAACGAAATGGACGAGTCGACGACGCCTGAAATCCAGAGGACAAACCTCAACGGCATCGTGCTCTTACTGAAGTCGCTTGGCATCAATCAGTTGTTGGAGTTTGAATTCATGGACCCGCCACCAACAGAGTCGCTAATCGGTGCACTCAACCAGCTGTTCGCTCTCCAAGCACTGAATCACAAGGGCGAGCTGACCAAGGTCGGCCGGCAGATGGCCGAATTCCCGACCGATCCCATGCTGGCCAAGGCCGTCTTGGCTGCTGACAAGATCGGCTGTGTGGACGAGGTGCTCTCGATCGTGTCTATGCTCAGTGAAGCTTCAGCCCTGTTCTTCCGGCCCAAAGACAAGAAGATACACGCCGACAGCGCGCGCAATCGCTTCACCGTCAAGGAAGGCGGCGACCACCTCACTCTCCTCAACATCTGGAACCAATGGGTGGACAGCGACTTCTCGCCCGTGTGGTCGCGCGAGAATTTCCTCCAGCAGCGGTCACTGACCAGGGCGCGTGACGTACGCGACCAGCTCGCCAAGCTGTGTGACCGAGTCGAAGTATCGCCTTCGTCCTGTGGCGCCTCGAACGTCGAGCCGATCAAGAAGGCCTTGACGGCAGGCTTCTTCCCCAATGCGGCGCGCCTACAACGCTCTGGAGACAGTTACCGCACCGTCAAGAACAACGCAACCGTGTACATCCACCCGAGCTCGGTGCTGATGAAGTCGGACCCTCCAGAACGCATGGTCATCTACTACGAGCTCGTCCAGACCACAAAGGAGTACATGCGCAGCTGCATGCCCATCCAGGCCAAGTGGCTAAGCGAGGTGGCACCGCACTTCCACAAAAAGAAGGACATTGACGAGCTTGAGGAGCGCAAGATGCCAAAGGCTCGGAAGTAGAGGCGAGGTTCGCGCAAACATGGAGTCGCGAGGCACTCTTCTTGAAAATGGATGGTTGCTGTTGTATTTCGCCAGAAGTGGTCGCGGTCTGGTTTGAAGGCTCGTCAGAAGAAGGACATATTACAGGGAAGAGATGTGCTGTCCGCTTTGCATTCGAGCAAGCTGAATAGGGGTTGTCAGGTGTTCATGATTTGTCAGCTCTGGTCACAAGCCCTTATCATCTACCACACCCTGAATCCCGAATATTTCCAGTTCTCATTTTTGTGCGGCAAAGCGGACGCATATTCTATAGCACCTCACGGCACCACTCAGAGTAATCCTGAGACATCCAAGACTTCGCATCAATCGCACAGAGAAGGTATGACACGTCTGCAAGAGACTATTCTCCAAAATAGCCAAAGACGCGTGCTTCATGGTGGAATCGGGGCCCGGGAAAGAATGAACACTTGTGCGAACCACCACGGTGGCGAAGGTCTTATATATATACCCAAAAATATGCATGCTGATGAAGATACCATGGTCACAAAATTCAAGCCAGCATTGGCGCCTCCGCATTTGTCGTGAGCTGTCTCTGTGATGCTGTTTGTGGTGTCGCGAGATATCGATCCGGCGCCGGACCCGCCGGGGTTTAGCCGCCGGCTCCGGCAAGCCTATAACACTATCAGTGATCCCGGCCGCGTCCATCAGGAAGGTGTGCTCCAATCTTTCTTTCCCTTCTATATATCACGGCTTACACTGCTGCTGGGACCAACACAGTCTTACGCCAACTTGTGCGCTCCCCCATTCTTGTGTGAGAACATCTGTGCAAGGCTACTTGTATCTTGCCATCATCTTCATCGTTTACTTTGGACGAGCGTGTCTCTCTGAACAGAACGACGACCCGTTTATCATACATCCGTGGTTGCAGCACTACGGAACACGATCTGTAAGTGTAGCTTCACTCTTGAGCTTCTCTGCGTAATGTGCGACTTTGCAATCATTCATTTTTGCATCTCGTCTTCCCCATGGCTTGCACACTCCCCGTTTCATTACCACCACGAACTACAAAGCTTGTGGGTTTCCGTCATGTAGTGTCTACCTGTCGCGATTCATATCCCTGTGGTGGTCGTCGCAAGGCTCAGAGGACCGTCGCACAGCCAGATGCTGTTGAAAGTCGACAGGAGGAACCAGCCGACGACACGGGTTGGGATGCTATTCCAGCCCGAAATGTCAAAGGTTCATCTTCATTTCCCGTGACCATAGCTGACTATTCTCACACGAGCTGTAGATCAATCACACCGTTGCAACCATTTGCGAAGCCATGCCGTCTGCCATTTCGGAAGGCTTCTGGGGCCTGGTCGGGCCCTTTCTCTTTCTGTGGGTTTCCGCAAAGGCACTGCCGCCCACAATCTTGCGGCTCGTCAAGGAGCGCGACTTTGGGACCCTGCTGTCCCCGCGCCGCCTGCAGGACGCCTGGTTTGGCACGTTCTGGGGCCGCTTCGGGCCGCAGGTCAAGATCAATGCCTCGGTCAAGGTCCTGCCGCTGCTCGACGGCCGCGTCGTCAACGGCAAGCTGCTGGACAAGCCCGCCGTGCCGGGCCTCGAGGGCGTGTGCATCGAGGTCGGCGCCGGCGCGGGCTACTGGGTCGACATCTTTGCCAACAAGCACATGGACTCGTCGTCGTCGTCGTCATCCATGGGCAGGACCAAGCAGGTGACCCGGGTGTACGGCATCGAGCCGAACCCGAACCAGCACGCGAGCCTGCGGAAGCACATTGCCAAGGCCGGGCTCGAGGACGTCTACAAGATTGTGCCCGTGGGCATCGAGGACCTGGACAACCCCAAGAAGTGGGACGGCAAGATCGAAAAGGAGAGCGTCGACTGCATCGTCACGGTGCTCTGCCTGTGCAGCATCCCCGAGCCCGAGCGGCACATCCGCGAGCTGTACGGGTACCTCAAGAAGGGCGGCCGCTGGTACTTCTACGAGCATGTCCAGTGCTCAGTGAGCCGGTACATGAAGGCGTATCAACGTGAGTTTTGTCGCCCGCCCCCCTCCTCCCCCCCCGGCCGCGGAAAAGAACGGATGATTATCACATCACGAGAATTTAGGAATGTGCGCAGCTAACGAGTCCCGTGCCCTTTATTTCACGATTAGGCTTTATCAATCTCTTCTGGCCGCAGTTCCTCGGAGGCTGCCAGCTGTGCAGGCCCACTGGTGAATATTTCCGCCAGGCGGGCGAGTGGCAGAATGCCGACATTGCCGCTCCTTGGGACGCGCAGTGGCATAACGTGGTGCCTCACGTCATCGGGGTCTTGACCAAGTAGTCAAGACATTTGATATTGTGATGCTGGGGCTGCCTATTGTGGGCTTTGACGAGGAAACGATTGGCAGTGTCGGAAGGACGCATTACATGTGGTCTTGCATACATGCTGCCCAGGCATTCGATCTTTTTCCTTCTTTGTTCTCGCTTCTCTGATTTCTTTTTTTTTTCCTTTTTGTCTTTCTCTATTTTTTTCTGTGGGGGAGAAGAGGACAACGGCTGGCTGCACATCTTCACCACTGTGCTGCTCTGGTGCAGGCCAGCCATGCTGAGGGACGTTAGTCTAGAACTTTTCTTGTGCACGTACATTGAGATAAGCGTGGCCACGGCGTAGCTTCGCGTGGTTGTTAGCAGGCGATTGAATCACGATTCGCATCTCTTGATCCCAAATGCTACAGGTTCTGCTGTACAGAAAGTGTTTTTTTGTTTTTGCCTTTGTTAAAGTCGGCGAGAGGAAGATTTTTCTTCCACTAAACGATACATTTTACATAGTCGCTGACAAGAGCAGCGCGGGCGGCCACGCTGACTCGCTTGGGGGACAGCAAGCCTAGCCATATCCGTTCACGAAGAGCATGTGCTTCACAAGCCCACCACGGCAGAGATCTTGCCAACGAGGGAGGCAACAATAATAACAGGCACGACAAACCTCCACTGCGAGACTTGTCAGGGGGTCCGCGGAGGTCTACATTCTCATGATTCCGGGTCACCTGGATCAAGAGCCGTGAACTTTCAGACCTGTCAAAGTGATTCAAGAAATTCAAATCTCGAACTTCAAGGTCATCTTCCTGAGACATGCACCGAGCGTTGAAGCCAGATCCATCACAGGTGGCACTCGCCTGTCAATGGCAAAGTGCTCGACATCTTCAAATCTTCAGCAGCCCGAGAACATACCACAAGGAGAACCTGTACCAGGCAGGGGCTTAGGAATCCGAATGCACCCGTGTCGATTACTTCGTAACCGTGCATCTCCCCAGACGCGACGCGCGCGGTCATCTTCATCGGCATGGTGGAGGTGTCGAGCTGCGAATTCTTGTGATGAAAGGCCATCAGCCCTGCAAGGGTGATTGAGTTGGGGAAGTTTCCATTTCGGTGGCAGCAGGTACTGCATGGTGTTCCGCCTGGGCGAGAAGCTCGTCTTTGATAGGCCCGTCCGAAGTCCGCCGACAGGGGATAACAACCTATCAGTCAAAAGTGCGCTGGCCTTGGTCAGCACCGCGGAGTAGCTGAGCGCAGACTTGTGTTTCTTGGGCGTCTGTATTACCTGGTTGTCGCGACGGTCTTCGGTAATGTGATTAAATTAATAAACAAAGAAAAGGGGAAAAAAGTAAAACGTTTGTTCCTACCAACACGAGTATCCAATGAATCAGGGCTGTGGGAGAGGGGACAAAGAAGAGCTCGAGCAGCTCCGGAGGAAAACTGAGCCGATGATTCCGAACACGCAAGCTGAACGAGTGAAGCATGACATGAGTCATCCCGAATCACGGGCAACATCATTTTGCGTAAGCATCCCGTTTTGCCAGCTGATATTTACCTACTGGGAACTGGACCCTAAAGAGGACATTGGGAACCGTGAACCACAGAAGAGACCCCCGCGGGCCACCCTTGGATTGTGGCAGGGAAGCGCGCATTCCATGCATGTTGCCAACCTTGCCAAGCGTGCCCAAGAAGGTGCCCAGAGGATGAGGTCATTTGACGTTTCAGAGATGCCGGGCTGCACACTACAGTGGCTGCATTGCTCCTCCTATTGGCTGGCTCCGACACGCCAGCACATGTCGGCAGTCACGGCCCAAACGGGGGCTAGGCCTACCTGTCAGCCCTGCGTCTGCCCCAGAAAACAAGAATTCGGGCCCTCCAGCGTCGCTGGGAATGACCTCACCCACTCCCTCAGCCCAACGACATGCCCGACCCCCGCAAACTCTGAGTTTGTCGGTGAGCGCCGACCTTGCGGCCTGCCATGAGCTGCTGCCGCCCTTCCGCCGGACTTGACTGGGGCTGACGCACCGGCTTCTCTGTTGCGTGTCGAGTCACACGCAACACTCGGCTCATCCGCAGATGCCGTTGGCTGCCATGGCTCCTCCCATCCCGTAGCGTCATTGCTTGCTTGCTTGCTTGCTGGCACTGGCATGTTGCAACACCCTGCCTCCAGCCTTCCGTGCACCAAGGCCGGCGGCTGACTTGTCGTATATCAATCCCCGCCCGTCCCGTCCGCTCTTGGGCCCTGGTGTCGACACGTTCTCCCTCACGTCACAAAAGTTGCAAACAGTGCTCACCACCACACAATCACGTTGCTGTAGGCCGTCGCAGCTGCAGCTTCACTGCCTCAGACGCAGCTATTCCACCCGAGCACATCATCAAAGGGGACCCCCTGAGCCTTCTCGCCACGCCCAGCCATGGCCTTCGCCGAGATTGCCGGCATGATCCTTCGTGCCGCGGAGCTGGCCTTTGCCGCCATCGTCGCTGGCATCAACGGCAGCTACCTCCACGACATGGATAGGCTCAACGTCGACTCGTGGTACCTGTCTCGCTTCATCTACACAGAGGTCGTTGCCGGCATCTCCATCTTCTTTGCCCTCATCTGGCTCATCCCCTTCTCCGGTTCCTTTATCCACTACCCCTTCGACCTCCTCGTCTCAATCCTGTGGTTCGCTGTTTTTGGCCTTATCGTCAATGTAAGTCACCATCCTCCCATGAACCGCATCTCCGTCGCATGACGTGGTATGTACTAATACGCATTGCCAAATATCAAGTACCTCAACGGCACCTGCGGCTGGGTCTTCAACTGGACCGACATCAACTGGACCGACGTCACTGTCGTCGGCAACAACCTCTGCAGCCACCGGAAGACCGTCATTGCATTCTCCTTCCTCTCAGCCATCTGCTGGCTCGCCTCGTTCATCGTTGGCATCATCTGGGTGCGCAACCGCACCACTCGCCGTTACGAGCGCCGCCACTGGCGTGGTTCGCGCGTCTAAGCGAGCCGGGCAATGAGCGACAGTGCATCGCCTAGACCGTCCCCGTAGTCTTTGGGCAATTGGTCTGGCCGAACGCTCTCTCGTTGTCTCCGAATGCTAGAGATCTGAGTGCGCGTTCCCATCAAGCCGACTGCGTCATGCTGGCCATCAAGCTCGGGCTGGCACCGGCTGTGAATAACAAAGCCAGAAGAACAGGTTTCATATCTTTGCTGATTTCTTTTTTGATCTATGCACAAAATACCCTCTACTCGCTCTCATCGATACCCGAAGTAATTTCATCTTCCCAAAATCACAAAGCAAAGCAGATTGTTCCTTCCTGCCTGTATTCTGTCAGGCATGGCAGCATGGACTTTTCGTCATGCAACGGTAATTGTTCAGTAATAATCGCGGTAATTCTATTCAAATAGTCTAGAAACTCGACGATTTGAACAATGAATTTATCCTATCTCATAAATCTGACAAATGCATCTCGTGAGGCCGGGAGGAAAAGGCTGCAAAGACAAACTCCCATGGCCGAAATGCTTGTAACCACATGTCGCATATGAAAAAGGATATGTTTCGTTAGATCGGAGATTTCGCGCGACATACCACGCGCTGTTTCGCTCGTGTGCTCGTGCTTTTCTCATGCCGCCTCGTGACAACATGAGACGAGGCGACGGGCCGAGTTGTCTGGTTCGTTTCCTGCGACGACATCATCATGGCGTCAAGGAGTTGCATTTAATTTTTTTTCAAAGGGGTCGATCTCTGTTCACAAGCGGGATCTGAATAGGCACAGGTGTATATCGGGGGACAAGACGAGATTAACAACGGGAACGGATGTTTTGAACCCCCCCCCCCCTGAAAACAAGAACTGGCCCCGAGTCAAAATTGCCTTGTGGTGGTGTGATGTACACCACATGACCATATACGTGCGTTTACTTGCAACAGGATGACACTCACGATCTTCTAGTAATTTACACATGCTACGGTGGCACCGGACGGAAAAATGAAAAACCAAAGGACTGACGCCGTGGTGAATAAACAACAATCGTGGAGCTCAAGACCGGCGTGATCCGGGACGATGTTGCAGTCTACGAGGCCCCCCCCGAACACTCTGGCTCTTCTCTGAGCATCTTCATGAACACGCAACGGACGACCCGAACCGGACAGAGTTTCGTGTCACCTCCACCATGTGCTGCGCTGGCGCAAAGCTGAACAAAGCGACCACGTGTTCACGCTTTTGAGTTAAGGAAAAAAAAGTTTAATTATTCCAGCTCTGAACTTTTCGCAGACGATGAGTGTCAACAGTCCTCCCCCACCCCAAGAAAGAAAACCACATATTGGGAATAAGCAGACAGACGTTTGGCATGCTCTGGTCCTGGTATCTGAGCACCGGCCTTCTTTCCCTCTTTTGTGTGTGAGCATGAATGTTTCTAAGCGGCTGGAGGTGCTGAAAGGGATGCTTGTGTCTCGTGCCTGTGGGCAATCGCAAGTGGCAGAAGGTCGCAAGAAGCATTGAGGCTGAAGTGGGGGTTCTGCGCCTCTCATGCCGGCAGTTAGTGCTTATCCTGTCAGTGGACATGCCGAGGCTGTTGTGAACCTTGTACTCGGATACAAAGCCCTTGTGCGGCTCATGCGCTGCTTGGATCTACACGAGGGATGCATTAAGGTTCGGAATGGGCAAATGCGCTGGCTGCTCGCTGACCCACGGAACGCTGCGCTCGCTTATGGAACGGGAATTGTTTTTGCACGATTCACCTCGTGTCTCGCCTGAGAACCATTCGATCGGCAACAGGGCGGGAGATTGCGGAATGGTCTTAGTGCTGCCAAGGGATCAAGGCGATAATCGACCACCAAGCGGTAAGGAAAAGACGGGTCGGGGAGGGTTCCAAATAACACGACGCTAATCTCACGCAACCAGATTACTGGGGGTATGACTGGAAGGAATCCTGGCCGACCATTGGATGGCGGGGCGGAAGACTCCAGTTTTACATAACACCTGTATGGGCAGACCCAGAAATTGTTAGCGGAGCGGGAGAGAGCAATATCGAGGCAGCCCCTGTCCGTCGTATGTGTTGATTTACCGCTTGTGTGTCGACATTGTGATATCCGCCCACGCGTATGTGCCAAGACCTGTTATCGAAGCCGCAATCTGAGCTGCAGGGTGTCGGAAGCGGCAATGACAGCGTCGATCTTTGCCCAAGGATCCCCGGCCCTGCCGAACTGAGGCGGGGACAGCGCAGGGAACTTTAGAACGTGGAGTGAAGCCGGGCGGCATGGATAACGCTGCGATCCCACGCGTGGCTAGCTCTTGAGTGATATTCCAAGCAAGCAAGAGGTTCGATGGCCGACTGCCGGGCCACGAACGTCTGGCTGGTAGGACTCGGACGGGCCAGGACGCCAATTAGAGAGGCAAGGCTGACCGCGACCGGTCAGTATCTGGCCGCAATGATAGCTGAAGTTGTTTACGGAGCGGCAAGTGTGCATTGTGCATGCAGAACTGCTCCCACACTTGCAGGCGCTAGTCCGGCAACGATGCGCGGGATGGCCCCGGGCCGTGGTGATTAAGAGTTGCCAAGACGGGACCCGGCGCTTGGCGGCCTATTGGGAAGCGAAGGGGCTGGATTTGGAACCTCGCATCCCTGTACCTGCAGGCGCCTCAGTGATTTGCGGCTCAACCGGCTCAAAGGCGGCAAGCGCATTGCCACCAGACATTCATGACTGGAAGAGGTGGGAAAAAGCAACCGGGTCCCTGGCTTATTTGGGGCGTGCGATAAGGCCCGGGCATCCCTTTCTGGAATTCAGTGGGCACGGCGTGGGCGGCGGGAAAAAGAAAACACAGCGTCGAGGACGATCATGCCAAGGGGCGTGGGTGGCGCCAGCGAGGGCAGCTTCTTGTCCAGATGCAGGACGGGCGTCCCGGCCGACATGAATTGGACCACGCGAGAAGGAAGATGGGATGGGAGGCCGCACGACATCATCAGCCACGGCCGCCAAAGCAAGGTGCGCTGCGCAGCTGTGCACTCGGGAGGAGATGAGTGCTGCGGCTGGCACACGCACCTGCATCTAGGTTATCTGCCTGCTGGGCAGAGCTGAACGTGCTTGCTGGCAGCTGTCATTTGCACCACTGGGCCGGAATGAACCTTGCATCTGACGGCAGGAGCTGGGCAGGCATCAGTATCAGTGAGTGCCCAGGTGCGATTAAGGTTGCGCGAGGTGGTCGCGCCTTCCGCTCGACTGACCTCCGCTGTACATCCCTAATAGTAGTCGCGTACCTGCACCTGCACCTGCATCTGCGCCTGCATCTGCGCCTGCACCTGCAGCGCGACACGAGCTGGCGAAAGATCCCAGGTTAGGTTCTCTGCACGGGCGTGGGGGGCACCAGGGTCGTCGGAAAAAGCAATCAATTGGCAGGCAGCCTCACCTGTATGCGGCCCTGCCCTGCCCTGTCCTGCACGCCCCGTCACCATATTGTCCAGGAACTATTGCTTTGCTGTCTCTAATCGCTTGCCACACTCGTCCCGGCCTTGCAGCACGCCATCAGCCTTCGCATGCAGATTCTTCACGCTGTCGCGCTCCCCATCGGGGCCCAACGCAAGGCCATCGATCGCCATGAGCGATCCGCTCCCACCCGCGACTGTCACCGGTCCTCTCCCTCCCGTCTACTGCCGACTCGCGGCTCAACCCCAGTCGCGGAACTTGGTGACCAACATACAGTACATTCCCTCCTGTGGCATCAACCAGACACTGACAAACCATTGCCTTGGACGTTGCACATCAAGGATTATTCGCGTTGCTGGACAAATCAAGTCGTACGCGCCCGGCGCGAAAGCTTCCATGTACTTCATCTGGCTCATGGCTACTTGCTTGATTGCAAGGCGTCTCTGGGCGGACGTCGTGTGTCACCAAGGAGATAGTGCCTTATTGTCTAGTGCTCATCAAGAGCGTTCTCGGACCTGTCGACCCTCCTATGTGCAAGAGCAACAAAATTTGTCTCTCCTTTGCCCCAGAGCAGAACTAAATCTGGCAGGGCCGAGTGACAAGAACAAACAAGTTGCGCCAAGCCTCTGAGGCCCTGCCAAGACGGCAACGTTGCTTATTGCGCGCCTGTCTCACCGCCCAATGCGGCCAGCACAGGTTCAGATGGCCCAAAACGAGGCCAGGCTGGCTGGCTGAGTGCAGGGTTCAGCTTGGCTTGAGACAAAACCGACTGGTCAACAGAGTCAAGGTGTCCGTTACGCCAAAGAGGTCCACGAGGGAGACACGGTGGATTCTGTCATTGCGACACTCGGTTCATCCTTCGCCTAGTTAGGGAGCACAGCCGTTGCGGCTCTGGCATCACAGAGTTTTGTGACAATGGGGGCACAACCCTACCTCACAAGTCCGTCCAGGGCTGGTGGTACTTGTCGACCAGCTACACTCGGGCGCTTCGAGAAGCATCAATAATCGAATTGCCCAGCAGCACGTTGTCAGACGGGCCTCGACTGGATCTAGACCCAGCTTCATGGACGGCCAACGCATTCCGTGTGACTCTGCCACTTGCCAATATCAAACCTTGAATGCTGACGCCTTCAGTGCTTATCAGCAAAACCATTCCCAACTTGTCTATGGTCTGTGTCAAACCAACGTGGTTCATGCACCCTTGCCGAGGACGGGAGCAGGCTGTACCGCACCTCCTGACTTCGTGGCAGACAACGGGTCCGTTGTTGGACGATATTGTGCGACATGCATGCACCGAGCCCCGCTGCCTCTGTCCGACTAGTATCCGCAACTCGACTGCATTTTCCGCTCCGGTACCTGGCACCTGAAGATCTGCCCGGCAGATACTCCTAGCCTCGCTCGCAAGTGGGCCACGTCGCCGTGCGCTTCGAAGATCCAGTATCCGCTCCTCTAGCTGCTGGCGGAGCCCTCGCGGAACGGCAAGCCTGAGGCCTGATGGAACGCATCTCTGTTGATAGGTCCTCTGAGGCACATCAGGCGTGCAGCTATGCACGGAACAGTTGCTCAGAATGCTGACAGCCTACTGCAGCTCAGGAAAAGCTGATGCTGTGTTGCATGGCCTGCGGCTCGAGCTCTTCAGCTTGGACAGGAAAAGCACAATCCATGTCGGCGCGCCAGACTATCGGGCAGCCACCGTAGACCCTCATTGGCCGAGAGCCCCCTGTGGACTGCCCTTTCGGGGAATACCTGCCAGCCCACTTAGGTCAGGTACCTAAACAGGGATCACAAATGGGACGGCCCAGATGATCGCCTCGTGCAGAGGCTGGCCAAGCAGAAGGCCCATGCCCATGGCCAGTTCAGGTCTTGTCGTATCTACTGTACAATGGACTTGGGACATGCAGGTCAATGCGTCTGCTCGGACATCGCTGTCTCAGCCAGAAGCGGAATTCTTTTTCACGAGCAAAACAGCCGTATCTTTCCTCCGAGGGATCGAACCAGGCTTCCCTACTTCGCCGATCATCCTGACGCGATACCAGCCGTCTGGTCTCTGGATTCTGTGGCTCTGAACACACTTAAACAGCCAAGAGCCTGATCGGTCCTTTTTCCCACACCTTACTTCAAGGCAGTGGCTCACAGACCCGCGTTGGTGCAACTTCATTTGCTGTTGTGTCTGGCCCTGATCGCCGGAGCACCACTGATGACGACAAGGCCACTCGGACGTCTCACTTTACCGTAACTTTGACGATCATAGGGACCCTCCTGCGGCGCCTTGTTTTACCGCCACCGTCGGGCACGTACCGCTCGAGATAGCCATATAAACAATTCTCTCTCCGTTACGCCCCTTTCACATGGGTCTCACCTCTCTTTGTTACTCCCCAAGCCGCACTTAGATCTCGACAGCAGCTCTTGCCGCATACTCCCAACAAGACCTCTATCACAAGGTTTTCAGTCACTCCTTCGCGACATTGCCTGGGTAATCAGACAGCACTACGCAGCCTCTGGCTGTGGTGTAAGCCATTACTTTTGGTAACAGCCAAGATGGCTTTCACTCTTGCCCAGCGCTTTGTAAGGCTTCAGTCGACATACAACAGCCTCGCAGATTTTCTTCACGACAATCAGAAGCCTGCTCTGAGGCACTCGAACGGCCAAGACGACATCACACATCGAGCACTACTCGAGTTCGTGGCAAACTTCGAGCTACCAGTCCCAAACCATGGATGCCTCAGCAAGCCTATCGTGGCAATCATCCTACCAAACGGACCCCTCCTCGCGGCTACGGTTCTGGCAACATCAACTTGGTATGCCGCAGCGCCTATCAACCCCTCCGCTGGATATGAACAGGTTGCCGCAGATATCAAGCTGGCGGGTGCCAGCGCCATCATCAGTTGCCAGAGCGAGAGCGAGAGGCTGGACTTGAAACAGACCGGCCTTGATCTCTTTCACGTTGTCCAGACACCGGACGGTCGTCTCGGTACAACAAAAGTGTGGCCTGAAAACAGATCAGCCCCCAAGGACAAGTACCGGCCCCGCAACCCAAACCATGATCAAGATATCGGCATCGTACTCTTCACGAGTGGCACGAGTGGCAAGAAGAAGGTTGTGCCAATGACCACGAAATCGATTGTCTGCGGTGTGGGCTTTGTCATCGAGTCGTGGGCGTTGACCGAAATCGACACGTGCTTGAACATGATGCCCCTGTATCACGTGTGAGTTGATGGGCCACCCCCCGATCCGATCGTTCTCTGTTGCATCTGCGGGACCTAGACTAACAAGAGATTATCAGTGGTGGTCTCATACGGAACGTTTATGCGCCGATTTTCGCGAATGGAAGCACAATCTGCTGCCCTGGCTTTGACGGCAACCTATTCTGGGATATTGCCGACTCGATGCGTCCGACATGGTACTACGCTTCTCCATCGATGCACCAAGTCATTCTCAACGAAGCCGCCAACCGACCACAAGCTCTGGCAAAATGCGAGATCCGACTCATATGTAATGCTGCTGGTGGATTATTACCAGCATTGGCAGCACAGCTGCGCGACACATTCAGCTGTGTCGTACTCCCCAGCTATGGCATGACCGAGTGCATGCCCATAAGCACGCCTCCTATCGACTACAAGCTGGACCGCCCGGGTACGTCTGGAATCAGCGTCGGGCCTGAACTTACTGTGCTAGACGGCAATGAGCGACCGTCAAGAATTGGATCGGTAGGGCGCGTATGTGTCAGGGGTGAGCCTCTGTTCAAGGGTTATCTACAAGCCGACGGGACCTTGGACACCTCCCACCTCACTAGGGACGGATGGTTCGATACAGGCGACATGGGCTACATGGACAAAGACGGATACCTTTACATCACTGGTCGCAACAAGGAGGTCATCAATCGAGGTGGCGAGTTGATTTCTCCTTTCGAGATCGAAAACGCGATCGTCACTGCTGCGGAACAGCCAGGCTCCGCCATTTTTGGTCGTGTCTCTCAGGCTCTAGCATTCTCCGTCCGCCACGACGTCCTGCAAGAGGTGGTCGGCATCATACTGGTCACACCACCCGGCAAGCGCAGAGTTGACATACGCCTACTGAACGAAGCACTCAAGACAAGTTTACAACAAGTCAAATGGCCAGTGGTGGTCGTTTACATGGAAGATGTACCAAAGAAGAACAACAAGGTCCTGCGGATCAGGCTTGCTGAGCGGCTTGGTCTTCCGTGCGACACAGACTCCACGGTATACGGAGACCGGCACTGGGACGCAACGTGCCCTCCAGTTGACACGGATCTTTCCGTGGCGATTTCGGCCTCTGTCTGCGTCGTGGACCATATCAAGGTGCAGCAAGCAGTGAAGGCTGTCATGCCAGAACACGTCGATGTCTTCGTGCAAACAAGCCCAGATTCAGGCACGATTGAAGCTGTTCTCGGCCCCAACCGGCGCTTTGGTGTTGGCGGTGCAGCTCACTACGACAGCCTCGTGGACGATGCTCTTTTGAGCGCAGCAAAGACAAGGCTACTAGACGCGCTCGATGCAAATCTGATTCCGCACAAATTCACTACCATTCCAGAACCTTTGCCACTGACCGCAATCGGCACGGTTGATTCACAGTTACTGAACGCCCGCCTCGAGGCCATGCGGGAACAGGAAAATTCCACACTGAGTTCGTCAACGAGCGGCAGAATCACGCGCATTTTCGCACAGCTTCTTTCCCTAGACGCGAAGGAGATCGCCACACATAAGGACTTCATGGAGCTAGGAGGTGACTCCCTACGTGCCGGCAAGCTCTTGTCCATTCTCCGATCGGAATTCAAAATGCACCTTCCTGTCGACCTAATATTCAACAGCGGTTCCGTCGACCTTCTGAGTCGCTACATCGAGAAAAGACTTGCTGAATCAGGTTCTACGGGTGATAGCATCGACGAAGAGGCAGGTCGTCCTCTGCCAGGCTGCGAAAAGACGTACAGCTCGACAAACCCTTTCCTGCTATTTGTGCAGCTGATCCCTATGGTCTTCCTATACCCAATAACACGAGGCTTCCAGTGGACGTGCTTCATTTTCGCTCTCAGTCATTCCAACTATCTTTCTACGAGCGAGTATCTCGTTGGCAGGCTTATCAACTTGATCGCATCAGTGTACTTGGCGAAGCTTGTAGCGAAATCGATTTTACCTGTTGTCGGCATTCTGCTCAAATGGATCATCATTGGCTACCACCGGGAGGGACTCTTCCCGATGTGGGGAGGTTATCACACACGGTGGTGGTTGGCGCAAAAGGTCGTCCAAGTTGTAAGTTGTAATCCATCGAGATTGCCCGTCCGAAAGAAAACTCCGAAGCCGCATCATGATACTAACTGGTAATCTCGTCGCGATGGGTAGTGTGGCAAGGGCATTTTCCGCGCAACCCCGTGGCTAGAGCAACTCTACTATCGTCTCCTAGGTGCTCGCATTGGTCGCAATGTAACTCTCAAGAATGTCCAACTCGGAGAATGGGATCTTCTCGACATTCAGGATGGAGCAACCCTGGATGGGTGCACTATCCGCCCTATGGCCGGCGAGAGGAACACTTCTATGCTGCTAGGTCGCATCACAATCGGTCGAAATGCTTCTGTCGGCTTGAGCTCGGTTGTGGCACCGGGAACGACGATTCCCGAGGGTACTTGCATCGGCCCCAATTCGTCCTCGTGGGAGATGGGCGACGATGCTGACGAGTCGAATCGCGACTTGTCGGCGACCAGGACCCCTGAGGGACACTGGGCGTTGAGGTTGTTCATAACCGCTCCACTGTGGATTATTGCTCGACTTCTATACCTGACGCCTTGGGTCCTTGGTCTCCTCGGCCTCGTGTATGGAAAAGCCCCCGAGCCAGGCAGTTCGATCGCTTCTACCCTCGACTGGTTCGCTGGCGGTCAACGGATCGGGTACCACTATCTCGCACGAGCTCTCCGCAACTTCTTCGGGCCGTTCTTAATATTTGGATTTGTCGCGCTTGTACGGAAAATTCTCGACCTGGTGTTTGGTCCTCTCATCCCCGGGCCGACACAGGCCCATGGCCAGATCGCAATATGGCGCATGGAGCTCATGAGGACGCTGATGCCTGTCCCGCAGTTCCATGACTTCACTGAGCTGTTTGGCAGCCATTATGAAGCGACTAGTGTGGCGATCAGAATGATGGGAGGCCGGGCCGGGAAGAGAATCTACTGGCCCGGCACTGGCCCCACAATCGGCGATTACCATCTCATCGATGTTGGCAATGATGTTGTGTTTGGCTCAAGATCACACCTCGTGACGTCGGACGGTACTGGCTCAGAGATGATCCAGGTTGGAGATGGTGCCATGATCGCGGACCGTGCCGTCCTCCTGCCCGGTGTAACCGTTCAGAAGGGCGCTGTCATGGGCAGTGGTGCCATGACGCGCCGCGGCAAGACCTACGACGCCGGCGGCACCTATGTTGGCTCGAAAGGAGGGGATTCCATCTGTCTGAGTCGGGGCAATCCTGGTGCAGGAGTGCGACGCCGTCGCGGCCTTTCTAACAAGCGGGTCGAGTTTGAAGAGAGCTCTGGTAGCATGGCGTCGACTTCCGAAGTCAGCCTCGACTTCGACTCCAAAGCAATGACCTTGGCCAAGAACTCCGGAACCGTTACTGTCAAGTCGGTCACTCCTGGCCTCCTGTCCTCGACCGCCACTGGTGTTCATACCCCACGCGACGACATCGTCTTCTGTGTGGACAGCGAAAAGCAGGCAACAGCCATCGAGACGTTCTCGCGGCCAGTGCCCCATGGTGCACTATCACAGAGGCTGGAGAGCGAGAGCAAGACGACGCCTCTCAGCAGCAACCAGAGCACCATTACTATATCCTGCGACACCTACGACGAGAAGGAGCAGACAGCTGCTCAAGAGCCTACCCTGTCGCCCTTTGGCCGGGCCTTCTACGAGGGTAAAGCATCTTACTACGTCCTTGGCCAGTTTGCCATTTTCCTGTACTCGTCCTTCATCATCGTCTTTGTCCACCTGTACTGGGATGCCGCGTCTGTGTCGGCTGTGCAGATTGCCAACCTCATGTACCAGCACATTGACAAGTTCGCAAAGAATGGCGAGATCTGGAGGACCTACAGGGAACCTTTCATCATCTTTGGCCTGTTCTCGTCATTCATCTGCGTACTAGCCGCCTCGGCATCCCTCGTAGCTCTCGCGGTGGTGATTGCATCCAAATGGATCCTGCTCGGCAGGCGACAGCCGGGCAACTACGACTGGGACAAGAGCAGTTACTGCCAGCGCTGGCAAATGTTGTTGGCCATTGAGAAAATACGTCTGCGCTGCTTCGCCGGCACCGGAATTCTGGGCCTGCTGACCGGCACTGCCTACTGCGCGTGGTACTTCCGTGCGCTGGGTGCCAAGATTGGCAAGGACTGCGCCTTTTTTGTCAACGGCGAGCTGAGCCTCGTCTTCACCGAGCCTGACCTACTTACACTGGGCGACCGTGTCGTCGTCGACAACGCCAGTCTGGTCGGCCACATCAACAGCCGTGGCAAGTTTGACCTCAACCGCCTCAGCGTGGGCGATCGCTGCGTGCTGCGAACCAATTCGCGTCTGCTGAGCGGCGCACACATGGGCAACGACAGCTGCCTGCTCGAGCATACGCTCATCATGGGCGGTGATGTTGTCGAGGAGGGCAGGACCATGCAGGGTTGGCCTGCGGAGAGATTCACCAGCTCTAGAGTCTAGGGTCGGTATGCATAACCTCTGACTCGGGGGAAACCCGTATCACGGGAGGGGGAAACAACATAGAACAACCGCATACATTTTTACTAATCTCTTGTTTTGCCTCATTGTTGAGAACCGGTCCCGCTGTCATTTATCTTGGTTTTTTATCTCTAGAAAGCAGATACTCTGGGACTAGACTGGCGCAACATTTAGGGCTGTTTTCAGCTCTTGTTTTTTATTGATCCTCATTATTAATATTGATAGAGAGATTAAGAGTAATGTCTTTATCATCAGAATCAACACAGGTCACACCTACATGCAGCAGATGATCGAGTGTGAGAGGCTAACCTGGTAGAATCGCGCAGCGAGGTTTTGCACCAGGTGTCATGTTGATTGGTCAGAAGCCAGACCCGGGAGTGAATAGTTACTCAAATGAGAGGACATGACTGAACTTGAAATACCGGTGCGTGTTCGCACCAGAAGGGCGAAGAAGAAGAATCACGAACGAGGTCCGCGCGCCGAGGTAGGCGTGGTTGGCACTCACACATACCTCCTCTGTGACACGCACTTCCTCCCGTAGTCGGATCGGTTGATAAACCAGCTCGACCAAATAACGCCCAGTGAAGTACAAGCAGCGAGATGCACAGGGCCACGACACCACAGGACATATCATTCTCTCCCACATGACATTCATGATGTAGGCACACACACGCACCACTGGAATCGAGCAATGTCTGCCACATACACACGGGAAGGTATCTTGACTCTGTGTACATCCTGTATCAAAGACTTCAACTGGGAGAGAAAGAAAACCTCATGTTGCACGCATCAAAAACCGCCAATCTCGGTGGGGGTTATGGCGTCATGAGACGAAGAAACCACACGTGGTGGTTTTCACGAGGTTCGGGCAAGGGTCACGATGAAAGAAGCTTGAGATGCTCCTCACTCACTCACTCTCTCTCTCTCACTCTTCTTAGGAGAGAGGCAGTCGTGGGCACAACTTCCTTTGAAGTCTCTCTGCCTGCTGATTAGATAACGCGGCATCTTGACTCCGGTTGTGGGAACCTTGTGCGGGTCGAGCTTTGGTCCCTGATATGATGTCAAGTGACGTAGCAAGCTTGCGGCTCAAAAATAAACATGGCAGGGCAGGGCGGATCGAAGTTCCTTTTACCATGCCAAGGCTCCTTGTCCCTTCTCGATGGAGGAGGGGTCGCCTGCGCGGCTCTTGAAGTGGGGAAAGCATGGCATGAAATGGGTAGTTGGCATCGTGCGTGTTTTCTGTGGGGACATTCTAGGGATGTCTGGCAGGCCAAGGCCGGATGATGCGTGCCGGTATGGAGATTAGGAAACGAGAGAAGGGCAATATCGGGAGGCGATTTGTTGCGGGTCGTGACGAAAGCTGGGCTGGACTGGCCAGGCCAGCGATTTCCAAGCCGATCGTCGAAGGAGGCCGCCGCTCTGGTGTGAAGCCATGGCGGCCTCACTTGCCCTCGACGGCATGGTTGGCGACGACGCGTAAGAGGTGTGCCATCATGGTTACCGGCACTTGTCCATCTATTGCCCGTTTCTGCTCGGCCGAGTCGAGGGATCGCCCGTGGTGTAGTGCTTGGCTGGGCATAGCATTCTGCAAGGCGGGACAGCTGGGCGAGGATTGCGATGGGAAGGGGTGGCCATTATGTCATAGTGATGATGCCGACACGAGATGCGGGGGGCGGCGGCGGCGGCGGAGTAGGAGATACTCTATCGATATGGATGAAACGTGCATCAGCCCAGCCGCCCGTCTGGTCGCCACAGTTTGTGCGTCAGAGTTGCGCATGAGCCTGTGTGGCGCAGACGAGAGCTTGCATGCTTGCTTTGAGGAAAGAGACTTAATGAATTAGCATTGTGCTCGACCAAGGCAGTCTATGACCGCATCGGTGGGGCTTCCCGCTGGCGGCGGCCGTTTCCACGAACACGCGGGAGATCCACCCACGCGGTGCCTTCCCTCCTACCCCTCCCCTGCTGGCTGGACCACCGCCAATCTTCCGACCTCACCACGACACCGGCACCCCCTTGGACGATGCCTGGGGCGGGCCAGGCTCCGAAACACCCACTGGCCAGCGTCTTTCTGGAAAACCTTGGCCGCGCTGCCAGATGCCCATGCTGCCGCTTCCCCGCCCAGCCGGAACCCGGCATCTGCCCTCCCTGCTCCTCGCAGAGTTTGGTCTGGCCACGCTCAAAGAGACGCTACGGGAGAGAGCCCTGGAGAGAGAGAGGCTGCTTACGCTACCACAAGACCGGCGTGCCATGACCAACTGCCAATTGGCCAACCTTGAACAGACCAATCAACGGATATCCTCCATGCCATGTCGTGACTCGAGGCATGCCATTAAAGATCCGTGCTGCTGTAGTGTAGTCCAGAACGAGACCGGGCAAACTACGTATGCAGGCTTGACAGCCACTGGGGCAGCGTCCTGAGCGGCTCTTGTCTGGGTCCTCGCCTTCTGGTGGTCGGACCGCCGCCGTGGACAGGGGCGACCAACAATGCTCCTGTCAGGAACGCGGGCCGACGAGCATGGGGGTCTTCACCAGCCCCTTCAGCCTCGGAGCAAATGCTACGAGGATACCCAGGCACGACCAGGGTTCCTGGGCGCTACGTCGGCAGGACGTCAAGTACAGCCAGAGTACTGTTACGCCACCCGCGGCCCCAGGGACAGGAAATGTGGCTTGCCCAGCGTTGCACCAGGTACGTACCTCTGCTTCCCCACATCTTTGTTGGACGCCTCGGTGTGCCAGCGCTACCTCCACTCTTTTAGTACGTTCCCAAGGTACTTCCAACACGTTTCGAACAACGCTTTCCCCACATTCGCAACGACACGCAAACCGGTCTCCTTGCCGACCTCGCGACGTCACTTCTTCGGCCGTGTCTAGCCAGCCGCCGCCCGGCATGACGCCACACAGAGCACAAGCCCCTCGCGTTCGAGACAACGTGACCACGCTTTGTGGGCATGACCAAAGTTTCGTAACCGGAGCAGAGAAAGCTTGTCCCCGGCCAGGCAACCTAACGACATGCCACATGAGGCAGAGCTTCCCGGAGCTCCCCCCACAATGAAATCGCCTCAAGGGGCGGCAAGCTGACAGGGCTGGCGCCTGGCACAAGGCGCCTGTGGCGCAGACTGACCGAACAATGACGACGAATTCCACCTGTCAATATCCGCTATGCGTGCTGTTGGTCAGCAACCAGGGCTCCAAGCTCGCGCTGCCGTGCCTGAGCACATCCTGTTCAGCCACAGGAGGAGGGGTGACAGGTCATGCTCCCCGAAGCAAGACGGCCACTTTTTTCACGAAGCACTGCTGTGGCTGATAGACTCCTGTTAGCTGCAGATCAAGATGCTTGGCTCTACATTAGCAAGCCACCCGGGGAAGCTCGAGCTTGCTTGCCTAGTTTGGTGCTCAGGGCTAGACCGTCAGCTACGGAACGCATAGCCAAGCGTGCGTTTGTCTCTCACGTGTTTGCTTCACCCGCAAATTAGTGCTGTGGAACCATCGCCGGTGCATGGCTGATCCTGGGCGGGGAGTGCTTTGCCCATTGCGCGTTGGCAGGGTCTCATCGAGATCACGATCGGACTTCTGGGCCCGTGATGATGAAATCGTACCCGCTTGGACACAGCGCGCCGTCCATTCACGTCGTCGCGGAGGCTGCCCAAACCTTGGAAACTGGGAATCCAGTCCTTCATCCCCAGAGACTGCAGCGGCAAGCAACGACATGGGAGGCCTGGCGTGCGTGCTCCATCCTAACCATGCCGTGCCTGGTCAAGCGTAGTTGTGACGAAACCTGCGTTGGCAAGGTGTAATTGTTTGTCCCCAACCAGAAGAAGCTCGACACACGTGTGCAAGTGCCGTACTAGCTTGGCCCTGCGGCCTTGTTACGGCAGAAGGAACATCCCCCAGCCAGGACTTCCTCGAGCTCTCGAACATAAAAAGAGCATGATTCCCTCGTCTCTGCTGTCCTGTTTCACTCTCGTCATCATTCCATCATCTACTATCACACACACACAACTCCCAAGCACTCATCCACTTAAAAGAAGCTTCCCCAAGCTCACTACCACAACCACACACTCCCACATCTCAAACACTTACACCTACAACATCCATCATCATGTCGAACCTCGTGAACAAGGTCAAGGACGCCGTTTCCGGCCACAAGCACTCTGAGCCTGAGGGCACTCACGGCCACCACAACACTCGTACCGCCAACGCCGCTGATCCCAGAATCGACAGCGACCGTGACCACCGCGCTGCCCCTCGCACCACTGGTGGCTTCGACAACACCACCACCGGCACTACTGGTAGCTCCGGCCTGACTGGCAGCAACTACACCACATCGACCAACGCTGGCCCCCATGACAGCAACATGGCCAACAAGTTGGACCCTCGTGTCGACTCTGACCGCGATGCGTCCCGCACCGTCGGCGGAAACAACTATGGCAGCTCCGGCGTGACCGGCTCCACTGGCAACAACTACGGCTCGTCTGGCCTCACTGGCACCACCGGCACCACTGGCAGCCACTACAACACCTCCAGCAACGCTGGACCTCACAACAGCAACGTTGCCAACAAGTTGGACCCTCGTGTCGACTCTGACCGCGATGCGTCCCGCACCGTCGGCGGCAACAACTACGGCAGCTCCGGCACCACTGGCCTGACCGGCAACAACAACTACGGCAGCTCCGGCACCACCGGCTTGACTGGTAACAACAACTACGGCAGCAGCTCCACCAATGCTGGCCCTCACAACAGCAACATCGCCAACAAGATGGACCCCCGTGTCGACTCTGACCGTGACGGCCGCGAGGGTGTTGCTGGCCCCCACAACTCCCGCATGGCCAACACTGCCGATCCCCGTGTTGACTCGGATCGTGACGGCTCCCGCACCGTTGGTGGCAACAACTACGGCTCCTCTGGCATGACCGGTACCCACGGCACTACTGGCACCCACGGCACCCACGGCACATCCGGACTTCACAGCGGCCCTGGACCTGCCCCCAACACTGCTGGCCCCCACAAGTCTGACGCCATGAACAAGTTGGACCCCCGCGTCGACTCCGACCGTGACGGCAGCAAGACCATGGGCCAGGACAAGACTTACTCCGCGTAAGTCAACCACAGACCACCTCGGCCTGGAGTCTCCGGAAGCTGATTCGACCCAGTGACGCCCACAAGGATCCCACGGACGCTGCTCAGGTCCCTCCTTCTACTCTGCGCAAGGCCATTGGTGAGCCCGCAGTCGCCCACGATGACCACCACCACGGTCGCGAACGCAGGAACAGCAAGCCTACTGCCCAGGAGACTCACCGGGGATTGTAAATCGAACCCGAGACGAATTAATGACGATGGAATGAAACAAAGCCTGGCTCTTATGCCTAATGCTACTTTTGTACTCCTAGATACCAACTGAATAATTGTTTCTGTTAATCTGCAACTATGTTCTGCAACTATGTTCCGTTCCTTGTGTTGATCCAGTTGTGTCGATTACGATGTGACTCATTTTGACTAAACTTGTGCGCTAGATGTGCAATCCAAACGGACGCTGGTCGACAAAGCTGACGTACTTTGGAATCTCGTGTCATTTTGATCACGCAATTCCGTTACCACGGGCGTGCAGGATACGAAAGCATGATTGGTGCCTTGCTAGGCATATCTTTGAGACTGGGCTTAAGAGATGAACAATCGATTGCATAAGCTCACTTGGTCAGGTATATACACTCTTAAAAAGTTGGGCAAACCCAGTCTTGTAAAGAACACGGGGGAAGACCAGGTTAGCGGGCAGAAGCACAGAGGTAGTATGGAGAACAGGACAGCAGGAGGAACAGGCACGAAGCCAGGGCTCGCAAAAGCATGAGTACATTCTCAACGTGGAACATGCCGTGGAACAGATCAGCGCGGTACAAGGGGGCCGGCAGCATAAACATGCGAATGTATCGAGTATTGCTGCGACAGGTCTGAGGGGCGTGAAATTGTGGTTGGTTCTGGAGTGTGCGGAAAGGGGGGGGGGGGCCGGTCCTGCATTCATGGTTATGGATGATGGGCTTTGATTTGCGCCGCGTAAACAACTGTATACAAGGCTTACAATCGTAGAAGTATGAGGCACGAGGCACGGTGGGTTTGGGCATTTGTTGGTTGTGGGTTTGGGGGAAGTTGTGTTATTTTCAGACGCGTTCAACGCAAACACCATACACAAGCTATAATTCGGATTGAGGTATTCCGGATTGAGAAAGTGGCTGGCTCTCGTTCGTGATGTTCTCTCCATAGGAGAGGCGGGTTTGGATGCAATGCTTGCTGATTAAAGGCCCATCCCAATGGCCCAATAAGAACACTGCACAGAGGCCGAGAGGCCGAGGAAAAAAAGGTCCCTTGCAAGCCTCACCGTCCGGCATACCACTCTGTTCTGAGCTGTGACAGGTCCTGCCATTGGCTGCACATGCTTGCCTTGGGCTTGACTGCAGACATGCTAAAGTCAGACGTGGGTCGTCGCCGGCTGCTTTTTGACGGTGTGATTCCGCCTTCCATGTATGGAAGCCGGGTTTTGTATATGAACGATCGTGTTTTTTCTCCATGGCATGGAGCTCAGTTTCCGACTCCTCCCACACAAACCCACGCAGAGCCGTGTATTCCAGACAACCAACGCGACATGTCTCCCGAGCAGCTCAACAACTACTGGATCCCAAACTGGAGTATCCATAAGCGGGTGTTGACACAACAGCTCCAGTGTTACTTGGGACCGTGCGCGACGGTCCGGCCGTACACTCGTCATGTATGACATGTGGCTGTTCTGCACGAACAGGTTCAGGGGGCGTTCGAAGGCGGCTGACTGACTTGATGATTCAGGGCGAGGATGGATTCCTCATAACGACTCCCGGAGCTTGTTTGACGGACGTAAGTGCTAGTGAGAACGGCCCGGGGGCTTAGAACCGAGAGCTGACACTGTATGCTAGGAACAAATAGACGACATCTGCCTGAAATCCAAGGACATCTGGGACAGGCAGGCCGCCGCCAAACTGCGGTCGACCCCAGAGAAGCCGCTGAAAAGGCCACTACACCAACCAATACTTGTGTCTCAAATCAGGAGCTCCGCGCCCCGATTAAGAGGCAGGGCGGCACGACGAGCTCGTGAACCACGACCATTATCAAGGTAGTCAGTCCATCTCTTTCCGCACGCCCGGAGCAATGAGTCGTCCTCCAGCTTCATGCAAAATGCGCCAACCGAGGTGTTTCCTGGTGTCGCTGAACCAGGATGCTTGAGAGTATGTATGCGCTTGCTCATTGTTTGGGGGGGGGGGGGGGGTTGCCACCTGCATGAGTAAACTTGTTGCAGGGGGCCATAGAAGGAGGGCCATCTGGCAATGCAGTGCCGTGGTCAGGCTTAAAGATCCAATCACGTCGTGGATCACGGAGGCTTGGAGAGGATGCGAACTCTTACCTGAAGCACATGTTGTGTGTTGGGAGATTGTGGATGAGGCTGCAGATATGCAGGAGCTACAGAATGAGGAACGGAGCGAGGCACGTGTCGGTGCTGCAGCACACTGCAGGTGTCATCTCCGGACTGCGTTGGGCAGCGATGATGGCGCACAAAGCACCGCTAGGCCAAACACCATCTACCGTGATCGAACGATCGTCTCTTTTCGGAACTTGCAACACGGCATATAATCGTAACATTCAAGCTTTCGTTTCCGTCGCTTAAGCTGACCGTGTTGGCAGCGTCTCATCTTGTGCCGAGGATACCTGTTGCGTCTTTGGTCGGGCTGCAATTCATCCGGGCCCTAGTCAAAGGCTTTATGCGTGAAAGCAACGGCTTTGGGCTTGAAATGAATGTGTCGCAAATCATAATCATCTCGTTCGGAATTGAGGACACTCGGTATTCACCACGGCCGCTTGTTCACAATTAACAATGTGACGAGCACGGAGCTTTGACGACCAGTATGTACGGGCCTAACACCATGACAGGAGTCACTGTGTTGATTCGTCTCTTCTGACTGCATTCTCGTAGGCTGAAAGGTTGAGATCGTTGGCTAGCCACAACAGAACAGCTTGGACGGAGGTGTGTGGGCTGGATTGGCTACTGGTGGCAGCGTCCGCCTCGGGTATCTTCATCGACGTAACGTAGCCGATGACATGTACCCAAGTCCCGTAGCTGACATGTTCGTTGCCAATGGTCTCAAGAAGCAGTCGAACGTCAACTAATGCGGCGTGGGCAGAGCCATGAGGGAAGTTGTGTTCCAGGGTGAGTATCGCTGTTTCTATGGAGTAAGAGACGACACTTTCCAGAGTCGGGACGTTCCAGCGTGAGTGACAGGTATTCTTCCTTGTTTGATGAGATTCGAGAAAGATGCTCACCATCCTAGGAAGCGCACCTTGTCACCGACTTGTGCCGTTGGAAGCTCCGACAAAAGGTATCGTCGGGATGGTGGAGGCTGGGTTGACATTATGCCACGGCCATGTGGACAAAAGCACTGGGCTTGGGACAATGGAGGCAATTTAACCTAGTGAGGCTGGATAACGCAGTGCCTTTCTCTGGCAACAGGTGTGACCAGATGGGGGATAAGCATGGCGACTACATCACAAGAGCTGTCCACTGCCATCATCATCTTCCCAGAATCTGCACACCAATTATCAGCTCATTATGTCAGCCGAGCGAGGCTGGGCTCGACCTGACTCTGGCTGGGCAGACGGGACCCACTCTGAGCCAGGCTAACACAACCTGATAGCTGACTCAGTCAGCTGATAAGCGGCCCTGGGCTTTGGCAGCACCTGACACCGTCTGCGCGAGCCAGGCTCCGAGTCGGGGCTTGCATCATAGCCCCCAGGCTGCCTTCCAGTCCCCATCGCCCTTCCTCAGTGGTCGCCGGCTCATCGTCGACTTCATCCTGCCGCCTATCCTGCTCCTATACGCCAACACCAGATCCTCAACTCCACATCGATATAGACGTTCAGAAGCTCGCACCGGGCTAGCTCAAGGCAAGGCGACCTCTATCCTGTCGCCTCTGCACGATCGCTCGCATTTCGACGCATCCCTCGCCTTATCCTACCCCGCCATCCACGTGCCGCGACCACACACCGTCATCGCTCCTGTCAACTGGCTCGGTTGCCAGCATCGCGTTTGATCGGCCCGATCGAGCGCACACACACGCACCCTTGCAGCCCTTCATATTTGCGCTTGAACCCAGTTCAAAATGTCAGGCGTCTGGGGCTGGTTTGGCGGTGGCGCCGCCGCCAAGAAGAAGGACAGCCCGAAGAATGCGATCCTCGGCTTGCGCGCCCAGCTGGACATGCTGCAGAAGCGTGAGAAGCATCTCATGACTCAGATGGACGAGCAGGACGCCATCGCCAGGAAAAACGTCAACACAAACAAGAATGGTATGTGCTTGCCGGCCACGTTCGCTCGCGATGCTTACACAAGCTGAATCGTTTCTCGCACAGCCGCCAAGGCCGCCCTGAGGAGGAAGAAGACCCACGAGCACAGCCTCGAGCAGACACAGTCTCAGATCGGCACGCTTGAGCAACAGATAAATGCCATCGAGTCAGCCAACATCAACAGGGAAACCCTTGCCGCCATGGAGCGGGCCGGAGAGGCCATGAAACAGATTCATGGCAAGCTCACGCCCGAGAAGGTGGACGAGACAATGTATGTCAACCCGTCGCCTGGAATATGCGAGTTACATTGCAGAGCTGACACTTGGATTGCAGGGAGAAACTGCGCGAGCAAAATGAGCTCAGCGAGGAGATTGTCAATGCGATTACCAGCAATTCTCTTGGCAACCAGGTTGACGAGACTGAGCTGGAGGATGAGCTGGAGGCACTGCAAGAAGAGGCGTTGGCTGAGGAGATGCTCAAGTCGGGCACCGTGCCGATCCGGGACGAGATCACCAGAATGCCAGCGGCCGCGAACGGCGAGATCAGGGGCAAACCCCAGGCTGTTGAGGAGGATGACGAGGAGGCGGAGTTGCGGAAGCTGCAGCAAGAAATGGCCATGTGATCTGTGTGCTGCAGCGTCCACAACCTTCAACGAATATAACGACCAATCACAGCATCCTCGAACTTCGACACCATACGGCGGCGCAGTGTGACTTACAAGTCTCTGGACGGCCGAGTTCTAAACCTTGTCCGATTCCGACACCGCGAATTTGTGCCTAGCCCCAGTTGATCGCACTACTGGTCGGCTGCTTTACACATTACCAACACTACTTTCATCGCTTGCGGAGTTGGCGTTCTTTCTTCCCGTTTTGCCGCTCGGCATGACACTTTGACTTCCTGGTTCGATAGTGCCAATACACTCTTGGGGACGCACATTCCGACTCGCAACGTGTTTCTAGAAACCGGCCATCTGATCGCCATCAATTCACAGCGCAAGCCAGACGATCTCATGCCCTCTTATCTACATCAATTATATGTTCTATTAGTGCAGCAGCTGAAAGATGGCGCAACCGGTAGTTGAGCAATCAGGTTTCCCTTCGGCCTTTGTATATGAAGACGTGACCACAAGGGGGCAAGCTCAGATTGATCAGATACAAATTGGTGGTGTGGTCGGCAGGTGTTGTTGGCAAGATAAGACATGAATTGCTATCAATGTCCCAAGCGTGTGAAGGCCATTGAAATGTTTCATGATCATCCTCCAGATGTGTATGCTGAAGGTCACATGGCAACGGAAATTTGCAGGGCTGTAGTGCAGACTAAGATGCCGATCTTCGTCGAGTTTCGGCACAATGAGGCATAAACATCTCATCTTGCTCAAGTCACCAGTGCTCGACTCGTCTGTGCATGGTGGTTGGGCTAGCATGATAAGCGTGGTGCACAGATCATGGAAGGGGCCAGGGGTGCACCCTGTACCAGCAGGTCTTGTCGGTTCTTCAGGTGCCGAGGCCAGCCTCGGGCTTTTGGGTCCATGCCCATCCATAGGTGAAGCATGGCTCAGGATTTGGGTTGCGGGTGCAGCCTCGTCGAAACGGATAGTTACGCATACTAAGTATCCATTGTGGCCGATGCCACGTAAGAGCCCAGAAGCAGCGGCTTCGCTATGGATGATCTTGTCAGTGCGGTGCGAGTTGGGTGAGGAGCTAAGGAGGGAAAAGGCCGCACACTCTGAAACCATGGCCAGCAAAACTGTCCACGTAGCATGCACACCCATTGCCATCATGGGATGCAGGATAAGCCTCTAGGTAGCTATGGTGCAGTGATATGACCACATGTTGGCGCTTCAGAGCTCGCGTTCCCGGGCAAAGATGCCCGTTCCTGCCAGACTGGGCAGTTGGGAAACACACCTTCGAGCCGCCCTGCAGACTCGAGCACGATATGCCTCGCTGCCCGCTGCTGCTACGCACCCTCCTGACTACGCACACATGCAAATCCCACATTGCCAAGCATCACCGGTCAATGGCAAGCTCGAGGCATGCTGGCCCTCACTGAAGACTGCAATTGGCATCCAAAGATTGGCTGCTTTCCCCCCACGACAGCATGCACGGCAAGTCTCCCGCACTCGCCCGTTCCGTCGCATCGTGCATCTGCAACGCACCCCGACTTCGAGGCCTGGCCGCACAACCATCAGCCCATGAGCCAGCAAGCAACGAGAGGAGGGCGCCTCTTGCAGCCTGACCTGCAGGGTGCTATCTTGAAGCAGCCGAGCCGAGCGGCAGCCACCACGTAACCGCCGCGTGCCGCTCCCTTCCAAATCCTCATTTGCACCCCGCCGCCACATGGTTGGGCTGCCACGACACAACAGAACTGACGACTACACGTCGACATTGTGGGAGGCTCCTTTCGGTCCAGGTACCTCTACCGCGATACTTCTCTCTCTGCCGTCCCACCACACCTGGACGCATCGAATGGCATCGAGTCCCCGGCCCCCGTTGGTACCCGCTTCTGCTTCTGCGGAGGCAGCGAAGTGGATGAGCCCAACCTCCGCGTCGTGACGTGGCGCCAGTCCTCGAGCTCGGCCCTGAAGATCCCAGTCCACACCATGCCCTGTCCACAAAACTTTTTCCCAGCACACCCGTGCCTGATATGCCCGTCCATAAGTCACCCAATGTGTACATCCGCCGCCCTGTCATGGCGACAAGCCGGCCTCTCGACCGGCGGACCTCGCATAATCTGGGATCCATGTCGCGCCTTATTCAGAGCTTGCAGACGTTATGGAAACAAAGCACGGCTGGTTGGGAGTGGGCTCCGGTCTCTTGAGCCCAAGATCCGTTGTTTTCCTGTTGTGTACCCTGCATGCCAGCTCGCTGCCCAGTCATATCCATTGCTCATGCTGCTGTGCCTTTTATGAAAGAAGCGCCCCCCTGCCCAGTGACTTGCACCTTTCCTCTGTCGCAATCAACGACTTGACACCACTTGGGATCATAGAGGATCTCTCATCTTGCTGTAATCCCTCTAGTCGTTTCGTGCCGACACGTCTTGACTTTACGGCGCACCCATTGGAACGAACTGACGATCGCCACGTCCCGTTTCCCTGTACACTATTTCTTTGCGTTTCTTTCTTGATACCCAGCTCGGCGCAGCATTTCCGAGCACCAAGCGTTGCAGCAATAGCTTGCATTCATTTGGCTTCACAAAGAGAGAACGGCTGGAACGAAATTACCGATTAACCCCAGCGAGCCACATTCAGCATCATACTGGACTCATTTCAACCCCTGGTAGCCATAGACAAAGCGGCATCGACATGGAAGACGACATTGCAGTTTGTAAGGTACGGGCGGATCCTTACAGTCAAGTCCAATATGCCGACTTTTCAAATGTGCAATACTTCAACCCAGTGGACTCCGACGAGGAGAGGGAGCGGGAACGCTCCGAGAAAGGTTTGTCATGTTTTCCACATTTTCACTGGCTACCCATGACGATTGGGAAACTGCGTCCAATTTCATGAGGTCTGGAAAAACACGCATAGTCGCTGACAAGACCAACAGAGAGGATAGAGTACGAGAAGGAGCTGGCACAGAATGGAGGCGGCGGTGAGGGCACACTCGACAGTGCCCCACAGGAGGAACCCGCCCAGTCAAAGTCCAGCAAGAAGCAGAAGAAGAAGAAAGCCGCCAAGGCGGCGAAGGCTGCTGCCGCGAAGGCGAACGAGCCGCAACTCCTAGAAGCCGCGCCTCCCACAGCACCAGAAGCAGAAGCAGAGGCGCAAGCTGGCAAGGATGCAGGTCAACCGCCTGTACCTGATGACGCCAAGGAAGCCGCAGTGGCAGCCATTGAGCCTCAATCGCCTGATGCCGCCACGGAAGAAACAAATTCTAACCGGAAGGAAGCAGCGGGTGAAATGCCTGCAGACGAGAAGGTTGTATCTGAAGAGCCCATAGTGGAGAAGCCCGCAGATGATCCCGTCGTCGCGAAATCAGATGAGCCGGTAGAAACAACTCAAACGCCGCCTGAAGAGGGCGCAGCGGCGGAGGAGCCTGAAACTGTCGAGGAGGATTTGCCGCCAACTGGAAAGAAGTCAAAGAAGGCAAAGAAGAAAGATAAGGACAAGGAGAAGAAGGAAAAGGAGAAAAGGGAGAAGGAGAAGAAGGAGCAAGAGAAGAAGGAAAAGGAAAGGGAGAAGGCTGCCAAGTCCAAGTCGAAAGACAAGGATTCGAAAAAGAGCAAGTCATCCTCATCTGAAGACATGCCGCCGCCGCCTCCGCCTCCACCGCCTCCTGCTCCTGTCGAGACTCCTGCTCCCGTCGAGACTCCTGCTCCTGCTGAGACTCCTGGCGATGCAACTGCCGAGCAGTCAGTTGAGATTCTTCCAGAACAGAAGGACTCAGTGGAGGCTTCTCTCCCGCCGGAAACACTACACGCAGACTCCCCCAACAAGAATGTCGATTCCGAGGCACACGCGCCGATCTCAGCCGAGAAGGAACCAGCTCCAAAGGAGGACCCAGCACCTGATACTGCCACCCCTGAAGTCCAGGATGCTGCTCCGATCGAGCCTGAAGCCAACGATACTGTTGCTGAGGCTGTAACGAATGAGGCGGAACCAGAGCACGTGGCACCGGCAGATGCAACCGCAGCTTCACAGGAACCTGCGATTGTGGACAAAGCTGTTGACGTGGCGATGGCAGGGAATGAAACCCCTAGCGCCGAGTCGAAGCCTACTGTCGATGCGGGTGATTCTCAGCCTGAAGAGGTGCAAGCGAGCGACGCAGCCGATGCCGCGCCCGTGGAAGACTCCGCGCCCACGGAATCCGAGGTGATCAATGCGCAAAGTGTCGAAGAGGGCAGTTCTGAGGAAAATGCTGCGACAGAGGCTGATGCAGCGATGCCTGCTGAGAAAGAAGTCTTAAAGGACGATACACCAACCGCGGCCGAGGATGACACCGAGAATGCGATTGAGAAGTCTGTCGAGGACATCAAACGAGACGAAGCCATCGCGGAGGCTATAGCGGAAGCGAAGAATCAGCAAAAACAGGATGACGATTCCACAACTCCAAAGCAGGAGCAGCCCAATATGTCCCAGCCGGTTGAGCCCAGCCAGCCAGTCGAGGTGAGCGAAGAGGCGCAGACTGTAGAGGAAGTGGTCCCAGAAACTTCAGCGAAAACCAATGACGAGGAGCTTCCTACAACTTCTGAGCCGGACACTGATGCGGAAGCGACCAACGCTCCCGTTCCTGTGGGAGAGGAAATGGCGTCTGCTGTCGGTGTCGACCCTGCAGGCAACACTGAAGAATCCGCCGTCGTTCCCGAGGAATCAACTTCAACCGAAAACGACTCCGGCGAAAGCAACACAGCCAACGAGGCGCCTGCTTCCGCCAATGCCCCAGAAGCAGGAGCTAATGAGGAGAATGCTGAAGATACGCCCGACTCTGCTGGCGCCGCTTCCAATGGCGAATCCGGTGACATTGTTGACGACATAACCACTGAGACAGCGGAAAAGGCCCCGGAAGAGTCTGTGGCCGAGCAGACTGCTACAGCCGCGCCGGTGGAGGGCGGCGAGAATCTTGGCGCCAATGAGGTTGCTTCGGTTGAGAATACCATTGACTCTGCTCTTGAAAACATCCAGGACACTTCAGAAGAACCTGCTGCCGAAGAGACTCCTGCTACCGAGGAGACTCCCGCTTCAGAGAAACCTGCTACTGAGGAGACCCCCGCCACTGAGGAGAACCCTGCTACTGAAGAGACTCCCGCAGCTAAGGAGACACCTGCTATTGAGGAGACTCCCGCTTTGAAAGAACCTGCTGCTGAGGATACTCCCGCTGCTGAGGAGACTCCCGCTGCCGAAGAGATACCTGCTGTTGAAGAGACTACCGCTTCAGAAGAACCTGCTGCTGAGGATACTCCTGCTGCGAAGCCAGACCCTTCCAGTGATATCACAGAGGCCAAATCCACGAATGAGGATTTATCTTCTGCTGGAGACCCGACCGTGGTGGAACAGGCTGAAGGAGTGTCTTCAGAAGGTGTCGAGAGCCAAGCCGTCAATGATGCGCCCATTGAAATAGCCAGCGAACAGGGTGCACCCATAGATGACTCCTCAGTGGAAGGCGTGTCCGGAGCTCCTGAACCAACGAGCGAGACCGGCTCAACCGAGCCGCCTGCTGTTGCTGATGCCTCTCCTATTGCTGAAGCCTCTCTGATTGCCGAGCATGTGGACGACACGTTCAAGCCGGAGGAGGAAACAGTCAGCGCACAAGTGGCTGAGTCGTCGAAATCTAAGAAGAAGAAGAAGAAGGGCAAGAAATCGAAGCCTTCCACGCCTCCGGATGTGGAGGCACCCATCCCAGCTGATGTGCCGGCCATCGAGCCAGAATCAGCCTTTGACGAAGCGCCTGTGCAGGAGCCAACTCCTACGGAAGCTCCAGTGGTCGAGGAGGTTCTGGAGGCCACTAATACCGTGGATTCGGGGTCCAACAAAATCGCCGATTTGGCATCAGAAAGCAGTGCTCCTGACGACAGCCCTGGGAAGGCAGAGGCCCTGGAGGTCGAAGCTGTGCAGGAGAGGTCCTCTGCAGTTGAGGCCAACACCACAGCAGAAACCGTTCCCAGCAAGATCGAACCGGAAACTCAGGAGCACCCACCAGAAGAAGCACCACTACCTGACGAAGCTGTATCATCCGTCTCTGTGGAGAAGACGACCACTGAAGGTACTCATTCGCAACACGGAAGCGACTTGGTAGATGGCACGGTTAATACAGGCTTAGAAGCATCAGCGGATGATGTGGCAGCAGTCATAGATGCTGAAGCACCAGACCAGGCGAACGGCGAGGAATCAACCTCCGACGCTTTTGCTAATTCTGGAATCGAGAAGACTGAAACTGTGGAGCTCACAGAGGACGACACAGTCGTGGCAGTCCCTGACACACCAAACACTGAGGAAGCTGAAGATGCAGCTCCGGATTCGTCCGAACAGACAGTTTCCGACGCCGAACACAGCGCCATCAGCCATGTTGAGGAGGATGCCGCTGCACCTGCCGATACTTCGGCTGCGGAAGACTCTGCCACGTGCTCAGACGCCACAGCTGCACCAACCGAGCCAGAGGCCGAGACGCAGCAGGAAAGTCAGGTTCAGGAATCTGTTGCCACAGAAAATATCGAGGACAAACAGGCACCTTCGGATGTTGTGACAGACGAGGCTGCTGTCGAGAAGAGCGCAGAAATCGATGTCGAAACCTCGCCTGCCGAGCCAGATTTCTCTACCACAATTGAAGACGTCATCGTGGAGCCAACCTCAGCCGCAGCCAGCGCAGAGAAGTCCCCGGCAGATGCGGCCATTGTGGCCGACTCTACTGAAAAGATATCTGCCAGGGGCACGTCAACCACAGAGGAATCTGCCACTCTAGAGGCCACTATTCCGCCCGAGCTTGAACCTGAGCAGGCCGCCAGCGAGGCGCCCGTTAGTATCGAGAGCATTGTCGAGAACGCGGAAGCAACCACTTCTGTGGCAGACAGAGAAGTCGAAGTAAAGCCGATCCCAGCAGGAGATACTGCAGCGCAGGAGGGAGAGCAAGCGCATGAACCCGCCACTGAGCAACCCCTTTCCAGCGACCCCGTCATTGACGAGGACGGCGTTGGTTCCACGGGATTTAGTGACGAGGCGACTGTCACTGAAGTGGCAGCAGGGGACACCTCCGCGGAAGGTCCCGCTATCCAGACCCCCCTAGACGACGAGATGCCGGAGGCCGCGCCTGCAGAATCCATGACTGAGGATTCTCCTGCAAAGGAGCCCGCTGCTTCTGAGCCCATCTCTGAGCCTGCTGTCGAGGAGCCTGCCACTGAGCCTGCTGTCGAGGAGCCTGCCACTGAGCCTGCTGCTGTTTCCGAAGAGCCTGCTGTCGAGAAACCTGCTGTCGACGAACCTACTGTCGAGGAGCCTGTTGAGGCGCCAGCTGTCGACGAACCTGCTGCTGAGCCTGCTGCTGTTTCCGAAGAGCCTGCTGTCAAGAAACCTGCTATCGACCAATCTATTATCGAGGAGCCTGTCGAGGAGCCGGCTGCTGAGCCTGCGGTCGACGAACCTGCTGTCGAAGAGCCTGTCGAGGAGCCGGCTACTGAGCCTCTTGCTGAGCCTCTTGCTGAACCTGCTATCGAGGAGCCTGTTGTCGAGGAGCCTGCTGTCGAGGAGCCTGCCTCTGAGCCTGCTGCTGAGCCTGTTGCTGAGCCTGTCGAGGCGCCAGCTGCGGAGTCCGTCTCTGAGCCTGCTGTCGACGAACCTACTGCTGAGCCTGCTGTCGACGAACCTGCCTCTGAGCCTGTCGAGGAGCCTGCCTCTAAGCCTGCTGCGGAGCCTGCTGTCGAGGAGCCTGCTGTCGAGGAGCCTGCTGTCGAGGAGCCTGCTGTCGAGGAGCCTGCCTCTGAGCCTGCTGCGGAGCCTGCTGCTGAGGCGGCTGCTGAGCCTGCTGTCGACGAACCTGCTGTCGAAGAGCCTGTCGAGGAGCCGGCTACTGAGCCTCTTTCTGAGCCTCTTGCTGAGCCTGTCGAGGCGCCAGCTGCGGAGTCCGTCTCTGAGCCTGCTGTCGAGGAGCCTGCCACTGAGCCTGCTGCTGTTGAGGAACCTGCTGCTGCTACTGAGCCCGTCGCTGAGCCTGCCGCTGTTGTCGAAGAGCCTGTCGCTGTTGTCGAAGAGCCTGTCGCTGTTGTCGAAGAGCCTGTCGCTGTTGTCGAAGAGCCTGCCGCTGCTGCTGAGCCCATCTCTGAGCCCGCTGTCGAGGAGTCTGTCGACGAACCTGCCACTGAGCCTGCTGCTGAGCCTGCTGCTGAGCCTGCTGCTGACCCTGTTGAGGAAGCTGCTGGCGAGGAGCCTGTTGCTGAGTCGGCTGTCCAGGAGTCGGTACAAGAACTTGTTGTCGACGAAGCCACTTCTGAACCTCCTGCTGAAGACCAGGTGCTAACACCACCGCCTTCGTCTTCTGAAGTTGTCGATAACGTTGAGAAAGGTACTTTCAAGAATACGGGACAGCCCGAAGCGGTCACTGACACTGGCTTAGATGACGAAGCTGCAGATGCGGTCGTTGACACCGAGCCCGCCGCCCTGCAGACCGAGGAACCTCCAGTTCTAGCTCGAATTCCGCCTACAGATTCTGCTCCTGTAGAGTGCATCGAACAAGAAGAAGTGGCTGGAGATCCTCCAACTCACGAAGATGCGAGTGAAGTTCCGGACGACCCGACTACCACTCTTGCGGAAGAGGTTTCTGAGGAGCTCGAGCCTGTCGCCCTTGCGGACGAAGCACAGTCCGTGACGGATGATGTCGTCAACGAAGAACCAGTCGAAGCCACGGCGCGATCTCCTGCTCCTGCCGTCGAAGCAGCTCCCGAGACCATCACAGAAATAGCCCCGGGGCCTGAGGCCGTGGTTGCCGAAGTATCACGTGCCGAGCCTGAGCCTTCCAAGGCCTCCGTGGACGAGAGAAAAGAGGTCACATTCGACAAGGCGACTGAGGCTAAGGCCAAGGCCAAAGAGGAGGAGGAGGCAAGAGACAGAGTCCATGCCATTGAGGACAGAATCAAGAAAGGTGAGACTGACAGCAATGCTTTGCGTGATTCTATCTCCGGAGAATTGAGAGGCGAGGACGGGACGAGAAACGAACATGACAACGAGCACTCCGAGAGTCTGGGCTCAGCCAATAAGCAAGACCCGGAGGCTCAACAAGGGACTGCGGTTTCGACTCCAGCTTCATCGCCAAGATCAGAGAAGCAGGTACGGTTCGACATGACTCCCACGGAGATCCCGCCAAGCCCAACACACCGACGAGGCAGGCAGATCGAACGATCCGAGTTTCCGTTCATGCCCGGCGCTGAAACCTCGAGCTCAGATGGTTCTGTGCAACAAGACACCCTGCGTTCTGAGTCTCCTGCAGCCAGCAAAAGGCTCACGCCAGAGAGCGAAATATTACCACCTCCTACAGAGGCAGTCTTGGCAGACAAGGATAGCCTACAGTCTCAAGAGCAGGACCAACTTCCAGCGTCCCTGCCGACTGCTCCTGAGCGAGCATCCACACAGACTGCAGATGATGGCATCACAAAAGCATTGCAGACTTCTGTGGATAGGGACAATATGGTAGAGCACTCTCACGAAGGCGAGCATGATGCAAACCTTGCGACACCCCTGACAATCAATACTCGAGAAGCCGAGATCGTCGGCTCCGACGACATCGAGCAGTCACCTCCACATACGCCTCAGAGGAGCCCGAAGCGTTCAAGCAAGAAACTACTCGTCCACATCCCGTCATATAGTCAGTTTCCCGATCCTGAAGTTCCTAGCCCATCGATGATGAACTTCATGGAATGTCGCCCTGGCACGCCCAACATTGAGCTTCCCGATCTTGCGGACCCAAAGCCACTTGCTTTGGGTCGTGCGAGGAGTTTGCGGAAGCAGGCGCAGCGCCGTCGTAGAGCCGTTCGGGATGCAGAGGACACTGTCGCCGCCGCCGTTGTTATTTACGCAACTGCTCGGGAGTTCAGCCCCGAACCGCTCTCGCGCAGACGGCTTGGCAAGCTAGGGGAGAAGAACATTGCCGAAGTCCTGGTCACGGAAACAAACAGCGAGGGGGATATGGAGGACAAACTTCTTCCTGTGCCAGATGATTTCACGTTGTCGGGAGTTGCAGAGGATCATTTCGTTCGTGAGAATGACGTTTTTGTTCCTGTTGCTGACCTCTCGACAGACGATGAAGATAGAGCAGCGCGGCACAGCCACCATCACCATCGCCGCCGCCGGCACTCTTCCTCACACCACTCATCCTCGTCTTCTTCACGACCGCACGACGAAAAGGAGAAGGCTGAGCATGAGCCCAGGGACCGCCACCGAAGTGCGCCGCGGGAGCCATCTCGAGAAGTCCCTCGCGAATTACCGTCCAGCACCAGTTTCAGCAGTCGCCAGCGAAGCCGTGCCGAGAGCGACGCATCGGCCAAGGCAGCTGCGGAACGACCATCTTCGTCACGGCATGAAAGCGGCGACACGAGCTCGTCGAGCAGAAGACACAAGATCAGGACACCAGAGGAACAAGCTGCCCACGACCGGCGCAAGGCGGAACGACGTGCTGCCCGCGACGCCGAGCTCGCATCCAAGGCCCGGCTCTCCGAATCACCCGCAGCCACTGCCAGCGACCGTGATACGCAGCGCCTTCGCCGAGACACTCGGCGCAGCAGTCATTCTCGATCTGAACGGGTATCACTAAGGGACGAGGCTGCCGCAAACAAGAAGTTCTTTGATGTCAAGGGGGTTGAGAGCTTACTTGCCCACAACTACTCGGGTCAGAGTCAAACTGGTCTCTCAGCACCTGCTGCTCCACGGTCTCGCGATGGACGTCCTTCAACGCCGAAAGAATCTCCCAGGATATCGCCCAAGGACTCGCCAAAAGCTTCGCCTCGCGACTCGCCGCGAGTGCGCCGCTCCACAAGAGAGTCTTCGAGACGGGAATCTTCCTCAAGGGACGGTGTTCCGCCTCCGCCACCACCGCCGCAAGCGCCAATGGCCAGAGACGCGTCCTATACCTCACGATCTGACACGGAACCTTCGCGCCCTCCTGTGAGCTCGCACCACAGGCCTTCACACCATCGTCGCTCCGAGGATGTGCCTCGCTCTTCGTCGAGACACCACCGATCAAGTCGCGATGAGGATGCCGGATCTCCGGTGAGACGCCATCGCAAGACCAGGTCTGACACTGTCACAAGTGGGGCTGGCGAGGTGGCTGGCGAGGTGCCCTCGCCCAGCAAGCCGAGTCTCGCAACACGGGACACGACTGGCACGACTGGCTCATCACCTGGAGACCACCACCGCCGTGAGGAACGCCGGCGGGCACGTGAGCGTGATGACGACAAGAAGAAGCCGAGTGGGATCAAGGGTGTGTTCAAGAAGCTCTTCTCGTAGACATGCGAGATTGAAAGGCCTACTATTGGGGAGGAGCCGGCAGACATGCAAGACAATGATGATGCTCTCCGATGACCTGACTTTCATCGTGGTAGAGGAGCATGATATATGAATGTTGGGCGATGAATATCTACGTTTCTGACGACTGTATGACTCTACGAACTCCAAATATATGATTCTTCTCCATCCTTGTGGCAACGCTTCAAAGCAAGACTATATGCCAATGTATGTGATTGTGATGCTGTGCCACACTCTTCCCCTGCTTTCAGGATATCAGATCTCAATCGCGATCCTACCGATGCCACGACTAACACAACTCAACAACGACGTCTGCTTCTCGTCGTCTAGCAGGGCGGTGCCACGGTGATCCACATTGCCGCTCTTCAATGTGATCTTGCACGTCCCGCAGTTGCCCACCTCGCAACTACTATCAATCTGTGCGCCTCGGTGTTCTCCATCTTGGTCTTGTTGGCCCGGGCCAAGCTCCCTCCTGAGGACCTCGAGAAGGGTGTCGTCACTGCCGACCTGCAGCATCTTGTTTCCCCTGTTCACCACCTCGACCTCGAAGGGGTCTCCCGTGGTATCGGCGGCAAACGCCTCGAAATGCATGTCCTCCTCCTTGAGGCCGGCGGCGGTGGCCGCGCGCCTCGCCGCGTCCATCATGCGCGGCGGCCCGCACACGTAGAGGTGCGAGTTCCACGACAGCCCGGCCACGATCTGGGCAATGTCCATGCGCTCGCCGGCAGAGGCATCGTATACAGTGAGCGATTTGTCGTCGTCGTCGCCGCCGCCGATGGCATCGACGCGGCTGCGGAAGGGTATGTCGTCTCTGCTGCGCACGCCGTAATGCACGACCGTGTTCCAGTGGATGCCTCGGTACCCCTCGATGAGCTTGAGGAACGCCGTGATGCCGACGCCGCCCACGATGAAGACGTGGTTGCTCTTTGTGCCCTGCGGTTTAGCATCGGCCTTTGGCAGTGCCGCCTCGATTACGTCGCCCGGCTGAATCGACTGGTGCAAGTACACGGAGCCCCCGCGGCTTGGGGTCTCAAGGGCGACGCCGAGCTCGAACCGGTTCGCGTTGCCATCGACAATAGAATATGAGCGGAGGAGGCCGCTGGGGAGGCGCAGCCGGATGTGTGAGCCATAGGCGGCTTCTTTGACCTCTGGATCTTGCTCGAGTGCTTCGAAGACGAGCGATGCGATCCGGGGAGTCTCCGGCTTCTTCTCGACGAGCTTGTACTTGTGCCACTTGGCGACGGGTCCCGTCTCTGCCTCTGCCTGCTCGCCGCGCGCCTCGCGCTTTCTCTTGGCCTCGAGCTTCGCGACGCGCTGCTGGAACGCGCCGCGGCTCTCGTCGCCCATGTCCGTGACCTGTGCGAGCGCGGCATTCATCTTGGCGTCGTCTTGTTTGCGGTGGAGGTACTCCTGGACCCTCTCGATCGTCCAGCCGGGCCACCTGCGCTCCTGGAGGCGGATCTCGTCACCGGCCTGGACGCTGCCTGGCTGCAGCACGCGGTAGTACCAGCCTGTCCGGCTGAGTTTGTACGTGTTGGGCGCAAAGTTCTTGAGCTGGAAGCGGTGGTTGAGCTTGAAGCACGGCTGCCGCGGGAGGCTGACCTGCAGCACGAGCCCGTCGGTTCCGACGGACATGATGTCGCCAATGCACACGTTGCGCTCGTTCATGTGCGCCGTCACCAGATTCTCGCCAAACGCGCCGGGCTTGAAGCGCTCTGCGGCGTCGGGGAATTCCTTGCGCCAGCTCGGGTAGTGAGAGGAACAGTCTGGCGGACGGGAGAGGATCAGCAGTCACATCCTCCCCTCTAGGTGTCAAGAGAGGATGCCCACTTACAGCCGTGAACAGCCTTGTCAAGGCCGCCGTGGAAGATGAGGTCGTGCTCGTCCTCGTCGAGCCCGAGAGTCGAGACAGGCACTCTGCCGTGGCGGATCTGTTTGTCAATGCCCGTCTGGATGCTGAGCCCGGGCATCGTCTTCATCTTGCTGCTACGGACCTCGAGGATGACGTCTCGCTCGAAGGCGGCCGAGAGGTCGGCGGCGTGCTGTCCTGCGTCTCCCATGGTAAAATAAGAAGCAAGCCAATCGTGACTTGCCTTGGTTGACAAAAGGTATTTCCGTGGTAAGTCAGCTGGTCTTCTTCTTGGCTTAAGTCAGTCGTCGAAATGGTGTCTACAGGGATCCCAGAGAAGCCGATTAGGATCGGAACAGGAAAAGGAAGACAACAGACTCAAGCTTGGGAAGGAAGCGACAAAATTATGTACCCTCCGGAATGGTCACATTGTGCATAAGCAGACCCCTGCCTCGTCCTTCAATTGTCCAAAAGAATCGAGCGTATCGGAAGCCTACAAGGTTGGCGAATTACAGTAACCCGCTCGTGGGTGGGCTCCACATGCCCACGTGCGGAGTCGCGGGTTATCTGAGCGAGAGACCCTTTTTTAGTCGAGGGGAATTGGGGAAAGCCTAGTCCTCAAGCTCTTGAGCAGGCGGTCCCTCAACTCCCCTTCTTGACTTGGCCGTCCTCGACCTTGACGAGGCCTGATGAAGTGAACATGAGGCGTGGTGGAGTGACCACCAAGCCTAGAACGTGACATCGTGAGCGAGACCGAGACGTTCTGCAACGCACAAGAAGGAGGGCCTCGAAGTTGGCCTCCTGCAACAGCATAGCCAATGTCTCGATCGTCAGGTGAGTACTGGTTCTCCACCACAGGGCCACGCTTTGCAGCATGCTATTGAGAATGATAGGTGGTGGTTTGTTACAATGTGATCTATTCCGCGTGGCGAATGGGAACAACAAGTTCCGTTTTCTTCTTGTTCTGCCAAATAAAGAAACGCCTCTCTGCCCGTAGACAGCGTCGCCTCGCGTATGTGCTGGCGGCCTCTCCTCTTGTCCTCGCTACGAGCGCGCACAGGCGCAGCCGCCGACGGCAGTCGAGCTTTGTGGTGCTGGGAGACAGACCTCATCTGGTCCTCATCATCGGAGATTGCCGAATTCGTCTACTGCACTAGCAATGTCGTGTCCGAATTGTTCGTGGCGTGCTGCACTACGGTGGGCATCGCAATGCAGTCGCTCAAGGGTGATCCGCATTGAATCGTAGGTGATGGTTATCCAAGCCTGAGACGGAATTGAAATGATCAAGGCGGGGCAGCATGAAGAGAGAGGCGGGGTTCGACGAGAGATATATGGACGTCAAGGTAAGGACTCTGTTGTATGTTATTGGTTCGGGGTGTGCTTGCAACAATCAAAGGCTGATCTCCTCTTTTGACGTGAAGCCTTGGGTGGTCCCTGGCTGGAATACAAGTCAAAAAAGCCATGTCGCCGGGTTTCTCAGTGTGACCGCCAAAATAAGCCCGTCGGCAGGAATTTCGGCCTACCGTTAACATCTGATCTTCCCGGCTCTGTGTGGACGCTGGACACGCAAGATGCTGCGGTCATCAGTTGTCATGGTCAACCACTAAAAGTAGTTCCTCACCAACCTTGAGACCCTGGACAGTCGGCAAGTCCGCAACAGAGGCTTACAGGCACCACAGGCATCGCAATGCAATACGAGAGCAGCATGCTTTGATTTGAAGAGAGACATACCTGCTCGAAGAGCTTCGGCTATTAGGACAACTCTGTAGTATGCTCGCCCAACCTCGGAATGGTTGATACCTGACCCTTGACAAGGGTGCGTCAGATGTTGCAGCTGCTCATCGTCCGGAGACGGCCCCGCAGTCCGGAGGCTGTCCGGGGATTGGGCATAGCACAATCACCCGGCGCATGGAGCTGTCAAAGCAGTATTGAAGCTTTGCGCGCAGCTAGCGTTCGTGCTAGTACATGGCGGGGTGGATGAGTTTGTGCTACATGGTAGGTGAGAATCATACCCGCCAAACATCACCAGTCAAGCGAGGCCACGCTCTTTGAAAACAAGGGAGTCACAGAACTTGATGGTTTCTGCTATCTGCTTCGTATCGTACACCGAGCTTTGACCGCAACTTGCTTTGGTGTCATGGGATATGTTGATGATATCATTTCAACATGAAACGTCAAAATGCCGGAAAATCTGGTCCCGGTTGAACCAATTCAGCGCAAAGGCCTGGTGAGCGCAACCAATTCGATAGGATCAAGAGCTCTTGTCATCGGTTCGGAGACAGCGACTTGTAGAAATTTGGTTAAAGACGCACGGTAGGGGTTACTTATTCGTATAAGCAGGAGTGGGTTCGACCGAGCTGCTGGCGTGTCCATGGTCTTTGCCTTTCCGGGCGTTCGTGGTGCGTTTCATTGTATTCCAAATACGCTTTCGTCCAGAGTGGAACAAGCGTAGGATGTTGCGAACAGAGCTCAGAGTCTCGGGGCCAGATCTGCCTTGGTGGCTGCATGTCGCTCCGAAAGTGGCTGGCTTCCAAGGTCAGCGTCGATATTGCCAAGGCAAGCTGGTGGATGTGTGGACCGGATCTGTCACTGTCGACAAGCATCCTGCGCATTGTAGCCTATACCAAGATCAGCAATCCTATGTGCTGACAGCATGGCCTGGTACGCTGGGTTCGGAGGCCGAGGTTGCCGAGCACGAGGCAATGAAATACTACAGTCAGCTGCAGCTTACCAGGCGGATCCAGGCGGCTGCTCGGCTGGCTGCTTTCTGGAGAGTGAGGGTTGTTGTGCTCGGAAGCGCCGGAGCTGGAGCACCGGGCCAGCCCACACAGGAGCAGGGGTGCAGATCGACTTTCCCCTTCCGATCCATGGTATTCTTCTTGATCGACAGCAATCGGACAAGGGTGCCGGCATGGGGGGCCTGTACGCAGTATCCTCGCGCAGAGCCGAGACGCCTCCGGTACTGTATGTGTATTCCGGAGAGTTTCCAGACATATTGCAAACGTGTGATATTGCTTTACGCTGGAAGTACATTGAGCTGTACCATGAACGCACTACAGTCTAAGTACCCGAGAGCTTCAGAGGTACAAGCAATTGCGTTCTGAAAATGGCGTTTGCGCGTTTCTACTTGGGTTCCTCGATGAGTGCCGGGGTACATCGTGGGACTACTATGTGCCAGGTGCGTCTCGTTTCTGCGAATATACCGCTGCAGAAACAAGCCCCGCGATAGCAAGACGTTGTGTTTTAGCCTCATCCCGCACGGCGCAGGACAGCCAGTCCTATAACTGGTGCCTCGCAGAGATGGCGCAAGTGTCGCCGGCCTCCACGTCATAAGTTGGCAGCGCCGGTGCTACTGTCCTGGCCTCGGGTCGAGCGGCGGCGGCGGCGGCGGCAGCTAGCAGGGCGAGCTAGGCGAGCTAGGGACAGGCAGCGAGCCTCTCGTGGCTGCCTTCGTAAGGGCGGTGCTTGGCACGGCAGGCGGCTGCGTCAGATGGGCAAGGACGGCTCGTTGTGGCTGCTGGGGGCGCGTGAGCTGGCTCAACTTGGTGCCCTTGGTGGAAGGTTCGTACGGCTCGAAGCTGGTGGGTAGCGCAAATCTCTAATCTCAGGCGGCCACCAAAGATGCTTCCAATTTGCACCACGGCCTTAGGCACGCACTTTTGGTCTGGTGTCATGAGCAGCAGCCACTGCTAGCGCGCAGCTCAAGTCGGGTTGGGCTGGCAGGCGGGTAACCGCTGGCTCGCGCCTTCCCTCGCATCCGGGTGTCTGACTGTCAGAGTGAGCCATCCAGTCTTTGCTTTTGCTTCGCTCGCCTTGGTCTGGTCCACCGTCACCGTGTCTCTCTTGGGCACACACACACACACCCCCACACGCAGACGCAAACTCATACCACGTCTACTACACGCAGCGCCAACAGCGTAGCTCCTCCTGTCGCTTTCGGTTCCCAGCTCTCCCACAGCATCGCAAGCCAGACGACTATGGCATCATGAGGGCGCACATGGTCCGGACGGCCAGAGAGGTGCTTGCCTCAGTCGCCCCAATGGCTCACTCGGGCAAATCACCGCGCCTCCTGAGGTTTCTGGTCCCTGCCGTCCTCGTCTTCTTCGTCACCGCCACCCTCTACTTCAGCGTGGGCTCCCACGCGACCGCCGCCCTCCTCTCCCACTCCGACCTTGCTCATCCGCCGCTCGTCCCGCGCAAAATATGGCAGATCCTCCTGCCCATGCCCGCCTCTGTCGAGGCCAAGGGCATCTCTCTCTCTGACGCAGAGACATGGCTCAACAAGAACCCCGGCTACACCTACACGCTCCTCGGCGCAGAGGGTGCGGACTCGTTCATCAAGCTTCACTACTCGGACCGTCCCGAGGTCCTCGACACCTTCAACGCACTCGAAAACCCCGCCATGCGATCCGACTTCCTCCGCTATCTAGTGCTTCTCAAGGAAGGAGGTGTGTATAGCGATATCGACACGGAGGCTGTCCGGCCTGTTGAGCACTGGATTCCCGAGAAGTATCGTTCCCGAGCCAAGATTCTCGCCGGCATCGAGTGGGACCAACAGGGCGGCCCGCCCTCTTCATATTTCACCTATCCTCTGCAACTGGGACAGTGGACTATAGCTTCCAGCCCAGGCCATCCAATATTGGAACGAATGGTGGACAACTGCGTTCGCCTCAGTCAAAAGAAGGCTGGCGAGAACACCTCGCCGGGGAGCGCCCTCCATTTCACCGACAGCGAAATCGTCAACACGACTGGGCCGGCTGCCTGGACCAGGACCGTCTGGGAAGCCATTCAAGATGTAGCGCCGTAAGTAAATGACTGTCGCCTACTATTTACCTTCAGTGCAAACGTTCGCCGGTACTAATACGCACACTTATAGTAACATGAAGAGCATCGAAGCGCTCTCCGGCTTACAACACCCCACCCTCTTCGGCGACATACTCGTGTTGCCAATCAATTCATTTGGATCAGGACAGCCACACTCAGGCAGCTGGAAATACTTTCCACACCCAGACACTCTTATCAAACACAAATTCAAGGGCTCGTGGCGGACGATGCCTTGGTGGGAATCCTCATCGTAGGAGTGCCGGAGATGTGCTCCGGGGGACCTTGCAGTGGCAGGGGTTAAGCGCATGATCTACGACTGCCATGTTCAAGCCTTTTCTTAGGTTTTCTTTGCACTTTTGGATGATATCACGCTGCTTGCAAGCCAGCAATTGTATTGAATTTTTTTTTCTTATTGCAAGTGCACGCCATGCATGTGGTAGATTTGACAGTTTTGTGGCAAAGTTGTACCATACTTTATCATGAGAAAACGTGCTACAAGCCGAGCGTGCCTCAAATCAAACACGACGATGAAACAATTCTCAACCGACAGCACATCATCAAAACTTGGCCTATTTTCACTTTGCGGTTCCAAGCGGGATGGGATTCGCACATCATGAGGTCATGACTTTTCTTTCCTGGTGACCGGGCGCGCGAGCTGGCCAGGTACCCCGGTCCATCAGCTCTCCCCAGTCTCTTCCCGTCCCCGTGCTTGGTTTTAGCGTCATGGACCGGGATTGAACGCCGCGATCCGATCACGCAGATCTTAGGGTCGTTTTGGTGAAACCCCACCCCCGTGGCTTGATCTGCATATCTCCCTAGAGCTATGTACTGGAATACATAACAGGGGATTCGTGTATCTTACGTACCTAACCCCTCCCTCCCAATCGATGCCCTCGGGCCCGGGCTGCGGTTTATACCATGCTCGGAAAGTGCACCAGGATAAATCGCCCAGGGGGGTTGCTAGATTTGGGTCAGCGCCAAAACACTTCGCATGGCGGGGGGTCAAGCTTCGCAGTTTAAGAAGCAATAGTCGTGGTGGCACTTGTAAGCACGCTAAGCAGCTGCGTTCGTATCATTGCTTTCGGGCATAACTCGCCTAGTCGCACGCGTACAACTAGGCGAACGCGCGTACCTGCAGCAACGTCGGTCGCCGAAAACCGAGGACAAATCTTTCTCATCTTGTCGTTACTGATGGCGATCATATAAGCGGGTTCTGGGTGGAGCAATTAGTTGTTGTGAGAAGGGGGAACAGTATGGATGCTGGACGAGTGTCTAAAAAAAGAAAATGTTGTGTTTTCCATGCTTTTACTGTTGTGTCGAGGCGTGTATCACAAGGTACCTCGTATAGTCCCGGTTCAGTACTCTTGTCTGTACATGGTTAGAATGGAACTTAGTGGACCTGGTGCTCAATATGTTACAGATAATCAATTATGTAGAATTATAAACCCGGATGCGCGAGCTTTCTAGCACGGCCATGGGCGTTTGTTGCGTGTGGCTTCCTTTCCGATCGTGACGTCGTGCTCAGATCCACGAAAGCATGCGCTTGCAACAGTCTGCGAAGCGTTCGCAGGAGCGTTGGGATTCCTCAGAGACTCGAGTTGCTACATAATGGCTCATTCCACTCTAATGATCTATTACCCTCCTCCTGCTTCTTCCCCTTCTTCGTCAGTCTTCGTGATAGGCCCACCGAGCCACAACACCCCAACCACTGCCGCTGACGCCGAAAACAAGGCAAAGCTCCAGCCCATGGTCCCCCAGCCAGCAGAGGCGACGACATAACCCGCCCAGAGCGGGCCAACGACACCGCCGAGCGCGAACGCCATGGTGAAAAGACCATAACCCACCCCAAAAGCGCCCTTGTCACCAAAGCAACCCGGGTTGGCGACCTCCTCAGCCTCGATGGCGTAGGAGATCTCGGCCATGAGCGGGGTATTCGAGAAGGCGAGCGCGGTGCCTAGAAGCGCGAGGAGCACCGCCAGGAGGGCCTTCTGGCCGATGGTGTTCTCTGTAACAAAGCGCAGGCACACCAGGATGGGCACGGCGCTGACGAAGCCCGAAACGGACGGCCATTTGGCGCCGTAGCGGTCGGATAGCCAGCCAACAAAGGGCGATACGAACCCCGGCAGGAAGATGGCGAGGAAAATGACGCCTGCGGCGGTCGAGTTCCACCCAAATGTGTCTTGGACGAAGAGGGCGAGCACTGCGTCGAACCCCATCCTGTTTCGTAACCTGTCAGCAGCGTCTTGATATTTGGTCGGTCTAGCACACATCTTTGTGATAGGTGTAACACCACTACATTGCTTCGCCTGGCGGAACTCAACTTACATGATGCTTCCTTGGACCGTGATTCCGTAAAGAGCAGCCAGCAGCCTACGGGACCGGATGAGAATCACTAAGGCACTTCTTGGCTTCCTTTCCGGGGGTGCGAGCTCGGGTTGCGGCGAGGGAGCAGAATCGAGCACTGGCGGCATGCCATCATCCAAGCCCCGGGTTCCCACATGCGACTCATTCTGCGGTTGCGCGAACTTCTCCTCGTCCCTGTCGTTGCTGTTGCTGGGTCGAGTGCCCTGCGCTGCTTCCGGTGTCCACTGCTTTGCGACCTTCTTCTCAATCATGACAAGACGCAGAAGGATGTCGAGACCGATCACCCCGAAGGAGATATAATACACGGCATAGTAGCCAGCTGCGCCGTATACCGCGCCGCCAATGACAGGAGCAATGAGAAGAGCGACGCTCATGGATATGCTGACGTAACCCATAGCCACGCCGACAGCGGTATCCATGGTGTCCACGAGCAGGGCACAGCCAACACTCCAGACAATCGCGGCGCTAAACCCTTGCAGGAGTCTACCAACGACAAAAAGGGCGATGCTGTTGCCAAAAGCGAGCAGCAGGGTGGACGCCGCCAGGCTGACGAGGCCAATGAGCAGGGGCCAGCGCCGCGACGATGAGTGGTCCGCATACATGCCGGCTAGAGGAGCACCGACGAAGAGGGCGAGGCTGTAGCAGGCAAGCAGGATTGCAACCCATTGTTGGACTTGGTCTTCAGCCACGCCGGCACGAGAGCTCAGCGCAAAGGGAATGACGGGCACGATGAGGGCATAGAAAAATATGTCGGTAAAAATAGCAAGGTTCACTGCAGGATAATCAGCATGGTTTTTCAACGAAGGGCTCTTCAACTTCCGAAAGGGTCAAATTTACCAGTGAGGACAATGAGAAAGGTTGACGAGCGCCAACCCAACCCGATCGGTGGTTTGGAAGCGGATGTCGCCGGGGTGCCCGAGGAGAACTCGCGAATGCTCGACCACAACGTCATGTTGCCAGCAGTCGAGCTATTAGGTGTGAGAGAGAAAGTCAAGGAGCGCTGCACGTTGTGTGAATAACCTCAACCCATGCTGGAAGAGAATCTTCAAATATTGCGAGCAAGTCGTTTCAACATGCAGCGGAAATGAGGTTGGCTGCGCCTGCAAAGGTTGACCTGAAGTAGGAGGTGAGGAGGTCGCATCAGACGGAGGAGGATGTGCGATGATGTGGTTGACCTGGGGAAGGAAACTAGCCAGTCTACTTTATTTAGTGCGCTCGTCAACATGATGGCGCCCCGGCAGAGGGACCCCTGTTTGCCGGCGTCATATTCTTGAGTGCTCCGGGCGGGGTCCGTCGGGAGTCGTGGGCTCTGTCTATGTAAGTCCTCATGGGCAGAGAGGTGGCCGCCTTCGCCAAAGCGAACAGTAACGTCGACGCTCAGCTGGAGAGGACTATGAAGTGATGTGCAGCCCCAGGCCGTTGTTTGTTGGTTCCGGCAGGCACATCCAGCACATGAGCACTAACGAGTCGTCCCGTCGGGTGCTACCCCCAAGGGCCGGGGCCTGCCACAGGAAACTCATCGCGAGCGATAAGCTGCGCCGATAAGCCAGCTCTCTTCCGCCGCCCCATTTTAATTTTCCATCCTCGATTCTGCCCGTCAACCTCCAAACTCCAGACCTTCAAGAGCTTGCAGTCTGTCCCGATCAGACAAAAGGCGAAAGCGCGGCCAAAGTGAGCCCGCCACACACGCAAAACGGCCGACAGATTGAATCCATCGGTCCCTTCAATCGCTTCCAGCTGCACCACACAGATACGTCGGGAGCCCAGCGTGCTCTCGCGCCAGCCACCACGAGATGGCAGACAAGTCCTCCGAGGACGGGTTCTCCGTCCTGCCAGTCGCCATGCCACCACTGCCAGCATTCCCAGTCCAAACCACACACCATGTGTACCTCAGACGAAACACGCCAAAGATACCCAGCCCCGACGACTCGCGCAGCCTGTTCCTCGCCAACGTGCCCGTGGACAGCACCGAGGCGCACTTCCGAGCCCTCTTCGCCAGCCTCGTCGGCGCGGGCCGCTTCGAGGGTGTCACTTTCGAGCGCGACCGTGCGACGCAACACAGCACGACATCGCATGAGCCCGCGCAGGCTGCGCGAATCGCCGCACACCTTCAGAAAAAGCGCAAGCGGGAGGACGAGGAGCGGCAGAACCTCCGGGACGCGATGGCCGCCGAGCTGCCAGAGACCTGGGCGCGGCCACTGCACCGGAGCGGGAGCACGGCAGTAGCGCTGCTCGTGGACGAGAAGAGCGTCGAGGCCGTGCTCAAAGCCATCAGGAAGCTGAACAAGGCCAAGAAGTACCCCCTTTGGGGTGAAGGGGTAAAAGCGGACAAGGTCGCGCCGCTGGGCTCGCAGTGGCTCAAGGCACACAACAAGCTGTCGTATCCCGGAACGGAGGCGGTGCAGGCCGCCGTGGACGCGTACTTCACGCTGTTCAACCGCCGCGAGGCCGAAGCTGAACAGCTGGCCAAGAGGCTACGCAATGAGCCAGACGAGGACGGCTTCGTGACAGTGACGCGGGGCGGTCGCAACGCCCCGGCGAGGATGGATGAGGCCGAGGAAGCTAAGAAGCGGATGCTCGAGAGGGCGCAAAAGAAGAAGGACGAGACGCAGGACTTCTACCGCTTCCAAATGCGTGAGCGCAGAAAGGCGGAGCAGGCTGACCTGCTCAGGAGGTTCGCCGACGACAAAAGGAAGGTCGAAGCCATGCGGGAAAAGAGAGGAAAGTTCAAGCCCGAGACGTGAGGACTCGGCGCCGCCCAATTCTGAAGTCCGGCTGCGGCCAGAAGGGGACATCACGAGGGAAGAAAATAATAACTTCCACTCGTGGTGTCTCTGCACGTCTCTCCTTAAGTAAGTCGCAACGACTACCGCTTCCCGTCCTCCCATCTTTGACATGATGACATGTGCGGGGCCATCGTACCGTGATAGCCCACCAGACCACTGGAGGGAATCAAAAGGATCACGCTCCTGCCGACACAAACCGCATACACTATATCTTCTCAACCTGTCTGAAAACATCAACTGCCCAAACACACCATTTCTCCGCCCGTACTTTAGCCGGATTGTTGAACTGATTTCCGAGACAGGCGAGACTTTACCCGTACTGTCACTCCACGCGTGCTGGGTATTTTACGCTGCCCCGATAACGAGAAGCGCGGTGTCAATAGTTCACAAGAAAGGAAGAAACGACACGTTGATCAGCATGGCCCTGCTGGCTCGTGGACAAGCTGCGTTCTAAAGACACGAGCCGCGCCATGGCCAGACTTGCTCGAACTACCTGCGGACATCAATCAATGAGGATTGCTAGACAACGCGGGAGGTATCATGACACATCAGAGCACACGGTCCTGGTTGGTGGGTGGTGAAGGAAAGAGGATACCACATTGTTGTGGCCAGTTGTCACCTTGCTTGTCAGGCATCTTATCCAAAACTACCGCCATATGGTCGCATAGAGCAATAGCGAAAGCCCTTGAACAAGAGGAAGACTGTTGTGACATACAACAAAGCATATAATTCCCTGACCCTCGCATATCGTGCTCACAGGCCCCGGGCCGCCCGAGACCTCAAGGGTGCTGTGTTTCCCACTTTCATGCATGATTTGCAGACCAGCTGGCCGTCTAGCGTGGCGGAATAATCATGAGCGGCAGTATGATGCTCATGAGTAGGTCAAGCGACGTTGTGGACACTACGCCGTAGGACTCTTCGCCATGAAACTGATCTTGTCAATAGGCTGGGTTGGGGATCAGTCAATGCCATAGGCAGCGGCACACCGTGCATCACAACCGGAGAAGACCAGTGCGCGGAGGAGAGTGCCCGCCCCTGCCCGTTTCACGAAATGTCGGCGGGCCATCAGCCCATGCGTCCAAGCTCATCCTGCTACGACGGTGGCATCGTTTCAACATTCGACAATGTCGTCACTGACACCGCCAAATCCTCGCAATTGTGCGTCAACAGACCGTGACTGCGATGTCACACGAAGTCGTGGCGGATATACATCTCTTGGCAATAAGCAATGGTCGGCGGATCCTTGCAGACATGCACGACTCGCGCACATCGCGTGCGCGCATACCGGACGGGTGGCGCTAGAACGAGGTCGAATGCAATCTCGAGGGATCATGAACGACGACATGAAGCATTTCCTGGGAGGAGGAACCAAGGATTTCCATATCTCCGTCGTCATGGTTGTTTGCCCGTGCGTTGTTGTTGTGCGATGCGGTCTCATTAATTATCCCACACGTGGCGTGTTGGCACAGAGCCCTTGACAGGTCGATTTGGAGCCTGCCCTGCATATGAGATGAATCTTGCAAACCGGGCTGGAATCGGGGCGGGCTTTGTTGGAGTCGAACGGCTGGAACGCTCCGGCGGACCCCGGCATTGTCTGTTGATGGGGCTCTCATTTGCGCCCGGAGGAAGAGCCTCGCTTTGGGGCTGGCAGCCGGGTGGAGCTTGGACGGACAGGGTTTCGTGCAGCCCTGCAAGGAAATTCCCCCTCGGGCCGGAGCTCACCTTCCCTCACAGACGGGTGGTTGTGCCAGGGGCAAAGAACTTCCAGCCTGGGGAAGGCACAGTGCTTGCCCATTGGACGACACCCGCTTATCAGTACTCGCCTACCATGGTACGCGTCAGGTCGATGGTTTCTTCGCCACAGTAGAGCCATTGGAGCGAGGCCGGGCGTGTTTTCTCACGTTAGGCACGTCTCGAGGCACGCAAAGGTTCGCACCACCTGTCCTTGGCGTCAGTTCATAAAGTCAGGTTGAAGCTTCTTTGCGCGCCGTTAGGGGACAGTGGTCAGATGTGTCTGTGTGGCAGGCTCGAAGAATCAGCACATGGTGGACGGACGGTGGACCATCAATTGGGTCCCACCGGAGCCCGGAGCCATTTCCACCTGGGCAGGATGCGCGAGCAGCGACGGCACCAGTATTTTGATCCCAAGGCGGGACCCTCTGTCACTTTCTCTGGAATTCTGCGCGACTGCAACCGACACCTGGGCAGCTCGCCTGGCCAGCGTTGGAATGCGCCTTTGCAACACCAGCGACGACGGATAGAGTTTTGCGACGGAGCAACTTGCGCTTGCGAAAAGAAACACTCCAAGGGCCGACGCCAAAAGCAAGCGCCCCGCCGCCGGCCTGGGTTTTGCGGCTGAGCCAGCCATTGCTTGGCCACGCGGCGGATGGACGGACGGCATGTTTTGCTCAACGCGGCCCGCCGACGTGGGAAACAGGCCATTTCCGATATTAGAGGGCGAAACGCAGAGATAGTCTACCCGGGGATCTTCGCATTTCGAGCGACCATCTCGGCCGGCGCAAAAGGCGTGGCTCTGATCGCGCAGAATGTAAAGGGTCTCGCGCATTGAAACAGGCGAGGATCGGCAGCCCGGCAAAGCTTCTTCTCAGCTGCCCTCGTGTGCAGCGTGCAACTTCATTGTGTCCTGCCTGACTTGCCGTAGTATAGCACTGCCATGCCCTGTCGCATTTCCACGGAGCGAAGGCTGGATGGCGCGCCGTATGAAACTGTCCTGGCAGCTTTGGAACCGAGCGCATTCCCAGGCAAGTGCGAGACTCTGTCTGGCAAGGCGGGCAGGCAGGCGAGCAGTCATCGAGATCGGCGGCGGTGCAACGCAGCACTGGGGCCAGGGTGCTCTCGCCCTGGTGGTCCTGGGGAGAGGCTCATTCGCTGCTGCTGGGAGGTCTAGAATCGCAGCACGCACCACTGCGCAGGCCTGCCCCTGTCCGGCAGCGACAGAAGACAATTCCGGGCTCACGCCGCCAATGGTTAGCCGGAATGCGGCGGTTGCTGACACCACAGTAGACACAGGACAAGTGGTTGTATGCTGGCTGTCCACCTGTACAGCACAAGCAGCACATGCACCTGCGGCCTGGCCAGAGGCCAGGACAGGCAACGCACACCATTAGCCGTACCTCAGTACGTGTGCGTGGCTGGGCGTGGTTGAGGGTTGCGTGCGTGAGACACAACCAGTTGGCCGAGTTGCAGAAATTGGCGGATAACACAGATGGCTGGATGATTCAGGCCGTTTCCAATGCTGGAGTCGGGACAGCATCTGTTGCGGCAAGCATTGACAGACGACTGTCATGTCGAGCATGCATGAAGCAAGTACCGTGTATTTCAACGAGCACGCGACCTCTGAGGTGCTTGCTTGCTGTAGTGCGTACTGCCCATCGTCGAGAGGTTGCTCACTGGTGTGCCAGCAGCCAACAGTGCAGGACACGATAGCAGTCCGCGTCAGCACTGTCCAGGGAGCCAAGCCTCCGCCGGCCACGCGCGCCCTGGGTCCCCTGGCCGCTGTGGTGCTTGGCCATCCTGTGTTTCTCCAGCAAAGCCGGGACGTGCCCACCAGGTGCTGCTCCCCAAATTGTCTGATTCTCCAGAGTTCCAGTCCCACCCACTGAGCTTCTCTCGCAAATCCTGTCCACCTCCCGCAACCCATCTCTCGATTGGCGCTTGCCGATCCCTTCTGGCCTGGCGATCCGAACCATCCCAATTCTTCCACTCAGGTTCACCATCGCTGAGCCCGCCACCTAGGACGAGAAATTCCCGTCTAGGCATTGTCGATTGTCTCGTGTGCTCGTGTGCGACCAAGGGACGGTATCTCGCATCTCAGCTCTCGCTGACAGGCAGTGCGTCCTTAGTGAGCACGCCACGCTGCGCGCCAACGGAACTACCCAGTCGCGCAACTTCCAGCCTTCGCCGCCGCCGCCGACAGGTCATACTGCTTACACATTCATTTATGCAGTGTCCAACTGCACGCCGAACAGTACAACACACTTGAATCCACGAGACATCTTCCTTGCGACAGCCTGGCGAATCCCGTCTTGCCTTGATTCGACATTGACGCCTTGTGGCCTGCTGCGCTCGACATCTCCCACGCCAGATCGGCAGCCGGGAGAGGATGCATGCGACGAGCTAGCCCTCCTGCAACATTCGATTGCCTCCCTCCGGCACCATGAGGATCGCCATTCGCGAGCAACTGGCAGTCCTCGTGCTCCTTGCCGTCCTCGTCGCCCTCGCCATTGTCTCCATACCTGTTTGGGTCTACGTCAACCAGTTCGTGGTTGGTGTCACCTCTGGCGGGCTCACGCTCACGGCATCTCTGAGGGCGGCTCAGATCGCCTCGGAGCTCTCGTTGATCCAGACGACATGTAACACCATTACCTCCCGCTTGCTGTTGCAGACCGTCCTCAAGGACTTTTATCGCGGCAATGATACCAGCCCCGGCTGGAATACGGCGGGCGAGGACCTCAGGAGCGCGCTCGATTCCGGTCTCGCCGGAGGCACCCGCGCTCGCCTCCTGCAGGCTCGAGTTTACTCTCGGAACACGACAGGAGCCAAGGCTGATGGTCTCCTCAGCATCACTGGGAGCGGCGACCCGGTGACGCTGCCATATGTGGGCAGCAATGGCGACGTCGTCGAATTGGGTGATGTTGGCTTTGGCTATCCGCCTTCTCTCTACCCCAACATTACCTACTACAATTCGTCCGATCCTGATCCCCTCAACCCTGGGCACACTGCCCAAGTTGCGCGGCCATTTCCAGATATTCGGATCGACACCACCGTGAACGGTCTCATTCTCGGCCCACTGATGCTGACTGAAGAGGATGCACTCGTGTCCTTCACGACTCCGATTCGAGAGAATTCCAACTCGAATGCCATCCTGGGCTACATGACAGTGGTTGCCGACGCCTCGTCGATTATCGGGATTGCGCAGTCTAAGGAAGGCCTCGGCACGACCGGGAGCCTCTTGATCGTGGGTCCTGCGACTGGCTGGAATCGCTTCAGCAGATGGAACTTGCCTGCCAATTCGACGCACGACGCAGCAGCTAACTTCACGTCCGTCGACGTCCGTTTTGTGCTACCACCCACCCCGCAACCAGGACAGCCTGACCGTCATACCGGACACAGCTATGCTAGCGGCACGTTCGATGATCCGTGGAAGGTTGTGGATTATAATGCCGTATACAAAGCATTCACGGAACGCAACACTGCTCTCAACAATGCCAGCAGCATGCTCTACACCTACAACGAGCAGGGCGTCCCCGTTGCCGTTGGATATGCTCGACCACCGACAGCCCTTGTGAACTGGACTGTAATCATTGAGCAGGATGCCTCTGAAGCCGATATCCCCATCAGCACTTTGAGAAAAATCCTGCTTGGTTGTGTGTTTGGTACCGCTGGGTTGGTTTGCTTGCTCATTTTCCCGTGTGCGCACATTAGTGTAAAGCCTATCCGGGAGTTGAAGGCGGCCACCGAGAAGAGCGTTGCACCGCCAGGCTCAGATGAGGGCTACGATGATGATCTCGACTATGGCGATGGTGCGAGGTCTTCCTCCGCGATTGTTAGCAACAAATCTGAGAAGGGCATGATGGTACAAATCAAGAAGTTCATGGGGCTGCACAATACTGGCCCTCAGCTGTCGGCCAGCGATCGTGCACGCCAAGCTAATCGCAGCTTCAAGATTCCGAGCCAAGTCAAGGATCACAAGCACATCATTACGGACGAGCTGACAGAGCTGACCACGACTTTCAACGAAATGAGCCGAGAGCTCGAGGCGCAATACTCCTCATTGGAGGATAAGGTCGCCGTGAGAACGCAGGAGCTCGAGATCAGCAAGAAGGCAGCCGAGGCCGCCAACGAGAGCAAGACCTTGTTTATCGCCAACATCTCGCACGAGCTCAAGACGCCGCTCAATGGCATTTTGGGCATGTGTGCTATCTGCATGGAGGAAGACGATATGCTGCGCATCAAGCAATCTTTGAAGACCTTGTACAAGTCTGGAGACCTGCTTCTACATCTTCTAGAGGACCTCTTGAGTTTCTCCAAGAACCAAATCGGCCAACAGCTTGCGCTGGAAGAACGCGAATTCCGTCTCGGAGACATTCGATCGCAGATTCTGACCATCTTCGACAAGCAAGTCCGGGAGGGTGCCATCAACTTTTCGGTGTTATTTCTCAGCACCGATCTTGACGACAGCGGACCCGACGTACCTGAATCGAACCAGCACCTCCCTGCACTGGGCCCTTCAGGCACTGGCCGAATCAAGGACATGTGCCTGTGGGGTGACCAACACCGTATCCTGCAGGTCCTGATCAACCTTGTCAGCAACAGTCTCAAATTTACTCCCTCGGGCGGTAAGGTAGCGGTCAGAATCCGCTGCCTCCACGAGATCGAGCACGGACAAGACGAGAGTAGGTCCTCGTCTACCTCGCGGAACGGTTCAGCTAGAGGCCGGGCGAGGCGCCGGGTTGGCTCTGGCTCGAATCACTCAACTAGCTCCCGGGGACAAACTACTCCGCAAGCGCAGTACAAGGGAGGCACGGTGTTGTCCATTAACCCCATGGAACCCAAGGTCGTGCCGCAAGTCCACGTTCGCGAGCGATCGCAAACGCCGCCGCCTCCTAATGCCAAATCCTTCATGTACGAGTTCGAGGTTGAGGACAGTGGCCCCGGTATCGCCGAGCACATGCAGGACCGAGTCTTCGAGCCGTTTGTGCAAGGTGATTTGGGACTCAGCAAGAAGTATGGTGGCACAGGTCTGGGGTTGAGCATCTGCCAGCAGCTCGCTCATCTGATGGGTGGCACCATAACACTGCGAAGTACGGTTGGTGTCGGCACTACATTCACGATGCAAATCCCCCTCAAGTACACAAGTGAAAGGTGAGTAATGAACCACTCCTAACTTCGTTGAACGCCGCTGACTTTCCGGTGTAGGCCATCGAGTACCGCCTCCAGCAGTATGCGCTCCCGCCACTCCAGCGTCACCTCTCTGGAGGGTGAGAACCGCAAGGCGTCAATCACCCAGGCCAACGCGGAAGTGAAAGCCAGCGTGCTCGAGCAGCAACCTCGATTAGTTGGTCTCCGCCAGCCTTTCTTCGCTGCCAACCCAAGCACAAACTCTGGACCGTCGGCAGATGAGCAGATGAAAGTTGTCGAGCAGGCCGCGGCACAGAAGGCCAACGGCAAGCTGCGGGTCCTAGTGGCTGACGACAATCAAACCAACGTAGAGGTTGTCACGCGGATGCTCAAGCTTGAGGACAACTACGATGTCACGATTGCCACCGACGGACAAGAAGCCTACGACTTGGTCAAGGCCAATATGGAGAAGAACCGCAACTTTGACTTGATTTTGATGGATATCCAGATGCCCAACCTGGACGGCTTGCAAAGCACACGGCTGATCCGCAAGATGGGTTACAGCGCGCCCATCGTCGCCCTAACGGCTTTCTCCGAGGAGAGCAACAAGAGGGAGTGTATTGAGTCCGGCATGGACGAGTTTCTGGCCAAGCCTATCCGCCGGCCGGCTCTGAAGCAAGTGCTGAAGAAGTTTGCTACGATCCCCGAAGAACCCGAGACGACTTCTTTGAAGAAGAAGAACAGTTCCGAGAAGAGCACCACCTCGTCCGACCACGGCTCGGTCACCGCCAACGGTACGGTGTCGTCCGCGGACCAGATAGAGCCTGCAGACGCCGCGGCGAAGCCCCACATGAACGGGAATGCGAAACCGACCATCTCGGTCTCCGCGGCACCTGCGGCAACACTATAAGGGCCGCATGTGGTACCAATATCTTCAGTTTGCATACCCCTCGCACTGCCCACTATTTGATTTGAATTCAGGCGATTCATTGTATCTCTTTGTAATGAACGTAAGAAGAGGGGGGCTCCGCCACCTGGTCTTGCGCGACTACCCTCTTTACAGACGATGCGGAGCGGCACACATATATTTGTCGATGTCATCTCTACCATTCGTTGATGTTTGATATTACCTCTGGGATCTGGAGTTTAGGCGCATCAGCGGCGCAACCACAGCATGGGAACACAGGACGTGGCCTTTTCTTTTCTCATTTCTGGCCTGATTTTATACATGATATCAGGCCCCGAGTATAGCGAACGACAAAACAAGGGAAAAGTTATTTACAGACAATGACATGGAAGGCTTCCTTCCTTCCGTCTTTGCTTGTCCGTCTCTCCTCACGGAGTCACGTGCTTCTCCAAGTGCATGCTGTCGGCGTGAAACGTCTTCCGTCTGGTACAGTCAAGAACACTCGCGTGTCAACAGAAACCTCACGATGACACGACAGGCCTGCGCGTCGAATTGGCTGTCCCGGGCGATGCCAGATGACTTGTCTTTGAAACCCAGCGTTTTTCACGTGCCCGTCCAGTCACTGAGACAGCCTTCGTATTTATTTATTTTTATTTTATTGCAGCAGTGGAAGTAGCAATCCTGGACAGGAACATGAGCTGGAGGGCTGTGGGTGGCTAAACTTATACCCGGCCCGAGCGGGACGGAGCTCGTTCCGAGACCGGCCGGCCGGCCGTGGAGCGCGGGGTCACCTACCTGTTCGTGCCGAGATGGCTGCCGCGCGAAGAGTTCTGGGCCCGGGAGCTGTCGGCAGCTAAAAGAACAGGGCTTTTGGACTTTTGTCGTGTGAGAACAAAGGCCAATTGCAGCCCCGTTCTGATGTGCTCTTTTCTCCGCACTCGGTTTAGTCCCTGGACCTCGTCGTCGTCCTTCTCCTCCATCCCGCCCAGGCTGGCGCCGCCGCCGTCGACTTTACTTCTTCTCCGCAGCACCAATACCACCACAACCACAACAACAGCAACCCGACTCCTGCGCCCCTTGCACACCACCCGGACCCTCAAGATGCGCATCCCCTACGTCCCGGACCCCCCCAACCCGGGCCAGAGCCCCGAGGACGCCGCGGTCGTCGACCGCGTCCGCCAGCGCCGGCACCCCCGCCCCCTGCAGCCCCTCGACCTGGCGCTGCTGCACTCCCCTCCCGTGGCCGACGGGTGGAACTCGTTCATCGGCGCGATCCGCACGAGGACGACTTCCCTGCCGGACTCGCTGCGCGAGCTGGCCATCTGCCGCATCGCCGTGTGCAACCGCGCCTGGTACGAGTGGGCGCACCACGCGCCCCTGGCGGTCCAGTACGGCGTCAGCCAGCAGTTCATGGACGAGTACGTCAAGGGCTGCGCGGACCTGGAGGGGCAAGTCACGCCCGAGGTTAAAGACAAGTGCAAGGCCGAGTGGGCAGTGGGCGACGAGGAGTGGGTCGTGCTGCGGTACACGGACGAGATGACGCGCAATGTCCACGTCCCCGACGAGGTGTTTGCCGCCGTCAAGGCCCTGTTCGACGAGAGGACCGTTGTCGAGTTGACTGCCACGGTGCGTATTTCTCCGTTCTTCTTCCTCCTTGTCCCGTCTTGTCTGTCTGGCTGGAAGGCTCTGGGTTCTGCCCCACCACTTATCCTCTGGACGGACGTTGATTGTTTGTTGTGCTATGCGTGGGTTTTTGGGGGGATGAACTCGAAAGCTGACATGTTCTTTGTGTGTCGCGCCGATACAGGTCGCCGCGTATAACTGCGTCAGCCGCTTCCTTGTTGCGCTCGATGGTACGTTGTCCCTGTCGCACCTCCCCCATTGTGTATACCGGCATTTCGAGTGGCATCCATTGACAGACATCTTTGCTCTGCTACAGTCGGCGAGAGAAACGCCACTGGCCCGGATGCCGTGGTCCACCACTAGAGCGGCAATCTCACGTGGTAGCACATCAAAACCGGCAAATTTCAGTCACTCGTTCACGATGACGGCAGAAATGATTGCTGTGCGAGCGGTTGGGCTATGGTCAGGCTTCACTCAGAAGAATAAAATTCAATTAAAAAAAAACAAATCGAACATGGAAGCCTCTGAATCATTCTCGCTGCTGTTTACTTTATTTGTTATTCACAGAGTCCTGGACAGCGTCCGCGTGATCATGAGAATGGGTCTACACCATCGTTGAGGTTTGGTGCTACAAACACTATATATGCACCATCGTCAAGCTTGCAAGCTTGCCTCTATCTGATCGCCGCTATCTCCGCCGCTGTATCCGTCCCAAGAGCTTGTCCACTTCTAGCTCCAAGCAACGCCGGACACCTCGCGGCTCCAAGCCAGGCAAGGCCCGAAAAGGCGCCATCCTCCTGTAATATAAAAAAACGGCCAAATATGGAAGAATCATAAGCTATGTTGTCATTAAAGTTTAGGTCGTATCATGGGGTATCTTCGGGTCCGAAGGAAACTGAAATCAGGTACTGCGCGCTCGGGAATGTATGGAACAAAGTCCTCTGGACTATTCTAGCGGGCACAATCGTGATATCGTCAGAGTCGTAAGGAGCTCTTGGTCGTATAAATCATAAGTCGTAACATGAATGACAGGAGAGGCAGCCATTTTATGTCTGGTTTATGCGTCGTCATTGTTCTTGTTCAGCGTCAAGTCGTCGCTGATTTTTTCGAGGACACTGCTTATCGGCACAGTTGTAGGAATGGCCTGGAGGAGCGGGCTTCCAAGGGGCGACATTGGTGGCGAGCGCATGGCCTCTTCTATGGACGCATGCCGCTGCTTGAGTATTGGACTCCTTCGCAGCTCCTCGACAACGCCAAGCCAGCCAAGCCGCTGAGGTTGACTGCGCTTGTCGCTATGGCCCATGGCTTGTGAATGCGTCTTGATCCGAGTCAGCTGTGGCCGTTTGGTGGTTACCGCCTCGGTAATTGACTTGTGGAGCGCCTGGAGGTGAGCTGGTCGCGTTGGTGTTTCGGGCATGTGTGGAGCATTTCGAGCGCAGTCATGGTGCTCGTGGTGTGCGCCAGAGGAAGGAGGGGTGTTGAGCATGATCTGCTTCTCCTTTATGAGAGCTTGCTTCTCTCGTTCGCCAGCAGCACTGGTGAGGATGCCCATGTAGACAACCATGAATCGCATGCGCATCATGTCTAGTCGCCTCATGCGTTCCTCCAAGCCTCGGCGATGTCCAGCCCAGAGCACGCGAGCGCTTGTCCGGAGCGTCGTGCCATTCTCCCCAATGACGATCTGGTTCAAGTCCTCGCGCAGGTCATCGCCGCACTTCTGAATCTCGCGCAACAGCTGACCGAGGCGCATCTTGTCCTCCAAACGCGTGGCGCGAGCAATGTCTCTGTCGTAGCTCTCATTCTCTTGAATAGAGAAGTCGACGGCATCGAGGAAGGCTGTGACCTCGTGGGGAGCTGCGATGTAGGCAGTGGTATATGTTGCGATGATCTGAGCGCAGACGATAAGGGAGAGAAAGACGGCAGCGACGATAAAAATCACGGTCCAGAGGAACGAAGAAGGAATTTGCGCCAAGATATTGGCGTCGACCATGGCGGGCGCTGGTGTGGTGGGCACGGGAGGCGAGCGTTGAACGACAAAGTCGGGTGCAAGACTACCAGCTTGGTTTGATGCCGCTGGGCTATAGTGGTTTATGAGCGGGCTGTCGATATCGAACGTGGCTTCTTGCGATGAGTGAAGATGCGGGATGGCGAGTTGACCATAACTTAGAGGGATGGCGGCGCAGGCAAAGGGCTGCGAAGGCGATGAGGCCACCATGAGCGCAGAGGGCGACGTTGGCGATGGGATGCAGGAGGCCAACGAGCACCAGGATGACGTTGCGCCTCCTCTACAGGCAGATGAAAATAATGAAGGCGCACGTTCACAGGATGCCGGCTGCACCGGAGACAACAGCAGGCTGTGCCCGATGGCGAGCAGCACAAGGTTGGGCTGCTGTGCGTCGAAAGCCGCGGCGTGGGTGTGGTATTTGGCGGGAGAGATGCTTGGGAGGGTGGCACGTCTGGTCCAACCAGGGCACTTGGTTGATGGTCACGGGCCGTGGTTGGGGGCAGGCCCGTGTTATTGGCCGACTTGGATGACGGATGGCCAGTGGCAGCTCGAGCGTATAAGTGCAGCAGCAGGACGACCTTATAAGATGGGTCGACGAGGGGCGAGGAGCAGCTATGATATGGAAGGGCTTGTGTCTAGGTGACGCCAGCAGCGTGTCTCGAGGCAGGCAAGTCAGACTCTATGCGAAGAGGCTGAGGTAAGCGAGGAGGAGAGGCCGAGCAGGAGGAGGACGGATCACCAGAGAAGACGAGGGGGAGCCGCGTGGGTGAATGAATTTGGGCAGTGGTGTGGTTTTGAGGGCTCGAGTTGTGCGCGGCGGGCTGGTGTGAGAGAGGCAGAGTGCGTGGGCGGCGGATGGGACGGCGTGGGCTGGGTGGGCGACTGGGATCAGGCCAGAGAGGGGGGGCGAGAGGGGTTGCAACGGTGCCGGCCGCGCAGCCAACGAGACTCGAGCAGCCGCCGTCTAGAAGGAAGTGAATGCTGCAGGCTGCAGCCAGGAACAGATGCCCAGTGGAGCGACGCAGTGCAGTGCTGTGCAGGAGTGAGGTCATCTGTGTGCAGTGGCTGCTTTGTCAATGGATGTCGGCGTGCTTCGATGACGGAGCCCCTCCAGCGAGGGAGGACGAGACCAAGAGATCGCGGAAGAGGAGGAGCATTGGCGAGCACGCGAGAGCAGGCCGCATGGCCCATGGGATCCAAGCAGGTCCTGGTCTCGACCGACCGGCCTCAACAATAATCAACTGGAAGCAACCGACCCCTCTCCCCAACTCGAACTCGACCCATGCAGGCCGCCCTGTCAGGAGACATCACCCGCTCCATCATTACACAATGGACTGACTTGGCTTGACACTTGCAGCTGAGACCACGAGCTAGCGACAAAATCAATGCCGCCTCTTGCTTCCCAGCCGAGTCGAGGACGCGTCCGTCTGCTGGCGTCGGCGCGTGTCTGCTATACTTTGGTCAGCTCGAGCTGTGCAAGTGGGCAATGGATTCGTCGATTCCCAGCCATGCCAATTCTCAGCCGCCTCGACGCTGCCGCAGTCTGCCGGCCAGGGCGGACAATGGATTGTGCATTTGCGGAAGCGTGCCGATGCCGCAGGCGACTAACGTAGGCCCCTTGCCGCCCACTGCCATATCTGTCACATGGCCCTGCCGTCCTGGACCCATTGGCGTCGTGCCTGATTCAAGACAAGCGACCACACGCCCCGTGTTGGACCATCTGGGCGGTGAGTTTCGTGCGTGCACTGCCTGCGAGCGGAAAGCCAGGGAGGATATGCAGCCGGGAAATTACCATTCTCACAGTACTGTCCACCCGACCACAAGGCCTGCAACGCCAATCTGCAATGCACACTGATCCTTGCAGCAAAGACCCGCGCCCACCACACTGGAACAGCGCTGATCCTTTGCGGGCTGGGGCCATTGTGGTTGCTTTTGGACGCCAATTAATGATTAGCGGATCATCCTGTCAAGCTCGACGAGAGTGACCTAGGCCAGATCAGGCTAGCCTGGAGACAGCCCTCTGGACAGAACCCCTCGCTCCAGACCGGCCATCTGCGATAAGCCCTTATCGACTCGCGGGGCAACTTCACGATTTCCACACACTCGCTCCTTCTCCGCAGTCGCTCGTTGGATAAAACAGTGATGTCAGATATCACCAAGGCCTTTCTAGACACTTAAGGACGACAACAAGCAGCCCGGCTCAGTCACCACTTGTTAGCCATGGCCGCTGTCGAAACATCGCAGCCGCCACCGGCGCCCGCAGACCCTCCGAAAGAGCCCGCCTTCCCGCTCCCGAGAATCCTCACCCTGCCCTCGTCAACAGTGCCCGAACTCATCACACAGGGCGCCGAGGGCCGCTTGTACAAGTCGACATACCTCCTCCCGACCCTTCCCTGCGCGCTCAAACACAGGCCGTCCAAGCCATGGCGGCATCCCGTCCTAGATGCCCGGCTTACGCGCCACCGCATCCTCTCCGAGGCGCGCATTCTCATCAAGTGTCGGCGTGAGGGCGTTCCGGTTCCCGCCGTCTACGCCGTCGAGATCTCGGACGAGCTCGCAGCGTCCGCCATCGCCACGGGCAAATCGGCCCCAGCAGCAGCAGCAATCACAATCATACCCACACAGCCTGCGCCACAAGCGCAGCCAGGCGCCCACGCCACGGGCGGTGGCTGTCTCACGCTGGAATGGATCGAAGGCGAGCCCGTCCGGAAGCCGATAAACGAGTTCCTCAAACGGCGCCGCGACGCCGAGCGAAAAGCGGGACGGGCTGGCGACGCACCTGTGACGGGCGACCTACCCGAGGACGCCGACTTGGTCGACGTGATGCGCCGGATCGGCTCTGCGGTCGGCCGGCTGCACCGAGTTGGTGTGATACACGGCGACCTGACGACGAGCAATATGATGCTGCGCCATTCTCGGAACACATCCACGACGTCCAGCAACAGCAACAATAACAAGCGGAAACACGGAGATGATACAAGCGCGGATTCAGCTCCTACCACCACCAACACCGCCGCGGGCGCCGGCCCCGAAGACTCAGCCACATCCATCTTGGACGGCGAGATTGTAATCATCGACTTTGGCCTTGCCACTCAGGGCTCCGCCGACGAGGATCGCGCGGTAGATCTGTACGTTCTAGAGCGGGCTTTTGCGAGCACCCATCCCCGCGCCGAAGGGCTGTTTCGGGTCGTCTTGGAGGCGTACGGAAAGGAGTTCAAGGGCGCCGGAGTGGTTCTCAAGAAGCTCGAGGATGTCAGGATGCGTGGGAGGAAGAGAAGCATGATTGGCTAGCTTGAGGGGGGCCCCTGGCCTGGTTTACAAAGGTACCAAAAGCACAACAGCGATATTGAATGCGACCACGACGATCTGGACACAGGTCGATGCCCATTGGCAAGGAATGGGCCAGCACCTAATCGCTGCCCGGCATGATATGGTCCAATGTGTTTGTTGCTGTTTTCAGGGCGATGCTGGTGCAGCGTCTCAGATTGAATGCGTCGTGCCACGTTGCCGCCAAGTCTGGAATATGTGAAGGACACGGTGCAATGAATGATGATGAAGACAAGCCATGTTCCTGAAAGCTATGCTGGGATCGAAATATGTATGCCAGAAAGAACGAACGGGCGGACGGGTGGCGAACAGACACAAGGACACCCACAGCTACTGCATCTTGACCCTCTTGGGATCCCGCTGCGCCGCCGTGCCGTCATCGTCGTCCGCCAGCTCGGCACCCGCGAAATAGCCCTTGTTCTCGATGACGCCCCGGTCCTTGACAAACGCCGTGTACTTGACAACCCATTCTGGCAGCAAGTCTCCCGTTAACCGGCCGTGACCAGCAGCCTCTTCCCCGTTCTCCTCCTCCTCGCCGACACGACCACCCCCACTTGCAAGCACATCAGCGCCGCCCTTCTCTTTCGGGCCCAGGAGCTCCCGCAGCGTCCCGCCAGGCAGGATGTCCGTGCAGTCGCTGTGCGTGAGGAGCTCGATGCCTTCCCGCTTGGCGAGCTGGACGAGGGGCGGGGGCACGCTGCAGCAGTTCTTGACATTGATCTGGTCCACGGCCGGGCGGGTCTGCACCTTCTCGAGGAACCGCTGGAGCTTCTCGCTGCCAAACTCGGCGATGCCCAGGCGGCCGATGCGGCCCTGGGCGTGCAGGGCCTCGAGCGCGGTCCACGTCGCCAGCTCGTCGGCGTCGTTGCCCATCTTGGCGTTCTTCTTGTCCGCCTCCCACTCGCAGTCGCCCTCGAACGAGATGCCCGGGAACGACACGATAAGCAGGTCCACTGTGAACTTTTGGCTGTCGCTGCTGCTGCTGCCGCTAAAGCCGAGTTCCTTGCCGACCAGGTCCAAGGCTTGTGTGATGTACGCTTCCCGCTGGGCCACGGGCGCCGTGGGCAGAAAGAACATCTTGAGGGTGATTTCGTACTGGTCCCGGTCCTCCTGCAGCGCCGCGCCAGACCAGTCGATCCGTGGGATATACAGCGTGCCGTCTTCCCGGGCCGTCCACGCCGCAGCTGGGGTCGTGGCCGCAGTGGTTGTGGTGCTAGTGCCATTCGTCTGCTGTGCTACAACGCCGTTGGTCCCGTCCGGCGTCTGCGCAGCCCAGTCTGCGCCGCCATAGTCCTGCTGGGCCGCGGCGAAGCTGCTACGGAGCGAGTTGACGAGTTCGAGGTTCGAGCGCGTGGTACCGGGCTTGCGAATGATCGACGGTCCGCCCGAGATGATGTTCCTGCAAGTCGCATCGGTGCTTTAGTCAGCCGGGGTCGTGCGGGGGGTTCGGGAGGGGGTAGAAAAGCAAGCAAGCCGAAGTACTTCGAGCCGAGCGAAGGCGATAAAAGACACAGCGCGGACTGGTGCATACCCGGTGGAGAGGACAATGCGCGTCATGGTGAAATCGCAACAATGCCAAGAGACCTTTGCCGCTGACGACTCCAAGGAAGACTCTAAGTGGGAGAGACCGAACGCCGATGGTACGATTAGAATGTGTCGGGGTTTGCGGACCGTGCTGCGCGAGCGCGAAGTCGACCGCTGACCACAGGAAGACTGCCGGAGTGGTTCAATGTGGGAAGTCTACAGGTCCAGGATCGGGACGAGCTGTGTCGGAGGGAGGACGGTGATATCAAGAAAATTGCAGGCATAAAGTTCCATAAAGTTTGGAAAGGATAGAGGGGCCCAGGCTAGCAGGGCGAAGTCGGCCAGTCCGACGGTTAGGACGCAGGTAGCGTAACCCACCTAGTACCACCACACTCCCAGTGTCGAGACACGCGCGAAGAACAAGAAGACAAGGCACGACTCACGATTTCTCGATGGGCAGTATCAGCCGCTTGTCATTTGGAAATAAGATGTTGCCCTTCCGAGCACAGCTTGTCTGGATTAAATCTGCAGCCTTGCCTCGTCTGTAAGACGCCTGGAAAAGTTGGAGTTGTCTCGACACGGAATGTGTCTCGGTGCCAGGTGGGATGCCTTGGCGCCACTTAGCGATCTCTGCGGATATGGGGTTGGCTAAGACGCAGGGGACCTTTGGCCCCAGGTTGGAAGGGCGTGATTGACACGCGGGGATTGAGGTCGACTGTTCTTCAAGCAAGATACCTCAAGGCCACACGAAAGCTGTGCTTCATGAAAAGTAGAATGGCGGTTCACGCCTCTCACGGATGACTTCTTGCGCACAATCTTATTCCAGTGGTTTCGCCGGTGCGGAATGCCATGGCGGGATACCCGCTCCGGAGTCTTGGTCCGCTAGCGCGTTTTGCCGGCACCCACGCGGGGCTCCGGCACATCGGAGCCAAGCTTAATATAGTGTCCATGATGGTATGTCAGCACCTGGACACATATCCTACTCATGTAAGCACCAATATTTGAGCCTGCTTGAGATGTCATTATGACCCCAAGTCGTCTACTCGATGTGCAGACGCTGCGGGTCCGTTTTGTCGGGCCCAGGTGGCATGCCAAGGTTGATAGCATCGTACAAGCCTGTCGGGTGGTGTTTCTCCCTGCTTCCGGCTCCGGCATGAGGATCCTGAGGTGGCCACTGCTTGGGGGTATGTGTGCTTATAAATTCGACTGCTTCGGCAAGATGTCTGCACCAAAGAGGGTCAGCTTGCACACGAGTGACACATCTGGCTGACAGACACGAATTGATACTCACCCTACCCTGGCCGACACTAGGAACCCCTGCGTCTGCATCTCATCTGCCAGTTCGGCCTGGTGGTTGTCCATAAGGCTTTCGTTCGGTACAGCAATGAGCTTGGCGTTGTACCGGAGTGCGTCCATGATGCTCCCAGACCCTGTGGGCTCATTCATGTCAACAATAGTCATGGATGTCTTGTCCGGTACTACAAAGCGATGTATCTTCGTGTCTTCATGTGGAGGTCGAACTTACCCGCATGGGATATGATCACTCCGTATCCTCGTCGGCCTCGCTCACCCTCGCCAGCGGATGGGCTAGCAAGGCGCATCATGCTGCCAATATCGTCGGTGTAGGCGAAGCTCTCTATCTCCAGACTGCGAGGCTCGGTGCTGGCATTGTCCGACTCTTGGCCTTGCTGTGCAGCAGCTGTCTGGAAGTACTCAAGATCCGGTCCGCACTGGACGACGAGTTTCGTATAACCCAGCCCCCGCAGTCTTTTCCTGAAGTCCACAGACGCAACCTCGTCTAACAGTGGACGGAAGCCAGCAGTTGCGCCTATCGTGACGAAACATGTCCTCGGCAGTCTAGGATCAGGCTGATTCGCTTGCTCGACGGGCTGCAACATGGGCTTGAGGCGTGGGTCGCTCAGATCTCGAGCCTGCGCTGCCATCTCGAGAGCTTCGTCGAGTTCAAACCGGGTCTTGCGACCTTCAGAATTGGCCGAGCCGCTGGGAGTGACTAGCTTGGTCTGCTATGCTTGCGGGCATGTAACAGGGTATTGTTGCTTGGATGTGGACCCGCAGTTGTCAGTGAAGTCTCGAGTGGTGGTGTTCTACTTCCACTCAATTATCAACCAGGTCCTGTGTGGCTCAAGGAAGGAGAACAATCGGTAGTAGGAATCTGTCTAAAATTGGTGTCGCAGGAACCTTACTCCGTGTGTGCTGATGTAGACAGAGGGCAGCGTGTCAATCTTGCGATGTTCGCTTCAGATTGAAATCCCACTAGGGAGGTGCGGCCCAGATGCACAGCCACACACTCTAGCTGGTAGGTAGCTTTGGTTGTGGCTCGACTTGACCTCCAGGGCTGCCCGCACTCCCCATCGTCCACGGCGGGCCCGCCTGCAGCCAGTAGCAGCGCGGATTGGCCTGCGGACTTCCAATCCACCGAAATTTGTCTTTCGAGGTCCGCGATACCGCATGGTCCTGGGAGAAGGAGGGGACAATCACGATCGCATCCACAAACACCAGCATGGCCTCCTGCTCGAGGTCCTTACGGCTGGGCCTGCGCGTCTGCAGCAGCAGACCGGCGCCCAGCACACAGTCTTTCGGCCCTTGCAGCAGAGTCGGTGCACGCATGGCCGCAGTGCCAGCCCACACCCGCCGCACCCTATCGACGACGCCAGCGCCACGGAAAGGCAAGGAAATCGACGATGTAGACGCTGAATCCGATGCGGCCGATAGCGATAGCATAGGGAACGCCGCCGACGCCGCCGCTGCTGAGGACAAGGACGTTGCGTTCATTGCCTCGAGGCTAGCGGCCATGGGGAACCAGGAGAACAACGAGATGGAGCGGATGGGTCTCGAGATGGCCCGCGTCCGCGGCGAGGGTTCACGCGCCGGCGCCGTCCGCAAGCCCACCGAGTTCTGGTACGATGTGCCGGGCACCGAGAGCGACTTGATCCTCGACGAGCAGCACGAGGCCGAGGACAACGACGCCGAGGACATTTCGACCTCTGCCCATGCCAAATTTGAGCAGTTCCGCGAGTACAGAGAGTATGCCCGTCTTGCGGCGTGGCAGCTGCCTTTACTGTCCAGTGAGTGGCTCTCGTCTTGTCTGTTGTTGTTCATACGCAAGCAACTCGGAACTTGTTTTGCTGACCGGATACTGCACCTGCAGAGCTTGCGAAACCGTTTGAACCCCCGACGGCGGAAGAGCCCCTGCGCTTCCGCTACACGACGTACATGGGCGAGACGCACCCGGCCGAGAACAAGGTCGTGGTCGAGTTCTCGCCGCGCGACCTGCCGCTGACGGAACCGCAGCAACTCAAGCTCAAGAAGCTGCTGGGCGTGCGGTACAACCCGGAGACAGAGATTGCCAAGATCAGCTGCGAGCAGTACGAGCACCAGGCGCAGAACAAGCGCTACCTGGGTGACCTCGTCGATAAGCTCATTGTCCAGGCCAAAGTATGTCATTGCAACGGGGGAAGCAGCCCTAATATGTCTATATGCATTTGCAGCGGTCTGGTGGGCATAAAGACTGACAGTATATCCCGCGGCTTCTAGGACACCACCGACACATTCGAAGACATCCCGCTCGACACGCGACACCACAAGTTCAAGCCCAAGATCAGGTTTCCGGTCGAATGGCGCATGTCCGAGGAGCGCCGCAAGTTCATCGACGAGACACGCGAGAAATCACTCCTGCTCGACCAGAGCAAGACTGAGGAGGGCAGCCTGATTGACGGCAAGAAGCTCATTGAGGAATCCTTCGCCGCCCGCGAGAAGCAGCTCGCCAAGGAGAGACAACAGCAGCAGCAGAGGACGCCGCTGCCGGCGTTTGCTGGCCGTGGTGGTGCCAAGGGAAGACCTGGCGCGCGCTTCTAAGAGACCCAACGTCGGGAATATTTGCCGGGCCTGGGTGATGCCGGAGACTCGGATGTGTGTATGCTATGTGCTGTTGATCGCAGCAATATGCGGGCATGACTTGTATTACCATGTAAAAAGCGTCTCGTGGATGGCAAAATGTATGATACTGTCCATGTTCTTTGTGAATAGAATAGAGGGGAAAAGGACCACCAGTTGAATCATGATCAATCAGTTTCCGGGCTCTTTCGTCTTGTTCCCAAGACGTGCTGGTCTTATGCCATATTGTGGTAAAGAGTATCACATTTTCCAACCCTGCTGGCTTGGTCTCCTGGCGGCGAATCTTTTGCGTAATCACATTCAAGCAAGACGACTAGTCTCACGAATGGCGGTCTCGAAGTTGCCGGGCGGATTTCTAGGGTCCGACCAGACAAAGACGGCACATCCCGAGTGATGCAATTGTCAAGGACTAATAGCCCGATGCAGCAGAACACTACCTACGATGTGGCGCACTGGTGCCATCCTGCTCACCATGCACGCAGGCGACGTTAGAGACTCGCTGGATGAAGATCTTGCTGTTGTCCAGAGACAATCATCAGCATGTGTAGGGTCCGTGCCACTGCTGGGAGTTAAGTAAGGTCGGGCCGTGCAATCAAAGCCAGAGTATCGAGTAATGCCGGTAGCCGGAATACTCGTAGTTTCTGCTCGACGAAGTCTAGACCGGGGATGGTGGACGGAACGGCCGAGCGCCAAGCCGGCGTCTCGGCAGCTGGAACATTTTCCAATGTCTTGTTAGTACTCGACTGCAACTCTTTGAGCTCGAATGTTTTTCTCCTGCCGCGACGAGTCCCACAAGACAAGGTATTGTGTGACGTAAATGGTAACTGAAGGCAATTTACCACGCACTTGCAGTATTGGATGGAAGGCAAGTTCAACGTGCGCATGGCCAGGCTGGGTTCATTTGGGTGGCTTGTAGCTCTTCAGGGTTCGCGTCGCTTCACTGCCCATGCAGCGTGACAGAGCTACCAGGAGTGTAGCCCTTCATCGGGGGCTACGCAAAGATTTGTTTACGATGAGCAGAATCATCCGCGATTCGAAATGCAGCCTCGCGCAACTCTGCCGTGAAGCAGTAGATGGCTTGTCGTTCGGTACAAGAACATTAACGCAGCAATAATGCAGTGCCCGCAGCAGGATGATGATAGCCTACGTGGAGTGCATAAAAATCAGTCAGGAGCCACCTGTATGCTTAACGGGACTGGGTACAAACTATGCTGATCTAGCGCGTGAGGCAAGGTCGGCCCCAGGGTTGTGCTATTGTGTTGGATTGAGGCAGCCCAGAAGCTAACGGGGTGGTTGGCTCGCCCCGTTATCAAGCTAGCTGGATATTCCACGTGCGCAACAAGCCTCAACGCATCGAAGGCATCAGCCTCGCAGGGCTCGCATTTCGTCCATTGTTGGAGCGGTTTTCCATTGAGCATAGAAAGAAAGGTCCCCGAAGCCGCTTCATCGCAGCCAAGAGCACACCCGCCACAAGGGCGCGTGGTTTGCGCCACACAAAGGTGACGTCAAAGCGAAGCCCAGCCACAAGATGACGTTGGTCTGCCGCAATGACGCGAGGCAGGGATCTGAAGCCATAGGTCCAGAATTTCCTAGTCTGGGTTCCTGACAGTCCAGGGTCACAGGAAGTTTCGGCATTTTGATGGTATCGCCTGCATGGGATCTCGGACGGGCTGGGCTTGCTCGGTCAAGGCTTGGACTCCGTTGTTGATGCCTGCCTCGCGAGTGATGCGCTGCGCCCAATGGAGTCCGGCCTGAAGCAAGCCTGGCTTGCTTGCGTGGCTGGCCAGGCGCATGCCTTTCTTCTAGGCAGCTGGATTCCTAGCGGTGCCAACGAGGTCTGCTGGCAAGATGGTTCGCTGTGGCTGTCGCGAGAAACCGACGTTTTGGTAAAGACCCGTCAGGATTCGGCACATAGAGTGCAGATCAAATCACGGATCAGAGTTGAATCATGAAGGTGGAACGAAACTGCCGGGCCGGGTACAACGGAATGGCTGGGCCAGGGCAGGACGGGGTTCGTGGGTTCTCAGCAGAATCACCCGCTGTGGTAAACAGGGAACGGGGCGCCACAGCTATACGCTAAGGTGTGGTCGAAAGCCCCGTGTATGACGTCTTGCCGCCAGGACCTGGTGGCTAGCCGGCTGTGATGATGCCCAGGTGATGTTGGAGGGCAGCGGCGGCAATGCAGCTCCAGCCCAGCAGGGGCCTTCCCAGGTTGCCTCACTTGGGTTCGGCACAGCCAGGCCGGACACGACGCCGCCTCAGGCATTGGCTCCTGCATGCGCTTTTCCGTTTTGGCTGGCTAGCTCTCCAGAGGTCTTGCGCACTAGGTCATACGATTCGCTCATTGCGCCTGCCATTCGTTGCACTGAGCAGGAGCTCATGGGCTGCCACTCGTCCACTCTTTCTTGTATATAACCCTCCCCCCCTCCACGCCCGTACTAGGTGTTTGTCCAATTCCTTCCCATCCATCGCCTTCATAGTCCACAGCGTTGCCAACAAAGACAACCTCATCCCAAACTCGCCTCGATACTTCCAGTCTCGACCCACAACTCTACAACAGCCAAGATGCCTTTCACCGCCAGGTAAGCTTGCTGCTCTCCATGCCATTTTCCTTTGCGAAGCCACACAGCGGCTACCGTTCTTTGGGCAAAGCTTCTACCTCACGAGCCCTTTGCTAACAACGCCCGTGATTCTTAGCGACATCTGCAAGATCATCCTTGCCATCATCCTCCCGCCCGTCGGTGTGTTCCTTGAGCGCGGCTGCGGCGCCGACTTCTGCATCAACATCCTTCTCACCATCCTGGGTTACATTCCTGGTATCATCCACGCTCTGTAAGCACCTCACCTCAGAATCACTTGTGACCGACACCTGCATCAGCGCACATGACTAACAGAATTTGCCCACAATACAGGTACATCATCCTCAAGTACTAAGCTGCAGGCTCAATGGGCATTAACCATGCGTGACGCTTCCGGGGTCTCTGTCCCCTGCAAGCCCCAGCCAACGCATGCGTCATCAGTGGGTCTTGGGCTGTCCAGCCAGTAGCAGCCGCAAGTCCCGGTCTGCACATGCTCGCGCGAGTCGGGCTTCACGGCACCAAGACCCACCACAGCTTCCATGGAGCACACAATCCGACCAAATACCCCCATCATGATACCCAACCTCTTTGTCGCCCTTCCTGGCGATGATATGACGAATCACCAACCCCGACGACTTTAATTTTGCCAAGGCGGCTGCGGCTGCCTTCTCACGTATCAATTTTGCTGAATTAGCGGTGGAGCTCTGGAGGTCACGGCATAGCGTCGGATCGACTGGTCGGCCGGCACTGGCAAGATTTCTATAATTGTTTCACATAATAATGACAGTAATGAAAGTTGCATTGATACACCATCAGTCTCTCAGCAGTGCGCTTGATATCGTGAATATTTGTGGCTTCAATTCATGCGAATATTGGTGCTGTAAATCCATCACCAGCTGTGATGCGCCGTATCAATCATCGCGGACGGAAGCAACCATACGGCGTCTCCTTGGATGAAATGTACACTTAGCGGCACTGCGCTGGATACCAACATGATCGAGTCAGAGGTACAGGTCTGGAGCTTTGGCAGACTCGGCACTGTAAGGCGTTCGGCGCGTGCGCCTGTGGCCCCGGGCTTTCGCAGCTCGCGCGATGATTCGGAACTGCCATGGACATGCGACACCGAGCATTCGCGCGGCAGGAGGAGCCCTTTGACTGCCATATGGGAAGCTTCTCAAGCAAGGCAGCTAACTACCTGTTGTCTCCATAACGCATAGTAGCCTCATGTGTCTAATTTCCTGACGCTTTCATCCAAACCTCTTGCCAAACGCCACGGTGCCGCCGACGAGCTTACCCAGCGCATAGCCCACATACACGCCCGCCAGGATCGTGACGGGCCACTTCTGCCACTCGCGGTCCCAGTCAAGCGGGATGGGCACGGCGCCGAGCCAGGCGCCCGCCGTGACGCCGACCAGGCCGCCAAAGACCTCGTCGAGGCCGGCCCGGGCGCTCAGGATCTCGAGCCAGGCGGGGCCCGAGACGCCGCTGGTGTAGAGGAGCGGGAAGAAGCCGAGCAGGGAGATGTGGGAGGCGCAGAGGAGCGTGTGCGGGACGAGGGCGAGGAAGGGAGCGCCGAAGAGGATCAGGAGCGCGTGCAAGGCGAAGGCGGCGGCTGTGGAGATTACGAGGGCCACGACCACGGTCTGCGAAAGGTTGAGAAACGACAGAAGGTTAACATATATTCTAGCCAATTCTCTTTTTTCTTCGGGGGGAAGCTCAAAATGGGGGTAGAGCACGTTCTCATGGGAGCTGGTAAGATGAAGGAGGAGAATCACTCACCACCGCAACATTAGGCTCAGCCCCCTCCGAGGAGGCAGCAGAGACCTTCTTCTTCTCTCCCGACCTGAGCTTGCGCGATTGCCGCGCCGCCGCCGAAGATCCGGCAGGCGGGAGGCACATGACCGCATAGGCAATCTGGATCGCCGCGACGACAGGGAGCGAACCGGACATGGCGGACACCGGGTCCGCGACTAGGGCCCGGAACCGCAGGGCGAACAGACCGAGCAGGACTGCTGGGTGTATCTGACTGGCCGTCGCGGCTTGAGGGTTCGCCAGCACGCGGATCGGAGGATTGGGCGCATCGTTGCTGTTGCCGCTGCTGCTGGTAGCATCTTTGTGTTTTGTTACGGTGGCAGCTTGGGAGGAGCCGCTGCTCGTGCTCGCGGGGGCTGGTGTCGGAGAGGACATGGTGATTGGATCGACGAGGGGCATGGAACCCGGAATCGATGGGTCGGTCGTCAAAATGTTGCTCGTCGCGGAAGCGAGTCGTTGGCTGAGCGCGGGAAGCTGCAACTGTAGTATAAAGTTGGACAAAAGGGTTGCATGAATTCATTGGCCGATTCAGGGATACAAAAGACAAGAGAAAGGGAGCGTGGCCGAGCTAGGGTCCAGCTGCCACCAGCACCACATTTATCGATAGCTCTGCAACCCACTCTCGAGCTGGAGGGGCACGCCGAAGAAGCTTCGAACGTGTTTGAGCAATGAAGAAACGCCCATGGATTCTAATCGCGAAAAGCGAATGTTACATGACATTTGTGTGCAGAATGGTTTTCTTTCAACTCTCGGCTTGGCCTGGCTATCAGGAGAAGTTGTTGGTGTTCATACTTGCTTTCAATGACCCATTCTCAGCACAATGACGGTTCGCAAGCAACCAATCTGGCTTAGATTCCATGCATTTGGGTCGGTTGGCATGACACGCACGTATGAGCAATAATAGTCCTTCGCCGTCTGGTGACCCTCATGCCTTCGTAGAACTTCAAGCAGACGCCTCCGGCTTGGGAATGAGATTCCGGAGTGTCAAGTCGTAGATGACATCCTCGACCTTCTTGACCGAGTACTTGACGCTGTCTACCCGCTTGCGCAGGATGTCGTTCTTGAGATTCAGCAACTGGAAGCCGGCAAATAGATCCTTGATGAAGCTGCTGATGCGGACCGTGAGTTCTGGGTCGCCGAGGGTGACCGAATTCATGGCCAGACGGCTCAGCTCGTCGCAGATCTCGGTGAGGGCGAGGAGGTACTCCTCGATCGTGAGGTGGAACGCATCCCGGTCTTTGAGGTTGACCGGCACTGCGAGGGCAGTCAGTCGGCTTGTCCAGCGTGAGTGATGTGGATTGGCAGGTAGGAAAAGCAATACCTTGAAGCAGCTCACCGACCTCATCAATCGAGAGCAGCCGTCCGAGCTCGCCAGGTCGGCTCTCAGTGCCCAAGCCACCCAACCAGGCGGTCAGCAGGATGGTGCTCACGACGTTCTGCATTGCCCGGGACCACCGCCCGTTGTACCTGGGGGGAGCATTGTCAGCATGCTGAACGAAGCCTGGTATAGCATGGCGGGAGAACGAACTTGTAGTAGGGGAACTTTGAAGCATATTGTGCGAGCTCCGCTACCGTCGCAATCTCTGGCTGAATGCCGTCCTTCTCGATCTGAGCGAGGAGCGCGGGACCTGGCATGTCATCAGCGCAGACTCTGTGGCAGACCCCGTCAATCTGCTACTCACGATTGGCGTTCGGTGTTGCATGGATTCGGCTGAGGTGGCCTTGGGCGATTGCAACGTGCCGGTTGAGCGAGCTCACTATCCTAGAGAGGTTCTCGCTCACCTCGAGCTCTTGCTCACCGTGGGACTTGAGGTACTCGAAGATGGAAGGATCGATCATGACCGGGGCGGCCTGTGTCGTCATTGGGGTGTCTTGGCTGGCCATGGTGAAGGTGTGGTGAGGTCTTGGTGAGGATGTTTGAAGCAGAATTTCTGCCCAGAAGAATGGAGCACACAAACAGTGAGAAAGCTACTTGCAATGCTAGCCTTGGGTTGACGGAACCATATTACGCTACGCGAATGTGACAGAAACGGTTCTCATTTTCATGACGCGGGAAGTTTTCACGCAGATCAGCTTTGCGTCGCATTTGGCACATTACGGCTTCAGCAGTTCACAGGCGGCGGCAACGTGAGAGCAGCGAACTGCAGGCCTCTGCGGGCACGAGAGCATCATCTGGCGGCAGCTAGCTACAAAGCACTTCTAGGCAACATCACGACCAAGACTGACAGCTGGTTCTCACCGATTCCATTCGCACATTCCTACCCCACAAGTACATCTGTTTGACTCAATTTCTTCACCTCCCGAGACAAGCTCGAGAATGGAAATGAAAAAGGGTTCGCGTCGCCTGGAGGCAGTGTCATACCAGGGACACGGTGGGCAGCGATCATGCGCAAGCACAGAGGACCGCACCCTGGTGATAAAAATTAGATTAATATTGATTGTTCTCCTTAGAGAACTTTCAGATATTAAACTGAAAAGAACAGATACTACACTTGATCTAAGCCAAAAGGCAACTGTAGCGGAGAGGAGAGTCATTAGCAAGTGCGCAATGACGGCAGGAGGCGATCGCGTGGTGATGCCTCCAAGTATGGGGGTAGGAGTGGCAACTTACAGAGAGCTGAAGAGCTCGAAACCAATTTTGGGGGAGGCTCTGGAGGTTTATATATCTCTGGCAGAGGGCGCCGGGCGGTGTGGGTGATTGTGTGCCCGCGCCAGCCAGCCCGGTTCTGCCAGGCACCAGGAGCTATGGCCACTTTCGTTATGGAGCATGGTGAGCTGCACAAGCCCCGCTTGCCGCCTGAGGTTCATTGAGGTCTGGTTGACATTGATACAGCAGATCTTGAGAGCTTGCGAACTCGCTCAGATCCGCGAACAGCAGCTTACCAATGGCAAGACTGCCTTCAGTGGCTGTCTTTCACAGGAGGTGTGCGGTGATTCTCGACGCTGTGATTTGCATCAAGAGATTTTGTGGCTGACCATCTGCAATCCGAAATGGCGGACAACGCTTCAAGCTTTGCTGAGGTCTGTCATGATCCATGGCTTCTTTGGTGGCTTGATACATTTGCGATCAGGCCCAGTAAATCTTGCTTCAGCGGGAAGCTTGGCTATGCACTGTCGAGCCTCTCGGAATTGTTTCTTGATTTTGCCCAGAGACTTGCCTCGGCATTTTCGCTTCGGCCAGGTGTAGACAATCTCAATCAGCTCAGTTACTTCCTATGCTCTCTGCAGGCCAGAAGCCATCACCACCCGATACTGACTTTCCCATGTGAGGAAATGCTCGGAAATTGATCTCATGGCTGTGATATTGTCCAGGTCTCCAACAATAGCCGCATGTAAGGCACGCCAATCGTCCAGTTCGGCAGACTGGCCGATGGTGGGAGCGATCCCCTGAATGTTCGGTCGGGGTGTGGACCCCTGCCGAGCGCGGAGCCGTCATCCGGGGCACCTGCAACGGAGCCTGGACAACTTGCGAGATTTGAACACCCTTTGAGGACCTGCGTCTCCTTTCTATTGCCATTTCATCAAGCATCGGGTCAAATCATCAGCATCTCCTCTACGTTCTATACGGGCCATTGAGACATCGACATATTCACCAAAGTCGGCTTTAAAGCGTTTTCAAAGTTAGAAGCTTAGCTGCGTGCCGGTCACCCAGCGATCACGTCATCCATCCTGTGGCTGCATCCTTATCTCTTCCGTCTTTGAGCTCATCCTCCGACACTGCTCATTCATCAGCGTCCCCCAACGACTCACAATCGACAGTCACGCTTGACTCGAGTACTCGTCACGAATTTATTCACTCTTTTCCCGCCATGGCAACATTGCAGAGCGCCATCAATGGCGCCCCTTCAGCGACGGCCGTCATCGTCCCGTCCAAGCCGAAAGCACTCACGATTACCTACGAGGCCCTCGTCGCCGAATGCTCATCCTTCCAGCGCAAGCTCGCTGCAATTGGCATCACCCACGCCTCGCCCGTCTCAATCGCCACCGTCAACTCGTACGAATTCATCGTCTCCTTTCTGGCCGCGTCCTGGCAGCGCGGCATCGCAGCTCCCCTGAACCCGGCCTACAAGCAGGACGAGTTTGAATTCTACATTGACGACATCAAGTCCGCCCTCGTTCTCGTACCCCGCGGTGCGTATGCCGCCAACGCAGCATCGGTCAAGGCTGCGAGGAAGTTCAACGCTGCCATCGCCGAGTGCTACTGGGACGATGTCAAGAACGAGGTGGCCCTCGACGTCAAGGACCTGGGCCAGCTCAAGGGCAAGAGCAAGCAGCCCGTCCTCACACCGCAGCCCGACGACATCGCCCTCGTCCTCCACACGAGCGGGACCACCTCCCGACCCAAGGTCGTGCCCCTGACGCACCGCAACCTCACACGCACGATGAAGAACATCCAGGCCACGTACCAGCTGACGGCCAAGGACCGCACGATGCTGGTCATGCCGCTGTTCCACGTCCACGGCCTCCTGTGCGCGCTGCTGGCCCCGCTCGCGTGCGGCGGCTCCATGGTCGTGCCCACAAAGTTCTCGGCCACCGAGTTCTGGAGCGACTTTGTCGCCCACGAGGCCAACTGGTACACCGCGGTGCCGACGATCCACCAGATCCTCCTCAAGCACCCTGCGCCATCGCCTCTGCCGGCGATCCGGTTCATCCGCTCGTGCTCGTCCCCCTTGTCCCCGACAGTGTTCCACCAGCTCGAGGAGAAGTTCAAGGCCCCGGTCCTCGAGGCCTACGCCATGACCGAGGCCGCTCACCAGATGACCTCGAACCCTCTCCCGCCTGCAAAGCGGAAGCCTGGCACCGTCGGCCTGGGGCAGGGCGTGCTGGTCAAGATTCTGAACGACGCGGGCGACGAGGTGCCGCAGGGCACCGAGGGCGAGATCAGCATCCAGGGCGAGAACGTGACAAAGGGCTACATGAACAACGACAAGGCCAACGCCGAGGCGTTCACCAAGTCCGGGTACTTCCGCACGGGAGACCAGGGCAAGCTCGACGAGGACGGGTACGTCGTCATCACGGGCCGCATCAAGGAGCTCATCAACAAGGGCGGCGAGAAGATCAGCCCGATTGAGCTGGACAACGTGTTCACGCGGCACGAGGCCGTGTCCGAGGCCGTCAGCTTTGCCGTCCCGGACGAGCTGTATGGCCAGGAGGTCGCCGTCGCCATCGTGCTCAAGCCCGGCGCCAGGCTCTCGGCCGACGAGCTGCGCGGCTGGACCGCCGAGAGGATCGCCAAGTTCAAGGTGCCCAAGCAGGTGTACTTCACCGAGGTCATGCCAAAAACGGCGACGGGCAAGATCCAGCGCCGCATCGTGGCCGAGACCATGATCAAGCAGGCCCAGCAGGCCAAGGCGAAGCTGTAGACGGAGGGGGAAGGGGGCCACGGTGCTTGCGCGCGTGCACACGCGCGCGGGCGTCGATCATGCTGGGAAACTTGCCAGTTCTGCCATCATTCTGTCACAAATAGAAGAAGAAGAAGAAGATCTATAGGCGAGCGAGATTTTCTCAAACCCTATCTAGACCAGTATAGAGACAGACGTAGATGTAGACGTAGACGTAGATGTGGATAAGGCAGAGACAAAACGCGGGCCGCAGGGGAGACAAGAGATAAGGCGGCTCAAAATCGCGTGGTTTCTATAAATACGATATCGTTTCAGCGGTTCATTATCAGGTATATTTTGGGTTGCCCAGGGCATGCGTTTCGTTCCAAGCAAGGGCAGCAGGCGGTGTTTCCAAATCGCAAGTTCCGCCTTGCCTGCATGTATTCGGGGGACAGGGACACCGGTTTGAGCCAAGAAGGTCGTATTCTTGGCGGGCGGGCTACATTTAGGGATGTTTTCGAATCGTGTGTCAAACCGCGGGAAACAGGGTACATATTACTTTGTGTGATTAAGCTTATGTTCTGGCACCAGTGCGCATGCTTGGGTGGTAGTAGTGGTAGTGCGTGAAATGTTTCGGATTCGTTTCCGTGTCATGATTTCGTGTGGATCGCTTCCAAAGATAGACGCTAGCCGTCGCTCCTGCTGTGACAAATAACGCCCTTAAACATGATATGATGATGATGATTATCATGGACAATAGGTCCGGAAACAAAAACAAAAAATGTTCAAGAATAGCCCGGGTCCAAACACAAACGCTCCACACATGACATGATTTTTTTGAATCAGGTACTGGGCTGCACCAGCCCGCGGTCCAGTGCTCCAACGCTGGCTAAGTCCATCTCCACATGATGAAACTTCCTTGTGCACATTTAAAATACACTTTGTGCACCAGCACCTGGTCTGATACAGACCCTCGTATGCCGTGTCGCTATCTTTGATCTGAGCGACCTGATGCCGAATTGTGCCACTGTCGCTGGCATCCCTCGCCGGTGCCGACCACATGAAAGCCTCGTGCGTAGAGCTGCAAGAAGACGGAGACGGAGAAGGATATCCATCAAGTGGGGCTTCTGGTGATTGAAGCTCGGTCGCGTCGATGGTCTGCGGCGCGAAGCATGTGCTGGTGCGCACGATCCACTGAATTGGGCAGAAGCCAGAACCCTGCTCGGGTCTGCCGCCACCCTGTTGCATCATCGCCGCCCGTCCGGGTATGATGGAGCACAACCCACTCGAGGTGGGCTGGGGGAGGGGGGACCTTATCGCGCTTCGACTGTGGTCTGTAGCTTGTGGGTGGTAAAGAATTGACTGCTGGATCGGCACAAGCCAGTTCAGCCAGTCGCAAAGCCTTCTGCGAGCGCGGCCTCCTCGTCATCGTCGTCGTACTCTATGATTTCGTCGTCGTCTTCCTCATTCTCGTAGAGCTTGCCAGGCGTGACCAGACGTCGCACCACGATGTCTCTGCCCTGCTGCTCTGCAGCTCGTTGCAGAGCCAACGTGGCATTGCTCTGTGCAACGGCGTCTTCCAGAGAAGCATAGACAGTGATGCCTTGGAGGCCGGCCGCAGCGAGCATGGGCTGAGGCAAGATGTGGAGCCCGTCGTCGAGGTCTTCAGAAGCTACGCTCGTGGCCGAGGAGCAGCGAGAAAGTGCTGGCCGGGAGAACACCGACCGAGAGTCGTCCATGTCTGCTTCCGAGGTTGATGTTGTTGAAGAGCTGTCCTCCAATTGAGCCTTGTAGTACGGGTTGCTGAGGCGCTGCTGAGCCTCCCATCTCTTGGACTCGGCCTGTAGGTATTGGTGGAGAGCCATGGTGCCCATTGTGGGTGTAACGCGACGCTCTGTCGACCAGTGGCGAGTGTTCTGGTACGTGTACTTGTAGACGAGATGCCTCTTGTCTGTAGGCACTTGTGTGCTTGAAATTGGGTGTTGCTCGTTTGGTGCCCCGTGTAAGTGAGCTACTGGGTAGATGGTGTGTGTGTGTGACCTGATGTGGGTATCTCGAACCAAGCTGAGTGTAGAATTGGTCTTGTATGGGACACAGTAATGTACGGAATGATGGTCAATGGGCGAGAGGAGCGAAGAGGAGGGTGGGCATGGAGAGGAGGGAGTGTTATATAGCAGCGCCTTCCGCGGCGTGGCCCTGCTCAGGTGCAATGGCAATGACTGCATCAACGTGCTCGCACACGGCACATGTGGTGCTGGCGGTTTGTGCTTCCCCGCCCGCGCTCGCCGCCACGAGCAAGGGCCCTGCGCGGACCCCAGCCCAGGCCTAAAGATACCCTCCCTACCTCTTTTACATTATGCCCAGCCCAGCCCAGGTGCGACGTAGTCCTCGCCCCCGGGGTCAGTCCGCTCCGGGGCCAGTCCGCCCGGAAACATGGAATGACAGAACCCAGTCGAGCGCGCTCTCCTCGGCTCGCGCTCACGCCAGATCCGCTGGCTTGACACCGCCCATCGAGGTGCCCCCACGGGTCCATCACAGCGACCCTGGCTCGAGTGCTCTGCTGGGAGGCCGAGCTGGTGTCACGCGCCGCTCACAGCCCTCCAGGCCCCCAGGCCAGAAGGCTAGAGCCATGCCAGGCACAGCAAGCAATCAGCACTCCATCCAGGGATCCATTGCATTGTGTCATGGAGGCGCAACCTTAACCACGAGCGGAAGGATCAATCGAGGGCTCATACACCCCCGGGTGGGAATCAGCTGTTACCACCCATCACCACCAACGCCTCGACGGGTTGTGCAACCCTGCCTGCCCCAGCCCGGCTTTCAGGGCTGCCAAGACCTGGGCCACCAGAACCAAAGCCCAATATTGCGCCGATCATGATGGTTCATTGATCAATAACGGGCTTGGTCGCTGGCAGACACTGGCTGAGACCGCACAGTACGGCTTGTCTGATCTAAAGATCCCCAGCAATTGTGCATGCCAGCCTCAAGACAAACGTCCCCATGTCGCAGGTTTTAACCTCGAGATGTGTTCACCCGTCAAGCCTCAGCTCGCTTTCCGAGCTCGTCCGCGAGTACCGCCGGCTTAAATCCGCTGCACGGCATTCTCCAATGTCTTATTTCTGCAGATGCGGCATCGACAGAACCTTCTAACGGCTTAGAGCTCTCTTTGACCAACGAATGACCTGCAGCTGTGGTGGCAGTTGCTGTGTGAAACGTGGGTGTGCATTGGCTGACTTGGGCGAGGGTTGCTATGGCTGCGCATTAGCGCCGGGAGGGTCCCGTCTGGCAGTGTGCGTGTGTGTGCGTGTGCGTGTTTGTCTCTACACGACGCCTGACTCTCGCGGACGCGGAGTCCAAGGACTGCTGAATACCGCCGGCGACGTGTCGAAAAGAAGGAAGCGCCGGATCAAAGGAAGTGTTCGTCCTCGGCGAGATGGCTTGGTGAGTCAACAGAATGTGGTGCCCGGCGTCGCCTTTATCGTCGCTGTCGCGAGATGGCCTCCTGACATCGGTGAGCAAACTGCTAATGCCGCTCCTGAGCGTGGCTAAGCACGGTAAGCCGAAGCCCCATCCAGGGGTCCAACTCCAGGATCGGAGCACCAGCAGCCAGGCGACTCACCAAGGAACTCAGGTTTGGCACCCAGAGCCTCCCTTCCCTCGAGGTCGTCTCCTTTCCAAGCTGGCTTTCAATTGGGAATGCTCTCCTGCGACGTGGTCTTTGAGATCCAGTTCCTGTGACTGACTTCCCCCACGCATGGATAGCTTCACCCAAATCCGCCGCGGGCAAGCCACCAACTCCAACAAGCAGCAAGGGACGCATAATGCAGCCACCTTGGGTTGCACCGGAGACTAGTCAATGCTGCGCGACAACCGTTTCCGTGCGGGGAAGCTGGGCGAGTATGTAGGCACAAAGGCACGCCGCATTGTGCTTCCGTGGCCCTGCCGTGCGTCCAAGAGCCAGCCAAAGATGGCGTGACGTGCACAGCAGGCAAGCAAGCTTACACGAGGTCAATCTCGCCTGCAAGGTGGGCGGACGGTCTTGCGGTGTCCTCTGGTGGCATCACAATCTACCTAGGTATATAGGCTATTGTGCAATGCGATGTTGTTACAACGCTGAAATGATTTCGCTGCGGCAGTGGTCGGCAGCATTGTCCTGTCCCGACTCTCAGCGAGACTTCAGGAACGGGCCTGTGACATAAGCATCCACAAGCACGCCTTTGATCTGACAAGACCCCATTTCCCCATACCATCCTACCCCACATCGGAGGTTGGTCAACATCCGCCAGAATGTGAAGGGCGCGCGGACTGCTGTCCTCTTAAAAGTCCTTTGTCCTCGTGATTTCAAGGACTGCATCTTCTCTGTCCCAATGGCATACCGCCTCCGCCACTTTGCCACAGCCCTTCAGCGCCCAGCATCAGTCCTCTCTTCTGCCCCGCGAGCATTCCCACGAGCCCAGCGCACCATGGCATCCGACATTCCGACCCCGGCCCCCGGCAAGTACGAGTGGCTCGTCGTCGTGCCAGACAAGCCCGGCATGAAGGCCAAGAGGCTCGAAGTCAGACCGTAAGCTGCTCCCATTGGAAACCCGAGGTCTTGTTACTTCGACAGTCAGACGATGAGTGTCTTAGGGATCAGTGCTGGGCACACATGAACCCCTCTGATAGTCAAGTGACGGACTACTCGCCCCCCCTATTGCGCCCTTTATAATGGAACCAATATTGTCTTCCCCGGGCTACACTTGAGAAAATTAATCTTTCAACACTTCCGGTGACTAACATCCATCATCGTCACCAAAAATTCAGACAGCACTTCGCCGGCCTCAAGGTGCACACGGACTCGGGCGCCTTCAAGACGGGCGGCGCCTACTTCCACACCAAGCCCGAGGACGGCAGCGACCCGTCGGAGTGGGACTTTGCCGGCAGCACCATTGTCATCGAGGCCGCCTCGCGCGACGAGATTGTCGACATACTCAAAGGGGACATTTACGCCACCAGCGGCGTCTGGGATGTCGACAACGCCCAGATCCTTCCGGTATGCATTTTGGCTCTTCATTTATGCCCCTTTTTTTTTCCTTTTTTAGTCTGTTTTTTTATTCTTACTTCATCGGCGGACATGGACACGCCGCCGCCCTTGCTGGTGGATCGTTCTCAGCTCCGAGAGTCCTGCTCCTCGCACTACCATCTTGCACCAGCAAACACCGGACCGCTGACATGACCCGTGGTTTTCTTTCGTTACAGGCCAAGTTCGCGTTCAGGAGATTGTGAAAAGGTTAGCGGTTGAGACTGACTGGCAGTCATGATCACCAAATCAACCGTCACTTCTGATTTCCGTAATCTTATAAAAAGACGACCCATAGAAATGAGTGAATATATTACCATTTTCCCAAGCATGCGTTGAATTCCACTCTCTCGAAGATCAACTTCACGAGACAGCGCAGGTCGCTGCCTGTTCCTCCATTGCGTGATCATGTACACGAGTAAAGTGGTGGGTCGTTCCTTTCCGCCGCGTATTTTCTAAGTCTGATAAATTGCTGCAACACGCGAGGTATAAATGCTATTATTAATACGACATGTCTGCGCATCATTCTCGGCGAGTACTCATGACTCCCCCTTGTTTGATTGCTGCTCCGAGTCCACAGCGACCCGCAGCTCGTAGTTGAGCTCAAAGCATTCCGACAGGAGCTCCGTCACGGCGCCCTGGCCCTCGGGAATGTCGTCACCCACCATGAACTTGCCATCCACCCGCATGTTGTCGATCGAGTTGAGCTGCCGACAGAAGTTAGCGGTCGCATGTCAGACAATATCAAGGGATTTACGACGCACCTTCATGCTGTATGGATACAGCTCTCGCACGGACGCGACACCACCACTCTTCTTGACCTCAATTAGACAACGCTTCAAGGTCTGTAGTTGATTGTACACTGGCAGGAGTGCCTCGGATACTGGCTCAGATGTGATCATAAGGTGGTAAATATAGCCATATGATCTTCGGATCAAGTATAAAAGTGTCTAGCGTGACGAATTAGCTGACAAGCGCTGCGGGGGTGTGAACCGGCCTTTTGAGCCTACCTTGTGGACGTGAGGCTCTGCTGGCCGTCCTTGGTCGTCCAACCAGTTTCCATCGACCCGGGCCTCATCAATCTTGTCCAGTTGTCGCTGGAAATCATAGAGATCTGTCTCACGAAGGGACCATGCTTGCGTGAGTGATAGCTTGTCGAGCTCGTTCCGAATACCGATCAGAACATCGTATATCGGGCGCCACTTGTCGGGGATGACGCCTTGTCTGCATGTTGTGAGTATCATTGAATCGGGTCTTAGGAGTTTCGTCAACACGCACCTTTCCAAAGCATCGTCAATGTATATGACCATGCGCTCGAGGAATTCGGAGATCTTTTGACTCCCTTCCAGTGGCTTCCCGTCTTCGCCCAAGAACTGGCCATCAACACGCTTTGCTCCAATCTCCTGCACCTGGGCCTTGATTTTCTGAAGCTCCTTGGGTGAGAATTGCTAAGACGAGAGGACCTGTCAGTCAACCATCATGCGGTGATGTCAACAGAATTCTTCCCATACCTTCCTTGTCGCAACCACGGCCATTTGCCTAAGTATCTGGACAAGCTCGTCGGCTACCGGTCGCAGCGTGGGATCGAGCTCGTCGAGCTTGCTTCGCAGATTCCTCAGAGATGCGCGACATCTTTGGATGCGGCTCATGATCATGTCCTCCACAAACGGCTCGGCCGAGCCCTGTTGTACGATGTCGGTGACTCGATCGAGGGTGTGCGACAGGCTTTCAAGATCCTTACTCGTGAAGCGTTCGGCCTCGGTCAGGTGGTCGAGCAGGCGGATGATGGTTGATGTCAAGGCGTACGCAACTGGCACTTCGTTGTTGCGGCCGATCGTCATAAAGAACAAAGAGAACAGCTGGAAGCAGCTATCCACGACTCTGTCCACTACTCGCCCTTATCGTCAGCAGCGGTATGCTGGTCTGTGCCTAAGTCCCGAAAGACGTACCTTGGTTTTCCTCAGCCGGAGGTTTCTCCTTGCGGATCTCGTTGAGTTTCTTTACTTCAGCCACCGTCCGGTCGTACAGCCCAAGAACATCTTGCGACCGAACATAGGTTGTGCGGTCCATCTTGCGCAGCAGGAGTTCGTCGCGAATGCCGACGAGATTACTCAGTATTTCCCTCTCGCCCTGGTCCCTCGGCGCAGGCACCTTTGGGGTGTCCATGGCTGCTGTGTCGATGAATGCGAGCTTGCTTGGCGAGAAGAATCTCCTATTCGAAGAGCTGGTCGTTGTTGCTGGGAGGAGAAGGTCGGGGCTGTGATGGGCGAGTCGCCGATAGCGCAGAAGTGACGTCGTGGGCCCTCGGGCTTTGTGGCTCCGCCGGAAAGGAGACGAGGGTGGGTAAGCTATCGCGAGGTCCAGTGGATCACGAGCGGCAACTAGGTAGGAGAAGCGGTGGGTGTTGCTCAGAACAAGACGACACAGTGATGATGATGATGGTGAGGGAGCTGCTCAAATTGTCGCACGGCCAATGGTAGCGCCGATAGGGGCTGATCTGGGGTGCAGCATGCCAACAGCAGCCAGGAGGTTTGCTCTTGTCAGAGGAGGACGGGCGAGCTCCAGGCCTCGCCGCGTCGGCGTGCGGGGTCCGCCCAGCGCCCACGGTGGGTGGGGAAGGCTCAACTGGGCAACGTTTTTGAGTTCTGCTCGTCGCCCTTGCACTAGACCTCGAACTCTATATGGGCCTCGACAGCCAGCCCTGGCTGATAGCTCAAGCCAGTGTGCACGTGCATGATTCAGCACTCCAGCAAGATGGCCATTCTTCTGTGGCTGGCCTCCTCGTGGCGCGCCCGCTGGTCGCTCGAATGGTCTGTTCGTCCGGCATTTAGTGACCACTTAAAACACACAACCTAGACATGAACAACAGGTCGCTGTCCTGCGCTGACTGGCAGGTGTGGCTGCTCCGAAGCCTCAGTGTAGGCCTCCTCACGGACGGAAGCAACGTTAAACGAGGGCCCATCACTTTTGGGGCAGTCTCCAATTCTGGCCTGCGTTCAATTGCGAGCATCAGGCAATGACATCAGCTAGGACAATCCATATGAATCAGTCGAGGTTGCCAGGATCAACCCCTGCAGGATATCCACGGGTCTCAATCGATAGCCCGGGTCTTATCGACAGCTTATCGGAGAAGCTGATGACTAAGCAAGCGTTGAGCTCGGACCACAGAATCCCACCACCCAGCGTGCGCCATTGAGCCAGGCGGGCGCCGCGGCGAGCCAATCACAGCAGCAGCCCTCCCACTGTTCGCTTAATTTTCCCAGGCACAATCTTTTCATTTTCTGACCACGGGCCCAGGCAGTGGACTTCGTGCGATCTCAAGAGACACACTTCAATCCCACGCCCGACCACTTCGAGATCAACAACCACACCCAGTCAACCCCCTTGCAAACCACATCTGCAACAATGTCGACTGCCGAGCTCGCCGCTTCCTACGCCGCCCTCATCCTCGCGGATGAGGCTGTTGAGATCACTGTGAGATTCCACCACCCGAACCCCGCGTAGCCCACGCCTGGCGCGCACCACGAAGCTGCGGCAGAAATAGAATCCCGCTCGCGAGCAGAAAGTCAAACTGGCGAGCACGAACCCGAATCCAGAGACCCGATATCGCATACCCCTCAGCGGCCTTCTTGATCAGGGCGCGCGCGTGTGCGCGCAACCAACAGGAACTTGTCGTCGCCGTCGAGGCTGCAAATGCGAAGCGGGGAACTGGACTTTTTCGAGGTTTTTGCTTGCCGATTGTCTTTTGATCACGGGCAGGGAAAGCGTTGAGCTTCGTGGTGCCCCCATGGCTAGCCGCCCTTCACACACTTCTCTCGGCAAGACTAACCTGTTGTCTTCTACCATTCAGGCCGACAAGCTCGACACTCTCATCAAGGCCGCTAAGGTCGCTGACATTGAGCCCATCTGGACACAACTGTTCGCCAAGGCCCTCGAGGGCAAGGATGTGAAGGACCTGCTGTCCAACGTCGGCTCTGGTGGCGGTGCCCCCGCTGCTGGCGGTGCTGCCGCCGCTGCCGGTGGTGAGGCCGCTGCTGCTCCCGAGGAGGAGAAGGAGCCCGAGGGTACGTTTGACCTGTATTCCCGTGGAGACACAGCTGGCACGCCTGTACAATCAGTACCGACGGCGCGCCGCTTGTCCTTCACGTATAAGAACTCGGGGACCCATGTACTGACTTGCCTTACCTTCCAGCTGCCGAGGAGTCCGACGACGACATGGGATTCGGTCTTTTCGACTAAATTTGTGCAACAGCAAATCAAATCAAAAAGAAATTCCCAATCCTTTTTTTATCCAACGACGGCTACGACTCTCCACACGACGAGGGAAAATGGGAAAAGAGAAGGAGCGAGGGAACAACGCACATCAACCCGACTGCCTTCTTTCCCTTTGTTCTGGGCAACCAATCTCTCCAAAACAAAAAAACTTATGCATGGTCTCTGGGGTTACTGCACTTTTGCAACATCGATTCACCTTACGAGGTGCGGCGTGAAGGAGGGCAAATCAGGGTTTTGCCTTGGTGGGCAAATACTTCGTTTTCGCATAGGTTAAATACAAGACGATGCGTTTCGATAAAGAACAACCGTGTGTACTGCATGTAGCATGTGATGTGACTTGTGGACGTGGCAAATATGTGTATGCTTGCATGAGGTTTATGCGTGCTGGCACAAGGAGTGACCATTTAGTCTTGAAGCAAACCGCCCCAAGCAACTTGTCTCTCTGAGTCCATGAGGATCCTGACGATCTATTCGTGAACAGATTACTATGTCTCTTTAGGCCCTCAGCAGTCATGTTCGCTGCAATATTATTTGTCCTCCAGCAATTTACGCCAAGTTACTGTACTATCAGCGCCGCGTTTGGCGTCAACCCAGCTTCCTTGAGCGTCTTGCCAAAGTCCAGGTGGCCCTCGTAAACCTTCTTGGGGAAGTTCATGATGAATTTGGTGACCGTGATGCCGTTCTCGTCCTGCAGCATCTGGGCGACCTCGAAGAGCGTCGTCTCGGCTGGCAGGGTCTTCATCACGTTGCCGCCCGACGTCTGCAGGCGGAGCCGGGCCTCGCTGTGGTTCGCGGCTGCACGGGGCGCCGCCGCTGCAGCAGCAGCCGGTGCTGTTGGTGTTGAGGATGATGCCGCGGATGCTGACGGCACGGGTCTTCCCTCACGCGCGGCCTTGGCCTCCTCGGCCTTGCGCCGCCGCTCCTCCTTGTCGGCCTCGATTTTGGCCTTGATGCGCCGCTTGGCCTCAATGTCGTCAGCCTTCTCCTGCCGCTTCTTCGCCGCCTCCTTGATCTGTTCCTTCCGGGCGAGTTCCTCCTTCATGTCCTGGGTTTCCCGAGTTGCTTTTTGGCGAATTTTCTGGAAGACAGATAGAGTATGGATTAATCAATGGCCACAGGTTTGTTGACAAGGCGAGCTTCTTGGTGTGTACAGCTTCCAACATACCTCGTTCTTCTTGGCCTCTTCCTTGTCCATCTCGGACATTGCTGCCTTTTTGGCCTTGACCTTCTGGCGAAGCTCCTCTAGGCGAGCCTTCTTCTCCTCCTCGGTCAGCGGGGCAATCTCCTCGGTGGATTCTGAGAAGTCGGTGTGTTCTCTGCGGCGCCCGCAAGTCAGTACAGACATTCCGTCGTCATGGTTGAGAAACAAGCTGGCGAGAGCCCAAAGACACAACAAACGCACGTCTTGGAGGCATGAAACTCTGCGGCATCCTGGTTGCGGAACTTCTTGCCGCACTCGTTGCAGACGAGGGACATGGCCACGGCGCCCTCGGCCAGAGGCTTTGCGTTGAGCTTGGCCTCCTCGGCTTCGGCCTGCAGCTCGTCGAGAGGTGTGTCCTGTGTCTTTTCCAGCCAGTCCATCGCTCCTTGCACTTTCCAAAGGGCGGGTAGACCCGTCAGTACTTGACTTTCACGGACGTACATTCCATGGAGAGGAAACTTACGTCCGCCGCTCTGCTTGACAGCGAGTTCGGCGCGGGCTTTGTCAAAGCCCATCTCGAGCAGTGTCTCCAGATCTGACGCCATGGTGATGTTGGTGGTTTGCGGAAGGGTGGCCAGGGAGTAGTGTTGTGGTCTGAGTCGGTGGTGAGAGGCTGTCCAGTCTCGACTTGTCCGCCTCCCTGAGAAGAGAGCTGTACTGGTTCGATGTTGTGTATGTGGCTCGCTGGCTGTATTTTCGAGGTGTGGTTGGCTGCTCGCAGATGCCGGGAGCTCTGGCTGTTTCCGTGGTGGGACGTCATGCACAGCTGCCCTGCCCCTCCCAGAGGTGGTGTCCCATTGCGTCAAGCTGCGGGAGCCTGCCTGCAATTCAGGGACCAGCGGTCTGTGCTTGTCAATTGACTCGGGGCTCCGGTTTTAATAATTGCGTACATGCCGTCGGGTGATGATCAGGCACACCTCCCAAAGATCACCAAAGCATTTGAAGGCTGCTCGCAAACAGTCGAAACGCAGATTCCTCGCAGGTGGGAATGGCCGTATCTTTGGACCAGGGAGGACATGGTCACGGGACAGGTCGTGGCTTGCGTACTTAGACTTTGAGCCGCCCACCCGCAATGCTTCCACCGCGCGGAGACGGTCGTGCCAGGCAGGAAATGTATGGGATGCACGCGATGATTCTGTCATGGTTCTGAGGGATGGTGATGTTCAGTATTCCCGCCCGCCAGCATGCTGGGGTGACTGAAGCGAGACAATCAGGGGAAACCATGCATAGCGGGTGCTCGGCTGGGTTCAGATGATTCAGGTTTGACTCTAACTGCAACAAGGCTTTTGCATGCTGACACCACTAGCGAATAATCACGAGCATGTGGGCTGCTGGGTTGATTATGGGCTGTCCAGGTCGAGGTTGAATGTGCCGATGTCATCGCCGGCCAGCGACAAGTCCACGTCGTCACTGCCCAGGGCTGCACTGGACTGGACTGGACTGGACTGGACTGACAGACTGGGCCGGCAGAACCCCCCACAGCGCATCCATGGATGCACCTCGACCTGCTGCTGCTGCAAGGTGGTCCACCGCCGGCGCCTTCTCCCCCAGCCGAGCCCAGCCCAGCAGCCGCAACCACTCGTCCTCAGACTCCACGTCAACCACTCGTGCCCACTTGCTCCTCTTCGCGATCGCAACACCTGCTGCCCCTGAGGTTGCTCACTCTCCCCTTCAACAACCACAGCCTCTCGCAAAGGTACGTCGCGCCCTCCCTCTCTGCAAAACCCTCGCCCTGTCTCTCGTCCCATCCCCGCATCTCGTTCCTCCAGGCCCTGCGGTCTCCCGGAGCCTGCCTCGGCACCCGCATCCCCTCAGTGCGCGGCCCCTCGCTTCCGACCGCAACGCCAATCCTGTCACTTGCCTCGAGGGAACCGTCTCTCGGGCTAGCTTTCCTCCTCCTCCTGCTTCTCTCCTCAGCTGCCCGTTTCTCGGTTCCCTGCACAGCATGCATCAGAACCTGACTCTAGACCCCGGACTTCGCTGACCGTCACAGCTCGCTGCTCGTGTGCGCTGCTCCAACACCTGTCCAACTGCGAAATACGGGCTCCGGCTTGCGACACGTTACACCATAGATCGAAATTTTCTTCTGAACGACCAACATGTCTGTCGAAATCGACCCCCAGGAGCTTGGCTTCCACCGTACGTCATCAAACCAAGTCCCTCTTCCGCAACAAGCCGCAAATGCCACACAACAGACAGCACAAACTGACCTGCCACGGTGTTAGGGCCTTTCACCGTTGAGGTCAAGGAAGCCCTCAGTATCAAGAATCCAAACTCCCATCCCATTGCCTTCAAGGTATGTCATGCACATGATCAGCAGTCGCGATGACTGTCGAGGTCCGCAGTGGCTGACAAATCCAAAGGTCAAAACTACCGCTCCTAAGCAGTACGCGAAACCCGATGCCATACGAAGCTCCGGAGCATGCTCCCTTCTTGTCCGCCACTGAATTGACATTTTGTACAGATATTGTGTTCGCCCCAACTCTGGCCGAGTCGAGCCAGGCAAGGAGGTTGAAGTTGCCGGTAGGTCCATGTCGCAACGGCTTGCTCAGATCCTCAGCTGATTTGAGTTTCGCGGCGGTGCAGTCATTCTCCAGGCTATGAAGCACGAGCCTCCGCCGGACACCAAGTGCCGCGACAAATTCCTGGTCCAGTCCGTTGAAATTACCGGTGACAAGGAGTTCGCCAACTTATCCGCGATTGTGAGTTTTGTGCTGGGTATTGACACTGGGGCGCGGCGGACTAACAGGTTCGGCAGTGGGACTCCGTCCCTAAATCTTCGGTTGTCGAGAGGAAGATCAGAGTCTCATTCATCAACGCTCCCAGCAACGCGGCTCAACTTTCGACGCCAAGCAAGCCCACCACCTCGAGCGGTGTAAGTTCTTTCATCCGATACGGCCATTCCAATACATAGATCGCATGCTGAACACGCTGTTTATAGGCTGACGCGACTCCTGCCGATGCTCCACCGCCTGCCTACTCATCGCCAAACGACCAATCCACTTCGGCCGACTATAAGGACGAGGACGAGGTTCGGTCGCCATCAGCAGGTCTTTCGACTACTGCTGCTTCATCATCAGGTCGCGAGCTGAGCTACGCAGAGCTTAAGCAGCAGCTTGACCAGGCCGAGCAGCTTGTATCACGGCTCAAGGCCGATCAGGGCGGCCTGAGGCAGCGCAAGACCGGTGCCGAGGAGAAGTCGGTCTCGAAGCCTGCGGAGCTGGCGCAACAGGTTCGGGGCACTGAGGGTGTCCCCATTCAAATCACCGCTGCCCTGTGCTTGCTGAGCTTCCTGCTGGCATACTTCTTCTTCTAGGGGCTGCTTATGGCTTTACCACGCCCTCATTCAGCCATTATTCAGGCGGACGAGGGCGGATGCAAAGACTATAGTCAAGAGCGACGATAATCTACGATATCCCGAACATGGAGTTGAAAGGTTCGGTAGCCTGTGGAGGGGTCGATCACGGACAGATACCCGTTGTGGGCTGCTTCGCTGGAGGACGGTAGCTAGGGCAACTCCGGCGTGAGGGCAAATTCTATACTCATGACACAACAATGATGCTGGCAATCTTTTCACTGAGCTGTTCAGGTCTCTGTTATACGTCTTGTCTCGACGGCGTCGAGGTTGCAGTCTTGGGAAAGGAAGTGGCTGCATAACTATTTTGATAGCATGTAAAGCTCCTTTGTTATTGTTTCTTGGCCTTCCCTTCCCGGCTCGAAACAACAATACATATGACCACTGTGCATATATGTATATACCACCTTCCGGTTGTCAATAAGGCCGAGATGTCTGGAAGCGAGAAGTACTAGGGACGCAAGCTGCTTTTCCCTCGAACGTACTTGGGCGAATGACGGGTTCTGCACAGCAACGATTGTATATCAGACTCGAAAAAAAAAATCCATTATAAAATTGTGAACCAGCCACTTCTAACATTAAAATCCCAGACGATGAGATCAAAAGTCATCCTCTATCGTGCTTTTTGCAATGGCCGCCACCCCATTTCTATTTGCACGGCAATAACGCCGATCCAGCAATCTATACCCATATTTTAACCAAGTCCTGACACGTTCCCATATCTATGCCTCGAGCTCATCCTCCTTCCAGTCGGCCACCTGAGCTACTGGCTGCGCCGCGGTCGCAGCCTTGGTCTGACCAACAAGGCGGCCGCCCTCCTTGCGCTTGACGCGGCATCGGATGCCGACGTTCTCGTCAAAGATGAAGCGCCACAGCACATATGTCCAGGACTCGTGCCGAGGGAGCTCGTCGTAAAACTCGCGAGCAATCTCGTAGAGCTTGGGCAGTCTGGTCCAAGGAACAGCCGGGAAGTCGTGGTGCTCGTTGTGATAGCCAACGTTGTAAGTCAAGAAGTTGAGAGGGCCGTAGTAGCTGAAAGTCTCAGGCAGCGGCACGCGGTTGTTTGGGTCCTTCTGGGTCGGCGTGACGGTCTCATACACATAGTGCTCGGCTATGAAATGGCCAGCCAGAGGGTGCAGAGAGCCGGCAAGAAACGAGGAGAGGAGAAAGTACAGCATGGCCTCCTTCCCCATGGTCGTCAGGATCACGTAGTCGAAGATGAACTGCACGGCCAAGTTGGTCGCCGAAACCCGGGTGAACGGAACTGGGAAGACCGTCATGGGGCGAATGGCATAAAAGAAGATCTGGAATGTGCAGAAGAAGGCCTTGCCGAGGATCGAGTCGAGAAAGACGGCCTCGAGGGCAGTGGGGAGATCGGTGTCCAGGCCATCAACACCGAGAGACTTGTGGTGGGTAAGATGGTAGGGGCGGAATGATGCGCTGTAGGGAATGCCAATGGGCAGGTTCGCAATGATGGCAAACAGACGGTTGGCAGTGGGCGACCGGAAGGCGAGGTTGTGGCTGATCTCGTGGATGGCCAGGAAGAGGTTCTGATTGGCAGTGGCACCGACGACGTAGGCAAGGGCCCAGAACTGCCAGGAGAAGAAGGAGTAGTTGCGGAGGACGTAGGCGCAAGCGATCTGGAGGGCCACGACACCGAGGACCACATATTTTGTCAATGGCTCGGGACCGCAGAGTTTGGTAACCTGTCGAAGGGCAATTGCAGGTTAGACTACTGTTTACAGATTCTGGGCACGATCGTTGTGGCAAGAGTGCCATACCTCGGGGTGAGCCTTGATGATGGCCAGCCGCCTTGTCCGGTGAGGCTCCTCGGTGTAAGTCCAGAAGAAGTCGCGGTATTTGACCTCTAGAGGGTCCCTCTGCAGCTCCTGCGCGGGGAGATCTGGCGAGCTGGCCTTGCCATTGACTCGAATGGTCTTGTCGTTGGAGGGGATGTTCTTGGTCGCCGTAGCGGTCGAGGCGGAGGGCGCCATGGTTGGGAAAGAGTGGCTTCCGAACAAGCCAGATGCTTGGCGTGTATGGAAGACCTCGGGTCGTTGTGCCGGCGCGGAAACAGTGTTCGACGAGGTGCCGAGGGCGTGGAAGAGGAGGAGGAGGAGGAGGATGGACGACGCAAGCAGTCGAGAAGTGTGTCGAGACGCACAAGAAAGGGTCTTTGTGTGTGTACAATAAAATGCAGGTGCGGGAGGGGAGATGCCACATGCTAGCAGAGGCAGGTGTGAGTGGGTGCGCCGTGGCGGAGGCCGCGCCTTCCCCCATCAGTGCACCTGAGCGAGCAGTCTGGCCACCCTCGCCAGGCACAGACTGGCTGGCGCAAAAGGGGTTGTGGGGCGCATCCCCGCAGCGCTGCGAGCCGCCCGCTTTACTGGTCTTTTTGGGAGGGTGGCCAGACTGCCCAGCCTGGGAAAGGAGACGGCTTCCAACCTTGGAAAGTTTCTCGATGCTGTTCCCCCGGCAGGGATCCATCTCGCTGGCCACCGCAATCTTATCTGGCCGCCAACAACAGCTCCCACCGGAGCGTTTTGGCCAGCATCCGATTCTCCTAATGGCACAAGTATCCATGTACACGGCAAAGTTGCACACGCATTGTCAGCGATTCAGCTCACAAGAAAAACCCCTTTCACTCCCGGGCCTCTTTTTGGTGTGCGATCATGTCCCCTTGCTGCTTGCGAGACCCGAGGCCTGTGACCGTGGTGTTGTGGAGCAATTATACTCATCGTTTCTGCTCCCTGCGCTCATCGAACGATGGGGGCCAACGAACGAACGAGCGAGTATCTGGCGAGGCAGGAGATGAGCCGGTGGTGGACTGACCCAATCCTCTGGACCTGGACGTGTTCGACATTGTTCTCCATGGCTGGCAGCGAGTGAGGCTCTGGGGCTGGTCGAGGGTAGACTGATTCACCCGACTCCTCGCCAACTGCATGCTCGGCTCACAACAACTGCACACTCGCCTACACGACCAGGTCAGGACTGCAGCCACCCTACCCGCGATGAGGACTTGTCATTGCGACTCGAGGACGATCCGGGCAACTCCAGCCGAGCCAAGCAGATTTGCCGCGATGCTGGACCCTGAATGCCCCTCAGCAAAGGGCTGCTGATGGCAGCATCCGGGACTGCCAGACCAGGATACCTGTGCGAGCCTATGGTTGAGGTGGAGTGACGATACGGTTGTGGTGGCCTACACACGGGCTTAAGCCGCTCCGGCTCCGGCGGGGGCCATGCTGTGGGCGGGCCAGAGTTGCCCTCTTGTCCGTCCGGGCCACCCGTGTAAGATGATTGGCCAGCGCATCGCAACACAGCGCCAATCGGTACCTGACATCTATTCTCTCTCTCTCTCTCTTTTCCTGTACGTATGTGGGTGCAAGACGCCCCTCGCAAGTATCACAAGCAATGCATCATGGTGCTTGAGGCTGGACGGCATTAGAATGGAGGCAAGCGAGACGGTTGTGTCCGCGATGCGGGCACGCTCGTCGAGGCCAGCGGCTCCCGAGGCCCGGCCTCTACACGGCGGCGGCTTCATCGACATGATATAAAAGCACACGACTTTGCTTGAACATTGCTTATATTTCCAAACCATCTCATCATCATCATCATCATTTCAACAGCTCAGACAGTCCTCTACTTCAAATTCATCGCACACTACCTTGCATTGACACGAAGACTCTCCCCGAGAAAACAACCATCTGTACAAACCAACCATTTCCTCAGCACACTTCCTCGGTATCGTTCACATACATAACCGAATCCACGAGGAAAAAGCAAGAATGTCGACCTTCAAGTCTCCCTCCCCCTTCCCTCTCCAAGGCCGCTACGCCGACGGCAACAGATGGGAGACGCTCCGCGGAGCCGGCGACGACCGCCCGACCGCGCTCCAGATCATCAAGGACGAAGGTCTGGTCTCCGCGCTCGCCGACAAGGTCATCTTCGTGACGGGCGCGTCCTCCGGGATGGGGCCGTACATGGTCCGCGCTATAGCGGAGACGGGGGCCACCATCTACGTCGGGGCCCGGGATGTCGACAAGGCCAGGAAAGCCATCGGCGAGGACCTTGTCGCTGGTGGTAACAACAACGGCAGCGGCAGGGTGCACATCCTGCATCTCGACCAGGCAGACCTCTCGAGCGTGCGCGCGTGCGCGGCCATGTTCAAGAAGCAGTCCCCGCCGGCTCAACATCCTCATTAACAACGCCGCCGTCATGCGCACGCCCGAGCACCTCACAAAAGACGGGCTCGAGCTGCAGATAGCGACTAACCACCTGTCGCACTTCTTGCTCTTCTGGCTGCTCAAGGACGTCATGCTGGCCAGCGCGACGCCAGAGTTCCCCTCGAGGGTGGTCAGCATAACCTCCGCCGCCCACAAGTTTGGGCCGGTCGACCTTGAGGACTTGAATCTTAAGAAGGACGGCGCATATGACTCCTGGAGGGCATGTAAGTGTTTCCCCTTTTTCAACCCCTTTATCACAAAATGGCAACTTGTACCCCATAATTATGGACCAGTTCTCTGATATCTATCCCTCGGAAAAAATATACTCCCAGTCCAAGGTTTCAAACATCTACATGACCTCGCAAATCACTCGCCTCTACGGCGACCAGAAACTCTACGGCTTCAGCGCGGCGTCGGGCAGCTTTGTGAGCCCGAACCTCAACCAGCACAGCACCGCGGAGGAGCAGAGCAGCTGGACGTCGAACCCTAGGCTCGTCGTGTCCCTTTACAGCTTCGAGCAGGCGTGCGCGACGGTCGTCTACGGGGCCGTGGCGCAGGAGCCCGTCGACTTTGTGAAGGGACAGGACCGCGGCAAGGGCGAGGCCAGCACGGGTCTCTACCTGGAGGGCAGTGCCGTGGCAGGACCGCTGCCCAAGGACGCGGTGGACTTCTTCGAACACGGACATACCCCGTGGGAGTTCGACGCGGACAAGGAGGCCAAGCTGTGGGACTTGAGCAAGAAGCTCGTCGGCGTCGAGTAGACAGACGATCAGGACCGTGGATAAGATATCGATTGACTTCGGTATGGGCCTTGGAAGATTGTACAATTATGGATAGTAGTAGAGATTGACGAATATAGACTTGATGAGTTGTTTTGAACTTTTGGCGGATGGCAGCAAGGTCCCTCCCTCTGCCTGTTGGCCTCTTCATACCTCTGCCTTCAGCTGCGTTAGATCAAACATGATTCGTGAGGCTTGATGAACATTCTCAAGGACACAATGGCTCTCGTGCATGGCGCAGCGTCGCGAACATATCCCCCATGGTAGCTGCTAGTGCTATAGATTACCGTTTCTGCTGGCATTGAGCTTCTGGGCGCATGCCAGTTGGCAAGGTCATGGTGCCATCCTGACCGACGTCTGTCAAGATCGCCAGGAGGCACAGACAAGAGAGATGCACCCCACACTGGAGTTGCAGTGGAAGTGGATCTCCGCTCTTTGGGCTGCGCTGGCTGGGAAGCCACACCGGCCAGCCGGCTTGGGAGGCAAGCCATGTACCATAGTAGAAGTGTCGGAGTGCACCCAGACCCTTTCTGGTCTTCTTGACCACTGACGCCCGCGCAATGAGTTGAAGAAGCAGCATGTCGTGTGAGTGCGTGCAGACGATTTCGACAGGGATGGCCGCCTCAGGGCTGACCACTGGGTGAGACTTGGCCAATAATCGAGGTTCAAGTGGAAACGTGGACCTATTGGTGCTGTCGAAAAATGCCCCTCCCCATGTACGTCCTTAGCTTAGTGTATTGTAGTCTCACCGGTAAACCTTGGAAGGCCCGGGCAGCTTGAGCTTGAGCTTATACTTTGTGAAGCTTTTTGAGGTTTACAGCATCCAAAGCACCATTGCCAACTGCTCTGCTCGTCATTTTGCAGCACAGACGACGATGCCTGACGGGCAATGCTATAACGGTGACGGCTTTGAGACGGTCCCATCACGAGAGGTCGACGCCATGATGCCAGCCGGTGAGGAGCTTCGGTGGTGTTGAGCGCCGGAGTGAGAAACGGGCATCATGCATCCCGACAGATAGCTGCCGGGCGCACAGTAAGATAAGCCCGCCAATGGGCAGGGGCTTCGGCGAGGAGGAATGCCCGCGGCGACTGCATCCACTGCCTGGTTGCGATCGACGGCTCAGGTTGCCTGTGTCTTGTGTCTCTCTGGTGTCTAAGCTGACTGAGCAGAGCCCTCGAAGCGCTTCTAGAAAGCGGAACCTGGCCAACCCTGCGAGCTTGAGATTGAACAGAGCCCAGCTGACCGCTTCTTTCAGGGGGCCTAGAAGCTGGTATTATTGCGGTTGTTGTCATGGGATTTGGCAATGCCTGCTCAGGCGCACCGGGGAAGGCGGGTGGACGTCGCCCTGTCAAAGTGTAATGGCCTGGCAGGGAGGCAGGCCCCCTTTGTTCAGGACGTACAGTACATGCCGGCAGGTTGGAGCAGGCAGTTGACCGAAGCTCCTCAACGGGTGGGAAATGCCAGCCAGGTGGGGGATCCACCCGCTGATAGCGATGCAGCAGTGGCCGCGATGCCAGTGACGCCAGCCGCCGACGGACAAGAGCCATCATGGCCGTTGTGCACACTGCAGGCAGATAACCATGTATCTTGTGTAGCTGACGTGTTGGTTGCAGAGCTTGTTGAGACTGCAGCTACACTAGGTAGGCAGGATTCGAGGTTGAGCACAGCCGCTGTTGTAATGGAAGAGGATGATGACGACCACTGACCGCTTGCTGGAGCGAGGCCATGGAGCATGCCCAGGTGTACCTCGATAGCTCTAGAAGCTCGCTCTGCTAGTGCCTGTTTGTACCTGGATGGGCCCCACGCCCAGCTTGGCTCGCCTGGCAACACACACGGCCCTGGCCCGTCCGGGGTTCGCGGGCCCCGGCTAGGAGACAAGCTAATTATCATTCTGGCGATTTCAACAGAATTGCATCCGCCAATGCCAGCACCGTCTGTCTTGGGGATCGTCTGGCCTGGCTGGCCGTGCGGGTGGGTGGATAATGGACCAGACGGACAGCACACGGACTCTCCACTCCGTGACCGGCGGCGGTGAATGCAGCAGGAGCCGCCCACCCCGTCGGGCGTGCCTTCCCCAGCACAGCACACACACACACACACACACGCAGACACGCAGTCCCTAACCTTCTTGATGATTGCTGGCCGCCCTCCTCCTCACTTGACTCACCAGAGACCGGGCTGCCCTCCTCATTGCCTTTTCCGTCCTCGTACAAAACCCGTCCCGTCCCTCCCGCGTCGTCCTGCCCACCCTGCCCTCTGCTCCTCTGATACTTCTTCATCCTATTCCAAGTCTTCTTTGCCCTCGCCGCTACGTATAAGCCGCCTTAACCTCAACCTCAACCCCAGCCCCAATAACATAACGTTCTGTGAATTCACATAACTTCAGCAATGACTGGCCCCCGCGTCACCGTCCGTGTCTCTCAGCTTGTGCGCTCCATCAGCACTTCGCCGGCCACCGCCGTGCCAAAGACTGCCAACCAGGGCACCATCATCACTAGCTCAAAAGCAGCCGCCCCTCTTTCCCGCAAATATGCAGACCTTCTCCGCGAGAGGAACATAGAATGGGATGTAAGTCAATCAACACTTAATAACTGTCGCAATCTTTCGCTGTGAATTGGTGCCTCTGCTTCTTCAGCAGCGCAAGGAGCTCGACAATTCTGACGCGAACCCCCCCCCCCTTGTCAGCCATGGCCTCACTAACACCAGCTTCCTGCAGTCGGCCCATCCCCGCTCCATGACCACGCGGTCTTCCAACCGGCCACACCCTCCCCCACAGAAGCTGCGTCTCATGCAGACTTTCTCCACAACAGGTCCTGTGGCTGCCACCGCCGTCGCTGGCCTTGACCAGGTCGTATTGCCGGGGGCCGTGGCTTTTGACGCCGCCGGCACTCACGATCCATATGCCAGCATCCGCGTTCCGCTCCTCCCCGACAACCACTTCGGCTCTCATGCTCCCGAGGTTGCGGACGGCCCGCTCCCCACGCCCGAGATCAGCATCGTTGCCGCGAACCCAGAGCTGGTGCAGGCCGCCGCTCTTACAGAGGTCGAGGGCATGAACATTGATGGTGTCGAGCTCAAATTTGTCCATGACCCGGAACCCCGCTCTACCTCTGATCAGTCTGGCGGTAGCATGTTGCAGGACATTTGGAAGGGCCTTGTCGACGACGTCTTTCCCGAAACCAGCAAGACCGCTGGCAAGGCCACCGCTTGAGCCCGGAAAAACTCCGTTTAGCCGAGCGCATGTGACAGGATGACCTCGGAATGAGACCGGGACAGCACCGGCCAGCGTCATGACAACTTATCAATGAGCGTTGTTGTTTTTTGAGCCCCTCCTCGCCGATGTGCTGTGATGCACATCGGGAGAATCCGGGGACCGTGGGCGGCAAGGGCTCCTTCAGCACAAGAAAACTAAAGAAGACTCTTGCCCTCATGACTTTGTCTTAGCATATTATTAATGGCGCGTGTCTCGTCTCACCAGCCTGGCAGTTGATGGAACTGCCTGTAACAAGGTTGGGACCAAGCAGGGACATCTCGCGAGCGGTGACCGAATCTAGGCCCGCTGTTCATCTCTTCATAGCAATAACGAACAAACAGTTGCCAGTGTTGCAACACCCCCTCATTCTTTTGGCTCCTAGAGATATCTATGGCTCGTTTCAATGTGATGATCACTCTGACTTCAGGATGTATAGTTTTTGTAAGCTATGGTCTACCACGATGTCGGACGTGGAGGCTTCTCTCTCGGATACTAGATGAACAAGATTCGCGGGTGATTTGTTGCGTGAGCACACAGGTCGGATTCTTGGTTCGCTAGACATACGGGATGGCATGCCTGTGTCGGGCGTGATTCGTGTTTCGTTACAAAAATGCGATGAATATTCTTGGACGCTTCATAAGTCGTGAAGAGAAATGCGTAATATGTCGTAAAAACATCATGCTGCCGCGTTCAGCAAGTAATCCGCACTTCCGCCGGGAACTTTAAAGTAGTCTTTCTGTTGTTACTCTCCGAGCCGAAAGACCCTTGACGTTCCCTCCCGGAAGCAGTCAAAAGGGGAATGGATGCTTTACTTAGCCCCGAACGCACTTGGGGGGCCAATCTTCTGGCTATAATGCCTCTCCCCGTCACCGCTGCCGGCACGACCATTGTCGGGCGTTTTGCGCTGGGCCCTGTCCTTGACGGCGACCCACCACCTGCGCAGCGCGGCCTTCCACTCCTTCTCTACGAGCAGGTACACCATGAGGCTCATGGGCACGGCCACGCAGAAGTAGACCCAGAAGGTGGTGCCGAGGGAGGGGAGGTTGTCGGTCATGCTGAAGAAGCTGGAGACGAAGCTGAGCGGGGCGAAGATGACGGCGAGGTAGGTGAGCCGGCCGAGCTGGAGGTTGTGCTCGGCGGCGCGCTGGGTCTCCTCGATGGCGGTGACGGCCGTGGCGACGGCCGCGATGCGCTCCGTCCGGCTGAGCAGCTCGGTGATGCCCTCGGACACGAGGGTAAAGTCCTCGCGGAGGTCGAGGATCGACTGGCCCGGTCCTCCTCCTCCCCTTCTTCTTGCTGCTGCTTCTGTCGCACTGCCACCGCCCGGTACTTCTCCTTCTTCTCCTTCTCCTTCTCCATATAGTCCTGTGTCTGCTCCGCCGCCGCCGCGGCTCTCCTGCACCGAGGACCACGGATGAACCCTCCGGTCCCTGCGGAACAGGACCTTGTGCGCCTGCGTGACCATGGTCTTGTACATCGGGATGCGCCTACGCCAGGTGTGCAGCTTGGCGAGCGAAGGCCCAATGGCCTTCTGCGACTCGTGCCGGAAGTCCTCGCGCTCAATCTCCCACTCGATCTGGCCCAGGCGGGCCTGGATGTAGCGCGACACCGAGAGCCACTCGGCGCAGTATATCTGCAGCATGCGGAAGGCCATGACGCGCGGGTCCGCGGCGATCTCGGCCCGGGCGTGGGCCGGCATGCGCCGCGTCCAGTGCAGGACGTTGTCGAGGAGGGACTCTGTCGTCGGCGCCGGAGTGTGCCTGACTTGCGACGAGGGCGCGGGGGAGTCGACGAACGGCCGGTAGCCCTTCCAGAGCGGGAAGCCTGCCTTGATTGTTGGGTCTACGAGCAGGACCGCTGTATATTTTTTTTTCGTACAGTCAGCTCACGATGCATTGTGATCTTTTAAAGACAGCTGGCCCTCTGCAGAAACTGCCGCCGTTGGGGTTTGTCCGGTCAGGGAACGGGTGATGGCCAAGCTTACCTACAGCTCCTCTGCCGTCCTGCGCGGGTCGCGTCCAGAGGGAGAACTTGCTGCGCACGAGGGCCACGACGCTTCCCTCCTTGTCGAAGATGGCCTTGTGCGCGCTGTCGTCGTCGATCCTGCGTAGCACGTTGAAACGCCCGGCGTCCCTCTGCGCCTCTGTGAACTCGGCGTGGTTGCGGAAGAAGCGCGGCTGCACGTATGTCAGGTGGAAGAACGGCCTGTCTCGAGACACGATGTCGAGGTCCGGCAACTCGACCCAAGGGTCTTGCACGTTGGACCAACTGGATTAGACATGTCAGCAACTTCTGGTCGTTATGATGTCAAAGACAGAGAGAGCTTGGAGTTTTCAAGAAGGCCTGCCGCACTTGTTGAGGAAAGTAGACGGATTGTAACAAGGAATGGGAAAGAGAAAAAAGTGCAAACACGTACAGATAATCACTAATCTGCTCCCGAAAGAAAAGAGGATCAATGTCAAGCTGGAACCCAAGCCGCTCAATGACCTCCCGGGACAAGTCCTCGACCACATATAGCCGGTGGACATTTGCCGCGAGGGCCTTCTGGTCGCTCAGGGCCCCGTCCAGGCTTTCGAGGTCGTTGATCCGGCGGATGCTGGGCTCCGCAGACGGCGCAAAGTCCACGGCTGCCGCGCGGACCCGGTGAGCCCGCTCGTCCCGGATCTCGTCGAGGTTGTCGAGGTCCTTGAGCAGGTCCCATTTCGCGGGTGCGGTGGTGACTTCCATCCAGTTTGAGAGATACCGCAGGTGAGGGAAGGCCAGCTGGATCTTCTTGATGTGGCTCAGATACGGCCCTGGAGCTCTAGAGACGGGTGAAAATCAGCGCCAATCCAGCGAATGCCCAAGTCAGAGTACACAGGGCAGCAGCCTGCTGATGACTCCGTCGTCTAAAGCACATGCCTTGGTTGCAGTGATACCAGGCGGCCGCCGTATAGTAACATGCAGCACAGAGAAAGGGTGCAACATACTTTGAAAGCCCGGCGGACCATTCCATCTCGGCACTGGTAGGCACGCGTGCATAGATGTCGCCAATGTAGAGTGAGTCGCCATGCCCGCGATCTGGCAAGAGCAAGTTCTTGTCCAGGGGCTCCTCGGTCCCCGGCTGGCGCGGGAGACGCCCCCGAGTGTAGATGCGCTTCAACGCCCAAGTGGGCGTGTCCTTGAACGTCATGCTGAATCTTTGGATGCGGAATTTGAACACAAGAACCGTGAAATGCTGTGCCGAACGTGAGAAAGTGAAAAATAGCTATTTGAGGTGGTCGACAGGATGTTTCGACTAGTCGTAGAGCATGGCAGCCACCGCACACAAACCCCGAGAAACAGTGAGGCCGAAAAGCAGTCGTAACGGGGTCAGAAGTTCATGCCTCGTGAGATCGTAGAATCATGACAAAATGCTTTGCAGCAGCAAAAGAGTTCAAAGTAAAACAATGAGTGCAAATCATGCGGGCACCGAGGCGAAGAGGAACGCCAAAGACTGAAAGGAACAAGCCCGTGGATAGAAAAATAGTCGTCAGCCCGTCTTAGCATGGGGCCCCCTGCCTGCCTGCCTACCTCAGTCTCCCGAACGACTGGGGGCTGAAAGACAATGGGCCCAGGTAGTGAGTGGTGAGGGGAAGGTGGCCCAACCAACAAAGAGAGGCGAAGCTTACTTACAGCCTGCCGAACGCTTATGCAGGCTATTCCCAATGCTGCAATGTGCAGATCTGCAGCCTCTTGTCTGCCTCGCCATATCATGTGGCAGTGCGCAGCTTGCGTGTGCTTGCGAGAACTAGGGAGGAGGAGCCTGCCTGCATAGTGCATTGTAACATGTAGGCATAAGCACGCAAAAAGATGGGTACTCAGGAGAGCACACAGCATGGTGCTATGCTACTTCTGCCACTCGTATGGGATCTGCACGTTGACAATGGTGCCGGTAGGCCTGCATGAAGACATTGATCGTCAGACTACGACAGGGCTGTTCACGATTCAGGCCCGAGCCCCGGCCAGGCTGGTCTCGACGTAGGAGACTAGAAACAAATACTTGCGCTACGAGAGTGTCCGGGTCCCTGCTTCAGGTGAGCAACGTCGGACAGAAGACAAAGTGGCGAGGCTGGGCGTGGAGAAGTTTGGGGGTCCTTTTGCTGCTTTGGTCCTGGCTACGCTAAGCGGGCGGCAGCGGCCCGCCCGGGGCGGCATGTGCTTCTTTTGGGGTAGCTTCTTCAGAGCCCGTCGACCTTCACACATCAGTCGCATCGATACATTTGTCAGACTCGTCAGTCAGCGGCATACTCCTGACATTGTGTCGCGTTAGCAATGCAAATGGCCTTTTGTCCAATCTGATTGGTCAATATTGCTATCGCTTCTCCACTGGTATAAGGTCCTCTCGCCCGGCTAGGGCTAACGGAACTTAAGACAACAGGAAGTATTCCCGTTACAGAGCCTTGACGAATGATACTAAACTCGGGAAAAAAAGGACGAAAGAAAAGAAAGACAATATGATGTACGTCAGTGGTATACGGTTCCGTCATTCCCCAAACGCCAATAAATGCGTGATTCCCAGCCTGGGAACATTAGTCTGCTGTTTCCCATTACTTCCCTCTCCTGCAGAGACTGTGTAATCCTTCTCGGCGTTCAGCTGACTGTCATTCCCCCCGCCTCCATGATGATTGGCCGCTGCGGAAACGCCTTTGGTTGCCTGGGCCAAGCCATCTGTTGGGACCTGATTGGATTCACTTTGCGTGCTCCATCAATGTCCTCCTTTCGACATTGTAGATTTGATAATATGGCGTCTCGCGCTGATCAGTCCACTTTCCAGTGACCGCTCATGCTACCATCGGAATCGTCGCTGCCAAGATACAACTCGATGCCGTACAGGAGCATGGTGATACCGACATTGGCCCAGCGCCAAACGTTGCCTCCGGCGTCGCCGTGATGCAAGGTCCATCCCTCACCGCCGTCGCTGGTCGAGAAGTGCTGGTTTAGTAAACTCGTGTAGACCGCAATAAGTATTGAAGGCGAGAAATAGGACAAGAAACCGAGAAGCTGGTTGGCACTGTCCGAGTCGTCCAGGGACGGTTCCAGCATGACCGCACCGGCGCCGGACTCACGAACCGCAGGTATTATGCGGGTGGCGCAGTAGAAGACAATGATACGGTATATCAGCGAGATCATAACCGACGGCGCGATGGTCTGGAAGGCCGCATGGAGGAACGTGAGGGAGGAGTAGACGGCAGACGGGAGTGAGCCGAGCAAGTGCAGGAATGTCGAATAACTCGCCATGATGATGGGTGGCAACGGCGGGAACTCAGGCTGGCCAGCCATCTCTGCAGCGGCTGCAGCTTGGGCCTCTGGCGACTGCACGTAATCTGTGAAGATTTGGTAGACACAGAGCACGACGTAGGCGAACAACAATGATGACTCAACCGGATTTCCGCGTCCACTGCCAATGCCCATAGCGCCGAGGAAAAACGCAGACGTGACGGTGACACCAATCAGCGTGGCGTCTACATTGTTGAGAGTCGGGAATCGGGCAACACGCCACAAAAAGTAGACAGCAGTTGCAATGACTGAAGCGGAGAACATCAGGAGAATAAGCTAAGTAGGCGTTAGCAAGGTTTATGTACTTTGAGGGAAAATGATCGCGGCTACATACCACCCAGGTGTCGCTTCGGCCTCTGTTCACCAGATATCTTGACAGCTTGCCGGCGGCTTGAATCACCAATAGGGTGCAGAAGCCCTCAAGAAGCTGGAAGACAGGTGTCGAGTATCTCAAGCTCTTGTCCCATACACCAAGCGTGGCCGACTCCAGAATGCCGCCCGTACCAAAGAACCAGTTTGTCCATGTCGAGGTATCTGCACGTCGACCAAGGCCGCCAATCGTCTTTGATACCCAGTCCGTGCTATTAGCGTCGACGGCAAAGCTATGAAGAGACCAGATGAGCAGTGTCGGGATGACAATCCATTGCGAGGCCTGGAGGGTCTTGGTGACGGTCCACCTCACTCGCGACTTGTCTGGCGTGAGGAGCCGCGCAGTGCTGTACAGCAAGTAGAAAGAGAAGATGGCAAGACTGTATGCCAGGCCGCTGTCGCGTCCGCCCACGTCAAAGCATATCGGTATGGATAGGACTATGGTGAGGAGGTAGACGGCGCTCGAGACTATCCGGAAGAGCCACCACATCGGCGCGTTTTCGGTGGCAGCTGCCGCGCCGGGAGAGCGAGGCGTCTGACCAGTATGTGCTGGTTACTAGCTGCAACCTTGAGAACCCGATCTTTCGTAAAGACACCCTGGCCTGAAGACGCGGGGGGTCGCACGAGCTGTCGAGCTTTGAGACTGGAGCGCGACCAGGATCTATATGGCAACGAGACCACAAGAACTAGCTGGGCCGTGAGAAGAAAAAGGACGGCGCTGGCGGAGTCGGGACAAAACGCGGTAATGTCATGAGCGCACAGGCGGGCGTGTCCGTGGAGGGGCAGCGGGCGTGTGGGCCGCTTCAAAGCCTGAAATTGTCGGTAGTGGTGATGCGGTGAGCTGGATGTGGAGGTGGCGGAATAGCAAGGGCTTGGAACGACTGCAGTCTGCTCAGGCAGGAGCGGCGTGACGGCTGATGATGATGATGCAGCAAGGGTCGGCGGCTTGACGAGGGACTGGGGAGCGCGCAGTCAAAGACAGCCGTCGAGGATGGGATGTGCGCAGAGAGGACTGGACGACCAGGGAGATTTGGTGATTTTGGCCTGTGACCAGGGTGCTGTGATCGTGGAAAGGAACAGCCCAGCCAGCCCTGGAGGACAGGGCAGGGCAGGCAAGGCACCACCCACCAGCCACTGATGCGCGGTGGGTGGGTGGTGACCGGCCGGCGGGCCAAGGGGCAGCACAGCACAGCACAGCACAGCACAACACAGCACATGCGGCCAGGTGGCTTGTACCAGACCTTGTGAGTGCGGATCCGCACGTGGCTCAGATGTGACAAGACACCTCAATCACAAGCCAAATTACACCAGCTCCACCGTGACATGTCGTCCCTGGCCAGCGGCCATCACTAGCTGTCCGCGCTTGTCTGGCTAGCACTTTGTAGCTCGGCGACGCTTTCTTCCCTGGAGCCAAACGGCCTATCTACACTACCTTACGGTAATAGTTTGTGTCGGCTAGCCTAGGGCAAGATGGCCAGGAATTGGAGAAATTGTCTCCCGGCCGCCGATAGCCTCGCCGGCACCCACCCATGCCTTCCCCACTTGTCACCAACGGAACGCGCTGAGCTCTGTTACGTAGTACATCATTTTGCATGGCGGATCGCAACCCAATTCGATCACGAATGCAGAGAAGCGAATGCGCCCACCACAAGGCACTACTAGTACATTGAGCCTCTCAACCTTGTCACTACCTTTTGGTTTCTTTGGCCGTCTGCATCTCTCCGAAACTGCAACCCGCCTAGCCAATGCTCTAGCAAGAATGCCTGAGCAGGGTCCGCCGCCGCCAGCCCGCGCTGGCCTCTCTCTGTATGCGAACCTTCTCGACCCAGGCGCCTCCAGTGACCAGGCTTCGATATCGAGAGCACCTGTCGTGTCGCGCGAAGCTCTAGAAGCCGTCAAGGAGCAGGAAGCAGCTTCTGCGAAACGGCCAATCGACGCCGCGCTCCGCTTCCAGCCCCTCCACCAGATCCGCCGCCCACAGCAGAAGACCCAAAAGCCAAAGGCATTCCCCAAGGCAGCGGCGGCGGCGGCCCCGTCTGCCGCAGCAAGCAATGCCTCCGTGCCGCCGGCTCCTGCTGCTCCCGAGGTTGCCAGCAATAGTGCGCCTACTACTACTACTACAGCAGCACCCGCAGCGGTTTCCCTAAAGCCAACCCTCGCCGACTGGCAGGCCACACAAGAGGAGGACGAATGGGTGTACGGAACTGGCGACAAGAGGCCCCGCGGCGGGCGGCGGAAGAAGAAGGGGTCCAGACGAGGTAACGACGCGCCGGTAGAGACGGACTGGAACGAAATCTACGACCCGTCGCGGCCGACCAACGTCGAGGAGTACATGCGAAGCGACGAGCGAGTTCGCGAGGTTCAGGAGTGGAAGGCGCTGCTGTACAGGCATCGACGGCAAGCAGACCGGCAGCGGAGCAAGTCTTGGAGCAGTGACGAAGATACAGACAGGACCCCGGCATTACAAAGTAAGTGCAACAAAAGATATGGCGCTCGAGGAGCAAGTATGATGAGACGTTTGACTTCGTCCTTTGCTGACTTGACGCTGCTCGTCAGATCAACATCCTCCTGCTGGTTACAACTTTGCGCCACCTCCAATGTCGCCGCCTAGAGCCTCAATACCAGATGCCAACACTGGTGACGACGCCTACATGCGTCGCCTGGCGTTGTCTCAGGGCAATGCTGTTGCACCACCGCCACCTGTACCGACCTATTCAAACTCTCCCCCGCCGCCGCCGCCACCCGAACCACAACCAGACACAGCGACCATCTCTCGAGCCCCGGTCCGATACACGCAGAGCGATCCTGCTGCGCGGCAGGAGCCCGGAGCAGACCCAGACGCCATGGACGAAGACACGCCCCAGGACGATGAGGATACCGAGCTGCGCAGCAACCGGCCAGGACAAAAGGGCTTTGCAGCGCGGCTGATGGCCAAGTATGGCTGGAGCAAAGGCCAAGGCCTGGGCGCCGAATCAAGCGGCATCCTGCAGCCCCTCAAGGTCCAGGTCGAGAAGCGCAAGAAGAATGAGAACGGCGGGTACGCGGAGCCCGGGGGCCGCGGCAAGATTGTCGCCCCCAAGCACGCGCACAACGCCTCGTCGTCGTCGTCACAGCAGCCCCCCTCCACGACGGAGAGCAAGTTTGGCAAGACGAGCAACGTCGTCGTCCTGCGTTCCATGCTCGAGGGCATGGAGGACCTGCAGGCCGAAATCGAGAACGGCCTGGGCCAGGAGATTGGCGAGGAGTGCGGCGACAAGTATGGCCGCGTAGAGAGGCTGTTTATCGACATTGAGGGGAAGCAGGTGTACATCAAGTTTACTGATGGGGTATCGGCTCTGCGGGTAAGTTTTTGTTCCATTTTTCCCTTTTTAAGCCTCGGGTGCCCTGGAAACAGCTCCTCAAGGCGTCCAACCATCATCATCATTACCGTGCTGACCTCCGTCTTCACCTGACTGCCAGGCCGTAAACGCCCTTGATGGCCGGATATTCGCGGGCAACACCATTGTACCGCAATTCTACGACCCAGACAAGTTTGAGCAGCGCATATACGAGTAGTCCGCTGAAATTTCACTTGGCCATCTTCTTTTGGGTGTGAGACGACACCCGCTCACATGGCAGGCGGAAATTTAAGAACTGACTGAAAGAGGGAGGGAGCCATACGCGTAGAAGAATGCATAGAAGAATGCTCCGTATAGTCAGCACTTTGTGTGCCACGTGCGTATTTTCGGCAGGGCGGCTGGTCTATGCAAGTTGTCACCGCCCCACAGTGATCAACTTCTCACGAACAGTGAAAGACACATCCGCAGGCATGACCGAAGGAAACAAAACCGTGCTTAAATATACAGGATGAACTCACAGATATCACCGGTGTCTATGCGTGAAATGCTGTACATCATTTGGACCGGGCGTGCCCGTTAAGTGATACACGTTCAGCGAGCTGCGAGAACTCAAGCTCTTCACGATGTGGGCATGACGGACACAGCTATCTTGAACTCAGCACCTTGCACGCAGAGCTTGTCATGCGAAGGACATTAGTTGCAGAGCACTGACGCCTCGAAGGTCTCATGCACGGGCGCTTGTGACTTGCGCGCGGATCGGTCACGAAAAGCCGAGTTCTTTCACATATTCCAAACCACAACACCCGAGATAAGGCAAAGAAAATAACATACGTCAGTATTAAGTCTAGCGAATCCTTGTACGTAATTCCAGTCGCTCCATGCGGCTGAACAATGACATGCGAGTTTTTCCACAACAATCGGACACTAAGAAACCGGATGTGATGACGCTCAGGAATGCGCTCGTGTTTCAATCCATCCATTCCACATCTCAACCCCTCCCAGCACCTTACAAGAAGGCAGTGTAGAAGACACCGACGGCACCAAGGCCGAGGACGGTGGCCATGTTGACGCCAATGAAAGCACCAGCGCTGTTGCCGTTGCCACTGTTGCCGCTGGTGCTGTTTCCGCTGCCGCCCTCGCCAGTGTTCTCGTTGGCGCTGGCGTTCTCCGCCACGCAGCTGATGCCACCCTGGACCTCGCTGCCCTTGTCAGCCTGGAACTTGTCGCAAGAGGACTTGATATCCTCAGTGGAGGTGATCTCGGCGGCACCGCGGACGTCGTCAAGGGCGGGGAAGGTGAAGTTCTCGAAAGAGCCACGGAGAGCGATGGCACCACCAATGTTCTCGAGCTTGCTGAAGCCGTTGATCTGGGACAGGGCGGTGTTGTTGGCAACAATGAAACCACCGCCAATGTCGGTCAGGAGGGGCATGGTGAGGTTCTTGAGCTGAGGGTTGCTGATGAACGAGAAAGTACCCTCCTCGAGCTTCGTAAGGTTGGGGAACGTGACGGAAGTGAAGTAGTTGGAGCTGAAGCTGGCGGAGCCGTTGATAGTCTTGAGGGCAGGGGCGCTGAAGGTGGTGACGTTGGAGATGGTCATGTTGGCGGCCCAGATCAGGTTGGGCATCTCCATCTGCATCTTGAGACCGTTGGCATCGATGATGACCTGGTCGCTGATGGTCTTGATGTTGGTCTTGAAGGTGACAATGTCACGGTTGTTGTTCAGGTTAAGGAAGGACAGGTTGTCGACGTTGATGCCGTCGAGGCTCTTGATGGTGGTATCGGCGACGAGGACGGACGAGGCCTTGGTGATACCGGGCGTGCCCAAGGTCGCACCAGTGAGTCTGCGGAGGGTAACCCACTCGATTGTGTCAACGGTCGAGAGCCTCTGGAGCTGCAGGCTGCTCATGGAGATAAGGTTCTTGAGCTGCAGAGCACCACCAATCTCGCCGAGGAAGCTAGCCGTCAGGGAGGTGATGTTCGGGTTGTCGAGAGCAATGAGGTCACCACCAATCTTCTCGAGGGCACCCAAGTTGACGTCACCAGAGAAGTCCTTGCTGATGAGGATGCTTCCATCGATGTCACCGCACTTGGCAATGGCGGTGGCATCAGCCGGAGACCGGATGGTAGCGGTAGGATCACTGCAGCCAACAGCGACGGCGCCTGTGAACAGTTAAGGGTCAGTCGACTGGTGCATGGCCTATTGCGTGTCTCGTGTCTCGAAAGACAAAGCTGTGCAGGAAACTCACCAGAGACGAAGCTCAGGGCCGCGACGGCGGAGGCGATCTGCTTGGTGTACATTTTGGACGCTATTGATGCGATTTGTTAGCTGGCGTGATTCAGACGCTGGTGAAGAAGCACCCTGTTGGAAGAGAGTCCAAGAATAAACAGAAGTTAGGCCAGGAAGCGGCCAGAGTGCATGTGCTTGCGAGGTAACAAAATTGTGAAAGCAAGACGGAGAATGGTGATCTCGTGATGATGACGTGCATGTAGCCGAAAGTGCTGCTGTGGGTGCCCCGGCAACCAGCCATTGACACGGCCATGCCAAGTTGCTCAGGTCGCCCCGACAGCGCAAGTGCCAGGCACAGGACAGCAACACCAGGCAGGCACGACTCTGCGCCAATCGCACCTGTGCTGCTTGTCGAGCATACAATCCGTCGTCCCAATCAGAGGTGCTTGGCCATGCCTGGATGATGCTCATAATCCAGGCATTGAGGCAAGCAACAGCACAGGGACCGCCGTGGGTGTTGCTGGCGTCTTTCTATGCTCGACTGCACGCGCAAGAAACTCAATTGTCTGCAATCTGCGAGATGCCGCAAGTCATTTGACTTGTACTGAGCAGCCAGGAGCCACCAGCATTGTAGTCTGATAATGTATGAAGGAGCAACGGCCTCGGAAGGACCATGGGCCGTGTTATCCCGACAGACACCACCGACATGGTATTCGGGCTTTGCGGAGCAAGCCACAGAGAATCGTGACGACAGCACACAATACGACGGTTTCTGTTGAGAGTGGCCGCGAGCACCGCTGCTGGTGTGGTGGTGGGCCGGTGCCTGTCGACGCGCGGCGTGTCGACACTGGTGGTCTTGGCACGGCCAATCAAGCGTCGCTTGGCTAGATCTCCATGCATAGCCAATGGCTATCGCAGCGGGAATTCTGGTGATTCTGCCAAAACCTCCGGTAGCCCAAGTGGCAGCGCACGCCTGGCTGTCGTCGCGATGCTCTGTGGTTTGCTGGTCCGCTCCCTCAGGGTGGTCGTGTCGTCGAGAACTGTGGTGGCTAGGACAATGCCATTGTGTCCAAAGGCCGAGGGCAGGGAAAGTGAAATAGCAGAGAAAAGCACGGCAACGTAGCACCGGTACCCGGAAGGAAATAAGTGAATCCAAACAGGCAGCGAAATGCCTCTCTACATACCTCTTTTTCTTCTGTTCTGTTATCAAACGGGATGCCGGAGCGGATTGCTTCTTAATCTGCGTGTCGAAGGTCGGTCGGAGTCGGTATGAGACGAGACGACGGCAACGACGCGTGGTGGACGGATGATATTAAAGCGAGGAAAATGATGGAGCAGGCGCTCTTTCCCCTGATACAGTGGAATATGGACAAACGAATGAATCCGAAGGGAGAAGAAGAGTAATGGCAGGATGGCAGCAGCAGGATTAGCAGCAGCGAGAGTGGCCGAGGAGGTAGAGGAGAAGGAGGAGCTCAGACTTGACACAGCCGGCCAGAGCAGGAGAACAAGAAACACGAGGCACGGGGCACCCGCCGGGAAAAGCCATGGCCGCGAAATTGGATCCTACGACGGTAGCTGGGACCTCACGACAAGGGGGGCGGGCGTGGTGTGGGTGGCATGGGTGTGCCTGCAAAGCCACGACCAAAAGCAGGGCCGCGTCCAACCCACCTGTGCCTTGGCATACTGCTCGAACCATGCATCGCCCAGGCACACTGTACTGCTGTATCAGATCGTGGCCCCCAAGCAGGCGAGCTACGACGGGCGGCTCGTGGGGTGCCGGTGCTTGGCCCCCGACCCATTGGGGCTCTCCACTCCAAGGCCGTAGAAAGGGGGAATCACCAGGCGCAACTTGCTGCTCCAGCTTCAGCAATGGTGAACTATGCTACTCTGGTAGTGGCGGTGTATTCACGCAAGCAACTTCGTTTGTACCATGACTTGTGTTCTAGACGGAGAGCACTGCTACTGGTAGCATCGCAGCAGTATCAAAGTCATGGGCATCACCAAGGCGCCACTATCAGCACGGGGAGGCAGCCTCAACCTTGACCAGTGGCGCACCACGCCGTCGATTAGCTGTGGGTAGATAGGTCCTTTTACTCCGTACCCCCGAAGGACCAATATCCACCCATGGCAACCGGCTCTGCAGATTCCAGCCCATGGCTGCCACCTCTTCTGATTGTGTATTGTCAAGCCTTGGAAGGGAAGATCTTTTTAAGAAACGATGTGCACGCGAATGCGGTGAGTGGTCAACAGGCCGTGTGGCTAACCCGAAAGAAAAAAAAAAAAACTTGGAAGTGAGGCACCCCTGGTTTGAGGCTCGCGTGCCAGACTGCGGTCGGAGTGGCATTATTTCAGCGTTGGCCAGATGGGCCTGCCGAGCGTAAGAGCCCCGGGAAGGCATGCTGTGACACCCTGCTCCACGATTGGAAGGGAGACGCCCGCTTGCCGTTGTGGACCAGATGTCGCCCATGACGGTGTTGACTACATAAGGATTTAGACACTGTCGAAAGCCTTGTCGTGGCCAGCATTGTTGTGTCTGGCGTTCGCATTCCCGCTGCGGGTTGGCGTGCGGCCAGCCTAGCCACCAAAGCCTGCCTGGTCTCTGAAGCAAGGTTGAGACACGCTTGCAGCTCTTAGTCTCAAGCCGCCTCCGAGGATGGCTCGTGCTGGGCCTGTCACACACATTGCCAGTCGTCGATGGCTGCCTCAATTGCTGTGCCCTTCTTTGGCCAGACGAGTCACTCGCAAAGCCAGTGACGTCGATGAAAGCTGTGGCATCGACAAATAGGCCTAGTCCGTTGACCAGTGCTCTTCTGATAGAGGTCAACACGATACATTATGCAGAAAGCCAAGACGTGTTACGGGTGCTTCTTCATGCCTGGAACGCGGACTTGCGCAATCTTACCCACTTTTGTCTAAGCTCACGCCCTCGCTCCATCGCTTCAACGTGCGGGGCAGACTGTATGGCACGGTCCAGACCCATGCTCTCAGATCAGGACCTGCTGAGGATGGCCATCTTGCAGTTCTGGGTGTTTGGAGACACCATCGGGAAAAGTTTATTTCGGTGTTTGTTCAAGTTTTCAGCGTTGTCTAGCGCGCCACAGTCGACGAAACAACCGATGCTGCTGCTGCAACTAATCCGTGAGCTGTCAAAGGCGGTCCAGTACTTGGCGGGTGCTATCTTCATACACGGCTAGGTCTGAAGATACTTCCCATGCTTAATGTGCCTTTGTGTGTTGCCATGGTGAAGAAAACCATATCCAGGTGTTTTGGGAAAATATGATCCGGCTTTGCTGCTCAGCTGCATTGGCCTCAACCGTGCTCAGCAACACAACAGCGATTGACACCATTCGATGCTGTCATAATTAACCACTGGACGGTGTTGATCACGAAGCGGCAGGTGCCCCTTGCTGGTTCAAGGGTTTAAGGATGCCCAGGCTCAGCAGACAATGGCGGACCACTGCACAGTCTGAGACAGGAGCCAGAGGATTCCAACGGCCACACAAACACAATGCCCCATGCGCCACGGTCACCGACCGAGGTTCTCACGCGCCGATGGCATGCAGAGAGCAACTCATCGTGACTAGGTTGGTACCACTGACTCGCAGTTGATGCGTTTCGGCGACTGTTCTGATACAGTTGTGTGCCTGATCATCGAGGGTGAATGCCGACGTAAAGTGCCTGATTTACGGCAGGGAGCAACAGAAGCAGAAAATGATCGGTCGATGACGACAGCTGTGGAGTTTGTCCGGGTGAGTGAATTGCTCGGTATTATTTGTTGATGCAAGAGGCCAGGCCGCCCCTGGGTGTGGTGGATGTCGTGTGGGCCGAGCAGCTGCTCTTCTCGGCGCGACTGCGTGGCTTCGCGGGCGGCGGCCGCCCATCCGGGCCAAGGAGTTGGCGCTCGTGAGGGATCCCACGGGACAGTCATGCTGCATCCCGGCCGGATCCTAGCGTGGTGCCTGAGCCTTTCTTCTGATGAGGAGGTGGAGAGGGGCAAAGGGCAGGCCCAAGCAGTTCATGAGTGGGTGGGTGGTCCAATCGGCGACCAGCACCTGCACGCTGTCTGGCCAGGATGCCCGCTGCACCAATTTGCTGCGCGCCTGCCTCCTTGAAAGTCCCTATTCCTGTGGGACAGCGCGCGCACACACACACACACACACTAGACACACAGGTGGACGAGCGCAGACGAAGATTGGCAGTTGATCCACAATGCCTGCTCGATCATCCGTGATAGACGCCGCTCCAGCGCTGTTGTATTGCGCCAAGCCTCGGATGATAGCTGATCGCATGCCACGGGCCTTTACGCAATTTCTCTCCCTCCTGGCCATATCAGTCTCTTAAGAAACGACCTTCTCATTGCAGATATCGTCATTTGGTTGATTTGCTATGAATCAAATAAGTGCCGCGTCCACTTCGACTCGCTTACAGAATGGCCAAGAGATACATAGAAGTCTTCGTCGTCATGTTTGACCAGCTATCTGCATCGACCTGGCCCCGCTCCCTGCCTTCCTAACCCTGGCCATGAAGCTACGATCGTCTAATAACGCATGCCGCTATGTCCCCCTTTGGTCTTTGATAGTGCTGGAAAGAGTGCTCCTCGCAAAGACTGCCAGTGTGCTGATCAGCCTATCGCTTCAGCTCTACGAAAGTTTCCAGTCCTCTTTCTGAATCGTCGGTCGACTCCTGGTGGTTTCATGGAATATTGATTTCCACGACGCTCAGTGCTTCAGATGCGATCTGGTGCTGTCAGTTGCAAATCGACGACTTATGAAGAGCTCTATGCTGAGCCCTCTTGGATACAGATGCAAGATATGGTGTCCTACATTGACATGTATAATTCCTTGTGCGGTTGTCCATAACTCACGGAGACCTACTGATCTACTCAGAGGACTGCATATCACACTTGGGAATTATGCCGGAGCGTACATGAAGACCGAGCGCAGGAGGCCAAATTCTGGCATTGCGCTGCCTTGGACGACGTAACGCCGTTTTGGGTTGCGCGTGAGTTACATTCCAATGTCCTCCGAGGGCAGATTGCATTAATCATACCGAGTAGCGGTCGGAAGGGCTCACTCCATCGTGCTAACATCCGTCTCCTCGACCCTCCACATATACCACATGAAGACGCTGCGATATGGCTTGAAGCGATCGCTCATCTCAACCATGTCCTGTTCAGACATGTACTTCCACTTGCCGCCTTTGTTCTTGAGCTTGGCCACATCCCGCCCGACGAACGCCGCCATGCCACGCTGGATGCCAAGGTCGCCGAGCGAGAAAACGTCCATCCGCTTGAGCGCAAAGCATGCAAACATCTCGACAGACCATTTTCCCAACCCGCGGACAGCGATGAGCTTTTCGAACATCTCCTCGTACGGTGCGTCGACAAGCATCTGAGCGCTCAGCTCTCCGCTGGCAAACTTCTGGGCAAGACCCTGCACGTACTCTGCTTTGCGCTGGGACAGGCCAGCAGAGCGAAGACGCTCAATGCTTGCGGCTGTGACGTCGGAAGGATGCGGGAATGACCGCTGTCTGGCGGGCGTTGAGTCCGGTGTCTGCTGTCCTTCCTCCTGCGGAGGATAGAAGAGCTCGACAAAGCGCTTCTTGATAGCCTTGGCGGCTGCGCCCGAGACCTGCTGGGATATGATCCCGCTGCAAAGGGACTCGAACGGGTCGATTCTCTCGGCCAGACCCTCGGGCGAGAACACCCGGCAGTGGTGTTTCTCGATGAGTGGCTTCATGCGCGCGTCTATTTTGATGAGATGAGCGCATGCTTCCTCGAGGATGTTGGCGGTGGTTGTTGCCCTCGATGGACTGCCGACGAGACCATTCGTCGCGCTGGACAGCTCCTGGGACAGCTTGGTCGGTGACTCGGGTAGACTCGCTGAACTGGGAGTCACAAGCCTCGAGGTCTCTGGGGACAGCAGCTGTGCATTTGTACCGCGTGGGTTGGCCAGACGGTTGACGGCTTTGGACCTGGCCACGAGCGGAGTTGTGCCATTGACTCGTGGCTCACCTAGTAGCTTTGCAGCATCTGGCGTTGGTGTTGCCGGAGGAGGAGGGGGCGTGACCGGCGGTGGTACCTTTGTCGCCCGACGTTTCTGGGGCGTCGTGGGCGGTTCTGAGGCCACTGCATTTGGTATTCTTCCTGTCTGATTTGCTTGAGATTCATCAACAGCGCTCGCCTTTCTTTTCCGTGATTTGGCCGCTGCAGGTGGTGGTGGCATCGCAGCAGCTAATCTTGCCGCTGCCGCTGGGGAGGCTTTGACCTCTGAAGCAGCGATGAGCCGCGCGGATCTTCGTGACGACATGCTGTCAAAGCAATTAGCAATAGCCACATCGAGGTGCCATAGAAACGGGTCCTGTACCTACGCCTTGCGTCTCTCAGACCTGCGAAATGCTGCTGGAAGTGGTGGACAATCGAAGACTGGCACGGAATGTGTCTACCAGGCTTGTACGGTGCTGTGAATATAAGCGTTGTAGGCTCAGGACCGGTTTGAGCTGCGAGGCGACCCAGTAGGCGCATTGAGTGTGATAACTTCAAATATGGGCCAATCGGTCAACAATCAGGTCAGACGCTTGAGCGGTGACCCGAAGCTGAAGAGGCTGATGAGTTTCGAGTGCTGTTATGGTTGCGACAGTAACAGCCCCTTCACGGTGATGGTCTCTAGCTTGTCACGCCCTTGCTTTGTCATCGTCGTCGCCCCTGGCCCTAGATGTTCCCGATGACGTCCCAGCCTCCGCATGCCCGCAAAACTTCAGCGATTTTGAAATGGACACGTCCGCTTGGAAATGTATACAATGCTCGAGGCTTTGGGACCATTACTGGAATCACCATCTCTATCATATCCTCGTTTTCGGCACGCAGCCGAGGTTGCTGGCAGGCGGCAGCGTAGGGCTCGCAAGGCGTGGCTCATGCGTTCTAGGATTACGTGGGACCATCCTCCCCCATAGTCGCGGCCCACAAGCTGGGAGTCTTCACAACGCCAGCCCGCTTCTATTTTAGGGCCATGGTACAATGCACGAGAAGACGGCCGACTGGGTCGAGGCTCTATATCGAGAAAGGAATAGAGCACATGTGTATTGAGGCGCAAGAAAGAACAAGGGATGCTCGCTTCGAACAAAAGCCCCAAACGGTCTGTCGTGCTCCATCATGGGCTGAAAGCAATACGGGGATCTCGTACCTTCAATGTACCTGGCATGCACACGAGGCTTTTGAGGCTCCACCGGCCCGATAAAGTAGTCCTTCCCGGCCTCATCAAGAGCAATAATAGACTTTTTCGGGGCGATGCCTCAACGTTGGCATCCTCGCGGTTTTCTGTTGCTGGGTTACTTGTAGGACAGTATGTTTTGTGCCATGCGTACTGGTGTGGAGCGCAAGGGACGGATCCTGTCCGCGCGTTCCTTGAGCTTGGCACCCCCAATGCAAGTGCTCTCTGGCCAGGCCAGTTCTGGCTGCGTGCCCAGGTGCGCAAGCCGCTGGCTGAACCCCTTTCTGCAGAGTCGAGGGCGGCCTGCCTTGCGCTTGCGTTCCCAGTGCTGACCGTTGGCAGTGCGGCCCACTGTCCCCGTTGGACCCCCCCCCCCAAAGCCAGCTAGGTCGGTCCACGGCCAATGCCCTGGGGCCTGAGTTGACACTGACAGATGGCTTGCTGCTCACTTGCAGCCAAGCTGTGTTGTGTGTGCGTGCTTGCATTGTGCCAGATCAGCCGAATTTCTAGCTCAATCTCGGCCCTCCAGCTCTGCCCTGCCCAGTGCCATCATCCGCCCACTATTCTCCAGACACTCGGCGCATCTCCCCAGACCTGCTGCCGACATCACTTCCTCCACCACGCCGCCATCGTCGCCCTTCTCGTCCTCACCCAGCTTGCGCACGAGGCTGCTCCGCTCCCCTCGCTCTACCTGCAAGAGGCCACGCTTCCAGTCAGCATTCTGCAGCCCGCGCTGCCGCCCTCAAATCATAGCCCCTGAGGCTGTGTTGTCCCACGCCCTTGCAGTGCCCGGGCCTGGATCAGTGCTTCAGCAAAGCGCAGCCCCGAACAGCTATTACGATCGTCCACCCCGAGCATCGTCGGTGTAACGATCCCAGACGACCGGGACGGAGACACAAGCTACATCCGCACGGGAGACAGTATACTCGACTCGACGCTGTTCGCAACCTGCCCACTCGCTCTCACGCCGTGTTAGGGTGGTTCTAGGACCACCCCAAGTGCTTCATTGCCCACAATGCTTCTCCCCAAAGGTGGTGTTTCGTGGAAGTCTGCAAAATCATCACTTCCCCCCACCAGGGCGATATGGCTCTTCATCACGAGAACACGGTTCCTCGTCTTCGTTGCCCTGATAGGCACCATATTACTGCTATGGCGTGGCATACGGACATCGGCCAATGATCTGCAAAGGTAATACTTCCTCCTTCCCGCCCGGCCTGACGCCAGTCTCCGCGATGGCTTCTTCCTCGTGAACCAGTGTCTGATTGTCGTAATCCCATTGCTGACACAATACTGCTGACTAGTTTCTACTGCTGGGGTCCCTCCAAACCGCCCATGGAGATGTCGCTCAATGAACATCAAGCGTGGCATGCCCACCTCCAGACACCCGTCATTTTCAACCACCACGCTCCGATCAAGGTCAACTCGTCTTCGATAGAACATGTCAACCTCAACAAACTCACCACCACCCCTCAGGCTGTGCAGAACGAGGAGCGCATCCTCATCCTGACGCCTCTCAAGGATGCTGCCCCGTACCTGTCCAAATACTTCGAGCTTGTGGCCGAGCTTACCTACCCGCACCATCTGATCGATCTCGCCTTCCTGGTCGGCGACTCGAAGGACGACACGCTCGGTGTTCTGGCCATGGAGCTGGACCGGATCCAGAAGCGTCCTGACAAGATTCCTTTCAACTCGGCCATGGTTGTCGAAAAGGACTTTGGCTTCAAGCTTTCTCAGAACGTCGAAGACAGGCACGGTTTCGAGGCTCAAGGTCCCCGCCGAAAGGCCATGGGCAAGGCCAGAAACTTCCTCCTCTCCGCCGCCCTCAAGCCAGAGCACTCCTGGGTCTATTGGCGTGATGTAGATATTGTGGACAGCCCAAGCAAGATCCTCGAGGATCTCGTGTCGCATGACAGGGACATCATTGTGCCGAGTGAGTTAATCGCTCAGAAACAAATGCGAAAGTCGTGTTACTAATCTCTACCACAGACATCTGGTTCCACCGATACGAGAATGGAGTCGACATTGAGGGCAGATGTAAGTTGTCGAAGCACACTTTACCGTCAATATGTTACTGACATACTGACTCCAATAGTCGACTACAACTCTTGGGTCGAATCGGACAAGGGTCGGAGACTTGCTGCTAGCTTGGACAAGGACGTCGTCCTGGCTGAAGGTACGATGCGGTACTGCGATTATTCTGTGAGCCTACCATGCTGACATCGTCGTATTTAGGTTATTCCCAATATGACACTGGAAGAACGTATATGTGCAGACTGGGAGACTGGCGCAACGACCCTCGCGAGGAGATGGAACTTGATGGTATTGGCGGTGTCAGCATTCTCGTAAAGGCTGATGTCCACCGTGCAGGTGAGTAACGGTAATCCCTCACAAGCTGTTTCTGCCCCGAGCTCACATGTTTGCACCTAGGCATCAACTTCCCCAGCTACGCTTTCGAGAACCAAGCCGAGACCGAGGGCTTCGCCAAGATGGCCAAGCGAGCTGGCTATGAAGTCATTGGCCTTCCGAACTATGTTGTCTGGCACATTGACACAGATGAGAAGGGCGGCAATGCCTAAGTCTTTCTGGTACGTCTCGATCGGGTCAGCAGCAGACCGCGGTCGAACGGAGGTCCTATGACTCGCTATACCCTGTGGTCATTTGAGGTAGTTCGGGGTACAAGGTCAAACATGCCAGCAAGGGAAAACCCGAGGACTGTCTACCGGTGGACAGGCGACACATGCACGACACGTGCTCTGCAAACGCCCGTGACCTCTACGTCAACTATCATCAGGACTCAATTAGACATGGAGAGAACTGTCCATTTCGAGGGCGGAACTCCCTACTACATAAGCGTTCATTGTAAACCCTTCATCTCAGGCCAACCGCCTTCACCACTACTGCCTAGGAGTCATGTCATTCTACTTTGGGTTGGGAACGAAGCAAGCATACATGTGTGGTTTGGAGCCGTGCTGTATGCTGGGGCCGGTGTGGTCGTCTGGTGGTATGAGTTGGTATATAAAGCGAGCAAAATCGGTTGGCGAATGACAGGCCAGCAGCGAGACGGGGGACTCTTGACTGGCGCCTCTACTTTTCAGCGGGTTTTGGGGTGTCCAAGGTCAAAAGATCGTGGTGTGATATGGATGGGATGACCAAGGCAGGAATGGGAGGAATGGCTTATGCGACCAAAAAAGAAAGGCAACCCGGCCTCCCACATAATTACCAAACCACGCGACTACTAATCACTACTATCATCTGGGAAGTTCAAAGTCTTCATAGAGCTGTATATAAAGTTCGTTTTTCTTTGAATCCCTTTTTTTCTGTCCGATGCAGAAGAAGAAAATCATGCGTGAAGACTCGTGACGTCGTGCTATGAAGTTAGTTCTCGCACTCACGGACGACATGTTCTCCGGTTCCTGCTCTAGCCCGCGAAGGCCTACGAAACCCAAAGGACTGAAACGCGAAAAGGGACCAGAGTAGTGGTGTGTATCGCACAATATGGTTTAGACGGTCCTCCCACAACAGACGGCGGACGGTTGTGACGAGTTTTTGCACATATACATTGCCGCGGGTGAACTCCTGTGCTGCTGCTACTTAACTGTCATGGCATAGGTAGCCCTCGTCCCGAGTCTCTGGGCAGAAGAAGACCTAATGTACAACACACCCAGTCGGGAGGCATGCCTTCTTTCCTGTCCGTAATACCATCGATGTCAACTTTGGTACAACATGGTGATCGTCGGAAGGAGCCCCGTCGTCTATGGCACGTGTTGTCCCGTCGTGGGAATTTATCAGGAAGGTCGGTTTGAGCTTTCGCCATTTCATGGATTCCTGCGATTTTCGCCATCGTGCAGGAAGATAACATTCGAAAACAAATTGCGTCATAGCGTTGAGGCCCAGGCGCGTGGTGGCGGTGGTGGCCAGAAATCTGGCGAACGACAATGTAAGAGGGGGTTATTCTCCTGGCCTGTCCATCTGCGGTCGTCTATTGCCTCGCTTCTAAAATGTAGCTATAATTGTACAATGTTTCCTGGGCGGAGCCACCTTTTTTCCTCTGAAAAAGAAGTGCATCGCTCCTGGGCTCAGGCCATATATGCCCGAGGTTTCTCAGGGTTGGCGAAGTCCACGGGCGCTCGGCTCTTCCACGACTCTTCCTCGCTACGCCGCAGCTCCTCCGTCGTTGTGCTGTACAGAACACAGTACGCAGTTCATGGCTCTCGCGCCTTTTCGTTGTCCAGTGCCACGTAAAGTGATTTCGTCCCGCTTGCTACGTTCTCATCTCCTGGTCATAATCAAGACTGCCTTCCCCCATATACACATTTAGTGGTTCTTGATGATGGTCAAGGAGTCGAGGGCCTCTCTCTCCTTGTTCTCGGCCTTGATTTGCTCAATGATGGGGACCAAGTACGGGACATCCTGTAGAATTCACATTGTCAGTGTATGTCCTCAATATGTCGCACTGGTTTGCCCGGTATTGTCCAGTGAGCGTGGTGTCTTTGAACACTAGCCCTCCCTCCCTGCAGTACGGGCTGCCGCGCAAAGGCCGCCTTGTTCTGCTGCTGCCTTGCCTCCTCGATAATGAAAATGACTGACCTCCTCGGGCTTAGTCCACTGCTCCTTGGGCAGGAGCTTGTGTGTCAGGGAGCACTGGAAAGCGCGGCGGAGGCGGTAGACACGGTCGTACGATTCCTTGGGCGGGAGGCGCTTCAGCGCGAGGATGACATCCTCATTCTCCTCGACAATCAGGTCATCGGCCCTGTCCGCAACAATCTACGCGTTAGCATTTGCGTCTCGGGTTCTTCTAGCCATGTCGTTGTGATGAAAGATGTCGTAATCGAAGCCGGCGGGAAAATAAGGCGCTCGACTACGGGGACTGCATTGAGGGCAGATGATGTACGTCGATTGGATTGACGAGTGGCGTGGTTCGATATGGGTGCGTGCGTGCGTGCGGGAAAAGACGGAGTGGGCATGTACCTGAGGCCGAGCTGGCGGTAGCCGGCGGCGTTGGTGTACCAGTTGGCGACGGGCTTGAGCATGTTGTAGAGCCATGGCTTCTTCATGACGAAGCCCGCGAGGGAAGGGTAGGCAGACATGGTGGGCGGTCGTGGTCGGGGGTCGTCGAGCGGCGGCCGGGTTCGCGATGCTTGCTGTGGTGGAGGTTGAGATGGTGGATTGGACTGGGCCAGCAAGCACAGAGCCTTGGTGAAGATTCGGCTGGGAGAGAGGCCTGACTGGAGCCCTTGGAAATGTCGCAACGCTGAGTGGACAAGGGACCCGTTTCTGCAAGTGCAGACCTGGCAAGCCATCTCTGCTCGCCCGTGCTTCCAGCCCGGAGGCGGCTATGCCTACCCGGTAGATGAGCAATGTCCATGAAGTCAGCACTCCCAGCGGCAGCTTATGTCAGCAAGGCCAGGGACCAACTCTACGAGATGCGTGTAATTCACTTGCCTCGAGATTCAAGTGAGGTGGACGCAACAAGGTCACGTGTAGCTGGCTGGGCCCAGATCCGCCCCAAACTATTATTTTGGCTCTGGCTCAAACCAAGGGCATCTGGGTAGGCCGCCGCAGGGGTCCTGACAGGAGGACACCAATCCGTTGAGCTTCCTCGAGACAACTCATAGGTTGTGCTTGTGTGCCTCGAGCTCCATGGTTGATCGCAGCATGCCACCAAGAATCATTACCTGCAACGGCAGGTCCACCCATGAGGCCAAATTGGAGGCTGGCGTTTCTGTCCTTGCCACGACACCACCAGCTGCCGGGTCAGAATGTATCGTATTGACCGTTTTACATGGGCATGGGCTTGCAGCATGCATCTTGCGACCCGACCCTCGGTTCGGATGATCTCGCTTACCATTGACGTAACGCCTGGCTGGATGTGCGGCATGTGTGCGCGTGCACCACCACGCGTCTGGCCTGGATACCGTTATCGGGGAAAGTGGGATGCCTGTGCCGTCATCTTGCATCCCTGGCGTGTCTACCAACACGTGTGGTCATTTGCACCTGTCCATGCATGACTGAAGGTGCTCTGCCAAAGTCTCTGCGTGCTCGGGGTTAAAAAAAGAGATCTCCCTCAGTTCATGGCTCTTGTGAGAAGCAGCGCAGTGTAGAGCACAGCGCCTTCGGGTAGATGGGAAGGCGGATCTGCTGTGCCAAGGTGATTCCAGCGGCTCGCCTCTAGCGCAAGCCTGGCCGCCGCCGTCACTGGCAAGAGCACCTGTGGGGGCCACCTGTACGCTGAACGACCCGCCCACCGCCCACTTCCTGCTCCTGCTCCTGCCTCCTGCCGGCCGCCGCCGGACCATCGTCGCCAGGCCCAGCAGCAGCAGCACCGCTCAACACATCCTCCGTCTCTTCCGCCAACCCGAAACTCAAACCACAATCACGACCACCATAACCACGGCCTTTGCCGCAGCCTTTATTCGACGCCCTGCAACGCCCGTGGCCAGCCCAGTTCCTATCGACACGACGTCCAGCTAGCATCGCTGTAATCGAGGATAGTCCACACCGCACACGCCAATGGCCGGTCTCCGCAGGTAGTTCCAGTGTCGACGGTGCCTCTGCGTGGGAGCATTCCCCGCACGCCGCACACCAACTCACCCACTCCGATCCGACCGCCAGCCAGCTTCGCAAAGCGTCCCAGCACAATCACGAGCGCGCTCTAATTCCTCGACTACGTCTTTCAGCAACATATCTTTGCCTTTCGGGGGTCTCTGAACCAGGTCAGAGGCCCCACCTGTGCCAGTTCTCGCTCTGGGTAGCGCCTCTGGACATTGGGATGTCTCACGATCCGGTCCTCGCGCGCACGACGGAGAGTTCCTCTCCAGCCTCGACAGATCATGTCACGAGGACGCCTAACTCGACCTCGACACACATCCAGACTGGCGAATCCTTCTCACAAGTTGTAGCCGCCATGGACCTCCACAACTCGCCAAGCATAACAATGTTGCAGAAGTGGGCGACAGGCGCTTCCGAGTCGCAGTTCAATGCCCTGGCTGGAGCGTTAGGCGGTCTTACCTCTGGCATCGTGACGTGTCCGCTCGATGTCATCAAGACCAAGCTGCAAGCCCAGGGTGGCTTCATGACCATCGCTAAGGGCAGGCATGTCAGCCACCACAAAGTGTACGAAGGTCTCACGGGCACTGCCCGAGTGATATTGAAGGACGAAGGAATCAGAGGGTTATATAGGGGCTTGGGACCCATTATTCTCGGCTATCTCCCCACGTGGGCGGTGTGGTTTACAGTGTACAACAAGAGCAAGATGTTCCTGGCCGAGAAGGAGTGTAAGTGCTGTCATTCTAACTTGACGCTGACAGGAAGGTCTCCATCTCGAACTTGGGATTCGTGTGCCTGCCTGTGAACAGGAACCGATATCAGCTGCTGACCGGCTTGTGACTCTAGTGGTGCAAAATCAGAACTTCATCAATTTCTGGTCATCGATAGTGGCGGGCGCAAGCAGTACCATCGTCACGAATCCGATATGGGTGATAAAGACAAGACTCATGTCGCAGTCTTCTACAGGACATGGGGCTCCCGTCTCAGCTTTTCCCAGGCCGGGCTCAACACCAACCTCGAGGCCGTCGATCAACTCCCCTTGGCACTACAACTCAACACTCGATGCCGCTCGCAAGATGTACTCCTCAGAAGGAGTTCTCTCATTCTACTCCGGGCTCTCGCCGGCACTTCTCGGTCTGACTCACGTGGCAGTGCAGTTCCCCGTATATGAGTACCTGCGAACAAAATTTACAGGGCAAGGCATGGGCGAGATTGGAAAAGGAGAGAGCGAAAAGCGCCATTGGCTTGGACTTCTTTCGGCGTCCGTCATGTCCAAGATTTTGGCAAGCTCAGCAACATATCCCCACGAAGTGATTCGCACGCGATTGCAAACACAACGTCGCCCAGCCGCTGGAGTGGAATACTTCCCAGGGCATGACCCCAAGAGTGCTTCCGGTGTCAAAGCGGCAGCTGCCGTGCCTAAGTATAGAGGTGTGCTCATGACGTTCCGCACCATACTGCTCGAAGAAGGCTGGAGAGCATTCTATGCCGGCATGGGGGTTAACATGATGCGGGCCGTGCCAGCCGCCACGGTCACCATGATGACATATGAGTTTGTGATGCAGCATCTTCACGCAGCCAAGGCAGAAGGGCGGAGGATAAAGAATCAGATGGGAGCGGATGAAACACGAGACCCCTGATCTTCAGGACAACGGGAGACATTGGGAACCTCACTCACCAAAGCTCTGAAACGCCCGTACAAAACTGCCGCCAGCCACATGGAAGGTGTGGTCAAATCAACTCATAGACGACTGCTGGCCTTGGACCAATCGACTCACGGATGATCATTGATCGACGATACAAGAAAAGCACGAGCAGTGGACGTGGCGGAATCGGACCTCAGGCCGCCTGACGGTCGTTGTCCAGCTGGGTGGACGAGCCCTGCGACAGGCCATAGCTTGGCAGCAGAAATCAGGACAATCTGCACAAGCAGGGCACGCGAGAGGAGCAAGTCGAGGACTTGATTTGATTTGAGCATCAGCCAATGGAAGAGATACCCTTTTCTTGTAGGTATAGAGGATTTGATGAGTACACACTTCATACGCGCGCACATACACGCAGATATTCAGCATGCATGCAATCTAGTACAATTTGAGAAGACCACTTGGGTTTCTTTTGGCCTTTGCTTTTCTACAACATGAAGTCGTCTGCAGCAGTCCACACATGACCACGCGCAGATTCGTCACCACGTGAATAACCAGTTTGGTCTTTGCAAAACCGGTGGGACTGGCAGACTTCGAGGGCGCCAACCTGCGCAGATGTGTTTGGGTAAATAAAAAATACATGGTAAGTGGTGGTTACGGCTCATCACTACCCCAGTGCTTGGGTGGGTGTAACCTTTAGGATCTTAGCGCCCTGGGACAGGGATGTCCTTTTAAGGCTGCGCGCCTCGATTGACTCCGCTCCATTAACATCGTATGATCTCTGTCCTTCAGAGCTAGCTTTTTGTCTCTCTTACAAGCGCTATATCCCCCAAACAAAAGTTCGACCCCAGCTCTGCGCCGCTGTCCATTGAAACTGTCACCAATCTGCAGACGAACAGGGCGCAACTGGCCAATTCTGACAACCCACCTGGACGCTCATTTCCATGCAAAGCTGGGAGAAGGACCGGCGTTCCCATCTTGGATCCAGAGGAGAGAAGACAATACAGAGACACAGAAAAAGAGGTGTCCAGCCCTGAACTCTTTCTTATGGGTGGCATGAGGGGACGGGAATCGGAGTGAAATAAAAAAGTGAAAAGAGTCATCGGAGAAGAGCCGCAAGGCAGAAGCAGCGATGTTTTCGAAAGGAAACTTGACGCCAAAAGTACGTTCTCTATCTCTCTCACCTTGCTTCCTGCCGCTCGCCTGCCGGGCCGCACAACACCCTCTTTTTTGGTGGCGCGAAGAGATCAACGTATGCCAGGAAGGGGGCGGGGGGTAAAGGACCTTTGGCCTCCCCCAGGGTTTTCTGTCCAAGGTCAAGACGGTGGGATGGGCAAATCTGCCGAGGGCAAGAGAGGTGAACGCACGAAAATTGCTGACATGTGTTGCGCCCTCCTTGGGCGCGTGGGGTTTGGGCCAGACAGTAATGGCGCCTGCCGCGGCGTTCACCATGGCTTGCGTGCTGTTTGCGTACGTACTTCACACACACACACGTTCTCTCTACTTATCATTCGGCTGTTCCTTGCTTGCTTTTGGAGGATAGCAGGATGCCAAGTTGAGAGCACAGAGTTGGGAGCTGACCCGAGGTTTGCCTTTGCTTGAGTAACAGGTATACTAGATCGTCGATCAAGGAGGCTCGGCGTAGTGCCGTAAGTGGTCTCTTCTTCTTCTTGGACATGAGAGTATGATCAGCCGCGTCCGGCTGGTCGGACGGCCGTAGGCGTGGGCGTGGACTCTCGGCTCTTGTGGCGCCGCGGCTGGTGGTCTGTCAAGAAAAGGGCTGTGGTATATTGGCTAATCGGTATTGACGTCTCTACAGCGTTCGACTCGGGAGACACAGTCTGGCCCGCATCGGTATGGTCGGCATGACGAGGGTAAGGAAACAAATCAGGATCGCAAGTTGTAGTGAGACAAAATGAAGATTGGGATGGTAATAGGCATTGGCGAGGTTGCCCTCGAATAGCAGCAGGAGATCCAGCAACAAGCATCGCTTCGGGCAAACGGGCAAGAAGCGCTTGGGTGGCGTCCTTCTTCCCGCGGAAAGAGTCGGACTGCTCTTCGGCTTAAAATCTTGTACGACCGGAGTTGCAAACCTCATTTCTGGGAAAGGCATTGCGAGAATCATTATCGCGGATCATTGATAGAATGAGAATGGCAAGCTCCAGGATGCAAGTCTAAGCCTATTGCCAATGCCGGCACAATGGACACGGCGTTCTGGGAGACCGCCAGTGAAAGGAAGCCGGCTCGCCGGCCATAGTAAGAGCAGGCAGGATAGCACCTACGGGATGAACGTGGGATGATACGATGGGGGGTAGCTAACGAGGAGGAGATCCAACGTCAGGTCTGCCGTGATTTCGAGCCAGAAACGGCGTCAATGGCGGACGACAACCGAGAAGTTGCCACCGTCATCTCAGTAGGAAACATGGGTGCTGAATTTGATCGACCCTGAAATCAAAGCAAAATGACACGCTCGTATGGGTTTTTAGAAGTGGCAATGTTGGGTTTCCCATGCTTGACCTTCGGCTGCGCAGATGGGATGACTGAATGTGGAGTGGTTCCCGCTAATTGTGACAAGATCTGACACACCGCGAGCCGAACTCCGACTTGAAATTGAGATGTGCAATTTCGGCAAGAGGGCATTTCATTTCGTGCTCTGCCGTACTTGGCCTGCGAGGCAACCAGGCAAGAGGTTGCCTGAAACCTGCCATGACGTAGGTGTGTCATGTCATGTCTATATGTAGGTGGCAGTGGGGCCGATTGTTTCTTGACACCTTGAGAAGAAGGGTCCAGCCCGCCCAGACGGGTGATTGAGGGAGATTTGGGGTTGGAGGAAACGTGCCAGTGGTCCGTGTTGGAAATACAGTATGCCCTGGGGTGGCTCGCGGCGGAACGCGTACCCGTTGATGATCTCGTGTTCGTGGGGTGCCGTCTGCCTCCGCGAGATCCTTCCTCCATCTGCAACAGAAATAAACTCGTTTTGGCGCTTTCGAAGTCTTTCGAGCATCAGCGGCCGCAGGATTGTCAACCTGGCGAGGCACAACCCATCTCCATGAAAATCTTTCTCTTGTTATCGTGGTTCATGGGCAGCCCCGCCTGCCGCAGCAACGGCCCTAGGTAGTAGGGCCTTAAGTCCCACAGGGCTGACTTGCCATCCACTGGGGTCCTCTGAGCACCATCTTTTGTCTTCCCATCCGTCGCCGGCCTTTCCGATCCTCGTGAAGCGTGCAATCGTGGGCGAGGCAGTCGATTCGCATCTGCTCTCCACACCACACTCGGTTTTCTTTGCTGCTACTCATTCACCATTTCCAGACTTTCGATGGCTAGCCGACAGTGTTTGTGATGGGTGTGGTCAGCAAAGCTGAAAAGGGAACCCAGTCTGGAGAACGCCTTGCGGCGACCCTAGCTTCAGCCCACCCCGTCATCTGTGCCGTCCTAAGAATGGAACCGCAGCGCCCGTGGGGGCTGTGGCCGCCATGGCTCATGGAATCCATCATGAGCTGACAGCAGCGCTCCAATCAGCAGCAGGGGTGTCGGATGTGGGCGCTGCAGGGGCCTGCACCAGGCCAAGTTGGTCCCTCGTCTCCATCCACAACCAGCCAAAGTAAGCCTGCCATTGTTCTCCAGACCCTGAACAACGGCCGCCCGTTGTATGTGCCTGGCTTGTGTGGGCTAGCGTAGGCATCCCACATCATCTGCGAGGCCGCCAGTCCTCGATCCTCTGCCATGAAGCTGGACCGCGGACTATGCCCCAGTAGCAAGGACAATGGCCCTCAGTTGACCACTTGTGTCCTTCTCCCGTTACTCACATCCTTTTCTTGACTGCTTTGTCCAATTGCTCTCCACGGATTGTTTCCACTTTGTCTTCCCCTCTCAACACGCCCACTTAGACGCTCGCCGCTAGCAGTGCTGCCTGGCTTCTGGCGACCAATCTGACCAACAAACCTCACCTACTTACACATTCGGCCCGCAGCCAAGTCGCCCGATTCGGGTCATGAGGCGACTCTTCTCTCCCTCACCGCTTCCAACATGACAGAGACAGCCTCCAGCCATGTCGTGGCCTTTGGTGCCGCGGCACATGGGCATGCCTGTGGTCCTGCCTTGATGTCCACCTCTCACGAATCAGGGAGCCCAGGCTCCCCGTCGGCCATGGCCCAGTCGCTGGATGAATCCTCACGCAAGCAGAGCAGCTGGCGTAGGCTGCGTCAGGCTAAGAGGCTCAGACTCTCAGACCTCGCCTTGAAGATACAGCATGCCTCAGCACCGCTCGTAGAGCTGCCTCCACCATCTCAAGAGTTGTCCAGCTGCCGGATGTTCGAGGTCTCTGCATTCGACTCAGTGAGCCTGCCCAGCGACTCGGACGCCAGTGAGAGAACACCCAGTGCTCGTCGTCGAGCTCTCGATGCAGGCTCAAGGGAGTCTGTCGACGAGTCGCCTTACTTCCACGTACGGTCAGCTTCCGAAGACTCGTGTCGGTCCGGCTTCAGCGGCTACCAGGACATGGACAGACTCTTGATCTCTGCAGCACACAAGCGAGATCTCTCCTCGGACTTGGGTATGGGCGAAATCACACTACATGGGCTTGCCCAGCCCCATTCTTTGGTTTTGCGACCAAAGGTGTATTTCGACCGGCAAAGCCAGGCTCATGACAACGACACCGTGACCACAGCGTCTTCCCGCGACAGCTTCGCCTCTACGTCGAGGACTTCGTGGACCATGTCCCCACCTCTCAGTCCAATGTTCGGCAATGCTGTTCTTGAACAGATAACTGGCGCCAACATGACCAAATTGTGAGTTTCACCAGAGTGGCATGCAATTCACAAGTGGCTAATCGACCTGCACAGCGACCCTGACTGCCCAAGCAGACCAGAATCAATGATCAGTGACAATACCGACTACTTTCAACGCCATCAGCAGGACGACCACCCGGAGGCAAAATTCTCGGAACGACACGTCGACGCAGATCAGGAGATCTTGGCATCTGGGTATGTACTTTTGGGTCAACCCACGTTTAAGCTTCGACTCTAACAATGGCAGGTCGGATGAGGTGGAATCTCATGTAGAGGAAGTTGGTGAAATAATGGCAGAACCACAAGCAGAAGTCAAGACTGAAAGCCCTTCCGATGATGGCGTCGCCTCCTGGGAAGACATTACTCAAGACGTAGATTACTGCGAGGAGCAGAAGCTGGACAAGCTCTGGGACTTCGCCGTGGAGCAATTCCCTGGGCTAGAGCTGGCCAATTCGTTGCCCATTCTCAGACGAAGGTCATACGTACGGCATTTTGTCAGCCAGATCGCCGATACCATACCAGATATTGTCATGCAGGAGTCCGATTCGACGTCCACTGAGCCATGCGATGGCGGGGAGCAAAAGTCGAGCACACCGAACAACCAGGGGCGCAGGGAAAGCAACTCCAGTCAGCGCAATGGCAAGAGGAAGAACCAAGACGACGAAGATGAAGACGACTTGGACGACAATCTTGGTGGTAACGACGGCGACGATGATGGCCCAGGCCCCCACAAACGTCGCACAAGAACCGCACGCACGGAGCCGGCCGATACTTATGACTTCATGTGTCCATTTCGATTGAAAGACCCAAAGAAGTTCAATGTACGGGATCACAAAATCTGTGCACTCAAGGTGTTTCGGTGCAATATGGCGCGGAAAGAGATCGGGATCAACGAGCTAAGGTACGAGCCCCCCTTTGGCTAGAACTATTTTACCGCGTGGCTAACGCTGGCGCAGACGTCATATCAAGGACGAACACCTGCTTGAAGGCCTGGAACGAGACCCAAGGAACCAGTGCGACAGGTGTAAGGTCTTCTTCAAGACGCAGTCAGATAAGGAAGGCCACGTCAAGACCGGCAGATGCGAATATAGAGAGCATCCCACAAGCCGTGATCCCTTGGAGGGTATTGACATCGCTACCAGAGACCGACTGGTCTCAAAGAAGGGTCGCCAAGGTCAACATCCTCTCAAGCAGTATCACGGCCTATGCCAAATCATCTTTGGCGATGACACGGAGGAGCTCCCTCATGGTACGTTACCAGCTTAGCCCGTCCTTACTACATGTCAAAACTAACATTTGGCTTCTGCAGGGCATAAACTAGTGCGCGAACACTTCGAGTTGCATGCACTCTACGATGAGCACCGCCCAAAACTTCTTTCAAAATTCCAGACGTTGCTGCGTTTGGGACCCCAGGGGATGGAGAGCTTGAGCCAGATCCTCCAAGATCACTCTGAAGGTCTCTTTGAGAGCTGTACCAAAGGCGTGCCGTACGAAGTCTCCGACATAGCGCCCCTCGCAGGGAAGGGTACCCCTAGTGATCGTGCTCCCTCGCCTGACCAGAAAGATTCGCCCGAGGCACTGCTTGCCAGCCCATACTCGCACCCTCCTCAAATGGCAACAGATTCAGGCATCGGAATGTCAGAGGATGGTGACTCTTGTGAGAGCCTGATAAAATGCTCCGAGGAGATGTTGGGTTTGGATACGTCGTTGTCTGGCTTCTCCGGGACTGACAGTGTTGGGCCACATTCATATCGGAGCTCATCTCAGCCATCCACCCATGGAGGCACAAGCGTATCTTACGAAACACTCCAGCTGGGCGCCGCCAACATGGTTGACCCTGGGTTCCGGGATACTTTGGAGCATCGGTACCACGTCAACCCAAACTTCCTGCAGTTCACCGATGGGCGGCCGTGGCTGAGAGTCAAGGACAAAGACAACGGAAAGACACTTCGTTACCCGATCAGAGCACCGGTGCCTGTCCAGATTTCCACCTCATCCACCATAGAGCCCCCTCCAGGGCCAGCTCTGACACAAGCCGACCTTGTGAGCAGCGCGTGGGCAACCGACTTCGCTCCGGACCTGCCGCAGCTCGCCAACAACAACAACAACAACTTTGACTCCTTTTACAGCACGGGCAACGGGTCGGCCGAGTTCGCGGATCAAGCGTCCCAGCACGCAATGTACCCGGCGTATCCGCAGCCCGTGCACCACGGGAGCCACGCGCCGATGGACTTCCTGGGCAGTAAGCTCTTCCCGAACGTCGGCGCGGTCGGGCTACATGACGGCGCGGACCTCGATGTTCACAACCAAGACGGATACGTGGCACCTTCCGATGTGTACACGTTGACCAACAACAACACAACGGTGCCGATGTACCACGGCCAGCACACCTTCATCTAGGAGCGCTCGATGTACCCACATGAAAAGTGCTAGCTTTGGAGAAGAAGTAGAAGAAGAAGCCCGCTTCTTAACTTTTCACACCACGAGGCCGCGTGAGCCCGTTCGTGTTTGACCCCTCATATATACATCAAAGGGCCAGAGGTCCAATGCCTGTTTTTGGAAGCCTGTCTGATTCCAACTGTAACCTCTTAACTTGTACAAAGTATGATGAGCATGATCGTGGCGACAGCCAGTATATTAATGTATAATGAGACATTTCTCTGGGAGGGGAACAAGTGGCCCTTCGAAGCAGGCTTCGTGGTCGGCACACGCGCGCCTTCCAACACTACTTTCACACAGAAATTCAATTGCTTGCCAAGAATTCTGGTCGTTGCAACATGGGAAGATTGGGATAACGAGATATATCAACAATTGTGATTAGTTTGCATAACCGCGTTCTAAGGTCTGCCGCCATGTCTGTTGCCCCAAGTTACACACGACATCGTGAATATCAGAATGAAACCCATGTACACCGCCAGTCTTGTACCCGGCCCAAATCAAAACTTGTACAAGAAGAAACATTGTATGCCTCGCTGTGTAACCTCACAAAGTATGCTTGTCGATTTTCCCCTGAACACCAGGAAATGCAATGATGCGAGCTGTTCTCAAATCAATGGCGCGTTGCTAAATCATCTCTTGCATACAAGCCGCCGCCACACCCAGGTATTGATGGAAAGCTTGGTTTTGGTACCGACAGACTCATCCTCAGAACCCAGGACAACGCTCGTCGAACGGGGTCTTGCGGTTCTGAGGCGTGCAGACCATCTCGTTGGCAAAAGCCCGCCACCTGTCGAGGATGTCGGTGGTCTTGATTCCATTGTGCTGCGTGTAGAAGCTCAAGTGGGCGACAATGACCCGGGTGTCGATTACGAAAGGCCGGTGCAGTTCGCGGGGTCTTGTGACAGTGATATCCTGCTCGTCGTCGGTGCTCAACGGCACAATGGCCTTGACGTCATGGCCCCAGATTGCAATAAAGTTGAGGTTGTAGCGCTTATACTGGGTATCGTAAAGCTGTTCACCTCCGGGCAGTTTCGGATCCGTCTGCACGTGGCTGCCAAGTACCTTGAGATTCTCCTCGGTCGCTTTCCAGTGTATCTTGCGCCCAAAGAAATATTGAGAAACTCGGTTGAGCTCCAAGTTCCTGAAGAGGGCGTAGTGCTGCTGAGCGGCAACCGCCCAGGATCGCCAGGCTGTGGTGAAGTGGTGTGTCTCGCCGCCCGCATCATTATTCCAGCTCATCCCCATGGGCGTCTTCTGGATATCGAAGCTGTGGTCATCAGACACTTGCAGCCAAGTGTGGCCGTCATAGGGAGCGTGCAGGTCCACAAGATCCTGCTCCTTGAAGTTGGCATTCTTGTTGGCAGGATAATAAGGTTTTTCCGATGGCCGCCACGTCTCGGCAGCTTTGAAGGAAGGCTTCATGCTGTAGTCTGGGAGAAATGGCCACATGGCACCGAAGAGAGTGTGGAAAGTGCCAGTCAGAGGACTGTTGACCAGATTGGCTGAAATAGCGAGTGGGTGAGGCTCAGCCAACCGAGTGTGCACGATCTGAGGGATGGCATCGTGGTGAATAAATGCCTGCGATTACGAGGTGTCAGTTCTAGGCTCTATGCTGGAAAGACAGTGCTTCCGGGGATCGGGGCGTGCGGGATACATACAATGTCATCGTCGATCTTGATATAGATGGTATCGTCCTCTGTGAACATGTCCCACATGCAGCTGAAGTCTTGCCCATCGCACTCTCCTGGATTGACCATTTCATAGTCTGGCCGTTTGGCAAGAAGATCTTTCAGGAAGGCGCGATCGGTCTCGTCACGAGTATGCAGCAGGAACAGGACCTTGTCGAGGTAGCCGCCATTGCTGGCAAGGTTCTGCTGGAGATAACAGTCAAGGAGATCCACGGTTCTTCGGCGGCCAAAGAAAATGAGGCCGACAACATTGACGCCAGCCGGCTTCTTCCAGCCGCCCTGGGGAGCAATAGTGTCAAGCTTGAGGTCGTACTTTGAGTAGTCGACGGTAGAATTATAGTTGCCACTCTCATCGACGGGCCACGTAGTGCACTGCTTGTTGTGGTCGATGGGAGGTGGTTTAGCCTCCTCGACCACCTCTGTAGGCGGCGGTGTTGGTGGCGGAGTGCCTCGATATGAGTTGACATGAACGAGTTCGACAACGATGGCCAGGCTGACAATGGCGATAATGGCGCCAATGACGATGGTCCGACGCTGGGCACCCCTGAGGTTCGGGAGGCGCCGGAAGAGCCATTGAAAGTTGTGGGAGACGCTTCTGGAGCGGTGATGGCCACGAGACGAGTTTGCAGGCTTGCCCTCGTCGATATAGAGACCCTGGCGCTCGTCGTCGTCGATACTACCGGAGCTGAGGTCGTCGCGGTCGAGGTCGGGGGAGCGAGACATTGTTGCGAAAAGGGAGGCTCGACGAGAGCCGCGCGAGTAAGAGGGCGAGTACGGCTGGGAGAGGGGCGCTGCCGACTACGGTGGCAGGCTACACGCAGGAGCAAGAAACATTCCCAACGAGGACGGAACCGATTGAGGGCGGAAACGGTGTAGGAAAAGGAGGAAGTGAGGAGGACAGCGGCGGGGACGACAGGCAAGGCGCAAAGAATACCGGAAGGGTAGCTGGTGCAAGTGGGACGCCGGATGGGGTTATCGTCTCGGCCGCCTTGCGTGCTTACAGGACCTGCTTGAAATGTTGCTAGTAGACTGGGCGAGCCAACTTAAGGTTGCAGTGCGCTGCATTGACACTGACAGCGCGCGCTGTTCTGCAAGACGCGGCACCAACGACCCGGCGAATGCGGCCCACCACCCTCGGTCCCTGGGTCTAGAGGTCCCTGCCTCGCCGGCCGACTTGAAGGGTCCCTCCTGAACGAACCTTGAGCAAGGTACCCTAAGATAGGGCTTGGGGCCGCCGGGCGCTATGCCGGACTGGGCTGGACGCCGCCCCTTTCCTCCAAGGTGCAGGTTCCAGAATGACACTTTGACGTAGCAGCTTATACACAGTCTCCAGTCAGGCGGACCTAATCCAACGCAGAGGCCCGGGGCACAATGCTTGATAACCGGGGGATCCAGTATATGCCTCGAAAGCGCCAGGGGTGCCTTTGCGCGCGCCGCTCTCTGATAGGCGAGCACGCCCCGGGCCGAAGCAATTGCCACCAAGTGTTTGATCCTACTGCGTAGAGCAGGGCTCAGCTAATCTCTCACGGATCCACGCACGGTCCCTCAGACCAGGGCTGCTGGCCCTTTGGGGAAGGAAGGAAGGCTCTGAATCTGACATGATCGGCTCCCTTATGTACCTCCTGAAGTGCGACGACGACTTTGATCCAACAGCCAAGCCTGCAGCCTGCGAAGCCCAGAGAGGCCTAGACTTCGCAGTCCAACTCGTTGCCCGTGGGCCCCAAAGCTGTGCTCACCGGCCAGGCCAGGACGGTAGAAGTGCTTAAGTGGCGCCAGGCCCCCAAGGGCCTTTGGTGGTGGAGCTTGACAAGGGTGCGTGCTGCTTCATGCCGTATACGAGCCATGTTGGTTCGTGAAGTATACGGCCGCCATGGCCATGCTAGGCAGCTTTCGATCGCAAACCACGGCCCAAGTGAGTGTGTCCAGGGGCCAGGACGGACGTTGTCAAGACTCGGCCGCCGATGGGATGGTGGTGCCTGTTGGCCTGCTGAATAAGATGTGTCTCCCGGCAGGCGCGACACCAGCTGCTGTACCTGCAGGCGCCACCGTCGTGATTGGGGGCGAAGACGTAATGTATGTCCATGCAGAGGCACACCTGGGCAGGATGTCTGCGAGGGGGATGGGGATGGGAATGTGGATGGTGGTGTTGTTGACGTCGAGGCTGCCACACTTCTGGCAGCCGTTGGCTATTGGTGGGGACGACCCCGCGTATTAGGCCCCAAAGCCACAGACCGCGTGCTGGCGCGTCTGCTGCAGCAACCCCCAGCAATCATCAGCAGCAACAACAGCAGCTCGGCGGTCGTGCCGTCCGTCCTCATGTCCAGCGACCATCAGAGACTCTCTAGCTCTGCAGCCGCCATCCGCAACCGCCACAAGATGCAGCTATGGCCGAGAGACCTGACTCTGAGCGCGCCGAAGCGCGGGCCAGGCGCGTCGACCTCAGCATAAACCGCCTCATTGCGCAGTTCATTCCGCGTGACGACTCCCTCGATGAGGAAGCCGCTCAACAGCGCCACGACGAATATTATGAGCGCATCCGCCAGGAGCTCCAGCGGTCAGTGACTCCAGCCCCATTCCCCTTCGATCAGGCAGTGCTTTGCAGGAGGGCTGACCTATCAAGCTCCAACGTCCTAGGCCTTCCTCGGTGCCTCTCTCCGACCACAACCACGCTTCTGACCTAATCAAACGCCGGCTGGTGCAGAATAACCCCAGCCAGGCCTTGCGGTACTCCAATCTCTACTCACGACTGCTCAGCCTGCCTGTCCTCGACCAGAAATGGGCAATCTTGTCTCTTCTCAACCAGCTAGCCGACTCACCCGATCCCAACGACCCCGACCCGGCCGCTTATGCCGAGTACCAGCAAGAAATTGCCCAAGAGCGGCGGCGGCAGCTTGCGCACTTTGACGCGCACAGCCCACGCGAGGCCAAGAGCCCTGCAGTCCGCGATAGTGCCCCATCAGCAGAAGAATACCGACCGACCGAGCTCAAGGACGTGCTCAGGAACCCACGGGAGCGAAATGTGATGGACGCCCTCCCGCCGAGGAGCTCGAGAAACAACCCTCCAACGCCTGATCTGGGACAAGCGAAGCCCACCGACGGCGAGCCAGTGAAAAGACCTGTTGCCATTCGGTCGAAGATGCTCGCTGACAATTACGTCGAGATGGAACCTTCTGAGCCTGTTCTACTACGAGACCTCCCGTTCACGCTCCAAGGCTTGTCGTCTAGCACATTGCCGTTTGGTACCGGATATTCTATCAGAATACCACCGACACTTCCACCACCTCTAGTTGGCATCCTCCACACTCTTGCAGAGCCATCATTACTTTATCGCACGCTTGAGGATTTCGTCAACAATTCCACGGAAGGACTTTTGGCGCAGAGCCTACGGGCCGCCATTGGCAATGAGTTGCGCTCATACCTGACATTGATCGCCACCATAGAAGGGCAGGTTCGCCGCTCTTTATCATCGCTTGACGAGGACGCCCCACGTAGTGGAATCGGTAAGGCCGGCGTTACCTTGAAACGTTGTGTCGTGTGGACGCGCGAAGCGACGATGGGCCTGCGACTCATGAGCTTGGTTGCCGAAGAGTCCAAGAAGCAGAAAGGAGGCCAGCTTATCACACTGATCCACAAGTTCTCCGCGTCACATGGTGATCCCATCGTAGGCGCATTTGCGGAGAGGCTGCTGACGCCCGTGACGCATCCTTTTTACAATATTCTGCGGCACTGGATATACGATGGCGAGCTCACAGACCCCTACCTGGAGTTCTTTGTGCAAGAGCGCAATCGTCTCCCGGATCAAAAGACCCAGGCTGGCTCGAATGTCTGGGAGGATAAATACCACCTCGAGGAGAAGATGATCCCATCAATCATTACCACAGACTTTGCCGAAAAGGTATTCCTCATTGGGAAATCTCTCAATTTTATACGACACAGCTGCGGCGACGCTCAATGGGTAGAATCATACTCAAAGCAGTCGTCCAAAGAGCTGAGATATGGAGATACAGCCACGTTAGAGGCATGGATCGATGAGGCTTACAAGACAACAATGCGGCGCTTGTTGCATCTTATGACTGAAAAGTTCCACCTATTCGAGCATCTTCAAGCTCTCAAGGACTACATCCTCCTTGGCCAAGGCGATTTTATCGCTTTGCTCATGGAGTCACTCGCAACCAATCTCGACCGGCCTGCTGGTGCGCAATACAGGCACACGTTGACTGCTCAGCTTGAGCATGCGATTCGCGGCTCGAATGCGCAGTACGACTCACCAGAAGTTTTGAGACGTCTCGACGCTCGCATGCTCCAGCTCTCTCACGGTGATATTGGTTGGGATTGCTTCACTCTCGAATACAAAATCGATGCACCCGTAGATGTTGTCATTTCCACGTGGGGCACACGGCAATATCTGAAGGTCTTCAACTTTCTCTGGCGTGTCAAGCGTGTCGAGTTCGCCCTCTCGTCCACCTGGCGCAAGGTAACGACAGGGTCCCGAGGTGTCCTACAAGCCCGCCACCATCTCGTACAGAGCACGTGGAAGACTTCTCGTGGCATACTGGCAGAGATGGTCCATTTTGTGGGTCAGCTACAGTACTACATCTTGTTCGAGGTTATCGAGAGCTCTTGGACCGAACTGCAAAACAAGATCCGCAGCGATGATGTGACGCTCGACGACATTATCAAGGCGCACGCGAAATATCTCAACTCGATCACCCATAAAGGTCTCCTGGGGGTGCGCCGCCAACGGTTCGCTAATCAAAATCCGTCTGGTGCGGGTGGGGGAGCCGCCACGTCTAGCAAGGAGGATGAAAACAGCTACATGATCCAGCTGGGAGACATGCTACGCATCATGCTCGCCTACCGCGATTGCGTCGATGGTTTGTACTCGTGGTCTGTGTCAGACTTTACGAGACGTCAGGAGGCAGAACTCCTGACCACGGGGGGGCCTACGAAGAGGCGCCCGACCGCAACCCAGCGCCGTGCAGGACAAACATCGAGAGGCAATGACCACGCCGGGGACGACGAAGGCGACGACGAAGAGGTCCCTGGCGGCCCGGACAGCGAGTTCCCCGCGCTCAAAGATCGCCTCAAGCATCTCGGTGACCGATTCCGGACCAAGCTGCAGATCCTGCTAGGCGACTTGCTGCAGCAGACCGACCAGGACCTGCGCTTCCTGGGCGTCAGCATGAACTTCAACGACGTGTACCAGCCGGTCAAGATCAAGGCTAGGAGCACCCCGTCTGTACCGGCCGCTGGGGCGTCGACCAGTGCTGCTCACGCTGCGAATTCTGCTGCGGCGTCATGATCTCGCTGTCTTCCGACACAACTACAGGATGGGGAAAGAGCTTTCGCGCATCTATAGTCTAGTCAAGCATGTATTTTATAGTCTTAAGAGATTTCGAAGCCGGCAATTTTGATGCTTCTCCTTTCCTCCCCCGTGTTATCCTACGCATGGTGTGGTCTTGTGCGCAATTCAAGTGTTCACTAATGAAACTGTCTATACCGCACGCCGTCGTGATCGCTTTTTTGACCGGAGGACGAGGCACAGACCACATACTTTTCGCCATGCAAGACATCACGAACTGATTTCACACAGCGAAGAAGCCAACAGGTTTTTTTTTTTTTTTTACTGGATTGATATTTCTTGTCTGATATTGAAGTGCCATACATGGTTCTCATCTCATCATTCATTGCGCCTTGGGTTTGTGCGCTGATTCGTAAACATCAAAGGTGGTGGCGCCCTACTATGCAACAATCGACAACCACTCGTCTGCAGAGCCCCCTCCCCCCCTCTCCTTCCACGTGTTGTGTGCGAGTGTGGGGGTATATCTCTTGCCTTTGCTGTGCCCATCCAGGAAAACTCTGGATCCATAAACTCCGATTGCCATGAACCGTGTCAACAGAGTGCTTGTGTGCGAGTCCGCACCAGCCCGACCTGGTTGACAGAAAGACAGAATCCTTTGATGCTGAGGAAAAGCAAAACTCCCTTCGCCGAAATAAAACCAAACTCCGTCTAGCCTTTTCCGAGGTCCTTTGTTATGTTGTTCTTACATGACTTTCTCTGAACCCTACCCTCGCTGGTTGAAGGGCAGTATTACATGACGACTCCCCCTTCCTTTAACAACGAATTTGCCGCAACAGAGGATGCATGACCATGCCCTTGATTCAAGGCTGAGTCATTCTCTTGTATTGGTTTCGCTGGTTCGTATAAACAAAAGAAAATTGAAAAGAATGGGCGGTATTGCTGTAGCCAACAAGCTTCTCGCTGGAGGCTCTTAGCTGCTGCATTTCCGTTTGTTTGTTGGGCCGGCGTTGCTGAGCGGCCATAGGACGCCGCACCAGCGTGGAGACCACAACCATGTGTGATCGGGTTTGTTGTGGGCATAATCGCGCCATTTGTTGGGCACTTCAGACATCTGTCATCTCCGTGTCCAGGCACTGAGGCTCGACGATCTCGTCCGCGGGACCCCAATTGCCCTCGAATACCGTAGCTGAGGCGCGTTGGCGGGAGGCGATCCAACGGAACGCGTCAAGTCCGAGGATGTCCGAAATCCCTGGGCGACACATAGGCTCAGCCGCCAGCATGGACTTGACCACAACATCCAATGAGTTGCTATGCGTAGGGTCCTTCATGAATGCCGGAGGTTCTTGGAGCTCGTTCTTCTTGGCCAGTCCAAAAATGTCGCCAGTGTGTCTGGAGTTTCGACGGAAGTTGTATCCATGGCGTTTGATGCTGGGCCGAGGCTCCCCGGTGGCCAGGCTGTTGTTGGTTTCGAGTTCGTCCACAGGCATACCAGTTGCATCCCGGACGATAGCACTTGCGTCCTGGGTCAATGTTGGGACTTCTGAGAAATCTCCCTCACGTAATGCCGTCCAGGTCGCGCCGTTGTCAGGGAGCTTGACATTCGCGGCAATCTCGAGCATTATCAAGCCGAAGGAAAAGATGTCGGCGGGCTTGTCAATGTCTGAGCGAAGAGCCTCCGGCGCCAGATACTCTCGGTCCCCTTCTAGATCTGGTCCTTTACAGGCTGGGAGCGAGGTGGCAAGGCCAAAGTCGCCGATTTTGAGAGTGCCCTCAAAGTTGATGAGAATATTCGCTGGCTTGAGATCAAGATGGATGAAACCCTGTCCGTGAATGTGTGATAAGCCCTAGAGTGGCGTCAGTGAATCAAGACATCTAAGCTGTTCTGATAGGATGGGGATGCTTACCTGGCCGATTTCAAGCATGATCTTCCAGATCCTGAAATCATCGAGCCGGCCCATCAGGCCATTGGCGGCGAGGAAAGTGTCCAAAGTGCCCTCTTCACAGTACTCAGTCTGAATGTACAAGCAGCTCTTCTCTTCCCAACTGTCAATAAGTTGCAAAATGTGATCACAACCCTTCAAGGACTTGAGAATAGAGACTTCCCGCATGCGCATGCTGCGATCATTCTCGCCTTGAATCGGGAGCGTCAACTTCTTGACAGCGAAGACCTTGTCGGGAGCTGGTCCGGCAGGCGTTCGGTGAGTAGGAGTGCTGAAAAACCCACGCTGCACAGTGGTTGGTTGCAATGTATGAGAGAATTCGGCTACCTTCCAGACCTGGGAAAATTCGCCCTTGCCGATATATTCAACCTTGCCAAATCGCGACAAAAGACTCTCATCGACCTCACCAGAGCCAGCTCCATTGACTGGAGTAATGGCTCGGCGTTCTTGTGGTACGCTGAAAGTGCCATGACGAGTCGTGGGCGTGGCTGGGGGGAAAATCGACTTCTTCTCCCGGCTCGGCGGGAAGAAAAAGCCCTCTGTAGGATTAGAAATGGACAACCGGCTGGCGTCCGGGGGCACGACACTCTCTTGAGGAGTGTGCGGCGTAACGCTGTCGGCAAAGTCGATGCGGTCCAGAGGACTTGCTAATTTGAGCGAGCTTGTCTTAGTACGGAGTTCTGCAATAGTGAAAGAGGAGGGAAGTCTCAGATCTATCGTCCTGAGCGGTGCTGGCTTTGGGAATGATCCCCTCTTGGAGCGAGCTTGACTGAAAGATGAGTTCACGGCGATCGAAGGAGTTACTCCTCGAGCACCACCAATCCGACCAGTCTCGCCGTCCTGAAGATTGGTGTGCATCCGGTCGAGCACAACATCGCTCTCAGGCAGTTTGCTCCTTGTCAACTTACAGTTGTTATTGGCGTCGTGCTGCCATATCCTCCCAGAGCCAATAGCGGAAACAGGTGCGGGTAGATGACGGTTCGTAGTAGGACTCTCATTTGATAGTTCACAGAAGCTGCTCATGCTGTCTGTCTCAACCTGAGACTTCGTCGGCGTGGGGGGAATGTCGGTGTCCAGAGCCGCTAGGTTATCAATGCTCTTTCCGAGGGGGCTCGCCCCAGGGCCTCCAACAGCACCATCGTCACTGTATAGACTGAGGAGACTGCCCTTCCGTGAATGCTGTCTTCCGAAACCATTGAACAACGCTGGTCTTTGACTTTCTCCAAACGTGTGTTGGGATTTGGTGGCTGATAGAGGATTGAACGGAGTTGCAGGTTCTCCGAAGGTATAGCGAATGTGACGACCTCGACCCTTTGAGCTTCCTGGTGGAGGGGGTGGTGGATAAGTCGCGAAACCGCTAACCTGCTTCTTGCATGGCGTGTCTGGCATGATGGCGCCGACGCCATTCCGACCCGTGGAAGGACCAAGCTCTGGGTTTCGGTTCATCTTTGAGATGAGACCTGTCGAAGCAAAGGCACCTTCAAATGGTCTTGCATGTTTGTAATCCGGCGTAGATATGCTGGCCGTCGCCTTGCCCTCTCTCCGGGGTGGTACGGCCCCTATAGGCAAGCTCTTGGACCAGTTCATTGGTGCTCTAGGCTTTTCGGCGATCTGGATAGGGAAGTGCGTGGGCGAATCATCTCCTATACTCGAGTTTGATGATGAGGTCGTCATGGTCCGCGACAGAGGGTGTGGCTGGTGCTGGTCTCTCAAGGGATGAACCGAAGGGTTTGGGAGAGGCATCTGCATAAATGGGCTCTCCCGAGCCGGAGGAGGCATAAAGTGGTCTAGAGAAAGTCGCGGCCGGTTCTTCGATGCAGGCGAAGTAGCCTCATTTGAGGCCTGAGCCATCGCTTGGGCCAGGGCCTGGGCAGCCTGGCGCTTGCCCCAGGACGTACGCTCGCTACTGTGGCGTTGCTGTAATGTCGACTTCCTCAAGGAACCTGCTCGCCGAGGAATCGCAGATGGTGTGGGTGGGAACACAGACTCCATTGAGCTCATGGTTGGGAAGAGCCCAGCCATGGGCCAATCCTGCTCAGTTGTGGAACTTTCAGGAGATTCGGGCTTCGGCGATGATGGCGTATGATCAAAGACGTTGAAGTCCGCAGCAAAGTTAGAAGGGCCATAGCTGCGCCGCTTCGCCTTGGGACTGCCTGAAGCCACCTGGTCCAGTGACATGATTGCGTCGCTCCGCTTCAAAGGGCTGGCCAACACGCTCGGGTTACTGGTAACGCCCGCGTCTGAGTAGCGTGATTTGGCGAGCTGTGATGTCCCAGTAACATCTAGATGTACGCTGTGCCGGTTCGCGACCTTATCAGAACTCTTCCGTGGCACGGGGCTTCGTGCGCCCAGTATGTTTGTGTTTTCTTGGCCGGGAGGCGACGACTCTGGTGTGGTAGACCGAGGGTTGAGGTTGCCAGAGTTCATGGCGGCATGTAGAGCGCGGCGAGGAGGGCTTTTGGGTGAAGCTCTCTGCCTCGTAATGGATTTGGACCCAGATGCCGATACTGGACTCCGCGAAGCGGACTTAGCTGACCTGAGCGACAGCTTGACACTTGGTTTGAAGGGGGTAGCCAGGGGTGACTGGCCATGTATAGATTGTGGCGCGCTGTTTTGTGAAGAATGAGCAAAGTACTGTGACTGTGCGCGACGACACGATGGTGATGATGGTGAAGAACCAGCGTCAGAGCTGCTCTGAGACGTGGTCCTGACCAACGAGAATTTGGATGGCGAACGTGATAGTGACCGCCTCAGAGATCGTAGGCCAGCAGACACATCGACATGATGGTGATGTCCATGCGTCGGAGACGGGAGAGTCAGAGTCCCACCGTTCGACATCTTGATAGTTTGAAAGCGAGCTGGCAGTTGAGGTATTTGGGCAGCAGAGGGTGACGTGTTTGCTGGTAGCCGCAAGGATGACGGGCTCAAAGAAGTGTGTATATGCTTTTGCGGAGTCTCAGACCCTATTGTTTCCTTGCTGACATTGACAAACGGGTTCAACAATGAAATATTGTGTAGGCCAGGCAGGAATGCTTCGACTCAGACTGTCAGTGGGGTGCGGTAAGCGCAAGGAATGCTAGCACAGCGGACAGTGCAGTACCTCGCCTGACGGTGCTTTGTGCCTGCAAGAAAGGGTCGGCGAATACCACTATCTGGTCGGAGGGTCGTCTCCTTCAAACCATGGCTATTCAAGTTGTGTGCCGGCAATGATTCGCTTTGGACTGTAGCAAGTTGGCGCGAACAATGAATCAAGCACAGCAATGCCGACAAGAGCAGGAAGTCGTGCCCTGGAAGCCGAGGTGGTGGTGGAGGCTGACGTAGGACCGCGCTCGTTATTGGGAGGACCTGTTGAGTATCGAAGCTGTATATGCCAGTCGAGTAACTATCTGGTCGCGCTTGTCGTTGTTGCCGGTGCAGCGCAGGGCAGTGCAGTGAAGTGCGAGTGCGTCGACGAGCTGGTGTGTGCTGGAAGTGGAGAGGTGAAGTTGGCGTGGTGCCTAGAGGAGGCAGCGAAGACGCTGGGCGATCGACGATTTGTTTGTGGCGAAACGCTTGGTGTGAGTGACGACGGAGGTGACGATACGATGAGGATCAGAAAGGTAATTAGGTATCACACGTCGGGTTATTGGGGACAGGAGCCGGAGCGCCTGGTGTGGCGGGAAAGGCGGTCGAGCACGGGCGCAGACAGTGGAGTCGGAGCCACGGTGAAGGTTCCTGATACTTGTCTTGTCAGAGGCCAGGCTCGCGGGTCGTGGGCCTGACGAGCAGCACGGAGTGGGTAGAGGTTACAAGCGCGAGGCGGACAAGGGGTCGGTTCTCAAAAAAGGGGCCCCGTCGATGGTGCTGGCAACCTGGCAAGTCGCGAATGGACGGTGGCGGGCGTCTGTCCAGGCGGGTTCAAGCCGTCAGCCGGGGGGTGGTGCTGCTGATGCTGGTGCTGCTGCCGCTGCCTCGCAAGTTGGGCCGGGATGACTGCGAGACGCGTCTGGGCTGGTTTGTTTATATCCACACGTGGAAGGCGCGCGTCTGATCGCAGCCAGGAAAGTGGGGCCTATCCGTGCTGCAGCAAAAGTGACTAGACCCCTCCCCCTCCGCCCACGCCCTCTCCTCCCGACCACACATTGCTTCCAAGGCAGTCCATGACTCCATCCTGCCCGCGTCCAGCGCTGCAACGATTCGACGTTCAAGGGCTGTGTCTGTGTCCACCAGTGACTCAGCGCCTTGCCAGCCACCGTCCATCCCGCGTGCCTCCAGCGCGGGCGCTTCAGATGGGACGTTGCGAATCCCACTCCAGGATAAACACTGGCACTCCACCAGAGTGACCAGAGAGCATAACAGCCGACAAATTAGTCGTTCTTATGCCATGGCGGGAGTTGCAAGGGCCCAGCGATTCGTGATTCGCTAGTAGATTATCCAGAACGACCAATGTACCAAATGGACTGACTGCAATGTCGAGCAATAACGAGAGATTGGGCTAGTAATCTCTTTCCGGCTTCGCCACTTTCCACGCCGCTCAGCCCCTGCTCGTATGAATCTGGAGGAAGCGAGACTCGGCTGTCAACTCTGGAGACGACGAGGGATGTGCTGGCAGCTGCAAAGGCGCCTGCATCGAAGGACCACTCACGAGGCTGTCTCTGCAGGCCTCGTGGCCTCGTCCAACTCGCCTGACCGGCCCCGGTGCGGAGACTGACGATGCCCTCATGCGCACGAGACGCACAGAAGCGGGCGTCCCCAAAATTGAGGATACTCGCGCGCAGGTATCGCGCTGGGGAGGCAGATGTACCTCGTGGCCATGGCCGTTGTCACTCGCGGATGGGCCTGGTGGAGACCATAACAATGGCCAGCAGGAGCGACGCGTCTGAAGGAGACACGCGGTGGGACCTGCAGCACCATGTGGGGCTAGCGCCAACGCCTCCCACCTTCCCGCCCCCTGCTAGCCCAACTGCCCAAGTACAGTACCTTCTGATGTCCAATCCAGATGTCTTGCACAGTATCCTCAAGTCCGAAGCATGGGCTCGCGCGCAGGCGGCCGGCGACTCTGCGCGCTCCCGCAAGCCATCATGCTGCTGACCAGTGTCGAAACTCGGGTTCCAAGACACCTCGTCATCGCTGACGTTGTTACTCGGTGGTGCGACATTGCTTACTTTCTCTGCCGGAGTATCTCCACCACTCGTCGTCCTCGATAACTGACTACCAAGGGTAAAGAAGCAAGCAAGGTCAAGCAGCACTGACACGCCGAGGGGGGCGCCGGGGTGATGATTCGCGACGGCAAGGTCCAGCCAGGGGTTTCGTTCCGCCAGCCTTCCAGAGGCCCGGTCCTGTGCTTGCTGCCTGTCTGTCCGCCAGGTTCCCAGAAGCACGCACAAGCCGCTTTCGCCCCTCCCTCCGCCAGCGCGCAACCATTGTTTCCAGGGCGTACTTGAAACATGTTGTTTTCTTACCATCGTCAGCTATGAGATAGAGATCACGGAGGACGGCTTGCTATCATCATTGGATCTCGCCGTCGAGATCGACATAACATTACGCCATGGGACAAGTTCCCTCCTGCTGGTGCCTGACGCTAGTGTTGCGCCCTCGTCGAGTCGCCTCCTGCGAAACCCCAACTGATTACTACTTGCCCACTACGCTCGAAAACGATAAACAAAACATTGCATTGCGCCAATGATCCAGGGTCTCTCTCTGCAAATCTTCCACACCCATGGCACTCAGCAATCTTGTTGCCGTGCTGTGCGTCATGCAAAATGCAGTCTCCTTGCGCTCCCACCCAGAGTACACAGTGATATGTGAATTAATAATGAGGCACAAGACTGGTTATGATATGCCGCAGGCTTCTCCTCGGCAACCTGCTGACAAGTGGCATTACTGTATTTCGGCGACACACATGCGGCTCTACGGCATACCTAATCCCTCGCTCAATCGCCGGCCTTGGCGTTGCAATCGCGAGATTTGCCATGGGCGTGGCCAACAGTCGAAAGAGGCGAAACTTCAGCACGACTTCGCTTTGGTGGTGGGGAACCCTGGCCTTCCGCAGAGCCGGATTTTCCGGGGTCTGTGTGTCTGCATTCCCACGCGGCACATATGCTTGTCCCCTTGAGGCTGCTGGGGGTCGAAGCCCGCAGGTGGCTTGCATGAACGGGAACTCGAGAGTGTATTATGCAGGCTTATTGGTCATTTCCGGCACGGCCGATGCTAGCAGCATGTCGTCCATTCGCGCGTGCTGATTGGCCAATCCGTCTACAATGTCAACAAATGTCTCGTGTCTTCTTCCTTGTCCATGCAAGACCACACATGCCATACTGGCGCCCGAGTCACGACATCGACAACTCTGCTGAAAGATGGCCACTGCATTCTCAGACCATCACGTCGGCATTTTGCGATACAGAGCTTGCCCAATTAACGTCCACCACTCAGCCCAGGGAATTGGTTCCGTTCTTGAGCATGAGGACTCGTGCTCCCGCGTCTAGCAAATGTGCTGCGTCTGGCTGGCATCATGCTGAGACATCTGGAAACTCTTGAGCTCCCGTGTCTCTCCTGAATTATACTCCGTGGCATGCACTTTGTCCAAATAGTCCGGCGAAACGGCCGGGCCAGCGCAAGCGTTTCCCTGAGCCTGAGCCTGCCTGCCTGCGGGGCACATGGGATCGTGACAAGAAGGCAATTGTGCTTGACACCGTCCATGGATTGACCCACGCCTCTTCGCGTGGAGTCTCGACCAAAGAACCCCACGAACAATTTGACATCGCGTCTATCTGCCGTCTGCTAGTAGCACGGACTATTCTAAGCTTTGGCCCTCCATCGCCGATCTCCTTTAGTGTGAGAAATGCTGCATGTCCCTTGCGCAATCCCGTCCATCAGGTTTGTCCTCTCACCCCCCAAGACGCAGATGCCCAGAGCGTGCGGGCGGCAGGTTGGGCACCGCGATGATCGGCAATAAGGGTCTTTGATTCTCCTGGCCGTCCCGGTCTGACTAGTCAGCCCCGAAGCAGAGAGGGATCATGGCAATCTCGAGAAATGGCATGCCACATTCCTTCGGAATGCGATGCTCTAGCTTCAGAGGTGTTCATGCAAATCTCGTGTTTTGGTTGTTGTCCTCGTTGCTTTGAGTGATGTCGTCGAGGCAACTGTGGCACTGACATCAATACTCTTTCAGCGATTCTTGAATATCTTGATTGTGCTCGGCGGCTACTAAGGGTGCTGGACCCTCGTGCTTATCGATGTGCATGATCTTCCCAAAAGGAGGAGTGTCAAGCCGGGAGGGGATAGTCGCCAGGCCGATACTGACCGTGAGGAAAGGGATGAAATGGGGACTTGGCGCCGGGCATGGCGTCCTTCTGGCGCGTTCTAGGGCGTCCATGTGCATGAAGTCGGAGAGAGTTTCTCGCCGTCTTGAAGGCGTCGGCGACGCCGACAAAACACGAAGCCTGAAGAGAAGTGCTCGTCCCTCTCCACTGTACGACGTTGCGCCAAGAGGAAGGGGCCAATAACCCCGCCGAGTGACTGTTCAGTACTTGGCAGCCCAGCTAGTCTTGCAGAGGTGAGATCCAGTCCGGTGATGAAGCGCGCGCGGAGCGAAATCACAGCAAGTCACGGAACAAACTGAGCTAGTATAGAGTAGAACAGACAGCTGAGCAAGCAAGGCGGCCAGCTGTTGTTGATCGCGATCAGCTGAAGAGATCGGGGGACCTGTGGGTTTCAGCCTCTTCTGGTCTTTTGCGGTATAGGCAAATCCAGGCAATTCGTCTCGTCGTCGTTGCGCTGCCCGTTGCGCTTGGGCCTTGACAGCCACGTGCTCACTTGCTGGCGGGGACGGCGTCCTCTTATCGCGTTAGTGTCGGCGGCGCCGCTGACGTGTGTGAGACTACGCAGTTCAAAAGTGTTAGGCATATCACGAAGCGCCGCTGCTGCTAGTGGAGGTGGTGGTGGTGCTGGCTGTGGGTTTCGGCGCACGGATGTTTATTTTTATCTCTGAGCGTAGTAATCCTCTGGATCAGTGCAGGTGCTGCTTTCTGTGTGTTGTTTGCTGAAGAGACGGCGGTGACCCACTCGGTAGATAAATTGAAGGAACATTCTAGCGTGGCGGGATTAGCGCGGTTTGGGGGGCCTCTTACCAACAGATGAAGCGTTGCGCCTTGATCAGCCCTCTCGAAGAGGGTGGTGATGACGGCTGGCTGTAGTTGAAAGACTGGAGATAGTGGTCAGTCAAGCCCAGCGGGTGGCTTTCCGCGAATCAGGGGCCACGCGAGTAAGGCAAACCTGGTGGCCTTCATTACAGAATTCCGGGATGAAGCCAGGCTAATTCAGCGTTCGGCAACATTCAGGTCCAAGGCAAGTTCAAACTCACGCGATGCGAAACCAACCTCGATGTACCGGTATGCTGGACGTGCCAGGATCACGGAGGATCTGTCCGTCCCCCACAAAATCACGCAATCACCTCTCCCGCGCAAGGGTGTGTGATCCGGAGGATCAGGCCGACCGACCGCCGGGCCCATGGCAGGAGCGGAGGAAGTGCTACCGCTACGCTGCGGTGCAACAGCTGCCCATGTTACATTGAGGGGCACGACGTCGTTGACGACGCATAAGATTGCACGGATACTGGACGGACCCCTCTATTTACTTTAGTTGTATATTGAACGAACACTCGGGATGGGTTTGGCATGGCAACGATGAAAGATGTCAAGTGATCTTTTATTGCTGTTGGATGTTGGGGCGCGCCGACTTCCAGATTGGTTTGTCGGCGCAGAACGGGACACATTGTGGGTTTTCGTGGGAGTATTCCCCATCGGATGAATTATTGTATTCGAGGATCGATACTTCCCCCTCTCTGGGTCTTTCAAACTGGAATGATGAGTGGCGGCGAGTTCCGTATCACATGTTGACAGTTGCAAACTTGGAAGTGGATTCTGATGCACGTGATTGGCGTTCTGTTTGGAACGGCGTATTGCCATTTTTGTGTTTTGGAATGGGAGAGAGAGGACAGAAAATGAAAATACAAAAATACTTTAGTGTTTAAAAATATCCGGGTCTGCGAATATTGGTGCCATTCGTCAAATTGAGGTGAATCCCGTTGCAGAGAGACCAATAAGAGGTTATTCAAAAATGGGTTTATAGCATAATGAGCTGGTCAGTGTCAGTTTGCCTGCCCATCTAGAACCAGGGTTCTCCATATATATTTATAACCTTCTTATAATAGAGTACGGCTTTGCGATATGTCAAGACAGCGAGGTCCAAAGCTCCAGCTCTGCTTTAGAATCGTCCTGCTTTACTCTCGAGCTTCCGTCATTCCAACTTTCACATCTGCTCCGCGTGCAGAAGACCTGGCGAGCTCATGACGACAAGCACAGGATCTCCATGATGGATATGTACATCGGAAGACTAGTAAGATTTACACATACGTCGTAGCTGACATGTTTTCTGAGTCATGAAACTTGTATCTGACAAGTACATGTCCCAGTTACCGCTTTATCAAACCCCAGTCGTCGTTATCATAATCAAAGTCGCTGTCAATCTTCCCAAGCTATTCATCATCCGGGAATAATAACTTTGAACTTATACCTCCTGAATTGCAACAGATATCAACGGATAACCTGATAGCGTTCGCCTCTCCCTCTTTCTCCCGGGACGGAGAGAATAACAAAAGTTTAGCCGGTCAACTTTATAGCAGAACTCTTCATTCGAACATGTGCACCGCAACTGACCATTCCGCGCATTGTACCTACATGAAAATCCTCCCGCCTATACGCGCAGACAGTCTTGCTGAAGTGGATGCAATCCAAATCTGCATAACACAACTTGTGCAGATCGCGGCCTTAAACAGGGCCCAACACAGCGACTACTAACTGACTGTGAACAAGGAACGGTCCCAGAAAACACAACCCCGGGGGACAAAATAGCACCCAACCAAACCAATCGAGCAAGGCTAAGAAAATCAAAGCAAGTCAAAATACACAGGAAAATTCGCCGCCCGACACCTGAGCCTGCGTCCAGCAAGGAATCTTGGTGATATATGCCCGTCCCATACGCGCACAGGGGCAGGGAAAGCCATATCTGCTGTGATGATCCCGAACTTTGCACCACCACCACATCATGAAGTGTCCAGAAGAATAGTGTTAGTTGTCCGTGTCAATGCCCGCTATACAGGTGTAGCCCGTGGTCACCGGCCGGATTTTCAATGACACTGGTATGCTCGGCTGTTGCATTTTCCCTGGTCACTTTTTCAATTTTACTACGAGTGTGTCTTCTTTCACAAGGTGAATCCCACATTTGCCTGGGTTTGTGCATCTCGTAAATTTCACGAAATGCTCCAGTTGTGGATGGCCGGAGAAGCTGGTTCATCGGTGCGCAATGCCACAGGTTGAGACGGAGATGCAAAGAGGACGAGAGTATTGTTCAGCGGAAAAAATTGGCTGCATTGAAAGAAATATTCATTTCGCGCTAGGTATATCGCATCCCACACTCCTTTTGAAACTCCTGGGATTATGTATCTACAGCGCCGAAAATGACAAATTTCATTGGTATATATGCGTCGCAAGACCATAGCATTAAAAATGAAGAGAAATTCGTCATTATTAGTGTGGAGGTGAAAAAGAGATCAAATCCGTCTCGGGAATTGTCTGACCAGCGGATGAGCATCTTATTGATTGACGCTCCCTAGGCGCCAGGGCATTCTCCTCAGGGGCCAGAAGACACATCACTCCAACTCCGCAATCGGCGGCTGCATTTTGTTTCTCGCGTCGCCTATGGCACCTCGGTCGTCATCGTCGTGTGCCATGCTGGATACCGTCATGGGCGTCGACGGAGTAGCTGTACCAGCACCCCTGAGGCTGGGTGACACAGTCGGGTTTGGCGTGGCTGTGCTGTCAAGCTCGGCTGGTGGTGGACGAGGCACATCATTGGCAGGCAGCTCTGATTTGAAGCCGGACATGACTGGACTGTCCATCGCACCAGCATTGCTGCCCTGCCATGTCGAGACTGGTCTGTCATGGACGGAGCTCATCTCACCACTCCCTCTGTCTCCCCCGGCATGGGGGCTGGACTTGACGGAGTGCTGATCCTCAGTCCGCCGCCGCCTGCGAAGCATGCAAAGCAGCACGCCGACGGCAATGATGAGGAGCGCTCCCACGCCACAGCCGACACCGATGCCGATTGCGGCGCCCTGAGACAGGCCTGTGCTGCCACTGCCGCCACCAGTGTCTACGCCAGACCCAGTTGGCGACGCTTGCGCCATGTTCGATGTACTCGGTGTACCCGACGAGACAGCCGAGGACGAGCCGCTGGTGGTTGTGGCGGAACTCGCCGATGAGCTCGTGGGTGCTGTGGATGCGCTCGGGGTGATGGTTGGGGAGGTGGCGGTGGGCGTGTTGCCAGAAACCCAGGAGATGGAGCCGCTGACGGCGAGGGGGAGCGCAGCAAGGTTCTCGAGGATCGCGCTGGCGGTGAAGAGAGGCTGCCTGTTGCCACAGCTGCACTGCTTGTTGGCGTCCTGGACGGCAGTGGCACCGTCTGCCTCTTGACAGTTTGTCCAGGTGCCGGCTTTGGCATCGCACTGGACGAGGCCGGACCACTGCTGGGAGCCAAAGCTGCCCTTGTTGGGACACTTGCTCGAGTTGTAAGTCGAGTCGGTACAGCCAGCTATGTATGTGATGTCGCCCCCTGGAGAGTAGTGTCAGCAGCTACTTCATGAGATTGGGCGTGCTTTGGAGACATACTGTAGTTGTAGCAGGCATTGCTGGCGAGGCAATTGTCTCCAGCCTGGCAGCACGAGTAGGTGTCGAAGGCATAGTTGCCGCAGGGGATGAAGTTGTCGGCAGCAGGCTGGTTGGGGCCGAAGTAGCACTTGCCCAGCGAGATGTTTGGGTTGAGTAGACCGTCGTCGTCATTGCTGGCCTGCCGCCTGAGGCCGTAGCGATGGCGCGAAGAGGCTTCCATGGTGCTGGGCTGCTTGCTGTTGGGCCAGGTTCGCGAAGACAATCGGGTGTTAGTCTGGTCGAGCTGATGTGACTGACAGTCAAGCCACAACTGTTGGCTGCCAAGGAGCCTCTGGGCAGTGCTTGCGCAAGCCGCGGGCACGGGACTAGACTCTAGACACGATATCCGCCGGCGAAGGACTGAGGAGGAGGAGGTTGCCAGGAGGCAGTGGGAAGGTGCAGATCCGCAGTGTGCGACAGCGGGTGGAGGCGTAGAGTCAAGCCGTGGATTTGTAACAGGCCGGACGGGGAACAGCAGAGCGGACCGTGTCACTTTGCAAACAGGAGTGGGCAGCTGCAGGATTTGGCTGACTGAGGAGGAAGGGAGAACCACATGCATCGCCGGGCCCACGAGGATCTCCAGGATCAGGAGAGTGAGTGAGTGCCTGCGAGATCTCACATCTCACAGGCAGGGGAGGAAAAGACTAGCAACAAGCTCGTGGGCCGGCAACTGCTGCATTGGGCGATGGGCCAGGCGATCCTGCCACTAGGAGGCGCCGGCTGCGGGTGCCCAGGGAGGAATACGGACTCGCCCTGGCGCAATGACATAATGCCTGGGCGCCGCCCCGCCGTGGAATGCGACGCTGCCTCGCTGTCTCGCCCTGCGACGTCAATCCTCACGCCCACCTCACGACGCCTTCACCCGTCCGGTCCTAGCACCCCGCGCCGCCCTCAGCCACTGTTCCCGGCTCTGACCCCAGTCTGTCACCCTCAACCACATGCGGTCGTGATCGCCATCCGGTTTCTGCGTCGCAGTCGTGTTGGCTTGGCGGCGCTGTCATTGGAAGCCCCAGCCCCGACCAGGGTCATCCCGGCCTTTTGGGACTTGGGCCCTGCGGTGGAGTCATGGCTCGCTCGCGCCTGGGAAACCACTTGCACCACGGACCGGCTTCATGGCTGCCTTGTTATTGCGGTCTTGTGGAGGAGTGCTGCTCGATGACATTTACAAGGCGATGCTGTCGAATGATGCCTCGGTAAACTGCCTGGCTTGCTCTCGATAGGTTTCCTATCCGAGGAAAACAACCGATCTGAAAAGCGAAATCGATCGACGCCCAGATGGTTTTGCGGGCCTCCATCTCGCACATGGGTAAACCCCTGCTCAGTCCGGACCCAGGCGGCTCTTTTTGGTCCTCACAACCTCAACCACTGCTGTCCGCCAGCAATCAGCCTATTGAAGATCTCTGCAAACTGCACTGACATGCAGGGACAAATGATCAATCACGAATAATGATGTGACCTTCCTCGCTTCCGAGTTCCATGCTGAATCATTGCGGTTGCTGCCAAGACGAGGTTGACACATGATGACTTTCACCTATCAGATTAAGCACCGGCTTGTGATCGAGCAGCAAACTCCGAACCTTTCGTTTCGGGCCCGGCAGAAACTCTACCGTCAAGAGCCCGGCGAAGGTCCCTGGCGCAATCCTTGACTCTTTCACAGGAGGCAGCCGCTGAGATGCAAGGATAGTCTGTCATGTCTGTACAACACGACAGCTTCTGCCCCTGCTTGGGTTATTGGCACTTGTTGCGCACCCAACCCGAACATCTGCGCTTTCCACGTGCTGAGTGGGCGAGAACGGCCATGTTTGCTGACCGCTGAGCTGCACGCTGTGGCTGTGGTTGGCTTGTACGCTTCCGCCTCGTGTAACACGGCGTCCCGTCCCATGCCACGAGCCTTGTGTCGACAACCGACTCATCTTTCTGGCAAAAAATTGTCATTGCGACTGACTTCAGCGTCTGATAACTATGGGTACGGTCCTCTGAGACGAGGAGCAGGCCTCTCGCCTCTCATCTTAGGCCTCAGAATCCGCGAAAGGCATCTTGGCCGATAACTCTCCTGTGTTTCCGAGCGTCCTGTGTTCTTGGAGACGGGAAGCAGCAGGACTCTCGAGCTTCATGCAGGGTCCCTAATACAGTGACATATCCGTCTGTATTCTTGAGACGCTGCGCGCCGCGCGTCAGAACCTTGTCGACGCCGAAATCAGCGGCGCTGCTCGACTTTGCAGGCTTAACAACTCTGCGGTATATCAGAAGCCCACTAAACGTTGTTCACGCAACTTATACAGGCTGGATCTTATTCCGAGGATGTATTTCAACCACGAGCAACATAAGATGGCCGTGTTTCACCCAAGGGCTGGAGACCACATGCACTACCCGGACTTCGTTACGGGTGCGCAGGCGCGGTCAACCGAAAGCGAAGAAAACAGAGGACCGCTCATCTTGGGCACAATCTGCGCAGTCACGGCTCTGAGCACCTTGTTCAGCGCGGGTCGCCTGCTGGTGCGTGGCAAGCTCAAGGGCCGGCTTTTGCTTGACGACTACTTTATAGCTATTTCAGTGGTCAGTCAAAGCTCTGGACAGGTGCGATTCGTACAACTGCTAACTTTCAGGCAGTTATGCACCTGGCTTACTGTCGTGTTTCAGTTCATGGCGGTGCGCTCCGGAAACGGGCGGCATCTTCATGCCCTGACGCCTGAGCAACGCGATGGAGTAGCGCACTGGACCATCATAGGCTTCGTGCCCGGTATCATGTCCTTTGCGACGCCTAAGTTAGCCACGATTGATCTCCTCTGCCACATACTTCTGCCATCGCGGAACCACCGCGTATTCATGTGGCTGCTCGGCTGGACCTGCTGGATACAGCTCATGGTCACGGTTGTCTTCCTGTTTGTTAAGTGCGACGGGGCACATCCGACACCGGCCGATTCAGTTCTGGTCAGCCCTGCCGCAGCCATGCAGGAGGGCTGCTTGGATCCGTGGGTCAACATCAATTATGATGTTTACACTGGAGGTGAGCTGTCATGTTTCCTCTGGATACGACCGTGTCAACTGACTATGACTTTCATCAGCGTTCTCTGCCTTCGTCGATCTGTACCTTGCAGTCTACCCTACGGTCGTACTATGTAAACTGCGGCTGAGTATCGGCAAGAAGATTGGTCTCAGTATTGCGTTGGGCTTTGGCTTCGTGTAATTCGCCTCCCGACACGCTTGAAATATCAAGAGCTGATGCAATTGCAGGTCCACTGTCGTCGCGATCTACAAATGCACCATGATACCATCGCTGGAATCTCCCGACTTTTCATGCAAGTCTTTTCATCATATCGAGTTTTGGGGATCTTGCTGACCCAATTTCCATACAGACGACTCGTCGACGCTGGTTATTTGGACATGGTACGTGAGGCTCGTCGCCGATGTGTGGAAAAGCTCATTATACCAGAGCTAACTCGATGTCGTTTCCCAGTGTCGAAGGTAGTACAATCATTATCGCCGCGTGCATCCCGATCCTCAAACCCTTACTCGATCTTGCCCGAGCTGGCTGCAGCCAAGCCACAGCCTCAGTGTGCGGCGGCTTCCCATCACGACACCGAACGGTCTCGACCGGGGCTGAGCCAGGTGGTAAGAATTACCGTCGCAGACAGCAGGCAGAAGAAGATGACGACTTAGGCCACAGCCTGTTCCGATTGGGAACAAGGACCGGCGTCATTGCTGGTGGCCCAACTCGAGGACACCTGGAGCCAGATAGAATTCCAGACGCACGACTGAAAGCGAGCAGCTTCTCGCACCAACATCATTGCCGCAGTCGGCACGATCAGCACGACTCGAACAAGGGAGCCAAGGATGCTGTCATTGGCCTTTGCTCGACATCGAGCCAGGACTCTATCCTGCGTACAGGCAGTGCCAGCGATGAAGCAGATACGGAAGACACGGAGCGGGGTGGAGACGTCCACAACCAAGCACAGCAACCAGCGACATTATCGAGCGCAGACGCAACCAAGAACTCTGACATGGTGCTTCAGCATGGAGGAATCATGAGAACTGACAGCATCGAGATATCTTTCAAGCCGGCAAGTGTACATGAAGGTCATGGCTGCGAGGTAGCCCGAGCGTTGTGAGGTGAGCACGCGGCGGAACATTCTCATATCATGCTCGTCTATTAGTTTGTGGCCGGGGTATGGCCCATTTCTTGTGTGTGGGGGTATGGAAGGGCAACCTTGACCAGGCAGGTCATCGGACAGACTTGTGCAATTCATTGCCATAGTAACCTAAGCAATGCATGCGTGGTGGAATTTCTGCTGATGTACAAGGGCACGTCAGATCCATAGAGCCCCCAAACTCCTGAGCATTAAAAGCACGACGCGAGGAGGAAGCAAATGAAACATTGGCCTGGCGGCTTCGCCTACTTGACGCTTGAATTTTTTTATTTTTTTTTCACACTTGCACACTAAAGACATGAACCTTGTGCACGAGAAAGGTCTGCAGCTGAAAAAGAGAGGCTTGTGGAGTTTCCTGGTGTGGGTGTTGGTGACCCTAGCGCAAAAGAACCTCCTCCGCAGATTGACTGTGGGGATCCGGGAAGCTTAGCCCGAGGCGGGCGGGGAAGTGAGGCCAATCAGCGCCAACACCGCCCGCCCTGAGGATGCTAGAGTGCGGGGGATCCGGGGGAACCAGAGTCCACCTTTCGATCACTTGTCCCATCTCGACGCCCTTGTCCTCCTACTTGCCCAGACAGGCGACAGGTACGGCAGCCCAGATCCCTCGCGGCGGAGAGCACATCCAGAAGCACCGGAATACCGCCGCCTCTGCTGCAGGCAGCAAGCCGGGCCGACTGTCACGATGCAGCAAAACTCCGCCCAGGTGGCATGGGGAGAGGTCTGCCGGCCTCCTCGCTTGCCATTGCATTGTCGGTGTGCAGGCGCCCTTGGACCAAGTAGGCAGGCCGCCCGATTCAGACTACCTTGCGGGACATGCTCCGAGGCGCCGCCGAGAGATGGCGCGAGGAATCTCTTCCTTGCTCATTGCCCTAACAACTGGAAAAAGAAAGATCGTGGTGACCGTGGCTCGCCCAGGGCAGAATCTCATGGGGCTTACAGCCACGATCCAGGCTGCTTTCCTGCGCGCTGCCTGGGAATTGGAGAAGCGACATGTGGGGTTTAGCTCGAGCTCTCCCACACTTTCCAAAGTTCGATGACGATCCTATGCCTACTTCAGTATGCAATTGCTGCAGACAGCAATGGGACGTGGTTGGCAGATATCGCGTATAAAGCCTGAGGGCTCCGGCTCCTGGCGTCTCTGTCCATGTTGTGCCAGTACACAGCCTCCACATGCGAAGATAAAGTCTGAGCGAGGTGAAACATCACTCTCTGCAGCGTCGTCATCATGGCGAGCCTCCTCTTCTTGGCTGCCGTCGTCTCGGCTGCGTCGTCTCTGACTTCGCGAGACTACACGGCCGACCCCCTCGCTGCTTGTCCGGGTTACAAGGCATCCAATGTGCAGACCACCGACACGGGCTTGACCGCCGAGCTCACCTTGGCTGGCACTGCGTGCAATGTCTATGGCACCGACCTCGATGACCTCGTTCTTTCCGTTTCTTATGACACTGGTAAAGACACAACCACTTTTTTCACATGGCCCACCTCACCAATAGGCAGTAGCTGACCCCCAGTGCCAACGTGTAGAGACGAGACTCCACGTCAAGATCCAGGACGCGGCGAACAACGTCTATCAAGTGCCCGAGTCTGTGTTCCCTCGGCCGCAGTCCGCTGGCGTCAAGCCGTGCGACTCGGCGCTCAAGTTCGAGCACACAGAGAATCCTTTCTCCTTCAAGGTCTCGCGCTCCGACACGGGAGAGGTCCTCTTTGACACCTCGGCCGCCAGCCTCGTCTTCGAGTCGCAGTATCTGCGCCTGCGGACAGCCCTGCCAGACGACCCCAACCTGTATGGCCTCGGCGAGCACTCGGACCCGTTCCGCCTCAACACGACCGACTACATCCGCACGCTGTGGTCGCAGGACGCGTACGGTGTGCCTACAGGCTCGAACCTCTATGGCAACCACCCGGTCTACTATGAGCACCGCGCCACGGGCTCGCACGGCGTCTTCCTGCTCAACTCGAACGGCATGGACATCAAGATCAACCGCACCGAGCAGGCCGGGCAGTACCTCGAGTACAACACCCTCGGAGGCGTCGTCGACCTGTACTTTGTGGCGGGCCCGTCCCCGGTCGAGGTCGCCCGGCAGTACGCGGGCATCGTGGGGCTCCCCGCGATGATGCCGTACTGGGGTCTCGGATTCCACCAGTGCAGGTACGGGTACCGCGACGCCTACAACGTGGCCGAGGTCGTGTACAACTACAGCCAGGCCGCGATCCCCCTCGAGACGATGTGGACCGACATTGACTACATGTATCGCCGGCGTGTCTTCTCGCTGGACCCGGAGAGGTTCCCGCTCGAGATGATGCGTGGCCTGGTCGACCACCTCCACGCCAACGATCAGCACTACGTGGTCATGGTCGACCCTGCCGTCGCCTACTTTGACTTCCCAAAGGCCCTTCAGCGTGGCATTGACGACGACATCTTCCTCCTGCGCCAGAACGGCTCGCTGTGGCGTGGTGTCGTCTGGCCGGGTGTCACAGTCTTTCCGGACTGGTTTGCGAAGAATATTCAGGAGTACTGGAACAACGAGTTCAACATCTTTTTCGACCCCGAGACCGGAGTAGATATATCAGGTACGTACTGTTTATTCAGTGTGAAGTCTACCTACCCAGTAGGTAGCTTGATACTGCGCAACTCTGCACAGCCGCCCGCAGCACCCCTCGAAGACCTTGAGCCTCCATCACTACGGTCCTGGCTGTTTCAGAAGAAATTTGTACTGACGAGTTTGACAACCACAGCACTCTGGATTGACATGAACGAGCCGAGTGATTTCCCTTGTTTCTTCCCCTGCGACGATCCAGACAAAGCGGCGATTGGGTATCCCCCGGAGCCACCTCCAGTCAGGTCACCACCGCGGCCCCTGCCGGGATGGCCATGCGAGTTCCAGCCCGAAGGCTGCTCCACGGCCTCGTCCACACGTTCTGTGCAAGGCAGCAGGGACCTCGACACTGTGCCCAACACCTTGCGGCATGACAACCCCTTCTTCATCGAGCCGCGCCAGGAGAGCGGGCAACAGCAAGGCCTCCCCGGGCGGGACCTGCTGTTTCCAAAGTACGCGATCCACAACAAAGCAGCATACGAGGACTCGTGGAACGCCGCCGAGGGCGGCATCTCCAACAAGACGGTCAACACGGATGTGATCCACCACAACGGCCTTGCCATGTACGACACGCACAATCTCTACGGGACCATGATGTCGAGTGCCTCGGCCGAAGCCATGCGGCAGCGCAAGCCCGACCTGCGGCCCATGATCATCACGCGGTCGACCTTTGCCGGGGCCGGGGCAAAGGTCGGGCACTGGCTCGGGGACAACCTGTCCATCTGGGACCACTACCGGCTCAACATCCGGTCCGCCGTCGCCTTTGCGGCCATCTACCAGGTGCCCATGGTGGGCGCCGACGTGTGCGGCTTCGGCGCCAACACGACCGAGCAGCTGTGCGCCCGCTGGGCCACCCTGGGCGCCTTCCTGCCCTTCTACCGCAACCACAACTCGCTCGACTCGACCGACCAGGAGTTCTACCGGTGGCCCAGCGTCGCCGCCGCGGCAAAGGCCGCAATGGACATCCGCTACCGCCTCCTCGACTACATGTACACGGCGCTGCAGGCCCAGCACGCCGACGGCACCCCGCTGCTCAACCCAGTCTTCTACCTGTACCCGCAGGACAAGGAGACGTTCCCGCTCGAGCTGCAGTACTTCCTCGGCCAGGGGATCATGGTCGCGCCCGTGACCGCCGAGAACGCCACGAGCGTCGACGTCTACTTCCCCGACGACACCTTCTACGACTGGCACACGCTCCGCCCGGTGCCCGAGTCCTACCGGGGCCAGACCGTCACGGTCGACGCCGGCACCGACTGGGGCTACATCCCGCTGTACCTGCGCGGCGGCGTCATCGTGCCGCTCCGCGTAAACTCCCAGATGACGACGACCGCCCTGCGCGAGCAGGACTTTGAGATCCTCGTGCCCCTGGGCGGCGGCAAGCCAGCGCACGGAAAGCTATACCTCGACGACGGTGTCAGCGAGGTGCAGCCCGCGGAATCGACGAGCGACATCGCCTTCTCGTTCGACCCGGCGACGGGCGAGCTCGTCGTCTCGGGCCCCTTCGGGTACCAGACAAAGTCGAGGATCACAAAGGTCACGTTCCTCGGCCTGGCCGCCGAGCCCTCGCAGCCGCCGAGCTGTGACGGGCAGAGTCTCGAAGGAGGAGAAGGAGGGGGACACCACTACCACTGGGATGGCAGTGCTTCGACGTTGGTGGTGGAGCTGGATCAGCCGCTCACTCGGGGGTTTACACTGAAGATCTGAGGGTAACAAAAAAGAAGAAGAAAATACACTTTGATAAGCTTTCTGACACCACCCAGGAAATCAGAGGAAGGAACCAAAAGAGCCTAGCTTGTAATGCCGATATGAGAGAGGAAGAATGAATAATAGTAAGCCAGCCAGCCAGCCAGCCAGAGAGGCCGGCAGATGACTGAAAAGAAAACCAGGTTGTAATAATTGTGCCTCACGTCTGGCCATCCTTGCCACTCCGTGCTAACTAGCCCACTGGAGTCTGTACAAAATCAGTCCAGGAGTGTGTATGCGTTTGTGAGAAGAAGCCGACATCCCCGCCCAGGCCTAGAAAGTTACTTGCGTTGTATTATCGACAGACCGAGGACACGGAGAGCCAAAAATGGCCAAGCCATCACGAAGTCTAGAGAGCATGGGAATCACTTTATGCCCGCCGATGCGCTACCAGTTCCACCCAGTCCTGCGAATGACCTCTTGACCGATTTTGCACCGGGCGACCGACGACCCTGTCAATTTTGATCCTGCCAATATGCAAACTGTGGCAGTAAGGATCTTTGAAGGTGCTTATCGGTCGGAACAGTCCGTCTGGGCTTGCTATCTGCCACGAGCATCCAGCTGGACACAGTACAAAGCAGAGAAGAGCCTCAAGAAAGAAGACGAACAACCACAAGGTGTGCGTCGATAAGAGCCAGAGTATGTTGATTCAGTTAGGTCGTCAGTCGTGATTTGTATTCGTCATTTAGTCATATCAAACAACAAAAAGCCATGTGAAACAAAGATGCAGGGTCGCTCAAGTTCAAAAACGCCTCCCCGACTCATGTCTATGCCGTCCAACGTGGCCAGACCTCGTATCTGGTCGTGCCCTGCCGGACAAAGAGAGGGCCCATGCCGTCGTGTCCGTCGTGATATGTGCCATCTATCGAGGAATTCTTACGCATGACCGCTAAAATGCACAAACAGTACGCCATGCGACTCGGCATGCCGCCGGCCCTCTGTCATCACCGATCGACCTCCATCGCCGTGCTGAGCGTCGAGGCAGCCACGATAGTGCGCTCATTCTCAAGGTCATCTTTGTAGTCATGCTTGCCAACGTGGTTGTACTCCTCGTCTCGTTCATGCTGCTTGCCATGATCAAGCTGAGCAACATCGTTGGCCTGCTCCTTCGCTTCACGGTGATACACCTCAGTCGTGTGATTAATACTCACAATGCCGCTGCCGCCGCCGCCGCCCTCGACAGGGGATGAAGACCCCATACCATTCAATAGTCGATACTCGCCATCGGCCCTGCGTTCTATCACGCCTTCATCCAGTGCCCATTGAGCCAGCAGCGGATCGACGTTCAGACGCCCGGCTTCACTCTTCTCCATGTGCCGCCCGACATGCTCGGTCCACTCGTCCCACGATGTCGGACCCTCAAACACGCTCGCGCAGTCTGGCTTTGGGCACGCTGAACGCTGCGGCGGTCTCCGCCGTACGACTAGACACGACTGCTGCATCTCCTTGACATGAGTCTCCCACTCGATCTGCAGCTTGCTGTCGCCTTTCGTGAGAGCCTTCTTGATTGCAAAAGGCGCATGCATCCGTCGCAAGTGTTGAGTGAAGAGATCCTTGCGGTTAAACTCATTGCCCTTGCCCTCGCTGGCGCTCTGTGGACAAGCCGTGCACCGGTAGTACGTGAGGCACAAGTGCTGTGATGCGATATGCCTCTTCCACTCGTTTTTGGATCCAAAAGTGCTCGAGCATCCTGCGAACGAGAATGCGCATGGGAACGGCCGTGTATGAGCAGCAGCGATGTGCTTGCGCAGTGACGACGTATCCTTGAACGGTGCGTGGCTGCAATGATCACATCGAGTCTCCTGACGTGGTAGCTGCTTGGTGAGGCTCCGCCGCTGCTGCTTCCCTTTCGATGGGGTTGAATCGTGACCACCAGCGGAGTTTATTTCAGGCACAATAGATGTACTCGAGGTGTCCGGGGTGACGACATCAAAGTCACGCTTGGCCCGGTGGTCCCCAAGGGGCGAGCTCGCTTGTCCTGCATCATCGCTCAGATGGCGCATATGACTCAAGGCGCTGAGCTGTTCTGCAGCCTCCTTCATCTCGGCGGAATCTTCAGGATCGGGCCTGGCCGATTTCGCCGGGCGACTGGACGAATGCGTGTACAAAGGCTTTCGAGCGGAATTGGATCGTGGCAGACTATGAGGATCAAGTCGCTCGTTCAAGCGCACGGGGGTCTCTGGCAGTACCTGTGATGTTTTCGAAGACGCATCATGTCGCTGACCAGTATGGTTCGCTGTAGCTGAATGCCGTGCAGCTAGAAGCACCCGGCCGGCTTCCATATCCTCCGCAACGGCCGTCTTGATTGCAGGCGACTGGATCAAACGTTCGTACAGATGAGTCATGTTGTGCGAGCTGACATATCCGAGATAGCAGCAGACCTTGTCGTGCTGGACAATGTTCCACACAGACATTGGCATCGAGATGAGAAGCATAGTCGGTGGTCCCAGAAACATGCCCTCCACACTGATCGTCGATACGTCCCCAGCCCTTTGCTTGAGCCAGTTGTGGAAAGATGACATGTCCGGACTCGCCTCGCCAACATAGGTTGTGCAAACCAAGACTCTCTGCTCGTCAAACGTCAAGCCCGCGACCATACTCGGTCGTATGATTGCATCTTCAAAACCTTTCGCAGTGTCTCCCTCTGATTGGTTTCCGGATGATGTATCTGGTAATGGCAAAGGCGTAAGCGTCAGGCTTCGCCCAGTGCCTGCAGCCAACTTGTAGAGCAACGGCAGATGATCGTGCTGGAAATCGAGCCTGCCTGTGCCATTGGGGAAGTCTGTTGCATGTGCCAGCTCGTGTCGTCGCTGAATAACGATATAATGAAACAAATGCTCAGGCGTGAAGGCTCGCTCGCCCGAAAGCCTGTAGAATGCGTCTGCAAGCTGGACCGTAAATGAGTGTGCCACATGTGCGCGAGGCTTGCTGTCGATAGTCCCGCATGCCAGAACATCTTGCACGCTGGCGCTATGCTGGAATGGCGCTTCGTAAGCCGCATACGTGTCGAAGAGAAACAATATATCAGATGACGACTCTTCGAACAAGCAACGCAGGCCCTTCCATACTATTCTTGGGGCATCGTCACGAATTTCACTACAGATGAAATCACATCATTAGAATCAACTTGGGCCATCGTACTGCTAACTTGCTCGCACACGACCGGGGTCGTCGAACCTACCTGGTCCAATGCAGCTCGTTGTCCGCACCCATAACACTGTGCCCGGCATAGTACACAATCAAGAGGTGTTCAGGCCCTTGGCTCTCCAAGAACGATTGGATCCGCACTCCCAGCTTCAGACTAGCTTTCGAGCTGTTCGGAATGTTGTATCGATGTGTCGCATAGCCATAACGATCGCGAAGGAGATGTTCCAGAGTGTCCGTGTCAGCCTCGGGTGTGTCGGCTCCACTGCCTTCCCAGCGCAGCATCAAGACGGAGGCCCTTGTGTGGAGAGATTTTTGCGTCTGTCGGCTTATGAGCATAGCCGCATCCTGTAGGTGCCTGGCGAAAGATTCGAACTCGAGCCTCTCGGGAGGCGGTGGGAGGCTTGCATCTTGAGCGGGGGGCGGTGGCACTACGGCAGACGGCTACGATGGCGAGGGCAAGCGAGCGTGTTAGCTTTGTGTCGCAGGGGAGGAACACTGTCGGCAAGCACTTGTTGGTTGAAGTAGCTTACAGACTCATAGGCATAATGCGCCGGCGTCGGGCTTCCCTGGGCCTCGACCTTGGGAGCGAGTCTCCTCTTCTTCGCCGCGGGCTCCATCGAAGAGTAAGCCCGACGACGGCGATGCTGTAGCTGCGCTGGGATGCGGTGTGCGGGTGGACACCACGCGAGGCAAGATCACCGAGGTAGCAGCATGGACGGCAGGCCACGTCTGGACGGCATTCGGCTGGGAGACGTGCTCAGGCTGGCATTTGACAATGCTGAGAGGTGGTGAGGCTAGCAAGAATGGCCATTGTCTGACCAGGGACCAGGCTGATGGATTCCACAAAGTGGTTGAGCTCCGCACCACCTCGTCCATCCGAACGTGGTTCCCCGCCGTTAGGTCAGATGAGCCGTGATTGGCCGGGAGCTCCTTCCACAGCGGCTGGCAGCAACCTTGGACCGGCCCAGAGGTATCGCCCCGAGTCGCGACTCATGATCAAGTACCTGGAGGTATCCAATCCGTCATAGATTCCCACACAAAGAGCAACAAGGTACAGATGAAGAACCTTCAATCCCCGCCGACCCCTAATCCACAACCTCGCGATCCAGGCACGAAAAAGTGGGGCGAGGGCCTGGCCGTTGAGATTGGACCCGTGCGCTGGTGCGCTCTGTGCCATCTGCTGCTGTGTTGCCTTTCGATTGGCGTCCAATAAGAGGCTATGATTCTGCACATCGGCGAGGCCATGAGGGGTCCTCGCAATTTGATTCGGCTGCAAAACGATGCTGAGGACTTGTGCATTGACGAGGTCGACGTAACTCTGGGTCGGGTCTTTGCCGCCCCGCCGAAGTCGGGACTGCTTCATAGGAAATCTAAACAACAAAATCAAGTCTTTGGCAGTGTTTTTATTTGCGTGCTATCTCCGTCATTCCTCTTGGGCACATTCAAGGCTCTGCGATCCGGTAGTCGACTGTACCATAACCACCAGCTATCCGCCTCCTATGGATACCTCCTCAGCAAGTCATGTCGAACAACGACAAGCACGCGATCTCCGCCCTGGCGGGGGTTTTAGTGGTCCTCAGCGAGACAGCAAGATCGCTAGTTAGAGCTCTTGCTGACTCGAGGCTCGGCGGCCAGTTTCTCCTCCACGTCAATCTCGTTGCGCTCAGCTTTGAGCGTCTTGTGGCGGTTGTTGTGGGTCTTCCAGGCAGGAGTTCCAATATTCTTGATGGAGCCAGGTCCATTGTCCTCAAAGATGAGGGCGACCTCCTCGAGGGTCTTGTTTGCGGTCTCGGGGAACATGAAGAAGACGTGCCAGAACATGCAGAAGCAGAAGACTGCGAACAGGACGTAGGTCTTCCAGGTAATCGTGGCAAAGGCAGGGGGGACGAAGAAAGCCAGCGCAAAGTTGAATGCCCAGTTCGATGAGGTAGCCAATGCGACAGCCTTACCACGCACACGCTGAGGGTATAGTTCACTAGAAACGTACAATCTTTGGTCAGCAATCAGTGCAAAAGAAGACAAAATTGTTGTTACTCCGTACCTGGGATACGCCCAGCTTGAAGGACCCCATGTCGGCGCAAAAGAGGCGACAAAGAGGTAGGTAGAAGCGATGACAGCTTTAGAGGCCGGGCCACTGATGACCATGGAAATGGACGGGTTGGTGAACTCTCCGTCGCGGGCAGGGCGCGAGTAGACAGCGAAGAGACCGGCGTTGATGCAACACCATAGACACATCAGGAACGCTCCCACGAGGAAGGAAGGGCGGCGACCCCAAGTGTCCATCCAGATCAGGGCGGGAACGGTCATGACAACGTTGATGATGAACTGAATACCGCTAGACAGAAGCGTCTGGTCGCCAAGTCCGGCCATGGTGAAGATGTAGGTAATGTAGTACATCTGGAAGGGGGTCGCAAGAATTAGCTTTCTGCTTTATGAAAGTGACCGCTGAGACTCGATGCTTACCATGACGTTCATGCCGGTCAGCTGAGACCAGATTTGGGTGAAGACACCAATGTGGGTTCGGTTGATCATCTTCGGACGGAAGAGCTCAAAGATTGAGACGTCGGCATTGCGACGCTCAAACTCGACGACTTCCTGGATTTCGTGGAGTTCCTTTGCAGCGAAGGGCGAGTTGGGATCACCCTTGCCGTGGACGAGGATGAGGACTTCCTTGCACTCTTCCCAGCGGTCCTTCTTGGCAAGCCAACGAGGAGACTCGGGCAAGAACATGAGGCCAATCCCCAGAATGAAAGCTGGGAAAGCCTGGACACCCCAAGGAACGCGGAACGCGGACTCGTTTCCAAGGAAGCTGCAACCGTAGCAAATGAAGTACATGATAGCAATGCCCTGTTAGATTGCGTCAGCAACGATGATGACCGCATCTTTAAAAAAAAGAAGAGAAAAGTGACGAAGACGAACCCAGGTGATGGCCCACTGCTGCATGCCAATAAGGCGGCCACGCTTCGAAGGTGGCGCTTGTTCGGAGATGTACACAGGCACTTGCGCGGAGCAGATACCGACGCTCAGGCCGCAGATGATGCGTCCGACAATCAGCATAGGAACGTTGACGGCAGCGCATGTGATGATGCAGCCAATGACCCTGGGTACCGACAAGTTAGCTAATTGTTCTCGCGAGTCGAAACTTGATGACTCAATCTCTGAACCCACCAGATCACAGAGCCGATTTGAATAGAGGTTTTGCGACCAAAGCGATCAGTCAAATAGCCGGAAATAAGTGCACCCAACCAGGAGCCGCCCGGCATGGCGGCTGTGATGCCACCCTGGAGAGTATCGGTTGGGCCATAGCACCGGCCTTCCTCATCGATATATGGCTACATGGCACGAATTGATTAGTCGATCGTCCATATCCAGCATTTGACGGCCAGACGTTTAAAGCGTACCGGGCGATTAAATTGGCACTTGTACGGCTCAGTCGAGATGATGGCGCTCATCGACGAGATGTCGAAGCCGAAGAGGGCACCGCCTGGTAACACCCATGTCGTTAGCGCCAGAGCATCATCTCATGTGAAGAGAGTCCCTTCTACCTACCGATGACGGAGATGGTCGCCAGAAAGTAGATATTGCCAAACTTCTTCATGTTGACTATGATTTGTATGCCGTGCTTCTAGAGGGGTCGAATGATGCTAGGATAGCATAGGTTCTCGATGGGACTTCCAGGGCGGGCACCTTAGGTGGGAGCAAAAAGCATGACGATGGACCAGCGCGAAGGCGAGGCTCCGGGTGGGCTGGCGGTCCGCCTTTATAGACTTTGAATTATGAGTTGACGACAGCGCAGGAATGAGCGAACCAGACCGACCCCTGGGTGCCGTGACGGGCACCTGGCACACTGGCAGGGCTTTCAGCCATGGAAGGAGCGGGACCAGCACGAATGGGCAAAGCTTAGAGGAGTAACAAGCCGTGGTCTTAAACTTGGCGTGTGCGAGCGAGCCCCGGATCGTCGCCCGGCACTGACGATCGCTACTGCATGTGAGCATGGGCCGTGATTACGTGGGGAATGCCTACACGCATGTCGGTGTTGCTGCCGGGCTACACGACTCGCCGATGCAGGTCTTGCTGTGGCAGGCATGGGAAAAGAGCGACGAGGGAGGCACCCCCTGGTTGCTGGTGTCTTGTTCTGGTAGGGGTGCTTGCTTGCTGCTTGGCAGCTTAGCATGGGTCGTTGTGATCGAGATCAAGACCACAGCAGGCCACCACAAAGCCTGCAGTTCGCGAAGGCACAGCGGCATGGAATCCCAAGGCACAGTGACGATCCCTCTGCCAGCACTCTCAGACTCGGATCCGAATCAGCCGTTGCGTGCATGCCGTCATGTTTTGGGTTTTACGAGCCTCGATGGCCCTTGGCACCTACTCCTGCCCCGCTAGTCCTAGAAGCTCCGGAACACGAATAAGCGTTAAAACGGCGGCTGCTCGATGTCTAGGGGAGAAAATGTGAGGGGGCTGCATCAGCAACAACAGATTCCAATTCATAACTCCACCAGCAAAGCTTGGACTGTCTACCCCAGCCGCCCCAGCTTGCACGTTGGAGAGCAGATTCTACCCCGTGGAGTAATCGGCCCGGCAGCACTGATGTCCATAGAACATCCAGCTGGTAATCGCACCTACTAAGTATGTAGCGTTGAGAGGTTTCCCGATAGTGGCTGTTGCCTTGGCAATCAAACGTACACGGTGCTCACGCACAACTGGCCCGCTTCGTCTTGTTACACTGCTTGTACCGCGGCTTGAGACTGCTCCTTGCGCAGGCCAGTTTGCGAAGATGAAAGGAAGTCACGGTATGAATCCTCCTCATTCCCATGCTTCGTCTAGTCGTCACTCTGCTCGGAGATGGTGCCTGGCCATGCAACAAGTGTCGAGCACGTGGTGCGAAATTGCAAGACTGACCCCTGGCGGCTGTGTCGTCATTCCCTCAGACGCGCCCCGCTAATGACGTAGAGCCGCCCAAGGAGGGCTGGATGTCGAGGGGGGAAACCCCACATCCTGACACATGGCGGGCCGATTACACACGACGAGCGGCGGCTCGAGGCGGCTCATTTCATTCGGCGAAGCCCGACACCGCGGAGCGGTTCGACCTCAATCTTTACGCCTGCTTGGCGAACTTCGTATCATACTTCACATACGTCTTGTTCTGTTCTTCCTCTGGAGAGAGGGAAACTTACACGATTTCTGTGCCATGCCATACTCACATCGGAATATGGCACCGCAACCACGCCCCCCTCCCCCGCTGTACTGGGCTCTTATTCTTGACGCAGACACAGGGGCTTCGCTGATCCGTCAAAGGGGCCCACGAGCACCTGGTAGCACGATCATGTGACTGTTTTGACTGGAGACACTTAGTTTGCACGATACGTTAATCGGGGGACGGGAATTATGGGTCTTCTTTAAGGCACTTCTTGCACCTAAACCCTGATCAACCCTTATATTATTTATGCGTATCATCCGAGTACGCAATACGGAATCGGATAATAGTAGCTGTTGAAGAGGTCAAGGCGGATACAAAGCGATGCCAAAAAGTTAAGGGGACACTCTACGAAGTACTGCTGAGTTCTCGCCACGTAATTCATTTTGATATGCTGGGGCCCTTCTACTGCCCGACCGCTGGCACTCGGCCAGAAGGACAGGCACGAACCTTTCAAGAAGCAGCACGCCCCAGAATCACAAAGTTGAGGTGAGGTGTAGCATAGCAAAACCCTAGAAGAGGTGCAGACGTGCCGCACAAGTTAAGAACAAGAAGCACTAGGTCTGCAGGCCACCTATTGCATACTGACCATTACTTCCATACCCCATTGGCCTATCTCCTCGCTTCTCTTCATTAGATTTGTCCCGAATCACGAGACTACTTCAGGAAGGATGATAGCCGCCCCATGATGACCCAAAAATATGAATGTCAAATTTCGCATGCACATGAGTATTGCAAAGGTACGTAATTTACAGCATGGTGGAGCGCTATCTCGACACGCTCATGATATCGCAGCGATCTCCGCGGACGAGATAAAAGTACCCATGATGCCAGCATGTTCTACAGATCCTTGAGCTTCGTCGCAGAGAGAGTGGGAGAAAGCGTTTAACACCAGATCAGTACTATGCATGGTTATCGGCGGCGGCGCCTGATTGTTCCTCCCCACGACTCGACGCCTACAACATCCGAGCCGAGTCACGTCAATTTTCGCTTATGGAGCCAAAGCGCACCGCGATCCGAGAATGCCGAGGGAGTTGGACACTCTTCTTTCCGAATGACAGCGAGGCGAGGCGAGCTAAAGAGGCAGCCCAGAAGTTTCCCATCCAAGTCCCACTGAACGACTGCAAAGCAGAAGGAGATCAACGCCTAGGAGCAGCTTTTCCCAGAGAAATGTTCTGGAAAACTCCATCATGCAACCCGAGGGGCCGGTCCGTTGGGCACGCGACCCAGCTCACCCCTGCATGGAGCAAGTGGCGCCAGCAACCTGACGCCCTATCACGGCCCTGTCTTGGGCAGATGCACAGCCACAACGGTGCTGCTAGGCGTCGCATACTGCATCGGTCCGTGGGCGGGATCTTCACGGCTGCTTCGCAGAGCAAGTTGTTGCTGCCCAATCAACTGGGACATCCCCCTGGGCCTCTTGCCAGCTCCAATGATCTCCAGCGCGAATCTTTGGGGCTGCGAGGCAGGGGAGCTCAGTTGGGCGGCCTCCTGATTTGCGTGAGCGTGGTACCTTGAATGAGACCGCCGGGCCAGCGTGCTGGGGATGAATAGCCTACCGAACCCTGCCTGCAGGCTCACTGCAGAGTCGGGACTCTGAAGGGAAACCGACGTGCCGTGCGAGACTGTGTCAGACGGGCCTCGGGGAAAGAGTCCCATCGTTTCGGGCGGAGCGAAGCACGAACTGCGCGAGGCTGGCTGGATGCTGCAAAGATGACAGAAGGGATCGGGACGAACAGAGCAAAGAGCTCGTGAGCGGGTACCGCGGCGGCTCCGCCAAGGTACGGGGTACGGAAGGCGCTGACGACGGCAGCACGCGGGCGAATCACAGGTCAATGCCTGCCTGCCTGGAGCTGTCTGTCCAGGGGCGAGGGCGAGTCGCTGACACCGCCGCAAATGTAAGGTAGGCTGCTGACAGATGACTCGACCCTGAATGCAGATGCTCATCTCACATTTACATAATACCACCTGCTCTGCCGTTGCTAGTGTATGTTGCGAGCTGCCTGCTCCCACATGTTCTAGCAGCTCTTTTGAGATCTTTCTCTGCGCCACGATATATATCTTTGTGCGGAGAGCTTGCGATCCGTTCAGACTTGGGCTCCCCCCAGCTCCTAGACAAAGGCGTTGTTGACGCAGCGCGCGCGACCCCACTACGGCTGGTAGAGCAAATCGTCATAACTAGCCCCTCTGGGCAAATCCCAAGCAGCTGGCGAGCTACGACTTTGCCTCACGCATTCTTGGCGCAGCGCGACCAAGCCCGCCGCCTTGCGCTCCTGCCTCTTTCCTGGTCGCCGAGCTCACAGAGCCTGTCGCTTGCCCGCCCCAACAACATCTTTCGACAGCCCCCAAGCTTGACCGCCAACAACTCACTTGTGTGCCGTCGCGACAAAGAACAACACACCCTTCGTGCTCGAAGCAAACCTTTGGCTGCTTAGCCCTAGCCCGACATCGCCCCGCGATTGCACGGCAGGCACCGTTGTCGCATAGCATACACCGGCGGCTGGTTTGCAAGAACCCGAACTACACACTGCCCGAGGACGCACCGGGTCCGCAAAGATGGACGTCGACCGGATGAAGAGGAAAGACACCACAAGAGGTCCGCCTCTACGTGTTCTCAGTCTAGGTAAGCTGGTTATAGACCGCGCCGTTCTTCCGTACTGCATCTGCGCCTTGAGCCTGTGGTCATGGACTGACAAAAAAAAGATGGTGGAGGCGTCCGCGGCTATTCGATGCTCATCATCATTCAAGAGCTCATGCACCGAACCTACGTCGAAATAGAAGGCAAAGCGCCTCGGCGGGACCAGATCCCTAGACCCTGCGATCACTTCGACCTCATCGTCGGAACCGGAACCGGCGGGCTGATAGCTCTCATGCTTGGACGGTTACGCCTGAACCTCGAACAATGCAAGGAGCTGTACGTCCGCATGACGAGGATGGTCTTTCAGACGGACAAGACGATTGCCGGTATTCCTTACAGGTCGACGCTGTTCAAGGCGTCCATGCTCGAGCATGCCATCAAGGAGGCTGTGAGGGAGCACACGGTGTCTGAAACTGAGGGGAACGATGGAACCCCAACTGATCCTCGAAGCCCAGCCTCCATCGCGTCGCGGTCCAGCGCCGGGAACCTTGGCGACCCCAGGCGTCTTGCCAGCAATGCCAGCACGGTCAGTTTCAGTGCTCGGAGCCCCACGGCGCAAATGGCGAGGCCAGCTTATCGTGGTGGCTATGGCGACCCGAATGCACGACTCTACGACTCTCGCGAGAACCGGACAAAAACGTAAGTGATCCTACATGTCTTGGTTGGTCAGCCATGGATGACTAACCCGCCAGCAGAGCCGTCACTGCTATATACAAAGGCACTCCTAAAGGTGGCGATCCTGCTGTGCTGCGTTCGTACGATTCGCGAAAGGAGCTGTCACCAGAGCCTGACGTCAAGATCTGGGAGGCGGGACGTGCGACATGCGCAATCGGATTGGCCTTCAAGCCTATCAGAGTTGGCCAGTCCATCTTCCATGATGACGGGGCTGGCACCTTTAACCCATCACCCTTTGCGCTCGAAGAGGCCACTGTTCACGAATGGCCTGGGCGCGACGTCGGAGTGTTCCTCAGTATAGGCACAGGACGGCGGCCACGAAACACAGATGGAAACTCGCATGTGTGGTACGAAGGATTCATGGGCGATTTTGCTGAAGCCAGGAGAAAACTGATCGCCAAGATCGAGGGCTGTGAGGTCATTCACGAGCGCATGATGAAGGAGCTTCTCCCAAAGAGAGGTGTCAATATCGAGAACTACTATCGCCTTAACGTGGAGGTCGGTGTTGGCGAGTTCGCCATGAACGAGTGGCACAGACTGGGAGACATCAGCACTGGTACCAGGAGGTATCTCGGTCGGCCGGCCGAGCAGAAGATGGTGCAGGAGTCGTCTGCAAAGCTGGCCAAGATCCACCGCGCGAAGCAGCGCTGGGAGAGGATGAGCAACACGCCCAACATCGTCGCGACCGAGCCTATGGAGTCTATCAGCCAGCCCTTGGCTGTTGAATTGATGGGCGACATACCGGCAGTGCCCCTTATGCATGTCAGACATGAGCCGCTGCCGCGACAGTCTTATGACTCAGGCATCGATCGTTTGTCGCTGCCAGGATCGGATGTCGCGAGCATGTCTCCACCGCGCACGTCTGGCGACCGATCACGACCCTCCACTGGCCATCCCTCGCCACAGCCAGCTCCTGCCAGACTCGAAACGATGCCCGAGACTCGCCCGCTCGAGCTATCGTCCGGAGATCGGCCGTTGTCCGTCGATGGCGACCGACTGCTGGGCCATGCCCCTACACCGGCACAGTACCGCCATGCGTCTGGCTCCGACAAGATTGCCATCATGTCGCCCGACGAGCAGCCCAGGAGACACCCGATGCAGGACAAGGCACAGCCTCCTCCTCCTTCCCAAACACAAACGCAGACGCGACCTCAACAGCATCAGCCTCACCGTATCGAGCAGCCGCCACCACTACCACCAAAGACTCCTCTTCCGGAACACCAAAACTCAGGCGCAGCGGCGCCACCAGCACGGCGGACAACGCCAACCACTGGCACATTACCATACCCGCTGGATGACGCACCCCCTCCTGTCGTCAACATGGCGAGGAAGCCGGATCTTCGGAATCGGTAAATGGTCTTGTCCATCGATGTGGAAGATTAGAGGTACAGTTCCAACTTGGGCCAGGCACTTGGCTTGATGCGGCAAGGCAAAAACAAAGTTGAGGGGGGATGCCTGGCAGTCCCAGCTGGCTCCCAGTATAATGACAAGATTAGCATAAGAATCCGGGACTCGAGATGGATGCCACATTTGATTTTATCGTCTGGTAGCGGTGGTGCTGGCGCAGTGGAGAGAAAGCGCAAAGACTTATTATCGTTGATAGATACCCCTTCTTCGCGCACCGAACGTTGGCTACTGTTTTCTTTCTCTACTTGAATATACACACGACTTGACGACCATGTACGTAGACGACGCATGTGATCTCCAGTCCAGTCGGCTCCCAGGCATTGTAAGCTCGAGCTGCTGTGATGCCCCTGCGTGCCTCGACATGCTCCTTTTATGAGGTCAACATGATTCCATAATGACGAGACAGCCACACCCGCGAAGAGCGAATGACACGAGGGCAGCTTCCTCCTGTGGCCGTCCACCCTGTTTGCAAGCTCAAGTCTGCAGAACAACGTCACCCTGCGGTCCTGCATGGCGGTTCAGCCACAGTCTGGCGCGCGGTCTAGACCGGCCGTGACATTTTGCGCTTGGGTGTCCACGCTGCTAAGAGGTTAAAGAATTTTTGAGTTGTGACCACATGTCGCGGTGTCTCTGACCGGAGCGCTGACGTTACACAACGAGTGAGAGAAGGAGGGGGTTGCTCACGAAAGCTTAATTGAGCAATGGCACCATTGATTTAGAGTTTCGAGACCGGCCTCCGGCAACGCATGCCATGGTCGTGCGCCACGGCAGCTTTGGGGATTGTGCGGGCCGTGCTTTTCAATGTGTTGCTTTTCCTCGCTCGAGAGTTGCAGCAGTGGGTGCTTCCGGCGGGGTCCACCGGCGCCGCAATATAACATATGCACAAGTCTGAAGCTTGATCCAGAAAGTAGCAGCACAACCTAGGAGCGGCCCAATCGGATTTGCTGGACAAAAGATCCGGTTACCCTGCTCGGGAGAAGATCACAGCCCTTTGGGATCGACCCAGAACCATGGTACACAAGCCGTGCGCCGACAACTTTGCGCATGACATCGAAAAAAAGGATGCTTGGTGGCTTGGAAAAAGCAAAAGTTCCAATCTCGAGGCAGGCTTTTGTAATTGAGACCAGATAGGGGGCACAGTAGTCTGTCTCGGGGCGGTCCACTAACCGGGCATCGTGCACCGCGTGGAAATGCAAGACATGCACCACCACTCCGAGTCACAGCCCTACCGAGGAGAGGCACACACGTCGTGGCTGGGAAGGTTTAGCGAGATGGCGCTTGCCCTGGCGGCGGTTAAGCACAGATTGGGCAACGTTGGTAGAATCTGTATTGACCTCGGTCGACCCCTCTGTGCTCTTGGTGTCTTGCTGCGCTGCCGTGCTCGCCCGTAGGCCATGCCCAGGCTCGGCTCTCGCGATCAGAGTGCTTGAAGCTGCGAAGATAGACTGAGCCAGTTTGCACCTGCGTTGCATATCCTGCGGATGCTCCACACCTCGTTATCGAGCACCACTGAATATCATGTGGTACTAAACTGGTCCCTCGTGCTATAGGGGTCTCACTGCAGGGAGGGTGATTGCTGCAGATGCGACGGGCCTTGTGCCTTGTCGGCCGAGTGGCATGCATTGTCTCGGTTGGAGCTTGCCATTTTCGACCTGTGGCTGCGGCGCCATTGTGCGGAGTTTGGCCCGAATTAGGCAAATGAGTGAAGTCAACAACCTGGATCAAGCCTACGGCGCTGCGATGTGAAGAGGCCTGGAGGATTTCCTGCAAGCAAGCTGGCCAACACCACGGACGATGGAGGATCTTGGAGTCGGCCCTGGGGACGAACGGCGCCAGAGGCAGCTGAAGGGTCAGACAGGCACGGGGCTGAACGACGAGGCAGACTTGTGACGCGCGGGCCGGCCAGGGTGGGTGGGCGCTGGCATGCTCAGCTGGTCGGGTGAGTTGCGAATGGGGTGCATACCCTCGTCTCGAGCCGCTGGCACGAGGGGGGTGGCCAGACAGCGCAGTCGCGGGATGGGAAAAGCACTGTAGCCAAGCTGCAAGCCATCCAAAGAGGCTGGGATGTCTAATCCCACGATGTAGTAAATGTCGAAGCTCGTGTCGTGTCGTCTCGTCTCGTCACTTTGCTTCCTTGTCTGGCCGCCTACCTTAGTCTCCAACTTAGCGTACGCTAGGCAGAGTTGTCAGTCGTCGTGGTGGAGGCTGAAAGGCGGAGACCTGGCACCAAGTGCTGCGGGTGGGGCGGCAGGAACGATGGATGGTGCATGCCGGGCGTGTCATTTCGGCTCGCCTGTGAGTTTCGAACTGGTAGCCGATGGCGCTTCAGCTCCCCTCGTCCCGATCCTCAGTCGCCCTCGGGCAATCATCAACCACCACCTCCACCACCACCTCCTCCTCCACCGCTATTACATCGTCGTCCCGTGAGCCGCCCGTTGCACACAGCCTAGCAGCAACAGCAATATCCAGCCCTGCCAAGATTTGCCCAGGCTTTGGACCGTTCTGGTTCGGCGAGCAGCTCCGTATCGTGTCAGAAGAATTTCACGGTGTCCGGCTGGCGTCACCACTGCGGGGGCCCCCAGCATGGGTCCCGTCCGTCTCGTACCAGCCGCCTTGGAACTTCTCCCGAGTACTTGTGATGCGTTCCCCCAAGGAAATAAAGATGGGCACAGTCTTGATATGCCTCAAGGGACCCCTTCTCGACAGCCATCCCATTGCAACCAAGAACCCCGAAATATAGAAGAGAAAAAGAGGGGCGCTTGGTGCGGAGCCAGCTCCGAAATACACGATAAGCAATTTGTCACCTCGAGGCGTTGACCAGGACCCCAACGTTACGCCTTTGACTCCACGCAACTGCAGCCTCCCACTATGCGTGTGCCACCAGGCCGCCATGGTCTCTGAAGAACCAATCAAGACCGAAGCAAGAGGTCATTGTTCCGCGCGGATGGTACGAGCCCTATTTCATACTTCCGGGGAGGCATGATCGAGATCATTCCTGGTGCCAGCGGCCCTACATACACGCCATCTGCCCTCTTCAGCCCTAGCGGAAGCGTGACTGCACAGTCACTGCTGGACAGCCCAACCCTGCCTGTCCCACTCCTGGTGTTGGCGTGCCGCCAAGAACCGGGACTTGGAGGGTTGCGTGCTAAATTCGAGCTGCAGACATGCAATCTCCATGCACCCATCCACTGGGGGGGGGGCTGTTCTGCGCTATTCCCAATATAGCTATCTCCGATGTCGACGCTTCAGGTGGGCGAGTCAAGGCGTTCGTGCCGTTGAGGTGGTTCTCGTGTGGCAGGTCCAGAAGGCTGGAGATCCTCGATTGCTGTGTCGCCTACTAAATTACTGTCTTTGCTACTTGGGCCTTTCCGTTGTCCAGTAGTGCGCCTAGGCACACTGCAGCCGTACCCGACCGAAATGTCCGTTTTGTGATCAAAGCGCAGCATCTCCAGACATGCCTCGACACGGACGTGGCGTCTGCTGACTGCAGGACACGGCTTGCGCCAACAAACCCTTGTGTCGACACAGCAGAGGATTTGCAGCATGGTACCCTACCCGCAGGTCGATTCGTCACATAAGGCACGACGTTACAGGCATACCACTACTGAGCCGGCCGGTTCAGTTAGTAGAGACACTGTGGCGTTACCTGTCAGCGCACCCCTCCCCCAGCATATGACTTTTGAGTCTTTGCTTTCCTTGGTTGAGGGTGACCTCAAGAAGCTTTGTGGAATCACCCACCTCAAGCCACCGTGTTGTGTGGGCCCTTGGCGTACCCGTCATGTCTAGATGCTATTCGACAAAGTCCGCCCCTGATGGATGGCCCCTTGGAAGCAAGCTCGACGGGTGTGCCAGCGGCTCGGTAACTTGTCTAAGTCGGGCTGGTTCTACCAAAGCCTCCCACCTGGAGGCTGATTTCCCTCGGTGGACGTTGCCGGGCCCCTGAGAGGTGTCAAAGTGAAAAGAGACATAATTCGACCTTGAGTACAGAAAATGGACACCGTTGCCGAGACCACATCCACCCACCTCGTTATGAACACATACCAAATGCCCAACCACCAATCGTCTTCCCGTCTGGCATGATCATTTTCATGAGCCCGTACTGCACCGCACCATGAATGATGGCCACAGGCTTTTGCAATGAGGTCGGGTCCCATCAACCAACTACATCCGTGTCACTCAAAAAGCGAACCTTTCAAAAGCCACTGGGTCAGCTACGGCTGTCCTCCGATAGATGTCGGGTGAGGCATCCTCCCAGTCTCGCATCTGATCAAGTTGTTCGTCACGGCTTCGTCCAATCGATATCTGCTGGGCTACTTTCCTCCCACAAGTCGCCGGTCAGACAAGAGCTGCCGGGCTGATTGTTGTAGGGCGAACACCGTACCAGCAGAACGCCTCATGAAGTCCCACGCGACAATACATCCCTTCTTTGACCACCCACCCGGTATGTCGACCTGTTCTTGACAATTGGATGCACACGTGGGGCTTGACGAATATCAAGACCATATATCTCCTCTCTGCAGCACTTCAGGCTCCGCCCAGGTTTCCCTGCGAATTCCATTTGGCTCCTATCCTGCGACACCATTTTCTGTGCTTCTTCGGTACTATTACCTCCACACAAACGCCTTGAACAGTGTAGAGTGAGAGCATTCACTTTTCCTGCAGCCCTCGGGACAGAAGATCTATACCAGCTCGACCAGTGCCGGACCATTTGCAACTTCCAAGACAAAATAACACACCCTAAGCCTGGTCCAATTGCTTCGCCCACAGAGACGCAGGACCTCCAACATTCTGCAGCACACGTTTTGTCGCCTCCACTCGCCAAGGGCAATGACCAGCCACTGTCGCAGTAATCCCACACAAATCCTGACCGTGAACAGCTTGAAAATCCACGTCTGAGGCACGACATGGCCGAGGCCCCAACCTCGATGCGCCAGCCCCGCGCACAACGGCATACGACATCCTGCGGCGAATGCAGGAAGCGTAAGCAACGCGTGAGTCCGATTCGTGGCTACTGTACTTTGTTCATCTCCGCCGTGCTTCCTGCCAGCGAAGCAGGATTCCCGATGATCTTCTTGTCGCCCTGCCTAAAAAGCACCAATTCTGACATTATCGTCCTCAAACAGTGTAACCAAGGACATCCTTGTAGCAATTGTGCTCGCCGCTTCCCGCAGCCAGCTTGCGAGTACAAAGAAAATAAGTGAGTGCTCATGTGTGCTGTTGCGCCACCATAGTCGTGGCTGAAGTGCTCTAACGCTTGGCAAAGACGACGAGAGGGATTCCCCATACCGAACACTTCGACATTTTTGCTCGCTACTCTACAGACAAGAGATGATAGTGGACGTTTTCTCCATGATGCAAGGGATCCGCTGCTTCCGTTAACGAGGTCGCCCAACTCGACAAGTGATGCGGAAAACGAGCTGGTTGCTCTGGTCTCGTGGTCAGATCTCGACATCTTGACGGCCTTTCCGAACTCGCAAAACCATGAAGTGACGCCTCACAACTGGGAGGGCACGCGGCCAGGGGTATTGCCCAAATGCGAGAGCCACTGTGCCGAGCACTCGGCTGCCTTCCATGACGCCGCACGACTGTTGCAATACACGAACTACACGGTGAACGAGCTGATCGTCAATCTAAGAGCAAGTCCCAGCGAGGATGAAATCAACTGGGAGCAGCTCGTGCTTGCAACTCGTGAACCGGATTTGGAATCCGCGCGGCAGCAAGAGGCCGAGACACCCCAGAATCTACCACTTGTCACGACTCAACTGAGGGCGGACCTGCTCCAAGTCTGTAAGTCGACTTGGTCACTCAACGTACTGGAGGCTGCCATGGTCTTCGCGCGCCGCGAGGTGAAAGCGGCCTCAAGTGGGCTAACTAAACGTCTTTGCAGATGTCAAACTCATGTCCCGCTTCAGGTGCTCGATCGATGGAAATCCTGACCCAAACGGACCATATTTCAAGACTTATATGCCCTTTTGCTTCCAGAGCCCGCTGCTCGTCAACATCGCAATCTACTCGGCGGCTAGCTACCTGCATGAGACGAATTACCTTGACAAGACAATGACAATCGCCATCAAGGGTCATGCCATCCGCATGTTGAACGATCTACTGCGCTCAGAGCATGGAAGCACCGGAGACGAGGTCATAGCCGGGATTGCGCATCTGATCGCGGATGAATGGTATTGGGGCGCTCTGCATGATCTCAGAGCACACCTGCGTGGCATGCGCGAACTCATTCGGATCCGGGGAGGCTTCAACACACTAGGACTGGGGGGCCTATTGAGCAAGATGGTGATTCTGTAAGTTTTCACCCGGCGTCGCAGGTTCTGTGAGAGCAGATTGCTAACACAGATTCTTACTTCTCTTAAGCTTGGATTACTCTATCGCCATCGCCTTTGAAGGACCTCCTTATCTCCAGCATAGCCGCGAACCCGCATTCTCAGATCCAACCCCAGGTCCTTTCCGCATCTCTCACAACACCCCACTAGTTGCGTCCATGGTGACGTTTTCAGACTGCACATCTGGGTTGAAGCTACATCCAGCAAGTGCCTCTATCCTCGATGATATCCGGTTTCTGATCGCCACCGTGACGAGTCTGCCCGCACACTCCTCGCAGGCAGAGCTCAGCAAGGTTGCCACGACGTCCCGCTGGATTCTAAACAGGATCTCCAAGTTGCCGGCACACTCTCCAGAGTCTCCGGGTCCTCACGAGCCGTCTCAGAACCATGTCAACAGAACACTGATGGTGACAGGTCAAGCAACTCCTATCGACTCGCCATCAAGCATGAGTGAGGACACGACCGACCCCGTCTACCAAGCAATCCGGCAAGCAGCGCTGCTCTATGCCACGGCGATAGTTGAGCGGCAACCTTTCAGCAAGGTGTGCTCACACGAACAATTCTACGAGCTCTGGACGACGGTGTGGCGAGTGCCACGGACGCGGTGGAAGTCACTGGCGGGCATCTTTCTGTGGATCATCGTCGTCATCCTACCTACGGCTGCCACAACACCACACAGCCGGTTTGTCAAGAGTATGTTGACCACATCTGGGCTCGAGATTGGCACCGAGAATTGGTTTGCCGCTTCCAGTGCGCTGCGGGCCGTCTTGACCTTACAGGCCTGGCTCAGAGGTGGAGATGGGACCGATGTCAGCGGGGGAGATGGTAGCTCGGGGTTCGGGCCGTCAAGCAGCATGGCGTCGAGTAGTATGGCCTCGTCGGCGTCCGGCTCATCGAGACGCAGCAGCGACCACTTATACGCCGTCCAGAGGGACAGCCACGAGCCCTGAATGCATTGTCAGGTTGGAGAGTTGCTACGGCGGAGTGGGAAGTCTCGCCGCTGCAAATAGCGAAGACGTGGTGTCGATATGGAATTGCCTTTAAAAGTTTTGCCACATTGATCCGGCACACGGGATGACTGTGAAGCATAGGGCATGTTTTTTGGTCTGCAAATTGTTGGGATTTTCACCGCTCATACCGACAGACCATACTGGTGCCGCCAGTTGCGTGGTCGTCCAGCCTTGTATTGTAATCATAATTCAAATGTCCTCATGTTGCACAGCACTTTATTTCACGACCGTGGGGAGGATTCGCGTCGAGGATTTTCCGCAGAATCATTGCAATCAAAGTGAAAACACCAACCAGGAGAGGTAGAGCCGAAATGGCAAATATTCTCACGGAGCTCTCCTCAATTCCTCTCTGTATGTCGTCATTGGGCACTTGCAGGCAGTCGGATGTACGCCATCTCGTCTTAAGTACGCCCGTGCAGATTTTGTCTCTTCCATTTGGGGGTTTCCTTTTTTTTCGTGGAGGAGACAGGACCTGCCTGTGAAACCAGAGGGAGAGAAGGGGGGAGGGGCAAACCCCTTGGGTACTATCAATATCACTTCTGTTGAATTTTGGCTGTGCTGTCATCTCGTCCATGCGGAAACTTCGTCAACGGAATGACACATACACACACACACACACACACACACACACACACAAAAGCCGAGTGACCTGACCATCCATACTGTCTTTCAAGTCTCTCTCCACTGGCGGGGACGGGGGGGAATCCGCCTCTTGCAGATTTAACGAACGAAGTAGCGAACAATCCAACGAACGAGGCATACGTTACGGACATGGACTGGTCGCCCATGTTCAGGACCCCCGAGAGCGAGGGAGAGAGCGAGAGAGAGACTGATGCGGGGGTGTGGGGTGTGTCTGCGTGTGTGTGTGTGAGTGTGTGGGATTGCCAGCCTTCCTGCCCATGACATCCCTCTATGGAGCCCGTCTTGTCATTTGCCCTCTTGCTGTTTGTGTGCTGCCTGTGTTCTCCGCGCTTTTGTCTCGCTTTTGTCTCGCTGGGTCAGCTTTCCTGCTGGCCCCCTCCGTCTAGGCACGGTCAATCTCCCTTCCAGACTAGTACATTTCTTTTTTGCCCGTAACAACTAAGGGGTGTACGTTCTTGTCATTGATACCGGTAGTAATAGTACGGCGGCGGCGGCGGCGGCGCGCAGCAAATCACCCTCGTTGCCACCGTGCCCTGCTGGTGCTGGTACTGGGGCCACTGCGTGATGTGTGCCGGCGGGTTGAGCAGCGATCCCTGGGCGCCGGCGAAGAAGGGCGATTCCTTGGGGTGGCCTTTGAGTTTCACAAACACACAGTATCAAATGTCCAGAGTCAGCTGGGTGAATTTTGTGTGTACATGTGTTTCTCTCGTGTGGCTTTCTCTCCCTCCACCCCCCTTGTGGTGTTCGTTACGTGCGCGGGGTCCGAGGGAAACAGTGGGCATTGGGTTAATCGTGGTAGGAGGATCAGGAGGAAAAACGAGCGATCCAGGGGAAGGGAAAAGGCCGGAGGGGGAGGGGAAGGATAAGGAAAACCACTAGCAAAAAGGGACTTACACCACGATGCCATTCCTGGCGGCGGCGTAGGGATCGAAGGGCCGACCATGGGCGGATTGGCCAGGAGGAATGGCGCGCCAGAGCCGGCGGCAGCGGCGGCGGCGGCCATGTTGAAGGGGTTTGGTGGTGGTGGAGGCATCATCGTCGTCATCGTCGTCATCATGCTGTTGTTCGGGTTGAGGGTGGGCTGTGGCAAGCACACTACTACTGGAGGGGTGCCCCTGCGGATCATACCATGGGTTAGCGTGCCTGTTTCTCTCCATGGTTTGTCTAGTTGTCCCTATGGAGTTACATTTCAGAGAGCAGCAGGGGGGAGCAGAGGTTGTGGTTGCCTTCGTGAAATCTCGCAACAAGAAGGTGGACATCATTATCATCATGACCGTGGTGTGAGGAACGCGTGAAAGCATGTCCGGAACAAGACCACATGGCAACAATACAGAAGGAATGTTGAATCACCAACAGAGACAAGCTGAGGCTGCGGAAAGAAAGAACTTACAATGCGCCCCCAAACATGACTGGATTGCTGAGCCCAAATGCCTGCTGGTGAGGAGGGTTCAGGAATGATCGGAGATGCGCGGGTGGAGGCTCTGTTGCCGCAGTTGCCGTAGTTGCCGCTGCCGCTGCCGCTCCTGTTGTGCTTGATCCGATACCGCTTGCCGTCGTCGAGATCTGTTCCTGGACGGGGACTTGTTGTCTTGCTGCTGCTGCCTGTGAGGTGTTTGTCGTGCCTGCAGCCCCAGCTGTAGGCGCTGCAGATGTGTTCGCAGTTGTTGTTGTTGTTGTTGTTGTTGTTGTTGTTGTTGTTGGTGCTTGTGTCCCTGCTTGCGGCGCCGTCAATGATGCGTTCGTATCTCCTCGACCCGTTCCCCCGCCAGGATTGTCTGACGCTCGTGGTTGTTGTGCCGACATGCCGGGAAAAATAGCCGGAGGAAACGACGTGTCTGTCACGGAAGGATAGCCTGCAAAGGACACGGACTTGTTTGCCTTGTGTCTAGGCATTGTCCACGGAGGGCTGGTGGCGTTGGTCTTGAGCGAGAAAGACGGTGCCCCTATCCGCGCGAACCAATACTTTCCTACAGCTGACGGAGTGTGTTTTAGGGCTCAGTATGCTCTGCGTCGCCGCTAACGATGTTCTGGAGACAACAATGAATGAGCGAAGCTTGGCAGCTGTGCCGTCCAATTCCAGGAAACCCGGCAAAAGGAGTCGGTGGACGAGACTGTTAAGTTGCCCTGGTGATGCAAAACAGAGGTCACGACCTCTGAACTGTCTCATTTCAACGCCTCGTTCCTAGCATCTTCGGGGGATATTTGTGTACTATGGTTACACTAAATCGATTAGATCTTCTCAATCTATGCTGATTATCGCCTCAAACGGCGCAATAAATGTACAAGAAAGCCCGACCCAAATTTCAGAACGCCGCCGCAATGTAAAAAGCACTTTTTCGAACAAACCAATCGCTACACCAAGTGCATTCGCTGCTGCGCCGCTGCCATGTCCCACCGGGACAATTACAAACAACGCTCTTCAGACGAAAGACCCCAACTCAGGTGTTACTTCTCGATCCACGTCTCGAGATATGAACCAAGCACTGATGTCTCGCTTTCAGACTTGAAATGTCCTCGAGGAGGGGGGGCTCGGCCCCGCGTCGACGAAGAACCATTTGCTCTCCGGTTGCTTGATGCGGACCGAGAGTGGGTGGACGCCTTCAAGGCTGGTGGTGACCGCGTTTCCTCTTCCTCAATGACATGCAGCCCAGCATCTTCGCTTGAGCTCGTTGATGATGTATTGGTCCGATCGGACGAGGTCGAGTGCTGGTGCAGCCGGAGCCGGGCACCGACCAGGGAATCCCCTGCCTCGTCGTCTTCAGCCTGCATCAGCTCCTGTAAGATTGTCTTTCCTTCCTGTCGGTCTTCTTCCTTTTCGATGTCGAGACCCCAAGCTTTCAAGAACGCCGCCTCGCCGCGATAGTTCTTGTGAAGCCACAGCCGCTCCTGTGTCGTGTGCCTTGGGTTCTGTGAGGTCGGTGTCTTTGGAGGCATGAGTCTCTCGTTTGCAACATCACTATACAGCTGTGTCTTCACACCCTGCGATCCTGAAATCGAGACGATCTTTGGCAGAGGTCGCTTTGGAGGGCTATTGTGAGGCGGTGGATAGTCCACCACCACGACCTGTGGAAGATTCGCGGAGGTCGGCTGTTGGCTGATTTTCGATTGCATTTCAAGAGGGACAGGACTGAGCGGCCATTCGGGCTCGGTTTCCTCTTGCATATCATCAACCGACACAGCAGGAGCGCCCGCTGTCTTGTACTTCCTGCTGTTATCCACCGCTGACTGGCTCCTACGCAGGTGCTTGGGCTGCGAGTTCGGCCCCTTCGAGGAGCTCCGCGTGGGAAAGTGTCCTGAATGGCTAGGAGACTTTGTGTGCAGCACGGGTCGGCCGCCAGGGGACGACACCACGGAAATTGCATCTGGAGACAGTTGATCATAGTAGTAGCTGTCCGTGGGAGTCTTAAATGGCGCGGTCCGCGGGCCCGAAGCAATCGAGGTCGCTGGTGTCAGTGGAGAGGCGAGTGCCTCACGGGTGCGCAACGGCGGCGGTGGCTTGATGCTGAACTGGGATGACGATGCTGCTGATATTGACGACGCGGGTGATCGATCTCCGGGACGCTCATCCTCTGACTCCTGCGGTCGTTGGGGGAAGAAAGAAGCGTGGTATCCGGTGGTGGCGGAGAGGGGTGGGCTGAGGAGGGAAAAGCTGTCAACGCTCTGTTGCTGGTGGTGATGGTGTGTTCTACCGGGCGCCGGGCGCAGTGTGAAGGAAGCCGGGTTGGATTTCGACAGCGACTCGGTCGCCTCTGGCCCGTCCAGGGGCTTGTGGTGGCCAAGCGCGGCCGCGTCGGTGTTGCTCCTCGCGAGTCCGCCGGCGGGAGGTGCGGGAGGAGGCGGACCACCGGGCCATGCTGTTAGGCGGCGCTCGTCGAGAAAGTTTGGTGGGATTACGATGAGAGGGCTCTCCAGGCGGCCTCCGCCAAGGTGAATGATTTCTGAAGGTTCCTTGTTGACGGTGAGGGCAGGGCTGCAGTACAAGAAGAGACGAGGTCAGTCTTGAAATCCACCTTGTCTCGCGGGGTAGCAAAGGAAAGCAAATTGGACGGTTGTACCTGCTATTGGAGTTGCTGCTGCTGCTGGAGCTCCACTTCATCCAGTTGCGCAGACTCGGCTCGCGTGACAGTGGCATGGTTGCTGGTTTGAACGCAGTCGACACGACTCTCCCGAGGCGATGCGGAGCGAGAAAGAAACAGAATCAAAGACACAAGAAGAATGAATGAATGCAAAAGCCGCCCCGACCAGCGATGGCGTGGTTTGCGGCTGCTCGCGACAGAGGCCGGGAGAAGGTTGCAGTGCAGAACGGACGGCGCGCCGGGTCGTCAACCTCGTATTGGGGTCAGGGGCCGTGGGCGATGATCTGCACGCAGAGTGGGATCTGGCAGCGATGACGACGGACGGGGACGGCGGCGACAACCAGCACTGCGGCGACGACTGGGCAGAGCAACAAAGGAAAGGACTGACTGAGCACGGCGGCTTCAGGATGACGAGGAGGTGAGCAAGAGGAAGCAAAGGGACGACGCCGTGCTGTTATCACAAAGATCACATGGCTGGCCCCCGGCCGGCGCGTGCGACTTGCGTTCCCTTCCAGGCGGATTCTTTTTTTCCCCACCACCAGGCACAGGGGCGGACGGACCTGCATGAAGCGTAATAATGCAGTAGCGCTGTTCCCGCATGCGCATCGTGGGCCGGCCCAGGTTCGTTTCCCGGGCCAGGCATGGCCAACCAGGGGCGCCCAGGGTCGTGAATCCCAGCAGGGGCCTCCCTCCACCACGCCCCTGGGCGATGACGGGTCACCATCCCCCATGCTTCTGAGGGGAGCCTCTCCCGGCACAGTCGCAAGAATGGCCCTGCTGGTAGAGGGTTGTTTCAGCTGGCCACGCGGGCTGCCCAATATCTGACCAAGTACATGACATATGCGACTCTCCAGAGCAACGAAACAAAGGCAAACCAGCGCCACCTACCTTGATATGGACAATGGGGCCCGCGCCGGCGTGCTGTCAGCTTAGAAGCAGGCGGGCTAGCGCATGTAAGTACCGCCATTCTGGCTCCGAGACAGCCACCCTGGGCTGGTGATTGGCCCGGCGCGCCCAAGCCATCGGGGCGGCTCTTTTCCACTGAGATTGCACCGTCGTCCGTCACCCTCACAATGTCTCCACTCTGCTACGGTAACTCTGCAGATGTCCTGACTAGGGGAATGGATGTCCAAAAGTCTTCATGTGCTGGACCAACGTCATTCACAGCAGAGTCATGTCATGTTGCACGCAGACACGGCTTCCAAGCATCAGGCTGCGACACATTTCCTCACCATTGCTGGCACCTGACTCTACACCGTCACACAGGCACCCGACCGTGGGCACTCTTCATCGCGGCCACGAACAACATGCTTGCCTGCCGGGTCGTCCGCAAGCCTTACTATCATTGACTGGCAGAACGCACGCCTGTCGACACACTCTACTTGATGCAACTGGAATCACCACCGGGCTCGTCTGATGTGGCGTTGAGACCCGTCCTGGACGAGGTGTAGGCCAGGACCCCATGTGGGCTTGGCACTTTGTATGGAACGGCTAGAGGTGCAGACGCTTAGGGGCCCTTGTCAGCCAGCAGACGACCACGGCCGCCTGTAAGCACCTCTGCGCCTCCGATGATGATAATGATGATTGATCAATTACCCGAGCCAATGTCGCTGCATGGTGACGGGCCTGGCGTTGGGATTGCCCTATGACGGTTCCTGAAGCGTGAGTGCGTTGAGCGCAGGCCTAGGACCTTTTGCCGGAATTCCATGCTTGCTTGGCATCAGGAGGGTGGAGCTCCAGGAACCCAGGATATCTTGGTGCCATGTCAGCTTGCCATAATGGCAGGAATCGCACCGGGTGTGCCGCAGATGTTGATGATGCTTGAGGTCCACGAGTTGCAGTGCACGCGCAGGTTGAGCTGCTAACTAATTAGATTATTGACGGCGCCCGTTCCGGGGATGCGGAGCCGGCCGCCAGGCGCCTATCTCGGAGCTCTCCAGCCCGAGAGCCCCACAGTACGGCCACAGGCTTTCCTCCGGACCGCATCCCGCAACAACATCGTTCAATCTTTTGAACTTCAAAACGCCCTTTCACCTCTCTCTATTCGCTCCTCAACATCCATCCGCTGCTTGCACAGATATCCAAGGCAGAGTACTAGTGCTCTCACTTAATTGCACCCACACCACGCCATCCACACAACACCACCAGCAGCAGCACCAGCAGCACCAGCAGTTTCACACCGCAATGATTGTCCAAACAATCCCTATCCCGGCCTCGCGCACAATCTCCGTGTCACCACTGACGCGCGAGGCCTTTGCGCCCTTCGGCACGGCCATCGCAAACCCCCGCCCAGAGGCCCTCCCCTCAAACACGTCCCCGCAGTCCATCGCGGCCGGCTCCCTCCCTTATGGCGCCGTGTCCGCGAACCAGGGGTCCGCGATCCAGTACCGCGGCCTCGCGGCCATGCAGAACCTCTACAGCAGCAGCAGCAGCAGCACCCACGAGAAAAACGCGGCGACGGCGGCGGCCACGCCCCGGATGACCATGTTTGTGTGCGGCGCGCGCGACCTGGGCAGGGACAGCGTGTTCCGGGTCGGCGTCCTCGAGCGGCACCCCTTTACTTCGCAAACCTTCATCCCGCTCACGGCCGACGCGAGCAAGCGCTATCTCGTGATAGTAGCACCGACCCTGCCGGCGAGCAGCGAGGACACGGCCAACCTCCCCGCCCCGCCGGCGGCGGCAGAAGAACAGCAGCAGCAGCAGCAACAGCCGCGGTTACCCGGTCCCGGACTCCCCGACCTCACCCGGCTGGTCGCGTTCATCGCCACGGGCGAGCAGGCGGTCACCTACGCGGCGGGGACGTGGCATGCGCCCATGGTCGCGCTGGGCCCCGCCGGCAGCGCAATCGACTTCGTCGTGGTGCAGTTTGCAAACGACGTGCCCATCGAGGACTGCCAGGAGGTCGAGCTCAGCGGTGCCGGTGGCAGTGGCGATGAGGAGAGGAAGCTGGTGGTGCAGGTGCCCAGTCCGGGGAGGGGCGGGCTGGCGGCAAAGTTGTAGTTGGTAGTCCAGCACACGACGGTTTGCCAGCTGCTCGCGCGGCAAAAGGGAAACCGGTTTGAGGATGCAGAGCTCGGCCTCTCCGCAGTCAGTCATTGTTGTAGGAGGGCGTGTACATCTTCCGGGCGCGCACTTATACATATAGCATGTAGATTTAGGATATATACAAAGCGTCGGATCTTTTGGTTGGTGATTCTGCCACTTTGGTTTTGTACGATAATGCACGCTGCCGTGACATGAATTTGTCGAGCTTTAGCAAACGTTCTTCCGTTTTATGGCCCCCCATTTCTTCATCAAACACACACGCACACACCTCAATACACACATCTGTAATAGCACGAGCAGTATATACTCCACACGAAACGGCGGTAGCGGACCTTCAAATATCGCCCCCCCCCCCGCGCGGCACTGTCCAGCTATGGGATACAGCGGGCTAGTTCGCGAGTTTGATTACCCGTCGTAGTGATGCTGTGAGGTCTATGAAAGGGCCCACTGGATACAAACAAGGAGAAAGGAAAGCATTAAAAGGATCAGTCGAGATCCAAAATGGGATGGTCTGTCACTTCAGGCTAATTGCACGAATATTGTTACAATCGAGACATTCGGTATTATATCGTCATATCGTCGTTCATTAAATGTTTTATCTCTCTTTCATGGTTGCGAGGACTACCCAAACCCCCTCTCTGGACAACTTGGTGAACAGCATATATCGTACAAGGGCTGTATACCCATACGCAAACTGACCCTTGTCAATCTCTCAAGTCCTTCTCTAATCAACAATACTCCGCAACGCTGATGGAACTGCAATGCCTCTTTTTCTTTTTGATTTTCTTTCATGACACGGGACCTCTAGCGGCGATAAGCGGCATCCTTGGGAGGGCCGTCGAGGTTGTCCTTGCCCTGCCGGCCAATCTTGCTCAGGTCGACGTTGTCCGAGGCCTGGGGCTCGCGCAGACCCGCGGTCGAGGCGGGCCCGGTTGAAATGTCAGAAGTGACATCGCGGCCGCTGCCGACGTTGACGTTGCGGGCGTCGGCGCTCTGCCAGTCGGACGGAACAGGGGGCTGCTCGGGGAGGGGCAGGTTCTGGCGGACCTCGTCGACTTTCTGGGGATCGGCGGGCATGTTGGATGGCTTGGCTGGGTTGGGTGTGGTTGTGTCAGCGGAATGTCGTCACAGCAGACAAGGTATGCCCAGGCAGCGATCAAGACTCACTTGAATCTGAACTATAAAGGTAGGGTAGCTCTTGTCGTTCTTTCCTGGTGAATTGAATTGGCCAGCGTTGATTTTGGTATCGCTGTGTAGGCAGTTTTATGGTGTGTGTAGAGACGGAAACTTGACGTGAAGTGTTCAGGCCGGCAACAGCAAGTCGCCGTCCTTCATATATGTCACACTGCCATCATTGATTGTGCCTGCCAGCTCTGCCATGAGGCTCATGACAGTGCTGGACAGGAGTAGAATGTCCGCCCGGTGAGAGAATTTGACGTCAGATTGATGCTAGGCGTGACGTCAAAGTGCCAGTGAGATGTCGGGGCTTTCCGTCGAGGGTGGAGTGTGGATGCAGGCCGGGATGCACGGCGGTCAATCACCTCCTCGCCCGGTCCGTGGTGGATCCTCTACCGCATCAGCCAGCCGCGCCGCACACGACACATCTCCGGCCGTCACCCGACTTGGCTGGCCAAGGTTCTTGTCAGAGATGAGTTCACCGCTGGTAACCATGGCGAATACGACACGCCGAGATCTCGATCCATGAGCAGGCATGCGATAGTAGCACAATTGCAAATGCCCCAGCGACCTCATACACTAAGTATTTGCGGCAGCAGGCTGCGTTTCACGAGATGGCAGTTGACCTCCTTGGATCCACATTGGAGCTGGCATGCTCTTTGTCATTCAGGTATCTTTACAAAGATCAAGGCTTAATGCCACTATGAGAAACAGACGACACCTAACGCCTGCGAGTTTGCCCGCCATGATGCTCCCCATGGAGCAAAATCAATCATAAAATCGTGAGAGCCGATCAATCTATGTGCTCAGGCAACACGTTTGTCGGTTTCCGCCGACGTTGCCTTGTCACCCTCATCTGGGTTCAGATAGTTGGCATCCTCTGCTGCTTCATACTCAGCAATGAGGTCTCCAACGACTTCTCTCGCCTCGTCAAACTCATGCAAGTTCTCCGAGAACGGGTTAGTCTTCTTGTAAATCTCCATGAAGGCGTTGCGCTTCCGCATGCCATCATACTGTCGGACGATACGTTTGAAGAGCTTGAGAACATGTCAGTATCAACCATATACGCAACAAGTATCATGGAACTCACTGTGGCAATGCTAGTGTGGTTGGCCAGCATAAGCCCGCTGACACGATGGCTCATGGGGACATAGGGGCTGCGTTTTGTCAGGGCGACCTGAATGCTCGCTGGACCCCACGGGATGAAGGTCGCGAGTCGCCGTTCTCGGATGCGCAGAAGACTCTTGTGCACATCCGTAGGATCCACTTCGCCTTGGATGACATTGAGAATTGAGATGTAGCAACTCTTCTTGCCAGGCTGTGTAGACACCATTCGGTTCTTGGGCTGCAAAAGACGTCGCATCACATCGAGCACCGTCGTCTTGCGCACCGTCTTTGCCTGCTCAACCTGATCGCCCGTGAAAGGCGTGTAAGCGGTCATCAGGAAATGGCACCGCGGCGTGGGAATCAGCGAAGCCAAGATGCTGACGAGATCATTGTGCATGTAACCGGGATACCGCAATGTAGTCGTGCTTGCCGACATGACCGTGGAGACCAGCTGGTTCGTCTGCGAGAATGATGGTTCCTGTATATGTAGCCTGTCGGCTGCAATGTGATTGAGGGCTCCGTTGTCAAGAACAACTACCGAGTCGGCATTCTGCGTGAGCCGCCGCATGGAGAGAAGACTGTTGTAAGGGTGGACCACGATGTCACCAGAGTTTGTGGTGTCGGGAAAGACCGAATACGTCTGAATAATCTTCTTGGGGAAGCGATCATTCATCCGCTCAAGGAGAAACGAACCCAGACCTGAACCAGTACCACCTGCGATGGAGTGGAGAAGCATGAAGCCCTGTTCGACTCATATTAGCTGGGTCAATGGCAGGGGGAACTAGTTGATCGTCTTGCCTACCTCTAGGGAGTCACTGCCATCCGCCTCTCTGTCTATCATGTCCATGATCTCCTCGTGCACAGCCTCGCCAGTCTGGTAGCCATCACCCCAGTTGTTTCCGGCTCCTATGCCGCTCTTTCCAATGTAGAAGTTTTCTGGGTTGTAGATGTTCTTGTACTGGCTGCTTTGGATGCCGTTGATGACGCGAGGCTCGAGGTCGATCAAGATGGCCCGTGGGATATATCGCGTATCGTCACTTTGATAGAAGAAGACGTCCTTGCGGTCGCCGCCCTCTGTCGCAAAGTCCTCGAGATTGCCATTCTCGTTGATACCGTGCTCCTGGCACAGCTGTTGCCAGAACTGACTGCCGACTTGTGCGGGTCAGTATGTTTCCGCTGCTGGGTACAGCCTTGGGTCTCCGAATTGTAGAGCCTGTCGGATGGTGATTGCGATGTAGGGACACTTACTGCTGTTGCCGCACTGGCCGGCCTGGATGGTTATGATTTCTCTGTTGTCGGCGCATCAGCTTGGATCATCTCACATTGCCAGGAGAGCTTACCTTGGCATCTTTGCGCACTTGCTTGTGTGCGGCGGTCACGGGTTTGGGGTTTGCAGCTCGGCGAAGCTGCCGTTGAGATGTGGAGGGGAGACGAGCTTGACGCGCCTGACGCACCACAGCTCTGGACTTGCGGTGCGCGGGGCAATCACCAAACAATTTAAATGGGGCCACATGCAACCCTCCTGGCCGTGGTCATTCAAACATAACCAGAGGCACGACGGTCCTACACATTCTCGACAAAGTGCCCGAAAGGTTGCGCCTCGCTTCGAGCTCCAGCTGGATTGTATTTCACATATCATTGAATGTCCACAGCACCCAAAGCGAACATCGTCAAGCATGAGGATTAGATCAACAATATACAAAGGCCAAGCGTTGTCCTTCAAGCTCAGCAACCAGATCACTTCTAGGCAGGCAGGACTACCTGGGTCGGGGCTTTCTGCACCAAAGCGCTTAGTGTCTGAAGCGCAGCCATGGTAGCTCAGGGGACCCTGACTCTGAAGGTCGCCCAAAGACGCACGAGTATTGTGCCATGATGTCAGGGGCAGCCACACGACCGCTTCCCCTTCCTGACAGGTGGGTGACGAGCACTCCAAACGTCTGAGCCGCCTCCTGACGACCAGGCTGGCAAACCCAGCTGAATGCCTGCAAGTTTTAGCCCTGTCTTGGCTGCGCTTAGCCATGAGACTTCTCGAAGGAACCATCAGCAGTTCAAGCGATGACTGTCCAGTTGTTCAGACATTCGTGGAGGCGATGATTATCATCTCGGTCTGCTTCACTATATTGCAGTTGGCAACGGGGTCTTCTGCAGATCTCTCGCAAAGCAAACCTATCATTGGTCCCCTGGCGCTGTCAGAGTGCATTCGTGAACGTTCTCCACGAACCCCTGAATCGCCCGGAGAAGCAGCCCACTCAACTGGGGTCGCTCAGGCATTCCAAGATCCCATGGTCCTCTACTAGGTGCCGCGCCGGCCACAACCTGCCCGTTGATCCCGGATTTGATACTTGAAGCATCTTGCTTGCGCGCTCGGACACAGACCGTGTCCTCCGTTGCTACCCAAGCAAGGTCTTCTTCGTACGTGTTAGACACACACAGTCGTAGTCTTGTGCCCTACCAGGGCATCTTTGATCAGTCCAGCTTCGGATCCATCACGGATGTCACTTACGCTCGCACGCTATACCCGACTCCGAGTTCGCATGATTGATCATTAACCTGGCTGTGGACGAGCCAAGACGTGCTTCTTGGCCATACGTTCACCTGCCACCAGCATTCCCCCAAAAACGGAGGCACGGACGACTCAGTTGATCGTCTCGGTTCACCCGTTAGCTCGGACCCGATCCAGGGATCCTGAGCCACAATAACGCCAAAAGGAACCCACCAGCCGGGCATGAAAGACCCTTAAGCACTTCCTGCGATCGCTCTCCCACGCGTCCTTGTCTCCTGGGTCTCTTCCACAATTTTTTTTTTTTTTTTTTTTTTTGGAGGACGAAACCTATCGAGCTCCTGCACGACATAACACGAGAAGCTCACAAGAGACAAAGTCCCCACGTCTGCATTTCGGATTGGACAAGCCAGGAAACCAGCGATTTTCCCACCATCAGCAGCATGCGATAAAGCGGGGGTGCTTATATCATTATGCAGAAATCCAGCTTAGCCTCCAACCAGAGCGCGCCTCCTTTCTTCACGACGCCGATATGGGGAGGGAGCGGCAACGACGGCGGGAGCAAGGAAGAGGGCCGTAAACACACAAAAACAGGCTCAACCGCGAGTGCCAGCAAGACACGGCCCGGCACAAGCTCGGGAGGTACCGACCCGCTCACGGCGCCCGACAATAAGGAGCGCGAGCGCAAGCATTCATTTGTGCGCAAGCCGTCCTTCAATTCCCATGACAGAGGGAGGCGCCGCTCATCCAATGGAGGCCTTGGCTCTGTAGGCGAAACGATCAAGACCGACCCTTCGATCCCGCCAGCCATCCCCGACTTCCTGGCCAATTCAAGAGCGACCAAGAACGACCTAGACTTTCCGCCGCCCCCGCCGACGCCGACAACCCTCATCGACTCGTTTACCTTCTCGAGGTCCTCCAGCCGGGCGACCCCATCAGCTAGCACGGCCAACATGACGAGCTATTACCCATTCACAGCTGCGTCGCCGCCAGTAAACGGTGTGCCGGCGCAGATGCAATTACCACCAATAGAAGGATCATCATCCATGGTCCACACGCATATTTTTGAAATGTCAAATAAGAGGATATCGACGTTAGAATACTTGCGCAAATCGTACGCCACCCAGTTCTTTGTTCTACTCCGGTCTTGTTGTCTTCCAAGTTATAAAAGTCCGCCATGCTGACATATGCAACTCGCAGGCATGAAGGGCGGTTGTTCTGGTTTAACACGCTCATGTTCGACAAGCCCGATCTCGCACGCATGCCGTACTACGACAGCCGCAGGCTGGCTCGTCGGGCAATGAACTACCTTCTCCTGGGGCTCTCCTTGCCCATCGTCATCGACCTCAGCTCCTCGACCGCCCTCGAGTTCCTGCGCTCCCTCAACACCCTCCTCACCGAGTTCGAATCCTACCAGCAGATACACACCGAGAACGGCATAAACTCGAGCTCCTTCTCACGCGGCAAGTTCCCGCAAATGTTCCGCCGAGGCGCCGGCGGCAAAGGCCGCCGGACATCTGCAGCAGGAGATCTGGGTTACATCGTGGACGCGGGCCCGGGCAGCAGCACGGCGACTAACGGCGCGGCCGTCAACGCGCCGACGAGCGTCATCAACTTTGGCCTCGGCGGGGAGGGCAACGACCTGCTCCCCGGCGAGGAGTACACACACCTGCTGACGCCCAACCTGCCGTTTGAGCCGGACTTCTTCGAGACCTTTGCGACGCTGTGCGACGTGCTGATTGACTGCTACACCCGCCTTATGAGCCTCGTGCCGAACCCGAAGGACTGCACGCCCGCGGTGGCCGAGCTGTTCGCCAAGGCGGACAGCCGCGTGCGCAAGATCATCGTGCAGGGCGTCGTTAAGGAGTTTGAGACGACGAGCAGGGCCATGCTCAAACAGGAGGTGGAGAATGTGGGCAAGGTAGTCCTTGGAGGGTTGATGTGAGAGAGAGCCAGGATGAGCGAGTCCGTCCGTCCAGCTTTTGTTATTTTGCACTTTGGGCGGCGTTGACAGGCGCAGCGTGGGTTTGGTCTGGGTTGGAATGGAGACTGCCGGGTTTGCTTTGCAGAGATACCTTGCTACACAGGCACAATAAGATGCATTCGCGCTATAATGTCCTTACGAACAAATACGTGGTGGCTCGTTATACAATCATGCCCAGCACACACGAATAAAGCTATCATGCTATAAACTAGAAGGGACTCCTGCCTCAAAAGGCAAAAGTAGGTTTGGAAAATGTTCATCAGATACCATAACGCATTTTTTGTCAACAATGGCTGTAACCACGGTGGGCCGCCTCTGTGCTTGACTCTATAAATGGTCTCATCACCTGAACATCTCATCATCCCCCGACCAACCGCCAAGATACTGAATTGCCATGCTCAAAGGAGCATACAAACCTTTTGTAGGCGGAGCCAAAGCCGGTACGGCGTCGACACCAGTCGGGCTCGAGCTCGACGAAGACAAAAGAGTTGGTCGAGCTTTCGACAGATCGAAATCTCGTAAAGAGTGTGAAATGTTTTGTCTCCGAAGATGCTCGAAGCACGACTGGCAAGTCAGCCTGTCCAGCGAGAAGCGCACGCTCGTGTGTTCTCTCTTCTCCCAAATAAAGAAGAAAAGGATAAAAAGGGCGACGAACCCCCTCGCACCAAGAATAAGCCCCATCGAGTAACCACCAGATCTTTTTGACGGACCCGGCAGCAATCGCATAACTGTAGATCTCGACGAAAATCCAAGGAATTCGTCGTCGCGACCCATCCTGAGCGCTCCAGAGCCGTCTCAACAAGCCAAACCCTGTGAAAGATCCGCGCGCCCGCGACAAGCCATCGACGCACCGCCTCAACGCCACAAGATTGGAAGACACGCCATGTGTTCCCCTTCTACGGACCGAACCCGGACACCAAGGAGCGCGGACTCGTATCTTCGTCCATGTTGGTCTCCTCGGGTGCCAAGGTAAGGTGCAAAAAGAGGGAACAGCGTGAGATCCGAAGGGCAGAGAGGGTAGGCAGCGAAGATTGTAACGACAAGACGGGAGCAAGAAGCTGAAGAGAGGAATAGAACAGATGGGGGGACGTGAACCGCTATGCTTCTATGGCGGCGCGTTTCCGCATGAAACACCCCTTCACACCGAGATGTGAAGGTGCGTCCTTGTGTGTCCGGGGACTTTCTCCCAAAGCGATTGTGAATTGAACAGGTGAGCCGCGAGGCTCGAGAGACAGAGGCGACCGCGAGGGCACGCTTGTCTCTCTGTATGCTGCTTCGACTGCGATTTGTTGGGCGAGGGGGTTGTGGGAAGAAAGAGAGAAGAGAACTTCCATCCTTTGCATCATGCCTGGCGTTTTGAAGCGCGTGGAATTTTTAGGTGGGGCGTACGTTTCTGCCAGGCGGTGGACGAGCACCCACGCCGAGAGAAGCTGGCCCTGCTCCAGTGGGAGATGCCAGGCGGATCCGAACTCATTTCTTGGGCACAGCAAATACCGTCCACGACTTCTCCAAGCGTTGTCTCGACCATGCAAAAGCGACATGCTGAATCTTTTTGAAGATATATATGCAGAAAAATGACGATATCGCTCGTAGATGCAAATTAACACCAGCTCAGTCCAGCTCCCCCGTATAATTCCTGTGCTCATCCTTCCATCCGATCAACGGCCAGCCCTTGGGCAACTGGGAGTACGGAGGCAAGGTGTATCTCCCGTCACACGCCGAGTCCGTACAGGTGCTGTTACAGTGGCCAAATACTTTGCAATAGCATGTCGCAGCGGAAGGGCAGAAGACGGCGTCTTTGCCGAATAGTACTGCAGGGTTGGCGAGGGAACGTCAATGTCTCGCTGCTTACAATGTCATGGCAGGTTGGACCACTTACTGTGCCACAAAAACTCCAGTACTCTTCCACTCAAGTCGTCGGTGAGCGGCGTCTTCAACAGCCAGTCCCGGAAATGCTCGTAATCTGAACGGGGCCGCGTCTGGAGCGTCTGTCGCGTGACGGCGAATTGCGAGCAACAGCTCACAGCGACAAGTTCGGGCACTTGCGTGCCTGGTAGCAGCTCCTCGAACGCCTGCTTGTAGACGCCCTTAGCCGAGGGAGTCTTGCTGCCCTCGTCTTTGTGTCCTGCGTCCTGGAACGGATGGATCTCATAAGGGCAGCCGATGACCCAGACGCACCGCAAATTGACATAGCCAGACTCGGCGACATAGTCGAGCTGCAGGTTGCGGAGCGTCGGGACGGCGTCGTAGTCAGGGTCGTCGTTGTGCCAGGCGAACCGCGAGGCGTGGATGAAGACGACGTTCTCTGGCAAGTCGTCGTAGTTATCGATGATATACGTCAGGTATACCATAGCCTCGCGGCCTTTGTTCTTGGGCACGGTAAGCGTAGCATGCTTGTTGTTGACGACGTAGATCTGCGGGTGCCAGTCGGGAAAGTGCTTCGTGACCCATGCAGTATCCTCCGCCTTGGTGCTCGCGACGACGAGCTCGACCTTGTGCGATCCGTGATCGACGGGGACGTCAGGCGACGAGGCTGGATCCGGGACCAGCTTGTCGCCAAAGATATGCTCGCGCAAGCTCAGATAGTCCTGTGATTGATTCAGGTACAGAAGTCCCAGGAGGACAAGGCCCAGGGTGACGGAAAGGGCAATGCGCCACTGGAGGCGGTTCGCCAGCATGGTCACGATGGTGAGACAAGCGAAGAAGTCATTGCCCAGGAAGTTTCAGTGCATGAGGTCAGGCAATGACGGACGACTGTTTGCCGACGACGCCTAGCATCTGTGCCACCATGAAAAGTTGTGCCTGAAAAGAAAGGCTTCGTATTCCTCACGTTGGCTCGAAACGAGCCGCCGCCCCTTTCCCTGCAGGTCGATCCATAAGCCACCACGTCGAATAAAGCTTAGACTGTCAGCTGCAGGGTCGCGACGTGGCGAGGACCGGAACAGATCCGCGAAGAAAAAGTCGCTAGAGACTCGTATGCACGTGGCAGCGATGCAGTGCTCAAGCTGCTGGAGGTGTGACGAAACGCGCTTTCATGAATCCCTATTCATTCACCCCGGCCTGGCAATTCTGTTCCTTGTGGTCACTGCAACGAGGCATGCTCGCTCAGAGGCTGCTGCGCCTTGGCTCCAAGGTCAGAAGGGCCGGGTCGACCAGGACCCTGGCCGCCGTGCGTCAGTGCTGACCCCCATGCTGTCGGCCAATCGCCGTGGGGTCCTTAACATACCTCCCCGACACTACTCCCCCATGAAGATAGTTGCAGAAGCTCACAATCATCCACGTCGCAGAGTCTCCATACAGGCCGATCGCGGATTCGAGACTTCGAGTCATCTTGTATCCAGAGCTCAGTTGTGACTTCCATCCGGCTCTTTGCACTGTCAGCCCGGCTGCTCCAAGGCCAATAAGCGGTGGGCATCCCATCAACACGGAAAGCGTCTGCTCGAGTTGACTCATGTAGTTTTCGGCTGGGCTCGTCATTACACAGGGGTAGAGGAGTGTCGAGCGTGTCGGTGGCTTGCTTTTACTCGGTCAGATACTGGATGACATCCATATCCACGTAGTTCGCTCCACTGGCCTGCAAGAGGAAAGCGTGATAAGATCTCAAGGTGCATCGGCGCCATTAGTAAACAGTCCACAGAGCTTGCAGCAACTCTCTGCGCAGACTAGTTCACCATGACCAGTTCGGTCTATCTCTACCGCATGTGCCTGTGCTCAGGCGGGTCATCACGCTCTGTACTTGCGAGGCAACTCTCTCGACTATCAATGAACAACGCCACAGTCAAAGTATGTTTCGGCCTCGACTTTAAAGTGAATATTCTTGGCATTCGTCCCATTGTTTTCCCCTGCTGTCAACCACTGCAAGTGACTCGGTAAGCTGGCGCGGGCGGCCTGGCGAGGCTGGGCAGTCTGGACCCACCACAACAGAACAGCCAATCATGGTCAGCTCCAAAATCCAGGCCCCAGGCGCCAGAGCTAGGTAGCAAGTCCAAATAAATCTACGTGATCGCACGCATCGAGCTTTCATCATACCGAGAGCCCAGCAGAAAGCTCACCACAACACTGTCCGAGCTGACCTCAGACGAACTGAAGCCGCCTGTTCCGTCTCAACACTCTGGCGCGACGAAGAGGCGACGCTTGACCGAACGGAACGCGCCCGAGCCTTGCGCCTTCCCAACGCGCGACCAGTTCGTTTCACGACAGCTCGGCTTCGGAGCGACGACGGCTACTCCTCTTGGACACAACTCGACTATTTGAACTCTGAAAACTTCCAAGCGAAGCCGAAGCCATCAAGATGTCTGGTCTCTTCGGTTCCAGCAGTTCTGCCGCGGCAACCTCGACCGTTGGCGACCTGAAGAACGATGTCCCCGTCAACGACCCTCCTTCAGACACGGTGACGGACCTGGCCTTCGGTACCGAGAAGAATCTCTTGGCAGTATCCAGCTGGGACAAGAAGGTCCGCATCTACGAGATTAACGCTCAAGGCCAGAGCCAAGGCCGACACGTCTACGAACACACAGATCCGGTCTTCAGTGTCGATTTTTCCAAGGTATGTAACGGCCAACGCGTTGCCCTCGCTTGCATACGTATCCCACGGATGTGATGTGCTAATTGCCGAATTGCTACAGGACGGCACGAAGATTGTCTCAGCCGGCGCCGACAAGCAGGCCAAGTGCCTCGACATCACCACCGGCCAGACAGCTCAGGTCGCTGCCCACGATCAGACGATCAAGTCCGCCAAGTTTTTCGACTCGCCGAACTCGAACGGGCCGATGTTGGTGACTGGATCATGGGATAAGACTGTCAAGTACTGGGATCTGCGCACTTCCAACCCAGTCGGAACAGTACAATGCCAGGAGCGCGTATACTCCATGGACGTCCGCAACAGCCTGCTCGTCATTGGTACTGCCGACAGATATATCAACGTGGTCAACCTTGCAGATCCTCTCAAATTCTACAAGACGCTCCAGAGTCCTCTGAAGTGGCAGACACGAGTGGTGAGCTGTTTCACCGACTCGACCGGTTTTGCCATTGGCAGTATCGAGGGTCGTTGTGCTATCCAGTACGTGGAGGACAAGGACGCAGGGTAAGTAAATTGACTAGCTGGCGACTCCCGCTTTGGTGGTATACCCTTGACTAACGCCAAGACAGATCCAACTTCTCCTTCAAGTGCCACCGAGATCCTGCTCAAGGCAACACGACCCAGGTCTATGCGGTCAATGATATTTCGTTCCACCCCGAGCACGGCACATTCAGCACAGCTGGTAGCGATGGCACTTTCCACTTCTGGGACAAGGATGCCAAACACCGGCTCAAGGGGTATCCAACAGTGGGTGGTTCGATCACTGCCACCACTTTCAACACGAACGGGTCCATCTTTGCCTATGCGGTCGGATATGACTGGAGCAAAGGCTTCAATGGCAACAACGCCAGCTACCCCAACAAGGTCATGCTGCATCCAGTACAAGGCGATGAGTGCAAGCCCAGACCGAACAACAAGAAGAGGTAGAGGCCAATGCATAGTGGAAGAACATGCTGCAAGCAACTTGGTAGATCGGTGGTCACGCATAAAGCTTGCGTGGTTCTCATTTGCCTGGCACGCCGACACGCACAAATACGACGGAAATAACCTTTGTGGGCAGTTGCCATTCGAGAACCTGCGTCACAGAGTTTCTCAGCCAGAAGGAAGCAGGGAAAGCGCGTGCATCGTGTAACAGAAGTTTGGGCGTCTGGGTGCTTTATAATTGCCTTGATTTCGAGATGTTGGAGAAAGGATTGTAATTTAGCATAGCTGATCGTACCGTCAGGTACTTCTCGCTTGGTGGCATGGACGATCGCATCCATCAAGGATTCTGATACCAATCAAAACCCAGTAGTTAGGAACAAAATACAAATAGGCTAGATAACGACTTTCAAAAGTGCTATTGTGCTTGGATCTATTTCAGTTTCTGGTCATGTGCATGTAAAAAATCCTAGAGAGCTGCCACGGAGCAGACGCTTGACAGCCTGATGAACCTCGCGGTATAATACGAAGCAGCGTTCTCAGCCACTGAACCACTGTAAGTCCAGATAGACAGACACGGTCATTCTGCCAAAAGTGCTCGGAAAAACTGACCATTGATCCGATGCATGATTAGTTCATAACAACGGGTAAGTGCATGCATGTGTGTGCGACCCACGCCCTTGCTATGACATCGTAAGAGCCTCCCTCAAAAAAGTTGGTGGGGTCGGGGCTTTTGCTTTCGACATAAAGGCCACAACCACCACCATTCATCATGGCGGCCACAGTACCAACCGAGGAGCTTAAGAAGCTCGAAGGTAAGTAGTCTTCTTTTTGTATTACCCCAGTGCGATAGCTGCATCGCAACTCTCTGCCTCTCTAGTCTGCCACTTTCGCTGACCAGGACTCCCCCGCATCGCATACAGTCGGCACAAACGGAGCAGCCGACAAGCCCATCAACGGCAAGACCGACGCCGCCGAGAATTCCGGTGACGACTCTGACGACGATGGCGAGCCGGTAGACGGCGCCCCCGCGGCGGCGAAGAAGAAGAAGAACAAGAAGAGAAAGCCCAAGAAGAAGAAGAAGGCTCCGACGGCACAGACGGACCCGCCGAGCGTCCTGATTTCGACACTGTTCCCGAACAAGAGCTACCCTCATGGCGAGGAGGTCGAATACAAGGATGAGAACCTCTACAGAACCACCGACGAGGAGAAGCGGCATCTGGACAATCTCAACATGGACTTCCTCACAGACTACCGCGAGGCGGCCGAGACTCATCGCCAAGTGCGCCAGTGGGCGCAGAAGAACATCAAGCCCGGCCAGTCGCTTACCGAAATCGCCGAGGGCATTGAGGACAGCGTGCGACGGCTGGTCGGCCACGACGGTCTGGAAGAAGGAGACTGCCTGAAGGCCGGTATGGGTTTCCCCACGGGTGTTAACCTCGACCACATCGCGGCACACTTCTCGCCCAATGCCGGCAACAAGACGATCCTGCAGCAGAACAACGTCATCAAGATCGACATCGGCGTTCACGTCAACGGCAAGATTGTCGACAGCGCCTTCACGATGGCTTGGGATCCCAAGTACGACAATCTGCTCGCGGCCGTCAAGGACGCGACCAACACGGGCGTCAAGCATGCAGGCATCGACCAGCGCCTCGGCGAGCTCGGCGAGTACATCCAGGAGGCCATGGAGAGCTACGAATGCGAGATTGATGGCACCACATACCCGATCAAGTCGATCCGCAACCTGTCTGGCCACACGATCCTGCCGTACAGCATCCACGGCACCAAGAGCGTGCCGATTGTCAAGAGCAACGACCAGACCAAGATGGAGGAGGGCGACGTCTTCGCCATCGAGACCTTTGGCAGTACCGGAAACGGCTATGTCCACGACCAGGGCGAGGTGTCGCACTATGCTCTGCGTGACGATGCGCCTAAGGTGGATCTGCGGCTCGCCTCGGCCAAGAACATTCTCAATGCCATCAAGAAGAACTTTGGCACGCTCCCGTGGTGTCGGCGATACCTGGACAGATTGGGTCACGACAAGTACCTGCTGGGTGTAGGTGAAGCGATCGACTAATCACAGCGATTTATGTATTGCAGATCTAACATTATTCGCTATAGCTCAACTCGTTGGTTCAGGCCGGCATTGTCGAAGACTACCCTCCATTGGTGGACAAGAAGGGATCATACTCCGCACAGTTCGAGCACGTAAGTTGAGGCGTCTACTCTCGAGACCTTGATTGATGTAAAGCTGACTGAAAACTATCCAGACAATTCTCCTCCGCCCGACATGCAAGGAGGTTATCAGCCGTGGCGACGACTACTAGGGCAGGGAATGATATTGATGTACTGCACGTCACAAAAATCTGGAAGCGTATCTCGATCGTGGATATGGAATAAGTTTAAAAAAAAAAAAAAGAAACCTCATAAGTTACATACAGGGTCACAGAATGGCAGGGACAATGAACAAAAATACCCGATATTTCGGCTCATGCGACGTATTGTGTACAGGTTATCATCACAACTCGACCCACGGATTGTTACTCGGCGGTTGGCATTCGCAGAAAAGGACTGCTGCTGTAACCGTCTTGCCAATATTATTAGCGGCAACGTGACGGTGGTCGTCCGAGCAGTCGTTCATTTTTCCTAGCCAGCCAAGAGTGCCCGCATAATATTTGAGTACTTGTCTGAGGTGGGACAGTGATAGGGCGGCGATTACACAATATGCAGCCCGACAGCCTACGATGTTCAGTAAGCCCAGTTCGGAACTACTAATAACAGGCACAGTCTGAGCTGCCGGGCATGCGGAAGGGAAAAGCTTTCCAGCTTGGCCGCAGCCACTACGAGCAGGTACTAAGGCTGGCCCGGCTTAGGGGGAGACCCCAAAAGCGCGAGTAGTTGGGCGAGCTAAGGATATAGTACGCCATTGTCCTTCTTCGTTGCCGCACTAGACTTCCCCGGTCCTACGGATGGTTTTTCACGATGCGTTTCAGCATTTCCCATCGGCTGCTTACGGGATGAAAGTCTGCCTGACTACGTTAACGTAGTTTCGAAGTAGGGAGCTGGGCTTCGTTCACCCCAACCTCGGACCACAGGTTTCGTGAAGCTGATACTGCTCACAAAATACTCTCTAGCAACAGATTACGGTCTTTGGGTTGAGTAGAGTAGTAAGCCTCCCACATAGCATAGCATGCAAGCTGCAGTCGTTCCAAGATGTGGTCTCCACGGCCGACTGACCAGTCTTGCCTGGGAACATCACTCATTGTAACCTCATCATCGACGTAAACGATGAGAGCAGACCAAGCCACAAGACATCATACAGTGCTGATCAGGGTCCTCTGCTCCCCTCGTCGTCTCCGCATATCTCGATGATTCTCTGAACGAATGGGAAGCTATCCGTTGCTCTCCGCATGAACATGAGAGGCTGATCGCTGTGTTGGGCGGAGTTTGGTGATGTCGAGGTCCACAGTCGAGCTGAAAAGTGGAGCCCCGGGTAGCCCTGCCCATAGCCAATCAGAACGACTCCATTATTCCGAGTAATTCTCTCGAGGTCGATATGACGCTATGCCTGTTGTGGGTGGCGCAGCATGATGCAAGCAGGCCGAGGCGGTGGCCAATTCCATGGCTCATGCTGTACTCATCTTCCCAGCGGCCATGGGCAGCTTATTCTGTATCAAGCTTAGCAGCACATCAACCCACCCGAGATCCGCCGGTGGGTGTTAGTGCTTGCGGCCTGGCCGCCCGCGAGATAATCTGCAGTCGATCCGAAGGCGGAGAGCGCGAGGATCTGGACGTGTGCTGTTGCATGAATGGGGACTTTCCTCTCTCGATAATTGGCTATTGCCACAAGATGCTCGAGATTCAGACGTCCAAGGAGCCTCGGCAGCGCGTGGTTCGTGATCGGCCCCAGCTCTTGGATTGTTTTGACGTGTTTCCGGAGTCTCTGGTGGTGGTGGCCGTGGTCATGCAAGCATCAGGCACCTTCCCTGCCGCTCGCCACCACGACGCCTTGTGCCAAGTGACGTTGACCTTGCCCGAGGTCACCTGGCGGACAACGTAGCGAGCACCCCGTGAGATGTTTCGCCCAGATTCGTGAGCAGAATCAGCATGCCCCGTAGCTGGAACTCAGCAACTGTTTTCGTCGGGTTGTGCACACGCGACCAGCACCGGCCGCGAGCCGGACGGCGGCGTGTGTCGAAAACACGAAACCTTGACCGAGCCGCGGGACGCCTCTGGGCTAGAGCCGGGAGGGCCCCCCCCACACCTGCCATCACAAGGAAAATCGCTCGCTAGCGGGCGCGCCCACTCACCGCCATTGGCTGGCACCCCCGACCAGATTCCCAGGAGTCCCATCCACAGCAGCCCAGCCGGTTCCGCACGGCCGCAGATTTTTTGCCTCAGGCCCAGCCGCCGCCCCTAACCAGCCCAGAGCCTCCCTGGGCCGGGCCACCGCCAGCATTCCCATTAAAGATTACTCCTCCGCACCCAGCACCGCCATTTGTCCCGTCCTCCTCCCATCAAGACATAAACAAGCTCAACAACCATAGAAGAGGACTCCGCCCCCAACGATCTACCGGAACTCCTATAACACACTCTTTCTCTGTTCGGCACGAATAGACCACCACTGCGACACACCAGAAATCAACCCATACGAAACACCCAACGCGACTCCCGCACGCGACTTTTTGCACAGCACAAGGAAAACTAGAGGAGGAAACCCACAAGCCCCACCAAAATGAAGGTCTTTTCCAACTCCTGCACGTTCAACTACTCCTGGGAGGAGGTCTCGACCGCCAACTGGCGCAAGTACTGCCCATGGAACGACAAGAGCCCTCACGTCATTGCCGTCGACACCATCGCTCGTGAGGTCGACCCAGCCACCGGCATCCTCCGCACAGAGCGCCTCATTACCTGCAAGCAGGCCGCCCCGGACTGGCTCAAGTCCTTCTTCGGCGGCATGGACACCAGCCAGGTCGTCGAGACTTCCTACGTCGACCCGGCCTCCAAGACTGTCACCATGGTCTCTCAGAACATCACCTGGTCCAACCTCGTCCAGGTCCAGGAGACTGTCATCTACAAGCCCCTCACCGCTGGCGTCACTCAGTTCGAGCAGTCCGCTCGCATAACCGCCCTCTGTGGTGGCTGGCAGCGTATCAAGAACAGTATCGAGGACCAGCTCGTCACCCGCTTCCGTGAGAACGCTCTCAAGGGCAAGGAGGGTTTCGAGTGTGTCCTCGAGATGAGCCGCCGCGTCTTTGCCGAGGAGCGCGAGAAGGAGCGTCTGCAGGCCAAGATCTGAGTTGATTTAGCATGAGCAACTCGTTTCTGCTGCCTTCGACTTCCACATCGCCAACCACCGACCCACACACTACTCAACATCATCACATCTCCGCTTAACGACGCTTGTACGAACAAACGAGCAAACGAACTCCCTCCTCAAAAACGGTGGCCGTATAGACGACGATGACGAGAGCATTTCTTGATATTTCCACATAGCGGGCGTTTCAAACTATAAACAAAAGTCGACTTCTTTTTGGGGATTTTGGGCCGCCCTTGATTTTCAGCATCACGAATTTCAAGGTTCAGGCACAAGGCGTTTTACGGATCTGGATTTTTACATTTGCCTTTCCACACATACCCCGATGGCAGTCTTCAACGACTAGCACCCAGCAGCTCCGTCCCTGCATCTGCTGGTTGGCTGGGTCTGCCGTCTCGATGCAATTTGCATAGCGAGCTACGACGTCTTTTGCCATAAAAAAGACAAGGACACAAAGCTAGAGCGGGCTGAGCACTCTGAGGCTCAGTGATAGATTTAGACTAGAAACCCTGGGCACCAGCGGTAGAATAATAGTCCTATATCTTTGACTATTTCAACCTATACTCACAAGTATCTTCATTACCGTGATTGAAGTTTCCTGTATGTTGCCATTCTCACACTAGTCTCCTCCACCAACATGATCGCCGAGGTCAATTAGACATATGATCCTGGTTGAATGACTCACAGCACTATGTAGAAACGACCCCAGCCTTTGAGAAACATTCTCCGCATGAAACACCGCCAATCCGCAGCTATGCGTTGGCAAGCACATGCGCCAAACATCCCGGCTAGCGCGTTTACCTGGACCGCCTGTTTCATGCTTACTTCCTTTACCGTCGCCTCCTTTCCCCCCGGCAGGCCAGTCCCGGTCAATAACTTTTGATGCATATCAACAACAACAACAACCGCCTCACACCGCTCAAAGGGGGGGAAGGGAAACGAGACAGCATGCCCGTGCGAGCATACCGGTATGCGAGTGATCGAGCAAGCAAGCAAGCATATCCTCGTTCACCCCACGCCTCAGATGGCTGCAGCCGGGATAATCACATGCCAGGGAAGGGTTTTTTTGGAAGCCGGAAGTACAAAGCCTTGGGTGGCGGGCCGCGTATGCGCAAGTGCTGTCCAAGGTAACATGATACTTTGGTCTGAAGCATTGACAGTACTGCTGTGCCGAGACCTCAGAGTAGTCGTTGACGACTGAAGAATTACACTTTGCATAGGTTACCGCTTCAGCTATGCGATAGGGAATTGGGCGGTACTTAATACTTGCTCTGACTCTCTCAAGTCACTTGGAAGAAACGTCTCGTACCCCTCCTCTTTGTCCTTTCCTGTACCTGTGAGGCTTGATACCGTGACCTTGGTCTCACACTTGCCTCTGCTTTCCTTCCCTATTCCTCCTCCTTTGGCAGGGAACGCCGTGGTCCCGCTTGTCCCCGGCCGGCTCCAGCTAGGAAGCCCTACTCCTCTCTTCGCATCGCCTCTGATAGTACCGCAGCGTCTTGCGTGTATCCTCGTCCAGCAGCCCGCTGGTGCTCCCGCCCAGGGATCCGTTCTCTGTGCCATGCAAAATGGACGTGTCGTCGTCGCTCTCATCAAAGATCCGCCGCACAAAGGCTGCCCCCTCGTCGTATCGCCTCAGGAAGTAGAGTTCCTCGACAGCGTGGAGGAGGGCTTGGGCCTGTGGTTTTGAGACGAGCTGCTGCTGCTGCTGAGAGGGGTTTGCAGAGGACAGCGGGAGCGGAATTTGCTTGTAGAACTAGATCGGCTGCTGGGTCAGTATGATCATATCGCCATGTATGTTTTTCGCAAGGGCTTGAACGCCGGTATCTGTATTGCCATAACCGCTGCACCATGAATGTATTACGCCGATAAATCACAAAGCAGAGGGGCCCTGGGGATGCTCCTACGAAGCAAAGACACACTAGGTACAATATGATGGCCAGAATCGCCGATGCTCGATTCACTTACCTCGCCGGTTTCGACCTTTACTCTGTAAGCTTTCCTCACGTGTTGAAACTGCTCCTCCGTCTGGCCTGTGCGGTCTGCCTTGGCATCGTCCTGCGCATTGCCGGTGGCTGTGTTGTCCTCGTCATCTGAGGAGAGTTGTATGGCGAAGAGGCCTGATTCTACTTCTGTGTCGTCCATATTTTCCCAGCCCCCCCTGCTGTTGATTAATGCCTTTCGTCGGGGTGATTGGCGGAGTCTCGACAATGTGATCGGGCCCGACAAGCTTATGAATGTGACTTGCAGTAGATATCGCGCCCTAGCTGATTCACTGTGGAATGAAAGCTGCAAGGTGGATTATGGTAAAACGGGTGGTGCTGTGACATCAGAAAGAAGGGTCTTTTGCGTGCCGATCTCAGGAGCTGCAGGTTTGGAGATGTGGGGGTGGTAAGTTGAGAGGGGAATGGCTAGTGTACGTACCCAACCCAATTTCCAACATACTCGAAGCCGCGAGACCCGTCCTAGACAGTTGACGCCAATAGGACTTGTGACTTTACAGAAGCTTCACACGTAGCTCCTGGGACACGACGTATTTCAAGACTGGACCAGATGGAGGACCAAGTACAAAGACTTGTCGACAAGGCCTGGACGCGGTTCCAGGCGGTCCCGCCAGACCAGCGGCTCAGTAAGTCTGCCAGAGTCTAACCAGGCGCTCTTGGGCAGGACTTTGGAACTAGCGAATGTTCGGCATTGTCATTTTGTTCGGATCATACACACTTTTCTGACGATTTCCTCAGTGATTGCGATATCGGGAATCCCTGGTTCTGGTAAGTGAGCATGGCCGCCCCTCAAGACGGTAGCTGTGGCGAAGCGAACCATGGTCGCCTTTAGCACAAGTCTTCCGCAACTCACGAGGGCTGATATTCGGCCACTACAGGCAAGACGACACTTTCACAGACGGTCACCAATGCCCTGAACCAGAAGCATCAGTCGCAACACCCTGGCTCCAAGCCTGTGGCCGCCTTCTGCCCCATGGACGGCTACCATCTGACGCGAGAACAGCTCTCGGCCATGCCAGATCCGGTCAACGCACACGCGCGGCGCGGAGCGGAGTTCACGTTTGACGGGCACGCGTTTCTGGCCCTGGTCAAGGCCCTGAGAGTACCTTTGCCCGCTCCTGGAGGTAAAAATGGTGATCACGGCGATGACGACGACGAAGACGAGGCCAGGAGCACCATCTACGCGCCTAGTTTCGACCACGCGGTCAAGGATCCAAAAGAGAACGACATCCCTCTGCGGGCCCACCACCGCATCGTCGTGTTCGAGGGCAACTACGTGTGCCTGAACAAGGAGCCGTGGCGCGAGGCCGCGGGTCTCATGGACGAGCGGTGGTTCGTCGAGGTTGACTTTGCCGTGGCCCGCAGCCGGCTCGTCAAGAGGCATGTCAAGGCTGGGATCGCGGCGGATGAGATCGAGGCTGGGAAGAGAGCTGATGAGAACGACCTGGTGAACGGGAGGGAAATCGTGGACAACAAGGTTGATATTGATGAGGTGGTCTACAGTCGGGAAGATGCGGGGTGGAAGCATGAATGAGGCTTCCAGATGTCGTGGCAATCTAGTATGGTATACAAATAAGAAATATGTATGGGAGACCTTCCGGCTCAGACGGCAACATTGTGCTTCAAGTCTTTAATTATGGGAGTCTGTTGAGCCCAGGCTCTGGAGTACCAATCTCGGAATTTTCGATCGACACTACTTTTTCCTGCCAAGCGTGGTCGTGCACATGCATATCCGTATTCAGACAAAACCCCCCAAAACTTAGCAGTTTGAGCGAATGAACCACGTTACACCAGGACAACCAGAAGTACAGTCCACAACCTATACTGTCGCTGTCTCCGATCTCAGCTAATGGTACGGATTCTTTAACATGACTTTTCCTGGACAATTGTGTGTCTTACAAGAGCCATTTGAACCTTTCAAAGTCACTCTGCCTCGGATCCTGGCGATGATGGAGTGTTTTGGCTGCAAAGAACGGCAACATTAATCTGTTTTTAGCACCAGCTTGGCAGCAGCGGTGCGCCACTCACAGCTCCTGCAGATCGTCTTACAGCTTGCTGAGACCAGGGGTCGCCATTGTGCCTGAATCAAGGCGTCTGGGCTCAGAGCAAAGAGGACCCCTCCGCCCCATCGGGTGCCCCGCCACTCACTGGGCTCACCTCCGCTGTCTTGAGCTTGTTATTGTGCTGTCACCCTGTCATCACTGCCTGCTACTTGCCTCGTAGCTTCCGTACCGCTACTCATTGCTACTCCCTTTGTTGCACCTCTTGCAAGCCTAAGCGAACCCGCCTGACATTTCCCTTTCTTTTCCGTTGCTGCCCTCATAAACATGCCTGACAAGTCGGGCCCGCCACCCCCAAACGAGTCCGTCACCTTCAGCTCCGGACCTCACACGACACCGCCAGATTTGCGGTTGTGTCATTATAACGATGTGTACCATGTCGACCCAGCATCAGCAGAACCGATTGGCGGTGCATCTCGCTTTCAGACCCTCGTTGATCACTACCGCTCCAGCGAGAGCTTCAAGAGCCAGCCAGAGCTTCTCACTTTCTTCTCCGGCGATGCCTTCAACCCTTGTCTTGAGAGCTCGGTGACCAAGGGTAAGTATCCAGCTTGGGTGTTGTGAATCGGCTGAGAATCCTCCCGGGCTACAGTCACCTGCTTATCCCTCCCTGACCACATCTCTGACCACGCCTCCAGGCACGCATATGGTGCCAATCCTGAACAACATTGGCACAGATGTCGCCGCTCTGGGAGTAAGCTTACCGACAAGATCCAATCTGGGAGCAAGATACATACTGACAACAAGTACAGAACCATGATCTCGATTTTGGTGTCACGCAGTTTAAACGCCTCGCTGCCAAGTGCAAATTCCCCTGGCTGATTGCCAATGTCCTCGATCCTGCTCTTGGCGAGGACGTGCCCATAGGCAACGTTAAGAAGACGCTCATCTTGACGTCCTCTAATGGAATCAAGGTTGGTGTCATCGGCCTTGGTGAGAGGGAGTGGCTCGGCACGATCAACAGTCTGCCTCCCGACATCATATACAAGTCTGCCAGTGAGACGGCGAAGGAGCTCGTGCCGAAACTTCGAGCAGGAGGCGCCGAGATTATCATCGCAGTCACACACATGCGGGAACCGAATGACAACAAACTTGCCGAGAAAACTGATGGAATCATCGATATTATCCTTGGTGGTCACGACCACTACTACAACCACAGCTTGATCAACGGCACCCACGTGCTCAGATCGGGAACAGACTTTAAGCAACTGAGCTACATCGAGGCCCGCCGGAGCACAGAGAAACCAGGGCGTTGGGACTTCGACATCACGCGGCGTGATATCACATCCGAGATCCCTGCCCACAAAGAGACCGCCGAACTTGTGGCAAAGCTCACATCAAGCCTGAAGACGAAACTGAACAAGCCCATCGGCTACTCCGCAGCACCGCTTGATGCACGGTTTAGGACCGTTCGACTGCGTGAAAGTAACATCGCAAACTGGGTCTGCGACATCATGCGCCATTACTATGGAGGCGACTGTGCGTTGATGGCATCCGGGACCGTTCGGGGAGACCAGATCTACCCTCCAGGACCCATCCTCCTGAAAGACATTATGAACTGCTTCCCCTTTGAGGACCCGGTCGTCGTCATTATGGCGAGTGGCCAGCAGATCTGGGACGCACTCGAGAACGGCGTGTCGCAGTATCCGGCCCTGGAGGGCCGCTTCCCACAAGTATCGAATATCAAGTTCGAGTTCGATGCCACAAAACCGGCAGGGTCGCGAATCGTGTCAGCAAGCATTGGCGGGGGGCCCATTGATATGGAGAGACAGTACAAGCTTGTGACTCGTGGTTATATGGGGCGTGGCAAGGACGGCTATGAAAGTCTCTTGATCGAGGCCGAGGGAGGCACTACCAAAGAGATCGTCTCGGAAGAGAATGGCATCCTGATATCGATGATGCTCCGGCAGTACTTCATGTCGCTTCGTGTCCTCGGACAGTGGAAATACTGGGGCAAGCACATTGGCGGCTACTGGGATGATGTCTCGAAGAAGGTCGGCGGTACTCACCAGTCATCTGCTATCCAGTCACCCGTCGAGCCAAAGACACCGAGTCTTGCGACGAAACCATCGGAATGGAACGATTGGTCGGCCAAGAAGATTCGAGAGCGCAAGGCTCAGGCGCAGCCTGCAGATGATTCCGACTCGGACGAGGACGATGCAGCCAAGGAGAACGAGCTCATTGACCGCGAGATGGACATTGTGCGTCGTGTGGCCAAGAAGTGGACCCGGCGGGCGGGGGTCCGGTGCAGTGCTGTCGACGAGCTGCAAGACGAAGAAATCGAGGTCGACTGGACACGAGCCATTGCTCCCAGGGTCGAGGGACGTATAGTATGCGTCGCAGGCGAACACAAGTCGTGAGTCGGCGCGGACTTGCCGCCAATCAACAAAGACATGTTGCAAAACCTCTCTGAGCTCTGCCTCTGATGAACACCTATATCTTGCGGGCGCCTTTGGATGATCCTTCTGCAGGAGCCCTGCCCGGCTGAGACAGCTCACGGGCGGGCTGCTTGACGGACTGTGACGTGACTGTAGCAAGGCCGAAAACACGGTGAGTGCATGACATCTGCGCAGACCGCCTGCTCGCCTGCGAGCAATTCCGGAAGAGACACACTCATCCAGAACTCCCTCAGAGTCGAGCATGAAATGCAGCTCTGTGATGACGATGATGACGTTCGGCGAGCTGTGGACCCCGCGATGCCACCCCTGCGTTCCACATTGGCCCCGGACTGCCGAGATGATGTGCAAGCATACAAGGGTCCAACGACCGAAACGGCAATGCTACATGGGTGTTGTCGACAGGTTCAGCCTGTGCCTGGCAACGTTGCCCAGATTGTGGGGTACATGGCAGTTATACGCCGTACCTCACTCAGCCTTTGTATCTCCGCGACATACTCATATACCCGTTTCCAGATTGAGAGAGCCTGTGAGAACAGAGCCTCATTGAAGTGTACGTCATGGCCTACACAATGACCTACCGTCACTGACTGCAAATGACCAAGACACAGACTGAAGGTAGGCTGCACCAGCGGGACGGTCGAGAACCACCCAAGTCACTCAATGGGAAGCCTTGGATCATTATTGAAGCTCAAGGTGGCATGGATCGGAGTATTGCCCGCAACCACTGCCTCGCCCTCATACTGCTCTTTCGGCGACCTAGCCGCCTGTCAGCCTGTCAGTGCAAGGACAAGGGACCGTGTCTTCGGAAGGTTCGAGACCCAGATTTTAGACGCATTTTGACTTTCTTTGTCTTTTGGGATTCCGTGGGCACCAATCCGAGCCTAGCAGCCCACGAGGCTCGCCTGCGGTGCCTGGAGGTAAGCCCTGTCTCACCTGAGAAATTCCTGGCGAGCCTCGCCAGAGTGTCGCGTGGATTGCATAGGTACATGTACGTAAGCAGGCCGCTAACTCAACTCTCTTGCCACAGATACACCGTTCCACATGCCATCCCCGTTTGAGACGTTGGCGTATCGCCGGGGCCCATACACAGATGCACGACTTTGGCCGCCCTCGACCTGAATCATTGCAGCCTTGTCATGCAAGTCCCAGGATTTGGGACCGGGAAAAACATGTTTCTGACGTCCCCGGCCAGGGCTGAGGTGGTATCGTCTTGGTCAAGCTCCTCTGATGCACTCGATTATACGTCTCGGATCGGGTCGGAGAGGCACGCGTCGCTCAGCCGAGCTAGCCTCATTCCAACGCCTTGTCCAGCCAGCCAGCCACTCGCTGTAATGCCTCCCTCGCTTCGGCTCTTTCCGACGCGTTGAGCGAGCAACCTCCTTCTGCTCTGGCACCTCAGGGCCCAAGAAGGCCCTCGAGCAGCCTTCCCCAGCCTAGGCATGCACGTCGTCGGGCGCCGGTGCACGTCCGTCTTCGTCCTCTCTACAACGGTCCGACGCCTCGACCCACCGTAGTCAGGTGTGTGGCTGCACCAAGGCTCTGAGACGGACCCAGGACCGGACAAGTCGAGTCGGAAAGCCTAGAACTCAACGATTTCAGGGTCGCTTCACAAAGAAGCAGCCGGGATGTCACTCTTTCATGCCGACACTAGGACTTGTAGTTCCACTTTCTGTCGGGGGTACTTCCACAACGAGCCTCTCGATGCCCCAACTATGCGGCGTGCCTGGCTTGATGCAAGTGCACGATTCTCGTCGGGTAGTCTTGCCATGGCGCGGATCGTCTGATCCTGCTAGCCGGGCTCCCGTCAGGTACCAAGCTGAATGGTTACCTTTGGGACGGGACAGGTACCACGGTGGCTTGCCGTGGTGAGGCGCGCAGACTCTGCGAGGTCGAATCGAGGTGGAGGTGGGAGAAACACCACGGGCCAAACACTCACTCATGTATATAAGTCTGGTCTGGAACGCAAATGTCTCAACCGTTCTAAACACTCCATCCTCATCAGCAACGAGCATCTCCTCGACACTCCTTTCGACGCTTCGCTCCCTTCAAGTCTCTTCGAGCTTTCCACACTCCTTCTTTCGACATTATCGCTCAACTGCAACAATGATTGCCAACACTGCTGTCCTCTTTGGCCTCCTCGGCGCTGCCGCCGCCGGCACCATCCCCAAGTAAGTGTTTCATCTCATATTCTGGAGGCTTTTGATACAAGGGAGCTTTCACGCTCTAACAATGACCTGTGCTCTCTTCAGCGCTGGCGTCAGCCGCATTGTCCGCGACGTCGCTACCGAGGCCGTGGGCGAGATCTCGGCCGCGTCCTTTTCTTGCGGCTCCCTCGCTTCTGGTCTGAGCAAGGCGGACTGCGACCACATGTCCAACATTGGCAGTGAGTGATCTCGACTCTGGCAAAGTGATGATTCGAACTTCCCGAGAGACTAACCAACAATGGACAGTGGCCGGCCAGGGCGTCAACTCCAAGAGCAGCAGCGGCAAGATCTGGATCGGCACTGACGGCGCCAACCAGTTCATCTTCAAGAACACCGGCGCTGGCCCGCCCTTGACTGTGATTGTGTGGGACTTCCCCGCCGGCGACTACGAGGCGTCCTTCATGAACGTCAGGAAGCCCAAGATTGCGTACTCTCTGCCCAATGTTGGCGACAGCGTGACCGTCTCCGTCGGCAACGGCGTCTCGGGTGCCTTCTCCTTCCTCGCCAACCACAAGACCGTCCTGTCACAGTACGGCCAGATCTACAACACCTGGGGCGAGTTCACCACGGGCGACTACGCCACCGTCGACGTCTCCCGCCTCGTCAACACCCGCGGCAACCCGATCAACATCAAGGTCCAGAAGAACGGCTGCGTCAGCAACATGGACAAGTGCGTCTTCCAGTGCAAGAACTCGGCCCTCACCTTCTGCGGCGAGTCCGGGTCCTACAACCTCGTCAACTGCGAGAATGGCTCCCAGTCCGGCGCCAGCAAGGGCACTTGGGACGGCATCAACCCCGAGGGCGGTTGCCAGGGCTGGTCCAACGGTGGCAAGCTCGAGATCGGCCTCGTCGCATAAGCATCTCGCTTTTGATCTTCCGCTTCTTTCTTCGCTGGGTCAAAATTGGGCTCCCCTTCGATAGAGATACATACACGTAGGGGGGTCCACCACTTGCCGAAGTCGTCTTCCGAAAGATTCGCGCTCAGCAACCCTTCTTTGGTACATACTTTTCGGCTTTCTTGCAACCCTTTTCTTTTTTCTTTCTCTTACAGGAGATGAGGTCTCGCCGGGTCGCACGCGCCCTTCAAAGTCAAGATCAGGGGATGAACCGGCCTGTCTTTCATTTCTCCTCTTCGTTGCACATAACACACATTCGCTTCTTGTCTATAGAATTTTTGAGCCCGACCTGTGGGACCTCCTTCACATTTCGTTTTGGATATAGAAGTATCTGGCCCTTTTTTCTTTTATCAAAAAAGAGAGAGGAAGATTTGACGAAAATTTCAACGTGGAACCTCGGCTGGAGCGGAAAAGTCCGTCTTCTAGCCTTTGGTCCACCCCTTCTAAATGTCTCTCTTCCCTCTGGCTCTGAAAGTGGATTACCAATGACTCGAGCTTTGAACGAACTAGTCCCAAACACCAGTGATGTTACTTGCAGAGGTTTACTGATTGTTGTTGTGAATTCATTACCAAAAGCCGAACCTCGCTTTTCACTTCTGTGTGATGGTTGACTTGATTGCAAACGGACCACATCATCAACGTCAGTGCTTGACCTGTCCGCTGCCCAGGATCTTGATCCTCTCCAGGAAACCCGGGTTCGTCAACGGATTGTGCAGCTCGCTAATGGTACTCATGCACGCGGCGGCCGGGTCGCCGCTGGCGTCCAGCATGCGCATCCAGTACTCGTTGCCGGGAAAGGAGTTCCCGTCCCAGGCATAGCTGACGACCAGCAAGCAGCCCGCGTCCGTGCCGTAAAGCCTATCCGCCGGATTGCGCCTCGAGAACCTGACCTTGACCCCGTGCGCGGCAGCCGCCGCGGCAACCTTGTCCGCGACAGCCTGGGAGCCGGCGTCGACGTAGGAGAAGTCGAGCACGGCAATGTGGCGGAGAATTCCGGTGCTACCAAGCTCTTTCAGGACGGTCGTGAAGGTCTCGATGTAGTACTGCGCCTGGGGCACCCCGTGGACCGCCCAGACGCCGAGCCCGAGCCCCACGACATGCACGTACGCTCTCCTGTGCGCGACCCGGGCTCGCTCGCTGGCCTCGAGCAGGAGCATCTCGGCGCTGATGCGCATCCTGGCCTTGTACATGGCGGCGTGGAATTTCTTCTCTGCCGGGTTGACGAGGACCTGGCCGCCGGAGGCGTCGCAGAACCAGTCTCGGAAAACGTCCACCAGTCTCGGGTCCATGTCTGTAGTAGACGACTTGGGTTTCGCTGCAGCGCCGCCGTGGCTGCGAGGCAGGCAGAAGATCGAGTCCATCCGGCCAGCTCTCTCGAACCGGGCGCCGACCAGCCCGATGATTATGCCTCGCTCCTCGAACGTGCCCGGCTTTCCCGGGCGGGCCTTGTTGCTGCGGCTCCCATCGTTGATGAAGTAGCTCGGGCCGCTGACGCCGAGGAGGGAGCCGAGCATGATCTCGTCGTAGCTCAGGTAGTCTCGGAGGAACAGGTAGCGATTACGCTCTTTCGCGACGGCGCCAGCTGCTGAAGTACTACTGTCCGTCTTGCCCACGTAGTCCCACTCCTCGGTGGCCGGCGGGCGCGTGAAGTCGCGCAGGACCGTCAGGTCGAAACCACCCATGAAGACCAGCGGCCGCTTCTCGATCAGCCGCGCCACCTGGCGGGACCAGGTCCAGCCATGCTGTCCGTACAGTTCCTTCTCGACGGGGGAGCCGTGATGCCGCTTGTGCCTGAGGAACTGCTCGACGAGCTCCGGGTAGCGATGGTGAACGACGATGCACGTGTCCCTGGCGTCCTGTATGGCGGTCTTGCGGTCAAAGTTGCGCACGCTGTTGGTGGGCAGCTTGAGTGGCGCTTGCGGGCCGGGTGCGGTGGTCTCGTTCTCGCGGAGCTCGCCAGCGCACAGGGCGGATGACGGCGCTAGGTACGAGGCTTCATCGTGCCTGGGGCGGGTGAAGTCGTCTAGCACAATGTGAGGGACGGCGTGGGTTCCGTTGAAGCTGTACCACTGCTGCCTGGGGTTTGAGGGCGAGTATGTGTGCGACGCCATCCCGGTTGATATTGCTCTGTGCAGGCTACGTTGATATCGTGTTCCTCGGCGGTGGACTAATGGGTATGGACTTCCTGTTTCTTGACTATCGCGCCACCTCAAGCACTACCTAAGGTAGGTAGGTAGCTGCCCTGCTGGGACAGTGTGCCTTGGACGACGCATTGCTGCCTCGCCGGCTGACTGGTGGAGGTAAGCGTGGCACTGCTGGAGCTGGAGGGTTTGGTTGCAGGAAGGCAGGCAGGCAGGCAGACAGGCACTAACTAGCCTCTGGGATGTCATGTCGTTGAAATAGACTGCACGTGATCGGCAGGTGTGTTGTGGTACATGACATGGCTTCTCCTGTGCGACGATCACTGGACATCTTCGCATTTCCCCAGACCAGAGACGACATCGGGGCACAAGACAGATATTACCTACCTCAAGGTAGGGCACGACCCAGCCCAGTGCAGCCAACTGAGCTCACTTGTGAGCTATGTCGTCGTCAGTGGTGCGTACAAACAGCTCACAACGTGTCACGACATCGCAGCACACTTGTTGCATGGCAACGCCAATCAGCACCCGCATGAAGGGCCGGTATGATTGATTGAGTTGCAACAGCAGACTGCTGATGGGGTGATGCGTCAAGTCGTGGTGTGGCTCGTTCGTGGCCCGATCTGCTCCCGGAATGGAGATTCGAGGCAGCCGCCATGAGCGCTCCAAAGTGGCAAACCAGCACAGTTGCTGCCCCAATGATTGGCCAACCCCGCATCGCAGGTCCCGGGTAGCGACGCCAGCCACGATGCGCCCGGACTGTTCGAGCCGGAAGGGTCGGTCTGTCATCAGGCCATTGCAGACCTTAAGGTAGTCAAGTCGTCTTTTCGTGGTCAAGCACCTACAGATAATTATCATGGCGACCTCGCCCCTCATCACTGCCTCACCTCACCTCACCTTCTCGTGCACACACCTCCGGATCTGTTCTCAGCAATTCTTTATCGTCGTGTGTATCTGCTCCCTCACAGCGCTTGAATCAACAGAGCACACAACCCGTCTCTGCCATCACAGGCACAGGCAGATTGTCCGAGCCGAGCCTTGTACGCCGGTGATAAGCAGCGTGGGCGGGACAGACCCCCGTCGCCAGAGTGGGCCGCCCTCCTTCCTTGTGGTTCCACCCACTCTCTCGCACTTGCACTTTCTCCCTCTCAGAGCTCCAGTTGAGCCTCACCCACCTCGTCCGATTTCTCACCAGCCAGCTCACGGCCCGCCCCAAGCACCCAGAGGCTCTCCTCCAGCCAAGCCAGCAAGCAGCACGCCAGGAACCAAGTCGCAGCCGCGTCTTCCACGCAGGCGGACTCGTTGATGCGACCGTGACCTTACTGCTCTCGACCTCTCGCCCCCAGGGCGTCTGTACTTTATCCACACATATTCCCGCCACCCGAGCCTGCTTGCTTCCTACTCCGCGCCAGCCTCCGGACAGCTTCGTACTCGTGTCGATTCAATACTTTCAATTCTGCTTTACCAGCAAGATTACCCGCGACTCAATCAACTCCCGTCGATCGAGGTCTGCGCAGTTAGCGCCGACGCAATTGGCTCAAAGATGGTTCTCACGCACACGACCAACCACACTTACAACCACCCGTTCCCGACCGTCACTCTCGCCTTCTTCCTCCGCTACTACTCGCCGCACCTCAATCCCTTCTCCAGCCATGTGCTCTCCACCGACACCATCTCCTCCCACGTCGACCCAGCGACTGGCCGTCTGCACACGACTCGCCTCCATGTAAAACGCTCACGTATGCCGGCTGCTGTCATCAAGCTGTTGCCTACGAGTGTTACTGGCGGCGCCGGACCCAAGTCGGCTTTCGTCCTCGAAACCAGTGTCGTCGACATGAAGGAGGGCTGGATGCAGTCTGAGAGCCGAAACATGAACTACACGGGTATCTTGAGCGTCGTCGAGCAGCAAAGATACTCCGTTTCGCCTCCCGAGCAACTCGGCGGGGCTGTGCCGGATCCCTATGAGGCTGCTGGTGCCATGCAGCTCGACTTTGGCAAAGCAACCAGTCTAGCCCGCTCGATCCCACCAAACACATATGTCACGACAACATTCTCCTACGCCTCAACGCTAGGCAACCGCAAGGCTGCCACAGCCACGCAGGAGGCAACCGCCGGAAGCAAGAGTATTGGCACCTGGATTCAGGGCTGGGGTACCAGTCGCATCCAGAGCAGTATCGAGTCAATCGCCAGCAACAAGACGGACGATCAGATGAGCAAGTCAAGGGACGGCATGCGTATGGTCCTCGAGCGCCTCCGTAACAACGGCGTCGTGGCCGTGCTCAAAGAGCTCCGGAGACGCGACGGTGAGACTGTTGCGCTTGACTAGCTACAGACTTTGGCAACCGGATGAGTTGAGAATCCATCCGGGCACGTGTATATGTATTACTTACCTGCTACGAGGGCACATCTCCACTCACCCCTCCTCTGGCATCTTCTTGTATCAAATTTATTTCATGATAGCATGGCGCTGGGGTTTGGTTTCAAAAGGCGGACAAAAAGCAGGAGCATCAGAACTGTACGAAGGAGTGGTTGTCTCGGACAATTTGTCTCGAGATGGTAGGATAGGGGCGGCGGAGGGCCAGCATTTACCCAATTGGTTCGGACGCGGTCGTTTGGACTGCGGCGCCATGACCGTTTACATGGCATAGCATGTTTGTGCGAGAACTGGGCTGTCCTTTTGTGACGAGCTGGCCATCTTATACTTCTTGTACTCCTCTCATGTATCGGAAGCGCTGCTTCAGGCGTCACATATGCGCAAAGTGGCGTAGGAGTTAGTTTCAGACTCGAATCAAAGAAACGTTGAACATGCTTTTGCCTGGTGCTTGGGGATGGACTGCTTTAGCCATTTCTCTTCGTCGCAACACCATTCTTCTGCGCGCAACGAGTGAACAGACAATACCCTTTTAATTAGCAGATTGCAACCACATCACCCGATGTGAACGGCTGCTCCCTACGAGTCGCCCACGAGGCGACTCAAAACGTAGTCTCGAGCTTGGGATAGTCCCCAGCGCGAGCTCCCAGATCTGCAAAGATGGCTGCCGAGTCGTCACCTTTTAGCTCCTCCATCCTGTGCGTGTCCTCGTCCTCCAGCCTCTGGAGCTCCTCGCGGGGCTTCTCGTCCTCTTTGCCGTCCTGGTCGTGCTCGAGTGCGTTTGCGATGCCGTTGGACTCGCCGACGAGCAGGAACTGGGAGTTGACGTAGTCGAGGTGCTCGGGCTTCGTGGGCTGCCATCGGAGCGAACGAAACGATTCTTGGACCCTAGACGCGGTTATCAGTAGACGTTCTTCTTTTCTTTTCCTTTTTTTCGCAGTGATGCAAAGTCACTACTATTATGCTTTACGAGGAACACTTACTCCTCGGGATAATCAGGACCTTCGGGCAAGGCGGTACCCCTGGGAGCATCATAGGCGGGATTTCTCGTGCTGAGGATGAAGCTGCCCTTGTCCTTCAGCCCGAGCTCGCTCTGGAGTCCCCCAAGCTCGCTCGGGAGCGTGATCATGTACGCGAGGTGGCTCTCGCGCCCGGTCGTGGTGATGGCGTACACGCCCTCGGCGGCGGGCCGCGCGGCCGGGGTGTGCCGCGCGCCGGCCGTCTTGGTCATGTAGTCGTTGCCTGCGAGGAACTCTTCGCGCAGGGCCCCGAACGAGGCGTGCGTCTTTTCGACGAACGCGATCCAGCGCTCCCTGCCGCTCGTGGGGAAGACCTTCTTCGGCACCGCGATCAGTCGGCTGTTCCCGGCGTCGCCGATGGGGCCGTCGCCCAGCTTGGCGTCGGTGGCGATGGGCCGCAGGATCATGAAGCTCCGCTGGATCTCGCCGACGTTGCTCGGCTCCTCGATGTTGACGCGGCCCCGGAAGAAGAAGTAGATGATGCCCTTCTCGAGAATGCTGGAGGGAACGGCCTCTCGCTCGCCTTCCTCGACTGCGGTCGTCGACTTGTCTGGTGGTGGGGCTGCTGTTGCTCCTGGCCCGGACTCTTTCTTGTCACTTTTGGTCTTGTTGCTGCTGCTGCTGCTGTCTTTTTGAGATGGCTTGTCGTCGTTGTCGGTCTTCTTGGCGGGATCCGAATCGTCGTCATTGGCCGACTTCTCTGGCTTCTCAGTTTTCTTCTGATCCGTCTTTGTGCCATTACGTTTTCCCTCATCGCTGCTGTACTCATTAATGGGACATTTCAGCGTAAAGGATAAGCTTCAAGTTCAGGTTTTCGAGCCACGTACCCTTCCAGCGTCTCTTCTATGGTCTTTTGCTTCTTCGTGTCCGGGGCCGGCTTTTCCCCAAGGTCGTGCTTCGAGCCAGCGGCATCGTCCTCCGCGCCGCTGGGCTTTTGGTTCCTGGCAGATCGTGTGGTCGGCATGGTCGATTGTGGCTCTTTTTTCACTTCCCAATGACTGCGGTGAAATGAGAAGGGAAGCTTCCTACTATGAGAAAATCGACTTGGAAAATGAGCAACAGGTTATGCGCCGAACTAGAGGAAGGCTGCAGCGCGCATCAATTGGAGTGAGAGAGTGAAGGGCCTGCGGGTTCTTTCAGAGTTGCTTGTGACGTCGAGGCACCAAAGGTTGGAAGGCACGCGGTTAAGTGTGTAAGTGCCGACACGATGCGCAGCCTGTGGGAAGCAGGCACCCACCGATCAATGTTGGACAGTAGCATCATCGAGACACGGACCGGTACACGATCATCGGGCTCACTGGGCGGCCAATTGATGCACCGGGGGCTTGCTCACGGCGAGAAGCAGGCCCCAATGCAAGACGGTGCCTGCCGCGGTGTGATTACGTCGTGTGCACGTCGTTGAAACATTGCTTCTTTGCCCTGGTGTGAGCACGCGGTGTGGGAAGCTCCACGCCAAAAGCGCTGATGTCATGGACCGACCGAGACCGCAACCACATGCCTGTGCGCGCCTGCATGCAAGTACACGGGGAGCCAGCACGCTAGGACAAACCCACCTTTAGCTCTTGCAGTAATCCGGTATTCACGTGAGGAAGTGTATCGTACTTTGCATCGTTCTTCTTGGGCAGTTCGGCTGGGAGTTGACTTCCTAGCTGGCTTAAGATCATTTTGTGAGCTTTGCTGTTCACACGGCACTCTCTTACCACCACAGATCTCCTGAAGCTCCCAATCTCGTGATCATGACAATCAGCCCACGATATAATCAATAGAATGAAAGGAGAACAAATTGATGAATCGAACAAGCCGTCGATCAATGTTGATCAGATTCGCGCTGCCTGACTTGGTGAATTCGAGTAGTTCAAGCTCCTTATTCGACGTCCATCAAAGCAAAGAATGCCAACGACGAACAACACCAACCAGTCCCGCCAAATTCCGGAACAGTCCCACAGGCTTCCCCGTCGCTCGAGTGCCGCGACTGATCACCGGCACAGACTGCCAGCCCGTCGCTTGGGAAAGCGAGGAGTTATACTCTTGGTATGCATTAGTCGGGGATGAGGTCATGTACAACGGTCCTGTCACGACCGCTGTTGACGAACTCTGTGTCCCTGGGTTGGGGCATATATGTGTCCCATAGTCCCCGCTGCAGAACTTGGATGTCGAAGTCACTGTGCTCATCCAAATTAGAACAAGCCTCGTGAATACAGCTTGTCAGTACCAGATGGAGATATGAGCTTACACGTCTTCGATGCGTCCTCACACGCATCTGCCGGCAGCCCACGAGCGGTCATAGCCTCACTAGCCTCTTCGGAGCCGAACTGGAAAGATTGGCCACGTCGCACTCCTTGCGGAATGATCACCCGGTTCAAGCTATCTGCTGGACTGACAGTTGTCTTGATGGTCGAAGTCCGCGTACTTTGCACAGTCGTAGTCGCATCCGTAGCATCCTTTCTTGTGATGGTGCTAGTCGAAGCAGAAGGACCCGCGCCGGTACGAGAGCCCGTATCCGTGAACACAGTTGTAGTTGTGGTGGTGACGGAAACGCTTGTGCCCAGCGACACTCCAGAATAAACCGCAGACTGCGGACTGTGGCTGGACGACTTCGTGCCGCAGGGTCCTGTCTGTTCCGCGCCTGGAGGCCTGCTCTGAGAGGCGCTTGTCAGCTGAGACCCTGCGCCGTAAGTTTTTGTACCGGGCATAGTGCTCATGCTGTCGATAGGGTCTACGGTTAATGATCCGATGGCCGAAGCGCGGCTTGAGCCGGTGACGCTGAGCGAGGGCGGGGAACTGCTCATGCCAGGCACAGTTGAGATTGATGACTTCGATGTCTTTGTCATGTCCTCCACAAACCCAGAAGCGTTTACGTACAACGTGGTGGTTGAGGTGAAGCTTCTGCTCGACATTAGGCTAGAGGCCGTCACACCAGACGAGGGTTGTCCCGCTTGCGTCGTAAAGGATGTTGATGTTTGAGACGAAGTGCTTGATGATGATGCTTGTTGACTCAACTCCGCCTCTAGGGACACTGCGAGCATGTACATCTTCATCATGTACGACATTGCCAGATTTGTCGCATTCTGAAGCTGGGCTTGAATAGCCATGAGGGGTTCAAGACTTGCCGAGATGGCATCCATCCCGGGCAGATCCCTTCGGTCAACATTAGCTGAGCTGTAAGATGGTGCGGCTGGAAAGGACGCAGTTTGGACACTCGGGGCCTCGCGAGTTGATGCCGCTTGAGTTACCGTGGGAACACCGCGATATGATGTGTCCGATGTGAGTTCCGTATGTCTTATGGAGTTTCGGTTCCCAAAATCTGGGGCCTGTTGAGCATCGACTTGACGATGGAGGAGCGACAGAAAGATGGCCCATCTTGCGACATGGCTCGACAATAACTTCATGCTTACAAAGTTTTGCAGAGCGATATGCTCTGGCAGAGTGAGGCTCAGAGATGTAGGCCTAGCAGAGAGCTGCGACAGGTGAACGTTTCTAAATTAGATCAATAGTCGTCGGATCGATCGTGCTGAGGTGCCGTTGGTGCCAGCTAGGGTTATCCTTTCTACGATGCCCCTGCTGCATTTCCTTTGTCTGCATTGATAGTCCATTCGTGTTAAGGAATGTGGACAAAGCTTCACGATGTTGGACAAGACGCGGGCCTGGGATCGATCATGTAGCACGATGACAAAGGAGAGATTGAATATCACCATCTCTCTGGGAGGCCGTTGTCATCACTTGCAAAGACAGCGAAGAATGCATCGTAGTGTTGGGAGTGTGTCGCTGGTTGGGTGGTGTTGTTTGCAAAAGATGACATCTCAGTCGCAAACAGATGTGAGGATGGTTGGAACGTTGAACGCCGACATTCGTCGCATCTCCTCGTGCATTACAGATCCTCTTGGACCGTCTTGTCTTTCGGAGCTTCTCGTCCTCAATCGTAGTTGTAGTGGTGCACCAACCGCATGGCTGCCCCATTGCCGCGTGCAGAGGGGTCAGGCATGACGAGTTGGCGGGAGAGCCGGATGACTTGTGCTGGTCGTGGCCAGGAAGTGTCATTGGCACTTTGCGCTACCGTGGACGCGTGTCATCACGTCGTCCACCCGGCTAGTGGGTAACAGTCATTGATGTGCTGGGGTTTGAGAAGCCAGCCACGTCGCGAAATAAAGCTTATCCTAGGCTCGCTGCTATTGCCTGTCGTGGGCCGCCGAGTTCTCCCAGAAAACTGGAAGGCAATTAGATGCAGGCAGTCATTTCACGCGTGGAAGTATGATCAGACGGTGCGGGTAGATGCTGCGCATCGCAGAAGTCTAAGGTAGGTAGGTGGCGGAGGACGTCGAGCGTCAGAATCCGATTGCTCGAGATAGCTGCCGTCAGCGTATCGCGAAGGTGGCGTGGCTGACGACCAGTCTGTAGCGTTCCATTGATGACCAGCACGGCTCTCTGCGCCGCGTGATCGCCTGTCAGGTCTCTACTCGTGGGGACCTGGTGGTTTGAGTTGTGCAAATCCCGGTCGATGGGTGGCAGAAGGGGGCCGGCTGCCCTAATCCGAGGGGGCTGGCTGGGCTTTTGCTGGCCGGCTGCGTGATGGCGTCGGAAGGTCTTTGGGGGTCGAGAGCGAGGATGGAGCACTCTGGCCTGAACTGACCATGCCCAATGGCTGAGTCGGAACAGCGGGCTGATGGTTTCCAGGTCCAGGAGGCGTGATCATGACACCGTGCCATCTGGTGGGCAGACACGGAGCACGGCTGAATGGGCGAAAGCGCGCAGTACCTGGGCGGGAGCGAGCGAGTACACATGGACGGGCGGCAGACTGCGCAAAAGACGCGCTGCACACAAGTACTGTCCCTGCAGGGCCCAGGTACTACCGGGGCGCTCCAGACGCGGCGCTGCAGGGGTGGGGCCGTGCTGGACCAACACGCACCACCGCAAATCTTGGGACAAGCAGAGACCCAGACGGATTCCTGGAGCGAGCACCAGCGCAAATGGATCGGGACGAGCAGCAACAAGTCTGGTCCGCCTCCTCACACCTGGGCATTGTCGCGCACCACAGTCGACGGAAATGAGACCAAGGCCCCAGACCTGCACCGAGCAGCAATGGCTCCTCCCAGCAAACCATCATCTCGTCCCCTTCCCTCCTCCATCTCCTCCATCTGCATCACCACCAGCCTCACCATCACCACCGCCGCACGCTGCCCTCCCTGTCTTTTGCTGCGTCCCGCCGTCGCTGCCGCAGACTCCCTGCACCAGCCAGCCTCAACCTGCCGTTTTCTCTCCCACGCGCACGCTCGCCCACGACTCGCCGCGCCCGCCCTGACCACGCTCCTGCTGCAATCTTGACATTCCCCTTCACACCGGAACGCATCGACGCAGAACCCATTTCCGAAACCACGTCAGCGACGATTAACCTTGAACGACCTGGCCGTCCAACTCACCACTTCTGACACCTTGGTATTTGGCCAGGCACAAGGTCATCAATAGCTGCACGACCTCATTCCGCACATATTCCATCAGGCATTAATACCTGATCATCTCCCTGCCGACTCGCCTGCGAAAGCATAAACGACAACGCCCGCGGCCAATATTGTCGCACGCGTTATCGACCGAGCGACCATTCTTGTGCACAAAACCCCCCAAAGCAAAAGCTCATCCATCATGGCTCCTCAGGACAAAGGCCGGAGGTCAAGCGGCAAGATCACCATGCTGGTGACTCTGCAAGTCAACCCAGACAAGCTCCGCAAGATTGTTGACCCGTCAACTGCCAACGCCGAAGCATCCATCAAGGAGTCGCCGGCTCCGGAAGTTGGCACCCCGGCTGAGATTCCCACTGCGGCCTCCAGTGGAGAGAACGCTTCCGACTCGACGCCAGGCACGCCTTCGTCGCAAGCCGTCATGGGGCCCCCTTCCGACACTCTCAAGAAGAAAGGCGTCAAGAGGAGCGCGGCTGGCGCCAACGGCAATGAGGTCGTCGCCAAAGTCCGTGGCAAGCCTGGCCCCAAGAAGAAGCTGAAGTTGTACGTCAAGCCAATGCTGTCGCCTATTCCATACCCTTCTAGCCCACGTTCCACCATTTAGCCATCCACTAACCTCGTGTGTTTTTACAGGGACGACGGAGAGACCGCCCGTGCTAGTGCATATCACAAGCTCGGACCCAAGGCCAACCAAGGTGCCATCAATGCCGGCCTGCGTGCACTCGATCGGTCAGGCACCCCGTGCAGAAAGTGGCAGAAGGGCGGTTTCACGCTGAAGAGCTTTACTGGCGTTGTCTGGGGCATTCCACGCTGGACTGCACCTCCCAAGGCCAAGGCTGACGCGGATAGTTCAGAAGGTGCTGGCGGCTCTGCTGAGAGCAGCAACAAGGAGAACAAGGACGGTAGCCAAGCCAAGAGCGAGAAGAGTGCGAGCAACGCTGGTGGTGATAACCAGCAAGACGTCAGCAAGCCGCCCAGCGTTCGCATCAGCTCACCGGCGCCTGCCGCTGCTACACCCATCGCTGCTGCTTCGTAGCACTGCCAACTGTCTGCCTCTGAGACAGCTGCCGGGCATATTGTTCTCGAGGGGACATGTTCTTTCGACTTGTTCTTTGGTAAAAGCTTGGCGTTACCGGTATGGGGTCTGGCGCCACAGTTTCGGATGTACAAACAGGGTCTCTGCCTGCCCTGCGTGTTTGAGATTTTTGTCGAAAAAGACTATCGCGCTGTAAAGCACATCGCGTTGCATGGACTCGGGCACGGCGTCACTCGGTTCACATGGGATAATTTGCAGTCTGCACAAGATAGCATCTGGCGTTTTAGGGGAGACTGTTTTCGGGACTGTATATCTACATTTTTTGTTTCTGGTTTCCGTAGAGGGGCATTATATGAAAACATGCGTCATCTACTTACAAGATCCCTCGCGCTCGGTTTGCTCGGCTGGTTTCGATGAAATGTGACGCAGTCCCTCGCTGACGTCGCAAAGGCAAATGAGATCCAAGGTGTCGAGGCTCAAAGGTCGGCATGGCGATTGAAATGCATGTCCCTTCCGATGAAGGCCCCTGTTCCGCAAATGCTGGAGTTCGCACGAGTGTTAGTGGGGAGCTGGTTTTTGTGGAAATGGTGTCCCTCCAATGTTGCCAAGCCTGTTGTATTTCGTGGTTTGAAGCCCGACCCGTGTCCCGTGATGAGCTGACACCATCCTCAAACCAAGCCGCCCTCTGTATTCGACCCCCTCTGCCCTGCGCTCCTTGCTCTTTGGGGCTCCGCCAAAGCGCATGGGTCGCAGGCGCTCCGGGGTGACATTGCCGTTGACCTCGACCCCTGCATGCCGAATCCGCACTAGTCTGTAAGTAGGGCCTTGTGGGGATGTCCACCGTGGAGCAAGCAAGCCCGGAGCGGTTCTGCTCGACGAAGACGTGCCTGCTACCATTGTAAGACCTGTATGAATCGCCCGATGGAGGATAGTTTAACGTACTCAGTGTAAGTATGGAGTAGGAAATGGGGGAATTCATGACTCTTGTAAGCTACGGTTCGTCTTCACTGGCAAGAAACGGGTGAGGAGAAGGTGCACAGCACTCCGCAGCGCCCGGGAAGGAGCGCTTCCGGAGACAGCGATTCTGCTTCCACACAGAACGAGCATCGACCTGCCCGCGAGCAGGTCGGTTCCATTGATGCTGGCGACTGACCCAAGCGGCTCGATATCAGCCTGGATACTAGAGTACTCTCTGGGAGGAGTGTACACGCCCACTGGATGAGCCGTCGACTCTGGAAGTCACGCGGACGCCATGGGAGGCGTGGGGACCCGGAGGTGGGGATGTACTGTAGCATGCTATGGGCAAACTGAATGATATCAGTGACTGTCAGCCATGATAACAGCGCTGCCAGCCTGCACAGGTGCAAGTGGCTGTCCCCGCCGATTGGCAGCACTCCGCCATCCAATCAGCCAGGACAGTGCACTGCTGGGGAACACCACGAACCCGAACCCGGAGCTGGGCCAGCACGACCAGAGCTAGTTGAGCGTGACCACGGGCGACCTTCCAGCGCACAACAACACGTTTGGCAACAACTGCATATCCAGCACTGGCGCTTCTTGTACCGCTCCTCCACGAGCGCCTCTATGTGCTTTGCAGAGTCCTGGACGCAGCGTGCATCTGGCTCCGAGCTGAGCGACCTGACGTAGCTCCCCCCCGGCCACCCCTGGCCCGTACGCGGATACCCGCGGAACGACAAGCCACCACTGCTGTCGTCCCATGCACCACTGTCGTTAGATCTGCATATCGCCATCTGTGTGTCGTCCATCGTCGATCCTCGAGGTGTTTTTGACATTCTCGAGCTCCAGCACTTCGAAGAGCAACAGTTGCATACTACATCTCTGCGCCGGTGACGACTTTCCGGTGCCCGTGGCATATTCACATTAGCTGCCATCCTCCAGCCACACCGTCATCCAGCATGGCGAACCCGTACCATTACGGCTCGACCGGCTTCCCTCCAGACGGCTCTTCCTCAAGAGACTATGACAGCCGGTCGCAGGCCACATACCCGTCCTTCTCGAATCCGAACGCGGCCTTCACGACCGCGCCAACCCCTCCGCTCAACCGACTATCACACCTCTTGAACCCAACCACCGAACCGACAAGCGAGCTCTTTTCAACGCGTGGCCACCAAGGCACGCATGCCGACTCAGACCACAATGGCACCATGTTCGACGGTGCCCAGTCTCCCGCTCCTTCGCGGACGCCGCATCTCCCTCCAGCCTCGAGAGCTTTCGAGAAGTTCATGAGCAACGGCTCTACAGACCACTACTGGACAAACAAGCACCGAAATAACGGCTTCTTTGTCCCATCGTATCTCCGAGGGAGCAGCTACATCCAGAAACTCGAGGAGGTTCATCGGGCGCAAGCCGCCCAGAGGGAACTACAGTCCGCCGCGACAGCCAGCGCCAGCCTCCAGAATGGACACTCCGGTGCGTCAGGTTCGAAGCAGGCGCCAGCATCACATATGGGCATGAAGATTGATGTTATTGAGCGCGCACCGACCTCTGACTATGACGACGTCGTGGCTCCGCTGCCGTCCAAGTGGAACAAGGATGACAAGTACGGCGGGCTTGAGGTCATTGGCGACGGGCAAGAGGTCAAGTACAACACTTCGAGGGGCACGAAGGACCAAGACCACGAGGTCTGCTCAATCAGAGCAGATCATGCCATGCCAAACCAAGCGGGTATCTACTACTTCGAGATCTCTATCTTGTCCAGGCGGCGAGACGAGTAAGCTTCCCCTCTCGATCTGGTCGGCTTATCAGCAGCAGTAGACACCGATACTGACAATGTGACAAAACTGTAGAACTTCAGTATGTATAGGCGTCTCGAACAAATCGGTACCCCTATCCAGACCACCTGGGTGGGAGCCCGAGTCCTGGGGATATCACGGCGACGATGGCGAAGTATATGTGGGCGCGAATGTTGGTAAAAAGTACGGCGCACGGTTCGGCCCAGGTGACTTTGTCGGCTGCGGCGTAAACTTTCGGACACGCAAGATCTTTTTCACGCGGAACGGATCCATACAGAACTCAGGGCAGCGTGAGTCGTTCCGATCCAGTCCTCGGGAGACCTTTCAGCTGACACGATGGATTTGAAGCTGCTGCACGAGACATAAAGGGCAAGCTGTACCCCACGATCGGGGTGAAGAAGACCGGGGAGCACATTCGCGTCAACTTTGGACACACCCCATTCGTATTTGACATCGATGCTATGATGGCGGTATGTACAAACGGGCATGCACAAACGCTATGATGGTTCGGGATCATTGATGCGCTAACAAGCCGACAGAAAGAACAACAAGCTATCCAAGAGTCCATAGCCCAGACCAGGTAGGTTGACCTTTTTGGCCCATGTGCAGCTCTATGGTTAACACAGACCAGCATTGAACGTCTAGTACCTGGCATGGACGAGACCGAGCTGATACAACAACTGGTGCGTACCAGCCCCCCAAAGGATACGAATATGTTGTTCGTAACTGACCTTGCAATAGGTGCTCCAATTTCTGCAACACGACGGCTACGTTGAGACTGCACGGGCCTTTGCGGATGAGATTCACCAGGAGAAGCAGGCACTAAACCTGAACTCGAACAAAACTATTGACAGCGCCACGATCAAGGATGATGAAGACGCTAATCGTCGGCAACGTGGGTATTTTCTTAGTTCTCAGTGCTTCACTTTGCTGACCGCCTCAACAGGCATCAGGAGAGCGGTCCTCGAGGGAGATATCGACAAAGCCCTCAAATATACGAATCTCTACTATCCTCAAGTTTTGGAAGAGAACGACCATGTGTACTTCAAGCTGCGATGTCGAAAGTTCATCGAGATGGTGCGCAGATCGGCCGAGCCGAACAACAACGGCCTGAGGAAGAAGAGCAGCAGTCGCACGCTAAGCGATGTTCCTAATGAAATGGACGTCGACGAGAACGGCTTCGATGACGAGATGGAGACCGAAGATGGGTCAGAGCCAGGGACAGAGGACCAGGACCTTTTGTCCCAGACGATCGCATATGGGCAGTCCTTGCAAGCCGAGTTCAAAGATGATCCCAGGCGGGATGTCAGGAAGACGTTGCAAGACATCTTTGCCTTGCTAGCATATCCGAACCCGCTCAAGGTCAAGGAGCTCGCGCCACAGCTTGACCGCAGGGGTAGGGCCGCTGTGGCTGAAGATCTGAACTCTGCCATCCTATGTGAGTGACAATGCTTGAAATAGTGGCCACCCTCTTCGGCTTTGCTGACAATTGCTATGTAGCATCCCTGGGCAAGTCTTCTCGGTCGGCTCTGGAAACTCTGTATGGGCAGACGAGCGTCTTGCTGGACTATCTACGTGAGGATGGGGGCTCTGGGTCCTTTGTGAGCATCCAGTCGATTGTCGACGATATCCCAAAGTCGCCCACTTTCTGAGAAGATTCGCTGGTCACATCGGTCAGGGTAGAGTTGCACGCAGGCTGCTACGTAGGGGCACAAACTCATGACCGTGCATAGCCTGCCGGGGCATTTTCGTTTGGGTTTGGCGTTTTGCGCTTCTTCAGTAATAGCATCACTCCATCGGCTGGCGGTTTGGTTTGTGCGGTAATTCCTCCCCACCTTGTTCTCGTTTGGCAGCATTGCTTGCCATGCTTGCCGTATGGTCAACACGAATACATGAGTCATAAACCATATCAGAGTTATTGGATGTGCTCAACGTCTTGTTTAGGTACCTCTCTACAAGAGTCCAGTGCGACTCTGACACAATTCGTCCTCTTGCTCTTCCACTCCCGGAAGTCTTGCCCATCTAGTCCACCATGTGCGCTTGTAATGGCTTTGAAGAAGTGACGACTCTGCCTCAATGTGACCACACCGATACACAGTCTACTACGACCATCGTCTTGCCCCCCTTCCCATCGTCTTCCTCGCGCATACCGGCAGCGTGTGTCTTGGTGGGCTTCCCGTGGATTAGTCTCTTGAGGCCAGCACCGCCGGCACTCTCTTCTTCTTCTTCTCCTCCTCCTCTTCCCACGCGACTGCCTTGAATGTTGCTGCTGCTGCTGCTGCTGCTGCTGTTGCGGCCGCCGAGGTAGCGCTCGTAGACGCCGGGGGGCATGGCCCACGGCGGGCCGGGCTCGTCGGGGGACTTTGTTGAGGGGAACTCGAGGCAGACTAGTCTCCCGCCGGGTCGCAGGAGGAGGCTGGACAGCCGGTTGGCCCACTGTGGTCGGGCTGAGGGGGGGAGGGCGCAGCCGAACTGTGTGTGCGTGTGTGGCTTTTGAGTTAGTCGGTGTTGCGTGGAGGTAGGTAGGTAGGTAGGTAGGTAGGTAGGTAAGGAAGTAATTCCCTGCCGGGTTTGAAACGCATACCGTGTAGTCAAAGATGAGATCGAACTTGACATCCTTCTCGCCGCCGCCGCCGCCGCCACTGACCTGTTCGAGCCAGTCGTCCTTGAAAAAGTCGCCCTCGACAAACTGGAAAGAGCCTGGTTCCGGGCTGGCATGCTGGACAACGCCCCCGGCGAGTTTCACCGGGTACGTCCCGTCCTTCTGGCTCCGCTCTGCATGTTCCCTGGCTCGCTGGATCCCGATGGGCGACAGATCGAGCCCGACGACGTCGTAGCCCAGCGAGCCGAGAAGGAGCACATCGTAGCCGCGGCCGCAGCCGGGGACGAGGGCTTTCGGACGACGACGACCATGGCGATATTGGTCGCCACTGTCAGTAGTGATGGTAGTGGAGGAACCGGAGGAGCAGCACGGATGACCAGGAAACAACTCGCCCGCCGTACGACCTTGGCCCTCGTCGTCGTTTTGTGGCGGCAGGCCCTGGGTCAGGATCTCGAGCAGCGCGACGCTGTGCTGCCCGCGGTCCCAGTCGGTCTGGTTGCGCTGCCAGCACGTGTTCCACCGCGAGCCGTGCTCGGATAAGGGCCTGTCCTTGAAGTGGTCGGCCAGTGTCTGAAGCCCGTCCGCCTGCGAGGCCTCGGTGGTTGTTGCCATTGAGGGCGAAGATTCAGGCTGTGATGTATCAGGATTGAGGATCAGCTGTGAGTTTGGCCCCAAGGATGCTGCTTCTGTCACGATGCTGTCTTTGAGCCGGCTTGCATAGAGTTGTTTTTAGTGACGACTATGGCATGCAAATGGCAGGCAGGCAGGCAGGCTCAGCAGCCACGAGCTGTGCGTCTTCAGGGTACTGACCTGTGTAAGGCAGACCAATATCTGGCAATTCTATGAGAGATGCCGTCTACCACCGCAGGTGTTAGTCGAGGCCGAGCAGATTCTCGTCCATTTAGCGATCAAGTGTGCGTCATGGTGTTGTGGGGAGATTGTGGGGTGTCTTGGCCAGCCCGATCTTAGTAGTGGCCGAGTCGGGTTGAGATCCTGGCTGGAGTGGCTGTCTCGTTCACACACTCTTTTTTTCTTTTTTCTTTTTGATACACAACGACAAATAATAGGTCACCAGATTCTTGATGCTCATGAAAGGTGGCTCAAGTCATGTCGCCATGGGTTCTGCTCACTGTGTTCCTGGGAGCCTTTTAGCTGGGACACTCACTGGCCGGACGAGCCTGGGGTAAAGTGGGCTGGCTGGCTGCAGCGGAACGCGATTCCGCACTGGGTGTGCTCCATACAAAGCTCCTGTGCCTCGGCTGCCGGGGGGGACGTTTCAACACTGCCAACAAACCAAAACACAGCACCATCGAGACGAGACATTGGCTGCATCTTGCAAACTCGACACAGCGATATCCTCCACCAAAACCCTCCCCGTCAAGTGTCAATCTGTACGTTGCTGCCCTGTCTGCCTCGATTCATAACCTCTGAGCTGCTGCCCCTACGTGTTGGGCGAGCATTGCGCTGTTGTTGTCACGACGTTTGGTTTCTCCCAGCTTACTATGCTTCCACGACGGGATTGTGAGACTGCCTCGAGGAAAGACTGTTGCTAATAATAAAAACCCAAAGCTACATCCTGCACCGCACTCGCCTGGTGGCCATCCACGGAGATCGTCACATTTAGTCTGCGTAGCGCAGACCTACGTTCGCCAACATGGAGATCAACAGCCTCTTCGACGTCAGAGTAAGCCAACCGTTTGAGATCGTCCTGCATACCCTGATCGAGCCATGTTCAATGCAGTTGTGCATGCTTTTCTGCAGAGCGGGAACAGCTGCTCTGTTGCAATAGTCTCCCCTGGTACTCCGGCAACCCATTCTGCTCTTCGAACACAAGCTAATACTCTAGTCGTAACAGGGCAAGGTCGTCCTGGTCACAGGAGGTCCGTAGTCATCACCGCAGCCCCGTCTCCGAATCTCTCAGCATCTCACTAACACGTCTCCCTACAGGAGCCCGAGGCATCGGCCGCATGATCTCGGAAGGCTTCGTGACCAACGGCGCCAAGGTGTACATCGCCTCCCGGGACGCCAAGGCCTGCGAGACGGCCGCCCGCGAGCTCACCTCGCTCGGCCCGGGGTCCGCCCACGCCATCCCCGCAGACCTGCTCAAGCTCTCCGAGTGCGAGAAGCTGGCGGCCGAGCTATCAAGGCGGGAGAAGGAGCTGCACATCCTCGTCAACAACAGCGGCGCGACCTGGGGAGCGCCCCTGGACGAGTTCCCCGACGCCGCGTGGACAAAGGTGCTCACGCTCAACCTCCAGCGCGTCTTCACCCTGACCCAGCTGCTCCTCCCGCTGCTCCAGGTGCCCGGCCAGAAGTCCGCGTCCTCGCCGCGCAGGGACAGCCCCGCGACCGTCATCAACATCGGGAGCATCGACGCCCTGCGCGTGCCGCTCATCGAGAGCTACTCGTACTCGGCGGCCAAGGCCGGGCTGCACCACCTCACGCGCGTGCTCTCGCAGAAGCTGGGGCCCCAGGGCATCACGGTCAACACGCTCGCCTGCGGGCCCTTTGAGACCAAGATGATGGCGCACACCCTCGAGAACATGCGCGGGGTGATCGAGGAGGGCAACCCGATGGGCAGGATCGGGCTGCCGGGGGATGTCGCGGGGGCGTGCTTGTTCCTGGGCAGTCGTGCGGGCTCGTACGTCAACGGCGCGACGCTGAACATTGACGGCGGTGTACACTTGGCTGCCAAGATGTGAAGACAGACCAGAGACAGAAAAACCTCGGAGTGGGTGGGTTGGCTTTTTTTTTGTGTGGTTCGGCCTTTGGTAGAGTTGTTTTGGGCGTGAATCCGGCCATGAATAGTACCCTATTGTAGATAACAACATGGCAATATGTACAGAACAGACATGCCACCACACCATCGTACACTGTAAATCCATTGCGCCACCCCCATCATAGTCCTCGTATAACCATGTGATGTTGTACAGTGAGGCGTCGTGACCTCTTTTCTTTTCATGACCTCATGTATGCCATTCTCAGACCCCCCCTCACATACCCACTGGCCTCTATGCTTCCAGTTTAGTTGCTCCCCCAGCACCGCTCATAGACCCGGTCTCGATGCCTCACCAGCGCGGGGAACTCGCGCACGATATCCGCGAGCGTGCGGTCACCCCAGCCAGCCTCGCAACCACTGGACGCGACCGCCGCCGCCGGGTCCAGCAGAATGAGATGGGTATACGCAAACACCGCGGCGTCAAACACGCCCGGTGCCTCTGCGCCAAAGAACCACCCTCCTCCTCCTGCTCCTCCTCCACCTCCCCCGGCGGATTGTTGCTCCTCGAGACACGTCGCCAGTGCGCCAAACGCCCGCCTCGCGTCCTCGTACAGCTTGTTGCTCTCCTTCTTGCTGTCCGCGGGGCCTACCGACCTGCTCGCCTGGCTATATATTACTCGTAATATGTCCCCGGAGGACGCACCGCCACCGCCACCACCGCCGCCGCTGGACTTGAGGATCTCGGCCTCGGCGGCGGCGCGCAGCTGGTACAGCGTCGTGGTCTGCACGACCGCGGCGCTGCTCGTGGGTTGGATGTACCAGTGCCGCAGGAGCTCGGTGTTGGCTGGGTCGAGGTACAAGGCGTACAGCCAGGCGTTGCGGACCGCGTGGTCGAGCAGCGCCGTGTAGCTTTCTAATCGGTGGTTCTGGGACGCGGAGATGTCGGATACCGGTGTTGGCTGGTTGGGTTTGAATTTGGTGATGGTGCTGGTGGTGGTAGTGTTTGTGGTGGCCCTTGCTGCGTAGGACAGTGCATATTGCTCTAGCTTGTTTGATGATATTATTGATGGAGCCGCGGCGGTGGTGCCGGTGCTGGTGCTGGTGCTTGCGCTGGCGTTCGAGATCGCTGGGATGAGGAACGGCAGGGCGCCGTTGGGCGAGGCGTGGTTGTTGGACGGGGCGAGCTGCAGGTCCTTGATGCCCGCGAGCCGCAGGAAGGTCTGCCACTTGAGGCAGGTCGGGTTGTAGCTCGGCAGGCCCTTGAGGGCGTCGGCGTCGGAGATGAAGACGTATAACGTCGCGACGTCGCGCTGCTGGGGCGAGCGGGCGGGCAGCTCGTTGGGCGGGTACGTGAGCAACGGGAACTTCTTGAAGAGCCGCGCGAGGGGCGCGGGGATGGAGAACCAGCCCGACTCGGACGTTGACGGCCGTGTTCTCGAAGAGGGGCCTTGTTTCTGGGGCTGTGACTGCTGCTGCTGCTGCGTCGCAGCACCCTCGTGGTGCTTCACTTCCGACATGTTGGTCTATGAGGTAGTCGTCGTCGTCGTGGCCGAGAGTGTAGGGTCGTTCGTGTACTGTCACAAGGGAAACGCCGCATGCATTGACCGCCCAAAGATGCAGGCACAAGTGGTTCAGCCTCACTGACGTCAGACAGGCACACACGTGTGATTCGCAACCACCTGGCGATTGTAGATAGGCTTGTTGTGGGTGGTGGTGGAGCCCCCGCGTGTGTGTTCTCGGTGAGGTAACCCGACAGCCCTCGAAACGCGGGCCAAGCCAGAAAAAAATTCATGCCAGAGCAGCGCCGAGCCGGAGCCCGGAGACGGGCCGTTTATGCGGCAGGGCCGGCCGGAGCTGCTGGCAGCTGCTGGCCAGGAAGCGCATTTGCAGCGCTCAAGTGCATGGTGCCTCAGGCGCCATCGTTAATTAAGTCCATTTGCGCAGTCCCCCACACCCCCACGCTCGGATTTTGGCAATGGACCGGTACGTACCCATCATGAGGCTCGCCAGCATCAGCCTCATGCATGCACGTACAAATGTGCTGGATGGGTGCATTCCCGCCGAGCCGCAAACGAGCAAGGGTTGCGCTGCACGACCTTCCACGAAAAGCTCAGGCGCCTGCACTCAAAGGAGGCAGATCCAGGGTCCAGGACCCTGCCACGTCCATGTCCGCTGGAGCCCAGCGGCATCACTTCAAGCTTTCTCCGAAGCGCGAGCCCCAAGGCCAGGGACACGATACGATATCGTGCGTGCCCACACCGCAACCTTGTCCGCCACACGAGGCACATCCCGAGGAATTCTCGCGCGCGCGCTCCAAGCACAGACAGACGGGAAATGGCGGCTCCGCCTGCCCTGAGATAAGCAGTCCAGCGGGCCGGCGAGCCTCTGCTTCCAAAACCACCACCACGAACACGTGCATCCTGGGATGAATGCAGAGACCGGCCCAGAGCGTCACAGGCAGAACCGGGCTCAACGCCGGTCGAGCCAGCACGAGCTAGTCAGACTGCGCCGCCCACCCGCCAGCTCACTGCACGAGGCACTGCAAGTTATTCTTTCCACGGATATGTTTAGGTCCCCGCAGAGTCTAGAAACCTTCGACGTTGTTCCGACGGAACCGTGGCCGAAGCAGACGGGCGGATCGTCACTCTGTGGCATCGCCTCGCGGGCATGTTCTTTGACAACGTAGCAGCGTGGGTATCGTTTGGTGCTCGGTCGCAGCCGCAGAGCCTTTCATCGAACCAGCAGAGTGTAGTCGGCCCGCAGTAGAACCGCTCCGGCATTTCCCTTGAGAACCCTCCCTCCTTGGGCGGACCACTTATCAATATCGTCGGCCGAATGGAATAAGGATGGCACAGACAGCAAGGGCCTTCGGGCAAAACGCCGGCCTTTTGCTGCCAAGGGCCGAGTCATTGTTCTTCCCTGCTTTCAATTGCCTGGTCATCCATGCCCTCGAGCCCTGTCCATTGCGGGGGGATGCGGAGGGAATGAGGAGGCTGTGGTGGCAAAACATGTGGAAAAGGTAGAAATGGGGAACTCGAGTCGTGTCTCGTGCGTCCGGGCCGTATCCACCGCACGGGCTTGAAGGTTGTAAAGCAGGCTCGGGGTGGCTCCGAGGTGTCCTTGCTTCGGAACCCACCCGCCTGCCACTCTCCACGCGCTGCCCGCGTCGCGAGGCGGCCAGAAATGATGATGGCCGGAGCAGGCAAGCAAGGGCGGGCTCGTGCTTTGCTCCACAAGAGGAACAATCTAGCGTCAAGGCATTTCTTCGTTGCGGAGACCCTGAATTTTTTGAGTCTGGGGCTGGCCTGGATCATGCATGGTACATAAATGCTGTCACGGATCGGCAAAGTGTGTCCACACGTGCAAGTGTCTTGTCATGGCACTCTTTGTGCCGTGTTCAAGGCTATTCGCGGCTTCATGGTCTGACGATGGGCTGGTGATGTCGAGTTCCGGGGCTGTCAGAGCTTACATTTCAAATATTGATGGACCGTGCTGCTTCGAAACGCCAGGGCTGGCTCCCTTGTTTCGATTGGTGCGCATACCCCAATTACTGTCCCACGATTGCAGCGTTCGCCTCTCGAGTTCGTCAGGACAGACACAGAGCCCGTGTCATGAACCAGATCAGCCCTTGAGACCGAGGTAACAAGCCCTTGAGGAGCGCAAAGCATATCGTAGGCCAACACATGCTTGCCGCTATCTAAGCTTCAACAGAACGACCCCGCACGTTCTCTACAGCAGACCAACATGAGGTGACAGCAAACACCATGATTAGCTCAGCGCCATGGACAGTATTGGTCGACCCCAAACTCAAAACATGTTCCGTGAATAGCACACCTCGGCGCAGGGTCGTCACTCAAATGGCATGATGCTTGTGACAGGGCCGTAGTCAGACTGCCGCCAAAGATGCTGATTGCCCCATAGGCATGATGGGTGGCTCTTTGTGAAATCTGAAACCGGCAAGCCCGCGATGCTGCATCGTTGGTCGACAAGCTCTTACTATTGCAACCCGGCGATCTTGAAGGCCGGAGATTTGGAAAATTGTCCCTGCATTGGGGCTGTGAATCAGGTCTTTTCTGGGCGCGGCGACTGCCCCGGAGCTCACTCCTGACAGGCTCGGCAGGCACAGCATGCATCAGCAGGACACCCATCGTGCTGCTATCGTGCATTCCGTCAGCAGTCTAAGTTGGTGCGTCTGTTTGTGGATGGACAGCTGAAACTCAGCAGTGCCAGCCTGGCCACACTAAGTCTCCAGGATCTTCGAAGTGCTCAGTGCTGTGGATGGTCAAAGATCTCGAGGCTGACACGTGCAGATGCAGAAGTGTGTGCCTCGCCTGGCAGATGCCGTCAAACGCATTTGACCAACCCGTCTCGAAAAGTCGTCCAAAGGCAAGCGCGCGATGTGAGGCAGTGAGTCGTAGACGGGATGAAGATATAATCAGCCAACACCCACGGTCTGCATTCTTCCTCACCACCCATCAGCGATATCAGCACCCACCAGATCAGGCCTCACCCCCTTAGACGACCACACCACCAACCAAGCTGCTCTCTGCCCGTCCCAGCATCATCACCGGCTGCTGTCAAACAGTCATTGGCGTCATCCCGCGTGTGCCCAGCCAGCCAGCCCTCTGCACGCCTGCCCACGCACGCTACTGGACGCCGCCGTAACCTTCTCCAACCATCCATCCCGCGCTGCTGCCACCCTCTCCGTCCAGCCCTCGTGCTGCACGTCACGCCCACTCCGTTCTGTTACCAGGCGCTGCAGGCAGGCGTTGGCTGCCACACCACCTCCTCCCGCATCCTGGTCCGCACACACACACAGCCGACAACGTATAGAGAAGTCAGGCTGCCCGATCACAAGCCCAAGCCGCAGGCAGCAAGGGAGGGAGACACACACCTCTCCTGGATCGCATAAGACGTGCTCACAGCCCACCAGCGAGTGCAGTTGGAGTCTTGCACAAACATTCCCTTTGAAAATCCTTCCGGTGGCCATCCAACCTCTGGGCTCCAGACGCCCGCGAGACGCAGAGAAGCTCGTGCCCTCGGAACGACAAAACCCCACACGACGCCCCAGTCTGCTAGTGCTCGAGCTTTCTCGGCGTAGCTGTCGGTTCTTCTCAAGTTTTCCCGGGGTCGACCCACTCTGATCTTGGTCCTTCCCATCCTGACCCGAAGCGGCCCTACCGACCGGCCCTGCACTTCAGGCGCTTTTCGAGCCCCGTCATTCCACCGCCAACGGCCCACTACTCGGCCAAATCGTCCCCTTCCTCCAGAGACTTATCACAAGCAGTTCCACTTGGCCGCTTGTCTATTATATACGGCCACTCTCCCGCGCGCAAGCCCGGCTGGTTTCCCTCCCAGAACCTTCATGCTCTTCCCGTCACTCGGTTTGATCTAGGAAACTATCTCTCACCATACATTATTATATTGTGGCCTCTTGGAACAACCATCAGCAAACTCCAAACACCATCCACACCATCCAGGACATACTACTCTGTGTTCGCAAAGCATTGTCGCCATCACCACAAACACAACACACCTTCTTCACAATGGACATGCCTCAACGCTCCACCAGCAGCTCATCGAGCGCTTCCAACTCGACGATGCAGCCTTCGCCTTCTCAGAGCTACGTGCCTGCACCCAGCCCACCCATGGGTCAGCAGTCCAGCGGCACCGACATGTTCCTGAGGGACTTCAACCTGGTCGCCGAGGCCGCCAAGCGCGCCCAGATGGCCGTCATGATGCGCGACCTTGACGACTTCTGCATTTCGTGAGCGGACTGCTAGGCGCTCTTACCAGCCTTTTTGGCCTGCAGTCCTACAACTGCGACATCCGGCCTGAACGATGCAGCAGGTTTCTCTATCCCTGGCGGCTGCATCAGTACTTGTTCCGGCACTGTCTTCGCAATGCGCAAGGGACGAAAGCGCACCCTGACGTCTTGCCCCACCAGCTCGGAGGCCTAGGCTAAAGCGCTGCAAAGCCAGCACGAGTTGCCTCGGGTGTCCCGCCGGGTTTTTCCCACTCCCTTCGGGTGCATCGTCATCACCCTCCGCACAATGCAGGGGGTCGCCGCATTGCATCACCCTCGCACCCATCGATGCGATCGGCTCGAGGCCTTGCTCTGCTATTGCTCATATCCGCCCAGAGATAACAGAAGCACGCAAGCCTCGGATGAACATTTGGCGAGACGCTCGTGCCAGCAAGGGCCACCGTGCTTGCCTTCAGGGTCCTCTGACCCCAGTCACTCCGTCTTATTGGCGGGGTTACCTGTCTCGGGATAGACGGCGCATCAATCTCCTCACATCTTCACTTTTCTCTCTCTGTAGCCATCCACGCAAGCGACTGCTTTTCAGGCCCGCAAATCTTGTCGAATCGGCCGCACATCATGTCTCACGACTCCAGGAGGATCTGGAGAAGGCGTTCAATCAGGCGTTAGCATTCATTCAAGCATACCCAGTAGCGACGAGATCGTCGGCATTGTTTCTTCTCAACTTCAATACCAATATTATCAACGTAATGAAGCCAATCTGCTGTGTACCAAGACTGTCGGTGTGACTCGCCTTTGTGGCAAGACTAATGGGTTTCTCCAGTGATCGTCTACAACACTGACCCAGAACTTTTGCATTGGTGATCAATGTCTGACACTGCCATGTGCGGGTCAATAATTTGCAAATCAATACTTTGCCGCCCTAACCAGCCAGCCTGATTGGAAATGCGCCTAAGCAATCGTTCCTCTCCGCACGAGCCTTACCCGACGACGGGGCGCCCACATGCTTGCTGCTGCTTTATGTGCTCGTGGAACACAGTGTGTGTACATTGAGCCAAGCCGTGTGGGGGTCCGTCCTCCACATTCCATTCATCCCGCATCCCGCATCCCACAGCCGACCCGACCCCATTCGCATTTTGCCGGTAGAGTGGACGACGTAACATGCGATCCTACGGGGGTTGGGACACGCACATACGCACGCATGCACGCACACGGGAAAATACGCCCAAAAGGGGGTCGTCAGATAGCCCAAAGGAGAAAGCTGGTGATGACTGAATTCAACATGGGTGTGTGCACAGTCGAACGCACACACGCACGCACACACAGCCGACCGAGGCTTCACAGTGGCAGGGATTAGCGCCGGATGAGAACCAGATTACAGTAGTAGGCGTGTTAGCTTGCACGGGCAGGTCTCAAGATGGCGTGCCGTCCCCAATGTTTTCTTCTGCTAGACCTTGGTCATGTGGTGCTGTTGTTGTAGTAGTGCCGCAAGTTGATGCGACTAGTGACGATCGCTGATCGATAAAGCAGTAGTGCTGACGACAAAGACGAAGGAAGAAGAAGAAGAAAAGGAAGAAGACAAGTGATGATGTCGCAATGCCGCGGAAGTCGTCCTCCGCGCGCGAGCGTCTTTGTCTCCAGGCTCTCTGAACATCAACTGTTGACAAAACACGCCTTCCAAAGAAAGGAGCATCGCTGTCCGGCGCTTTGAGGAAGCTCGCAAGGTAACCTGCCTACGGACACGAGATGGGAAGGACGCGCGGGCGTCGTTATTTAATTTAAAACAAGGTGTCTTCCGCTGCAAGACGGAGCAGGGAAAGGTCGTGATATATATTGTGTCTCTAAAGTGCATGCATGCTCACCGGCTGGCACGATGCCGCACCTCGCATGCACATACCATATCAATACCAATGGGGTGAATGAGCTCACATACTACGGTAGGTAAAGTACATACATGTCGACATGTGCCGAGTGGCCGTGGGGGGGATAAAGCACCTTCCCACCTGCAGTTGCATTCGAGTGTGGGGCCCCCACACACCTGTACCCCCACTACACAGTTTGGGAAAGAATGGGTGGTGCACTGTGGCAAACAAAGTGGTTGCTTACTTCTGACATAATCCTGCATTTGGACTGACGAGCTGACTGCATATGGTAGGTGTGTCGTGGCAAGTCAAGTATGTACGCGCATGCACAGAACAACCTTGGCCTTGGCCCCAGTTGCTTCGCTGCAGGAACGCTCGTCCGAGGCCACTATCATGCGTTCATGTCAGTCCGGGGGGATGGCGCTTGCTCGCAAGACCACCGTCCAGCCAGGACTCTTTTGGTTCTTCGAGCAATACTGAACCCCACCTTCGTCGTCAGGGACTTTTCGAAGGGATCCTTACTGAAAATCCATCACAAAAGGGACCCCATCCCTCTCCACACAGCCCCCGACACGCGGGCACGGGAACAAAGAGTGAGTGCCTGGGCGCCAAGTTGAGAGAGTGCCACCGCCCGACTTGTAGATTGATGGCCTCGCGCATGTCTGGTCCGTAGTAGTAGCAGTGCCCTTACTCCCCGGATAAACAAATTACCCTCCGCTGGCAAGAGAGTGGCTGACAGAACCCGCAACCCACCACACAGCGCGGGAGCCTGGCCTTGGGCATCATAGATACGGACCATGACATGACTCGAGCGACCCTACGGCCGGCAAGATATGCACCCCCAAGACGTCCCGCCCAGGCTTGGGCCTTTCTCTGCTTTGACCGCGTCAAGCCACAGTTCGGCAAGTACCCGACCGAGACGGGTGGGCTCCGAGGCGTTTCTCTGGCCCAGTCTTCTTTTGTTGTCCCTTTGGGCAGCTTGGCGGTCTACCCGTAGTCCGGTTGGCAGGGACAGAGCGAAACTTGTGCGGAGTGCCCGAAAGAGGCAATTTCTACCGCCCGCCGTCGGGGATCCTCTGACTCGGCCGATGGTGACGGGATCGTAAATAATCTGGGGTTTCTTCTCGCGGGTTCTTGTCAGGGAAGGCCTGGTAGGCGGGGTCCACAGTATCGTTCTTGATGTGCTGTCGTCATGTGATTTCCATCACCTGCAATCCATCACTTGCGTCTTTCTTTGCGCCATTCAACAGTTGTGCAAGTGATTCTAAAGCCTGGGAACGGGGGGCTTTGTGTCGTGGTCTGTGGCGTGCCGGAAGCAAAGAGCAAGAGGGCGTTTAACATATCTCAACAAGGACTGAACCCGCACTGCCAGAGTGGTGAGCGACGGCTAGATCTCGAGAAGGCATTAAACAAGGCAGACCGTCATAAACAAATGCGAATCGAATGAAGCCAACAAGCCTTCATTGCTTGGATCTCCCTTTGCTTGTCACCAATAAGAACAGACGAGCTGGCCATTATCCTACCACGCCTCAGTTCAAGCCAGGCATGGCAAGGGGACCACACGATTCTGCTCCTTCTGCTGCCGGCTCTTGAAATCAAGGCAGATGGCTTCAACAATCGTGGCGAAGACACTGCTGTGCTCCAAGATACTTTGGGTTTTGGATGATAGACTTCGGCGCTGACAAGGAGACGTACAAGCCCCGAAATATCAACTCACAGCTCCAGTGCTCGATACAACTGACTCCGTGGATCGTAATCAACTAGTGGACTTTGCGACTAAGTTCCCGCCGTTGCTGCCAACTCCGTCATTATATTTAGGTCTTCGCAACCAACTCGGTGTTTGGAGATCAACATTTCCCAACCCAAAAGCAGCATTCGCAGAAGCCCCACGGATCACACCGTCTTCGTCACATAGGCCCTCCTGTTGAAAAGATCCGATCCATCGTACACTGAAACAGTCTGCCAATGGTATTTCATTTTCCATAGTTTCTGATGCAGACAAAGTCCACCAATCGGTCAAACCATTTCGCCTCTTCACCCTGCAGACGCACCTGGCGCAATACACGCTCATCAGACCATTTGGAGCACATGCAAGCTCTCGTCTGAACTCCACCAATATTCCAGATCCCCGGGTCGCCAGCGATCGTGGCCTCGCTCCCGATTCGGGCTCCCCGGAGGTTGATATTCCGAAAAGCCACAACGGCTCAAGTCCCCCCCCGCCCCCCCCCCGCTGGGCACCCCCACGAAATGCACATATCTAGATTTGACAACCTCCTCCACAAAGATGGATATATACCCTCCCACGGGGTACGTATAAAACATGGATGTAAACAAGCTTCTACAAAGCCTAAGACGGCGTGCATGGAGGGGCGCTGCGAATCCAACCCAGGGTTGTTGCTGCTGTCCAGGGGTTAAGCTACACTTGGTTCTCCCTGCCCTCCCCCCTTCCTTCTCCACGCTTTCCCCCCAATCTATTTCACAATCTGACACTAGATTGTGCTCGCGTGACCATCTGAGTATGTGGTCAGTCGGCAAAAGCAAAGAGCAAAAGCGAAGAGCCAAAGCTTAGGATAAAAGCTTCAAACTCAAAGGAGGATAGCAACGTGATTCCAGAAACGTTACATCGATCACCGTCCTCCTCCCCCTCCTCCTCCTCCTTCTTGTTTCGATTCTCCGAAGCTGCAGGTCCATCTGTCTTGTGGATGATTGGAAGGTATTATTGCGCAAGACTTTAACACGGACAGTCCATCGCCGAGAGGATAGCCAGATACTGGCAGTGCTGGTCGTAAGATGCGTGTGTGTGGGTGTGTATAAGAGAGAAAGAGAGAGTGAGAGCGAGAGAGAGAGAAGCTTCTCCGTGTTAGTCCCAGATCGCGTCAATCGAGTTCATCGTGTGCGCAATGATTTCGGAGTACATGGTCTCGATAAGCCGGTTCTCGAGAAAGAACTATGATTGCGGGATCAAAGTAGTCCACCGCCAAATTCCTCCCCCCCCCCTTTCCAGGTAACGAGCCATTAGCCATTACATTCAGATCCTTGCAGTCGATCTGGGCATGTTTATGCGCCTGGGCAGAAGAAGTCACTGCAACTGCAAACGCAAAGGCAACCCCTATTTCAACACTATCTGCATGAGTCAGCATGCGTCCCGTATTGCAAATCTATGTTAGGTAGTGGCCTCTCAACCCGTAAGCCTTCACTTTGGACTGCTGTCACTGAGCTGGTGTCGCTGGTCCATGGGTGACAGTCAATGCATGATGTGCTTGACTAGTTTGGACACGCCATACGGGAGGTGTTTTGGTTACGGTAAGGACTCAGTCAGTGACTGGGAGCGCGATAAGCAAGATGCTACAACTGAATGTGTGGCAACATCCTCAACCGTGACACCTGCCCTATTCATGTACCGGGTAGAGAATCGTGTTGCTTTACGCGTCGATGATCGGGTAATGGCCAGGCGTAGGTGTATGTCTCATCAAGACGTCAAATTCACAGATGGGATCTAGGAGGCACTGCACACGCCTTCGGAAGCGAGTCTCGTGCGTCTCCATTCTTCAACGCGATTGTGAAAAACCTCATCCTACGCCTATAAACTTTTTTGGGGGATGCTCAATAGCTACAAGGCCAGTTTCTCATGCTTGTATCTCCTCTGCCCCTCCCCTTCACCATAAACCGCCGTCACATGACCATTACCGCGAATCTGGTACTTGTAAATCATCAGGCCCTCCAGTCCTACAGGACCCCGCGAGTGGATTTTATTCGTGCTGATGCCAACCTCGGTGCCGAACCCGTACCGCATGCCGTCGGCAAACCGCGTCGAGGCGTTCCAGTACACGCCAGCGGCGTCGACGCTGGCCATGAAGCGTTCGGCGAGCTCCTCAGACGACGTCAGGATGCAGTCAGTATGTTTTGAGCCGTGCTTGTTGATGTGCTGCACTGCCTCGCCCAAATCCGCCACAACCTTGACCGCCAGAGTCAGGCTCAGGAACTCAGTGTCAAAGTCGACGTCTTGCGCATCCTGGATGTACTTCGAGACTAAATCTGCCGGCAACTTGCTCGAGAGAGCGGCCTTTGATCTCGAGTCGCACTTGAGCGTGACGTCCTTGGCGATCAGCTTCTCGGCAACTCCTGGAAGGATGCTCTCTAGTGCTGTCTCCTGCACAAGCAGCGTCTCGAGACTGTTGCAAGCTGCAGGGTAACTCGTCTTCGAGTCGACGATGACGTCTGCGGCTAGCTTTGGGTCGACAGACTGCTCGAGGAAGATGGAGCACAAGCCGTCTGCGTGACCAAGGACCGGAATCTTGGTCGAAGACTTGATGTACCTTACGAGCTCGTTGGAGCCCCTGGGAATGACGAGATCGATATATTGATCGAGGTCAAGAAGTTGAGGGATGACATCGCGCGTGGTGACAAGCTGGATGGCTCCATTGGGGACCTGGGTATTGTCCAGCGCCGCAGAGATGACCTTGGAAATGGCCACAAAGGACTCTGTGGATTCCTTGCCGCCTAGACACTTTCATTTTAGCGTGGCACCGAGGCGACATCATAAAGATTCTCATCGTACATACCCTTGAGAATGGCAGAGTTGCCCGACTTGACAGCCAAAGATGCAATATTGGCAATGACCTCTGGACGGGCCTCGAAAATGATGAGAAGCACCCCGATTGGGCATGTGACGCGGGTCATCTCTAGCCCGTCGTCTAATCTTGTCCTCATAGTGATTTTGCCGACTGTGCAGCTGTGTCAGTTTGCATGCGAGCTGGAACGGTGACTGGAATCTGGTGGGAGACGTACCCGGGTCTTCAAGGTCTCTGACATCCAGAATACCCTTGAGCATGTCCTCCCACTTGCCCTTCTTGCCCAGATCCAGTCGAGAAATGAGGCTCTGGCTGAGCTGGCCACTTGCCGCGGCGGAGCGTGCAGCCTCGAGATCTCTGGCATTGGCAGCGAGGATTTCGTCGCGAGCAGCGCTGAGCCCGGCGTGGATGGCTGTGAGGGCATCGTTCCTCGCCGACGCCGGAAGGGTGGCCAGAATGTGGGATGCGCTCTTGGCCGACTGTGCAGCCTCGAGGGGCGACGCATTGGTGAGCGACATGGCTTCGAGCAGTTTCCTAGTATTGTCTTTTGCCTGGTCGTGCACAGAGAATGTGCCTCGTGTGCGCAGTTTGGCAGTTTGATGTCGAGGCTGGACCCTGTTACGGCGTGACTCTTGTGTGGCGCACTAAATTTTGACAACTGCGCGGGCTCCGATCTTCGCGCCACTGCGAGTGGGCATCTGCAGCCTGAGGCTCGGAGACAGTGGCATTGTCCCAGCCGTGCAACGCGGGCTGTTTCTGAGACATCACAACTCAGAACCAACCTCTTCAGCCATGAATGCCCGGCAGCCATGCTGGACATGCCACGGACTATTCCCATGCACGTGTCCCCGCTGCCACGGCCGTGTTTGCCCCAAATTGCCCGCCGTTGTGACATTGATCGCCTGCGGCCAGCCGGGTGGGTCTCCAGGCGCACTGCACCAGACTGCAAGCGATGTTCGACAGCTGCGTTGCGTCAAAGCTTGAGATCTAGACTTGATCCTGAAGCTCCTCTAGAAATTGCGCAAAAACGACAAGTACGTATTCTGATCAGACATGATCGCCTTGCCTCAGGGCACTTACCTGATGCAGTGCTGACACCAGCTGGCAGGCACAATCCGGGCCATCCAACCATGAGCGGCAAGCACGGATGAGCCAACTAGCTTCAACATCTCGAAAATCAGGCCAATGGAACCCAACCCCATCCGGAGCTGTCGCTGGTGCGTCCGGGAATAACACACAACGTACCAAATCCAAGGACGAGGACGACCGCAATGGACCATGACCACCATAAACGGGTGCCGCACAGCGGAAGAGACGCCGAGCTGCACTCACAACACTTAGACGACCCCGGGCGATCCCCAACTGGGGCCACTTGCTTCACCTGCCGGGCTAGGCTAGCCAGCACCCCGCAATCTTGAGCGACGACATCGGGACCGACGGCTGGCTGCAAGGCTGGAGGCACACATCCTCATCTCGACTGGCAGACTCCAAGCAGAGACTGTGCCCTTTAAGCAGACTAGACCAGTAGCGCCGGGTTGCGCGATGCTGCGGCGAGCCACGAGACAGCCGACGGCCGGCCTTGTGCCACGCGGCCGCCCGGTTGTCAGTATGCATAGCGATTCTCCCTCGACAGCTTGGAGTCACCCCCGTGGCCGGCTCCTCTCATAGCTGCGTATGATGTACCCGGTGCTGCATCATAGAGTTGACGAAAGGAGGCCGGGACGTTGACATCTTCCCAGACACAGCGCTGCCAGCTTCGAGTCATGCCCCGGCTGCGCCATGCGCTTCGAGGTGTTCGGGAGAGTGGACAATCCAGCGTGCCACTCTACTACAATGCTGCATCTTGGACATCAAGACCAAATCCGGGGGGGATTCCACCACAATAGGACACGGCGTTGCATCCACACAGTAATCCCCATGCTGGCGACAATCCATGTTTGTCGGCAACGCCCCCCTCTCGCCTCCCGATGCCGGATGGGTTTTCCGCGACTAAGTCGATCCACTTATCGCGTGCTTCAAGCCGATCCGCCGTTGGGGCAATCCCACTCCGATGCCGTCCATTTCGTCGTTGGTCTTTTGCTGGCGTCACGACCGCAGGTCTCTGATCCTTTCTTGCACTGCACATACTCCTTGAGAATTGCCAAGGGCCTAGCATTCATTTCCCTGGCACCCTCACAACTCGGTTGCAGGACCTCCTCTGCTGTTACAACCACTTCAAATCACCCCTTGCTCTCGTGCTCATCGCCCGGTGTTATTCCCGTTATCTCTTATACCCTGCGATATTTTTGGCAGTCGCCGCGCAATTCATTAAACATAACAACCGTCGTTGAGAGCAGGTCGCGCTACGATTCGGGCCCCAAGAACATACAGCACATTTTTATCTCGAATTGTGTGAAGGTCTCACCCCTTTGCACCTTCCGACGACTAACCGTCGCGATCTGGTATCCCTGGGGGTTTTTTTTTATAACCTAGAACGAAATCAAGGGGTTGTTTGCTTGGCATGAAAACCATGCACTGCGTTGTAGCCGACTTCTGATCCACTTGAAGCCTTCCCACTCAACTACACAGCAGGTTGGACGTCTCCAGCAAGCCACAAAGATGTCGTCCAACGATGCACAACGAGAGAAGCTGCAAGAGTCTGCAGACCAAGTAGACCATGTCGCCCCTGCGGCCTCCCCTGTGCCTATACACATACACGGCCAAGGAGCTACCACAGAGAAGGATACGGATGACAAAGCTGTCTCGCCTCAAAGCACGCGCAGCAGTTTGAATAGTCAAACCATCAACGAGATCCACAGCGAGACCGAGGCCAACGCCCCGCGGGCCGTGCTGAGAACAAAAGAGCCCCTGGTCATTGTTCCCAGAGCAGAGCGCCGCGGGCTATTTGCCACATTCTCGATACTTCCAGAAGTTCGGCAGCCACGGGACTACAGCAATTCGACCAAGTGGTTCTTGACCTCGATCATAGCCATTGCTTCATTTGCAGCCCCTACAGGGAGCTCTGTCTTTTGGCGTAAGTTCTTTCTCATCAGCCGGAAGCCTTCTAATACATGGGCATTGCTGATATCTGTCAAACATGAAGCTGCTCTGCCGGAGCTATCAAAGGCATTTGATGTCACGCCTACAGTGGTCAATCTGTCTGTAGCATTCTATATGCTGTCCATGTCTATCTTTCCACTCTGGTGGTCGTCGTTTTCAGAGCAGTATGGACGGAGAAGTATCTATATCATCTCGTTCACGCTGAACACAATCTTCTGCCTACTCAGCGGATTCAGCACGAATATTGCCATGCTCATCATATGTCGGACACTAGCAGGTGGCGCATCTGCATCGGTGCAAGCGGTTGGTGCTGGATCCCTGGCTGACATCTGGGACCCGGAAGAGCGAGGGAGGGCCATGGGCCTCTACTACTGCGGTCCGCTTCTGGGCGTCATGACGGGTATGTCCGCCCCAACTTAATCAGGTCGAGAACTCTCGCGCTATCAAGTTTGACCTGCTTCACACTAAATGACACGTGCCATCCACTAACGTTTACCAGCACCCGTTTTTGCTGGTGCACTCACGGCGTCTTTTGGATGGGAAAGCACCATGTGGTTCCTTGCAGCTTACGGTGGCATCACGACACTTCTGATCCTCTTTGGTCTGCCCGAAACTCTTCCGCGAAAGAAGCAATTCACATCTCCGGTAGAGCCGGCTGTAGTGGTTGGTGATGGTCCGGCACTGTCACGAGTGTCAACCACTACCCGATCGGTCAAGGAGAAGACTAAGAAGACGGCCACATGGTTGCGACGTGTTTTTGTCGACCCACTCAGGATCATCATGTTTTTCCGCTTCCCAGCCGTTCAGTGCACCATCTGGTGTAGTGCAATCACGTTTGGCAGTTTGTACATTTTAAACATCGGCATCCAAGCTGCATTCTCACATGACCCTTACAACTACAGCCCATGGCTCGTGGGCCTCTTATACATTCCCGGATCGCTAGGGTATGTCTTGTCCAGCATTTTTGGTGGCATCTGGCTTGACAAAGTCATGATTCGGGAGGCGGTCAAGCAAGGCCGCTACGACTCGGAGGGTAAGCTCATAGTTCTGCCCGAGGACCGGATGCAAGAGAATGCCTGGATAGCTGCTGTTATGGTACCGGTCTCCTTTTTGGTATTCGGCTGGACAACACAGTACGGCGTCCATGTGGCCGCAGCGCTGGTGGCGACATTCTTCTTCGGTATTGGCAGTATGCTGATTTTTGGAGCTGTTAACACCATGCTTACCGAATTCATGCCCAATAACTCGAGCTCGGGGGTCGCGCTCAACAACTTTGTCCGCAACCTATTTACATGTGTGGGCTCGATCATTGCACAGCCTCTGCTGGATGCGATGGGCCATGGCGGGTTGTTTACACTCTTGGGCGGGTTATGTTGGATCATTGTGGCAACGTCCATATGGCTTCTGAAGAAGAACAGCCATAAGTGGAGAGAGGCGATGGATAAAGCTCTGAAGGTATGAGATGAGATGAATTGTCATTAGGCAGCTCCCGCGGGATATCCAGAAAAGGAACAGGTTATATATTGCATGCTCTTGCCTTCAAGGTAGCTGGTCTGTGGCGAGCACAGAATGCGGTCGTCGACTGCGGCTATGTCTTGTGCTAAAAAGATTATACATGCCACTCTGCGTCTCCCCGAGAACACTTGGTGGATGCACCTGGAAGTGTGAATGCGGCTCGCATCGTGCAGCTGTTGGTTCCAGTCCGGGAGATTCATGGATTGGAAAGCAGCAGGTAAGCAGCAGGTATTCTCGGTAGTGAATGTAGAGTACCCCTCAGTGGGATCCGTTCGCGGATGCAGTCATTGCAGACCGCCCCACCTCATTCCGCGTTGGCAGTCACCCCGTTCGAGAGCCCGTCGGCCACACGTCTAGTCGAGACTGGCCATGACGGCACAGACTTCTTTCGCTCTTCCTCACCACCACTCCAAACCACCATCAAATCACGCGTCGGATACGCCTCCCCGTTCCAGTGCGGAGTTCTTTACCGAAAAGACCAACGGGCATACAACCTCTGTCGACCCTCGACCGAGCCACCAGCGCGTCAAAGCCATCCACCCAGACGCTGCAGGCACTGCCCCTCTAGTTCGGAGCCCGAAGTGGCGATAACGATTCTAGACACAACCCGACACGCGCGCGACACTGCTTAGCAATCTTCTTCACCGTCTGACATCTGCGAAGCAATCCCGGCACTCGTCTTTGTTCCGGAGCACTGCAAACACCACCACCGCCATCATAACAACAACCCCCGGTGCCAAGTCGCTCCACAACCTCTCTAGGCAGCCATCACGATGTTGAAGATATGGTCTATGGTAGGGCAACCCTGAACGTGTGACTGGCCTGTCACAGGTGCACCGGGTGCAGTTGTCATCATGTGCTAACCAGGGAAACTTTTGCATCAAACAGAAGAAGGAGCAGCAGAAGGCTGAGAATGCCGACGCAGCTGGAGGCAAGAAGAAGAAGGTGACGGCTGCGCAACTGCGCGTTCAGAAAGGTATGCACACACATGCGATGGCATTCCTATCGCCTGTTGTTCATCCCGTTTCCACTTCCGCGCTAACCTGGAGTTACTTGCCTCTCAGATCTTTCCGAGTTGTCTTTGGGATCAACGATGAAGACCGAGTTTCCCGACCCCGACGACATCCTCAACTTCACCCTCGAGATCAAGCCCGACGAGGGCATGTACTACGGTGGCCGCTTCACATTCACTTTCGCCATGAGCGCCAACTACCCCCATGAACCACCGAAGGTCCGGTGCCAGCAAAAGATCTACCACCCGAACATCGATCTCGAGGGCAAGGTTTGCCTGAACATTCTACGCGAGGACTGGAAGCCTGTTCTCAACCTCAACGCCGTCATTGTCGGACTGCAGTTCCTGTTCCTCGAGCCGAACGCCAGTGACCCCCTCAACAAAGAGGCCGCCGAGGACCTGCGCCAGAGCCGGGATCAATTTAAGCGGAACGTGCGCAACTCGATGAGCGGAGGGACTGTGCGAAACGAGCGATACGATGTTGTATTGGTGAAGAACTAGGCGTCCTCATGACCTTCGACACGCCGGGCATGACCAATATCCCGGCCGATCAAATTCGTACTGGTAGACAGACTGCGGCAGCCAACTGCAATGATCTTGTCTCCGAGGATTCTGAGCGAAGACATCACTCTCAATTTGTCAGAGTTCGCGGTCTGCACTGCTATGGGACCACTTCTGCAGCTCCATCATTATGGGCAGGGAGACAAGATATACATATTTCGATGGGCGGAGCTGGTTCCTTCTGGCGGCCCGAGATCGGGATCGGAGCGGCACCGCTATATATGGCTAACAGACGACGTATATATTTCCAGCGCCACGGGCAGCGGCGGATGGCTGACCCGAAGGTCAAGGAGCACAAGGCCACTAGTGCTAGAGTTGCACGGCATTGGGAGGCTTCGGGCGACGATTGGCTCCTTACTACTTTGTTTCTAGAACGGCACATGTTTTCTGTCTCGGTCTTGGCCGAGCTCATAGCATGAGCCTGACAGCATAGACACCAGCTGGGAAATGGCTGGGGCACACATTTGAAGAGAGCGACATGGCCCGACCTAAGTTCATTCCATGTCTCTTTCTGTTCTTCTCCTTGGAGGTTTAGCACGTGCGAGATGGATACACATCCGGCGTCCAAAGTCCATAGATTCCTAACGATTCCGTTCCACCAAGCATTAATGTTCTCAAAATCAAGTACTGTAGATTGGAATGACGGCAGAGGCCGTGCCAAGATGAGCTTGGAACAGGAGGGCTGGCTCCAGATCTCCAGGCCGCCGGGGCTGATGGGCTTGTTCCGGCACCAGTAACATCGTAGGCCAGGCACACCCAGGTCCCTTGTGTGCACACCGAGACTGTGATGGACCATTGGGGAAGCAGCCTACTAACCCCGGATTACTTGGCGGTGACTCTTTGCTCGTGGAGGCTCCGTAACACGGCGACGCCCGCGCCGGCAGATGCTCAAGGGTTCCTGATCCTGCCGTGACACCTTCCCCTGCCTCGTCTAGTTGGCAGCAAGTGAGCGTGCCTGAGAGGCAAGGCGAAGGAGGGCGTGGCCCAAGGCTTGTGTCCAATGAGCGTATGCGTGCTGCAGAAAGGTGGTCCGGGGCAGAGTTTCCACCTCCGGCGCCGCCGGTGTGCAGGTCAAGATGTGGGGTATGACCGAGGGCGGCGACGCCCAAGTGGGGCTGGGCAGATGGACCCTGTGCATGCCTGGCTGCTGGAGTCTGGGGAGCCTCAGGCTCGCCGGGCACTGGAAGCCCCCCCAGCAACGGGGTCCTCATGGTGTCTCCGGGCAGCCAAGCAAGGGTGTGCTGCAGCCCACCACCCCGCCGAAGTCGCTGCGGGTTTCTGGTGCTCCAGACTCCAGACTCGTTCGTCGCCAGAGTGGCACAAGGTGGGCTGCGAGCTTGCAAGTGATCGCCGGCCGCCGGAGCTGTGTTGTCTAGCTCGACTTTTGTGGTTTCTGACTCGAGACAGCACTGTCCTGTCTGAGGTGTGCTGACTGAGGCCCCGGGTACATAACAGAAAGACCTCCCACTCCTGCCTTAATTGAGTTTCCTTCTTGGCTCTCATCTTTTCATCTGTCCAAGCTCTCCCCTCCCCTCCTCGGGCTCTCACATACACACCCGTGGCCTCTCCTCTTTTCCTTCTGCCATATAGCGCACACACATACACATCACACCATCACCATGGCCTCAAGAGGATTCTCCAAGGCTCTTCGCAGCCAGGTTGCCCGCCAATTGGTCGCTCCCGCCCAGCGCCGCACCTTCGTCGCTGCCGCTGGTGCCGCCGCCCGCGCTACCGCCACCAAGCAAGCCCGCCCTGCCCTCGCTGGCCACCAGCAGGTCCGCGGTGTCAAGACCATCGACTTTGCCGGTGTCCCTGAGCAGGTTTACGGTATGTTGTCTACCTCAATCACGGCCCAATGGCTCGGACGGCAACGGCATTGCAGCACTCAGTTTGGGCTGCTGCCCATGAGCCCGAGAGACTGTGGCAGATGACGTTCTACCCCACCTCATTGGTCAATTTACTAACTTTGTGCGTTTTTTCCGCTGTGTGCAGAGCGTGCCGACTGGCCCAAGGAGAAGCTCCTTGTAAGTTTTCCCCTCTCCTGACTCATTCCAATTGAGCCAATGTAGTCTTGAGCATTCGCTTCTCTTCGCTGCACACGGAGCGAAGGACGCGGCTCGACACTCGGAGGCTCAAATACCCACCCATCTGAGCAATAACTAATGCCTCATCTTCTCGCCCACAGGAGTACTTCAAGAACGATACCCTCGCCCTCATCGGCTATGGCTCCCAGGGTCACGGCCAGGGCCTCAACCTCCGTGACAACGGCCTCAATGTCATCATTGGTGTCCGCAAGAATGGCCAGTCCTGGAAGGACGCCCAGCAGGATGGCTGGGTTCCCGGCAAGAACCTCTTCGAGGTCGACGAGGCCATCTCCAAGGGCACCATTGTCATGAACCTCCTCTCCGATGCCGCCCAGAGCGAGACCTGGCCCGCCATCAAGCCCCAGATCACCAAGGGCAAGGTAAGCAGAGCCTCCTCTTTTCCCCCTTGTTGCCCCTGAGCACCAGTTCCTCCAGATCCCACCCTCGTGGCTCCGCCCCTCCAATAGTCTGGCGGTCGACCCCACCTTGAGGCTCAAAATGCATCCACAGTCGCAGTCTCGACTCGCCTTCTCATTCTCATTACGTCAAGATACAAGCCGTGCTGACTGAAATGGTTCCACCCCTTGCAGACCCTCTACTTCTCCCACGGCTTCTCCCCTGTCTTCAAGGACGTCACCGGCGTTGACGTCCCCACCGATGTCGATGTCATCCTCTGCGCACCCAAGGGCTCCGGCCGCACCGTCCGCTCTCTCTTCCGCGAGGGCCGTGGCATCAACTCCTCGTACGCTGTCTACCAGGACGTCACCGGCAAGGCCGAGGAGAAGGCTCAGGCCCTTGGTGTCGCCATTGGCTCCGGCTACCTCTACAAGACCACCTTTGAGAAGGAGGTCTACTCTGACCTCTACGGTGAGCGCGGCTGCCTGATGGGCGGCATCCACGGCATGTTCCTCGCCCAGTACGAGGTTCTCCGCGAGCGCGGCCACTCCCCCAGCGAGGCTTTCAACGAGACCGTCGAGGAGGCCACCCAGTCTCTGTACCCCCTGATCGGTGCCAACGGCATGGACTGGATGTACGAGGCTTGCTCCACCACCGCCCGCCGCGGTGCCATCGACTGGTCCCCCAAGTTCAAGGACGCCCTCAAGCCCGTCTTCAACGACCTGTATGACTCTGTCCGTGACGGCACCGAGACCAAGCGCTCCCTCGACTACAACGGCCAGCCCGACTACCGCCAGAAGTACGAGGCCGAGATGGAGGAGATCCGCAACCTCGAGATCTGGAGAGCCGGCAAGGCCGTCCGCTCTCTCCGCCCCGAGAACCAGAAGTAAACAGCTTCTGTGTGTCTCTTTAAGGGTGTGAGTATTTAATGAACGGATAGTGCTTTGTTTTTTCTTCATCTCATCTGGCGAATTCATTTTCTGGGCTTATGGAGTTGAGAGGCATCAACAAAAACCAAAACGGATTATTCCTCTGACGATCATGAGGAAAGGGGTGATGGAAGAAAAAGGCTATGATTGTACTTGTATACAGGATTCCCCCATAGTCACTTTCTCACCATTGAGGGAAGAAGCAGGAACCCCCCCAAAATAAGAATGGGTGCTAAAGACACCTGGATTAACTCATGCAATGGTTCCTGTCCCCGTCGTCCGTGAAAGACTACATGAAATGCACCAAGCAAAGCGCCTTGCTGTCGTTCATGGAACACAGACACACACACACACATACTCATTGTCAAGTCAAACTGGAAGCATTCACCGTGGTCGGAACTAAGTATGTCGTAAGCTTACCACGACGCCAAAACGGTGGCCAAGCCCTTACTCGATTCGCTCGAGCAAAATAATTGGATACAGAGCTTGTGTGTGTGTGTGCGCGTGAGTGTGCGACACAAAAGTTTTAGTGGGGCAAGGGTTATGGAGACCGGAGCCGGATCGGGGCGGGTGCCGATGCCGCTCCACGGTTTCGCTCGACTGTGGGACGACTTTTGCATGGTGGGGTTGAGCAAGGGCTTTGAGGGGAGGGACTCACTGGTGTCGAAGCGGCGGATTGACGGCACCCCCCTCATCTCCCCCATTTTATACCACCGTGGTGTTCTGCGATATAGCTTCAGCTGTTCATTGCTGGCCAGAAGGCGATGAAATAATTCGGAATTAGGGTGTAGGGACTGAGAGGATTTGGGGTTCTTGCCGCGGCGGGAGTGCAGTAGCGAGGAAGGACAGACAGGAAGACGACAGAGGGACGTCCAGAACCTAGATCCTCCATACGAGCAGTATCAACAAGTTTGACAATATATTGGTGAATTGTCACATTGCTCGCCAGGGTCCTTGATCATACCTATCTCAAGATCGGCTGCCAGAGCGGATGTCGGCCTGATCGTGTAAATGGATCGTCCGGGGGAGGATAGCTATGCCAACCCGAGAAGGATTCGGGAGGTGGGGTCGAGCGACAAGAGTGAGTTACGTAGGGTAGTAGCTGCGGCAATGACCGTGCCGTGTGGAATAGCAGATCGTATGGACCTGACAAGAAGATGCGGTCGACAGGGTACGGAATCCGGCGCGCTGGAATAGGCAGGTCGCTCTGCGTAGGGAAGGGGAGAGTTGCCTGATGTGAAGTGTCATGGCGGCAATATCAGACTCATTTTGGTCGTCCGATCACGCGCGGGTTGTGATGGGCTCTGGATAAGGTTGTCAGATGTTGTTAGGTACACCACTGTTTGGCGAAGAATCACACGAGGGTTGCTCCTGGCCGACTACGCAGAACCGGCGTGACTCAAAAAACGGATTGGCCAAGTGTTGAAGGAATCCCCACGCGCAACGCGCAACATGGTGGAAACGACTGGAAGCACCTCCACATCCATGCCACTACCTAATTAAGGCAAGAGGAGGATGTGGTAAAGACGCGGAGAGGAGACCCCACCCCTCGGTCAGTCGTAGCGTGGTGGGCAAGCGCGGCTCACACACCGGCGTGTACATTGTGCAGCTCTCTCCTCACTGGCACTCTTGAAGTTGTTGATAGGCGAGAATCGGATCTCGGCCCCGGCCTGGTTGCGCGGTCTGGTAGTATATATATAACTCGTCTCCTGCCCGCCTCGTTTGCACTGAAACGCACCGCGAGTGAAGACATCCCCGTTGCAGTGAACATACGGCCCCCCACAAGCTACAAGTGACATCTCGCATTCTACTTGTGGCCGAGGACTCTTCCACGACTTGAACACCATACATAGGCCAGGAAGAGAAACAGAGACAAGAGAGGAGACACACCACAGCCATGGCAGACCCGTCGACCTCACCATCCCTCAGCCGCGCCGGCGTCCAGGCCGCCCGCGAGCGCATCCGGCCCTACGTCCACCACACGCCCACACTGACCAACGCAACCCTCACGGCACTGGCGTCGTCGCCCACGCCTCCCGCCAGCAGCGACGCGCAGAGCAAGACCGCCGAGACGGTCAGCTCGGCCGAGACCGAGGCCAGGGCGGAGGTCGGGCGGACCAACGGCGGAGCTGCCAATGCACCAAAGGCCCCCGTCATGAGGCTGTACTTCAAGTGCGAGAACATGCAGCGGATCGGGGCGTTCAAGGCCCGCGGCGCGTTCCATGCGCTGGGCAGGCTGATGGATCAGCCCGGCTGGCTGGAGGGAGGCGGCAGGGAGAAAGGCGTCGTCACGCACAGCAGTGGTATGTTGTCTCCCATCTTCTGACCTTCGTCTTCCTGCTCGGCCCAATATAAGAGCTCATCCTCTTCTGCTTCTGCCGTCGCCAATGCTTCGATGCTTCCGGCATAAAGCAAACGCCGTCTTACGGCCTGGAACAGTGTGGAGGAGGGTCTAGTCCTTGGAAACACCAAAGTCTCCTAGAATTGCCTCGAGAAGCCCATTGACAAACCCACATATACATGGTGGACTTGTTAAAACCCCCGTGGGCGGCATTCACAAGAACTGACGCCCCCCTGCCTGCCTGCTCTCACAGGAAACCACGCCCAAGCCCTCTCCCTTGCGGCGAGGCAGCACGGCATCCCCGCACACATTGTGATGCCCACCATCTCGCCTCCCCCCAAGATCGCCGCCACAAAGGGCTACGGGGCCAACGTCGTCTTCAGCGGCTCCACGAGCACGGAGCGCGAGGCCGAGACCGCCCGCGTCATGAAGGAGACCGGCGCCACGCTGATCCCCCCTTACGACCACCCGGACATCATCCTGGGCCAGGGCACGCTGGGCCTGGAGCTGCAGGAAGACGCCGCGGCGCTCATTGCCGCGGAGGAGGAGGCCACCGCCGGCGAGGCTCCCGCTTTCTTCGACTACCGCGCTCCCGCGTCAAAGGCTCTCGAGAGGAACCTCCGCGCCGCCGCCACCACCACCACAACGACGGAAACGGCAAAGAAGCCAGCCAGAAAGGGCCTCGACGTCATCCTCGCCCCCTGCGGCGGCGGCGGCATGCTCTCGGGCGTGGCCCTGTCCTGCGAGGGCACCGGGATCAAGGTCTTTGGGTGCGAGCCCTCGCACCAGGGCGCCGACGACGCAAAGAGGGGCTACGAGTCCGGCACGCGCGTCGAGGCCGTGAAGTCTCTCACCATTGCCGACGGCCTGCGCACGCCGCTGGGAAACTATCCCTGGCAGGTCATCTACGAGCGCCGGCTGGTCAGCGGCTTCTTCAGCGTCGACGAGAGGCAGATCAGGGACGCCATGCGGCTCGTCTACGAGCGCATGAAGATGGTCATCGAGCCCAGCGGGGCCGTGCCGCTCGCCGTCGCGCTGTACAACGACGAGTTTAGGAACCTGGTGGCTGCCGAGGCTGGCGAGGAGGGCTGGGATGTCGGGATCGTGTTTAGCGGCGGCAATGTCGAGCTCGAGGCGCTAGGGAAGTTGTTTGCTCCTGAGTAGTCAGCAGTGGGTGGCGATGATAATGATTATGAGTAAATAGGGAGAGAGTATCGGCTAGAGACGTAGACGGAGACGAAAGATAAGACACATCCCTTGGCCGTTTGGGAGCCTTCACTTGATCGCATATACACTGGTAGCCACATGCAAGAAAGCGGATGGAGCGCAGTTCTAGAAACACAAAGAGGTTGTTCGGGATGCATTCTTCAGCGTTTCTATTTTCCACAGCAACAACATAAACGCTTATATTATCCAGCTTACTCAAACCCCCTCTTTTTGCTGTATTTCCAGCTATATTGACGGTGGCCTCCGCCAGCAACCGGCAAGGAGTCGTGTGTGACTCTGCATCTTGTTTGTTTGTTTCTTTCCACTCCTGCGCGCCCTCCTTTATTATTTGTTGGTTTATGCTTTTATGTTGTTTACTTTCCGTGAGGTTGTCGAAATCTTTTTCAGGTCCCTGGAGACTCCATCAACTGCCTCCACTCAATGCCACTCCCATGAAAGAAACAGTCAGGTGCTATCCTACACCTGTATCCGGGTCTGAGCCTGCCTGCTCCGTAGAGATCCCTAAAGTGTGGGCCCTGCAAATGACCAAAACGAAATCCCAAGAGAGAGAGCAAGACCAAATCCAACGCCAAACAAGGGAAAACTCAACCAGGACAAGTGATTGCTGAAGAGCGCAAGTGTCGCAGCGACAATAGCGTATGCCTCCAATAGGTGGGGTGACGCAGAAACAATGGAGCTGATAAGGATCGACCATTCCGACCTAAGTCGACTGCGTAAGCTGCCCAGGTGACGAGCGAGCAAAGGAATGTTATGTGAAAAAGGGTAAACTGCCAAAGCGAATGGAGAGAAAGAAGTGCGCTGAGGGTATCATATGCTCGCTCATGTGCTCGCTCGCAATAGATATTTCCATCGCTAAAAAGGGGGTATAGGCGAAGTATAACAAAAGCGGAAAGCAGCATCCAAAAAATACTGCGTAGTGGATTGAGGGTAGTACAGTGATATGGGTCAAAGAGTATGTGGTGACGCCATGCTCAAAAAAGCAGATGCCTGTTATAACAACGCGAGAACGAATGCAATGCGGCGATCCCATACTTAGAAACCCCGGAAGGGATCGCTGCGGAAGTAGTCGTCGTCTGCAGTGGTGCGGCTACCGCCGTAGACAGATTCGGTGTTGCGCGTGCCGCGAGATGTGTAGCTATCCCGTCTCGTCCTGCTCCGGCTCCGGTTGCGACGGATCTCCTTGCTGCGCCTCCGCGCACGGTACCTCCACTCTTCGCTCTCGTTCGGGTGCTCCTCGAAACGCGGGAATGCGAGCGGGCTGATGAAGGCCTCCATGCGGACTGTGCCGAGAGCCTCGAAGAAGTTGTTGGTCGGCGGGCGCGACGACGCTTCGGATGTCCTCTGCGAGCCGATTTGACTCATGGCCCAGGTCGGCCCGCTTGAAGCTTGAGACTGGTAGATGTCGGAAGATCCAGCCGTACCGACGCTGTTGCCCGCGATGCTGCTGTTTGTGGTGTGATAGCTGCCCGTGCTAGGGCCAGAGAAGCCGCGGAAGGAGATGGGTGGTGGGATGTGGCCGCCTGTGTTGCTCCTCTTGCGTCCGTGAAGCATGACCTGGTTCGCGCGCTCGTGCACGCGTTCCTGTCCTCTCTCGTGGAAGCGTGGGATGAATGGCGGCTCCGCAGCCTCCTTGGATAGTTCTCTCTGGTGAGGAACCTGGGGGACGAAGTGATTCTCGGAATATGCGAATCCCTCTCCGAGCGGGCTTACGATGGTCTTGTTCTCGCCATTGCGTGTCATCATTGTAGGGTTCTTGCCCTTGGTCAGTCGGATGGAGTCGCGGATACCACCACGCTTAGCCTTGGGTTTGTTGAGCTCAAACGCTGGTGCACCGCCCATCGTCGGCGGCGGAGCTGGGCCGTTTGTTGATGGGAGGATTTCGGGGACCGCTTGCTGAGAGTGTGCCAGGAACGACAGAGCCGTCAGCCACAAGTAGTGGCGCTCCGCGGAGGTTGCCGTAAATTTCAAGGCACGCTGCGGTGTCAAGATGAGGATAGAGCGGTTGAAAATCTGTGTGAAGCCCTTGGGTGCTGGGTTGTCGTCCTTGACGTCCAGAACTGACTGGATGACCACTGTACGCAGGTTGTTAGTGTCTGTCTGTCAACACGCATCTCCAACTGCTTTTTGCTTACACTTCCTGCCAGGCTTGCCCATCAACGCATTTCCAGAGACGGGCTGCTTGCTGCTCCAGAGAATGGCACGCTCATATGGCGCCAGCCAGACCCAGCGCCGGTGGCGATCGTTGCTGTTCTCCTCGGTACCCGTCTTGACGTCGCCCATGCCGAAAGACTTCCTCCGGCGTACATACTTGAACATCCACTCTCCCACCATGGTCTGGGCAATGGCATCTACCACGCTGGAAGCCTGCTGTGAGCTGCCGACTGACTGCACATTGGTGTCCTCCGTTATGGTTGTGTTCGCTGTGTTTGTTGATGGGCGCGACCGGTGGTTGGTCTTGTAACGGTTGTAGGGATCCCTCCTGCTCGAGGTGAGGTCATTGCTCGGCAGAGGTGGCAGACCAGGGCTCTCCAGAGCATCGTCCGAAGGTGACATGGGAGGCGGCGATCGGCTGCCCTGCCTCCTGCCGCGGCCATATCGTGGCAACTGAGCGGCAGACCTCACTTTGCGCAGGCTGCCGTTCCTGGACGGTACGCTCCGGTGGGTGCGGCGGTTGTAAGACTGGCCCGCCCGGGTCGGACTGTGCTGGCCATCGCTCGGGGCAATGAAACTGTTTGGAGGCCGCCGAGAGCTTGCTCTCGTAGGGATAGGGAATGGTGGGTCCTGTGTATCAGTCAAGCTTGGACTGCGTGTCCGATTCTGATGCGTCGCAATACCATTCTGGATCATGGCAGCCTTGCGCATGACGCTCATCCGCGAGCCGGAGAGGCCAATTGACGGCTTTTCGCCCGGCTTTGTGGACAACTTCAATGATGGCTTAGCCTTTGAAACCTCACGGGCCTCGCCATTGAGACTGTAGCTACTGTACACCTCGGGTGAAGTGAGCGTGGCAATACTAGCGGCGGCGCCACGCCTCATCTGTGCTTGCTCGGGAGAAGAAGGCGGTGGCGGTGATCGCTGGCTCTGGCGACTGTTAGTGTGTCTAGGTGCCGACAAAGCAGTTTGGAACTCTGCGTCGCTCAGATCGGCGTCCTTGAAGTCTTCGCCATCGTCAGAACTGGCTTCAAAGCCAGCAAACAAACTGCTGATGCGAGGTGGCCGTCGCAGGAGAGCGTTCTCGGTAGAGAGCGGGCCGTTGTCGTTGTTACCCGGATACGAATCATGAGTCTCCATGTCCAGGTAGGGCGAATCTGGTGGCGATGATGGCATTTCCTGCGTGAAGCTCCTCTTGGTGGTCAGACGCTTAGGGTTGCGCGGTGGGACTGGGTTAGGCGACGGGGTGAAACTGTCCGCTTCCTCGACCATGGCTGGGTTGGTGGCTGCTGGTGAGGTCGGCCGCGAGGAGATAGTGGATGGGTGAAGGTGCAGAGGCAGCCTATCCAGCCGTTGATCAACACGAATCTCATCCGTCTGCGTCGCCGTCGAGGAGCAGTCGACCGTGGTGGACAACGAGACCTGGCACCCAAAGTCCTTGACGTACTGAGGCAGGCGACGTTCCTCTGGCGAGGCAGCCCTGCTGGTTGGCGGGATGATGCTAATGCTTGGAATTGACAGGATGGGCCGAATGCTAGCTTCACTGGTCTGAGCAGGCTGCTCGACCGGGACAGCATCTGTCTGCGTGGCAGTCGACTGCATCGGGCGCGGCTTTGGCGCTTTCCGCTCAGGAACAGGCGGCGGCGGCGCTGGTGCAGCCCGCGCCGGCGTGGGTGAGATCATCCGAGCCACTGCAGACTCGGCAAGAGTCTGCGTGCCCAGGGACACCATCTTGGACTTGGGCGGCGATGGGGGCATCGGCCCAGCAGAGGCTGGCCGGCTGACGTACACGCGCTTGCGGCTCTGGTTGGCCTCGACCTCGGCGTCGTTTCGTGCAGGCGACTCCATGTCGGCCAGGGCAGGCAGCTGCACGGGTTCCGGAGTCGAGGGCTGCGCAGGCCGCACCTCTGGAGATGGAGGAGGGGAGTATTGGATTCCCGTGTCCATGTATTGAACCTTGGGAGCCGCCTCCAGCTCCTCAGCGGCCTCGAGGATCCCGCCTTGGAGGCGTTCCAAGACAGCTGGGTTGGCGTACATCCTGCCGCGCCGCGCGACACTTCCGGGGCGAACGGGGCTGTCGTGGCTCTGATTCCTATGATGAGTCCGAGACATTACGCTGTCGCGGCTGAAGGTGCGGTTGTGACCAAAGTGAGACAAGACACTCTGGCGGCCATCTGGGTCCGTCTGCCAGTCCTCGTCGTCGTCAAAGTTCAGCTCGTCAGCCAGGGAGTGCCCGAGCACCTTGCCAGGGCCGCTCATCATGGAGAACCGCACGCTGCTTGTCAGGCTGTTCGTCCTCACACTGCCAGCGTCGTGGTCCTTGTTGGTTCCGTCCGCCTCCTCCCCATGCCGCTCGGCTGACGCGCTTGCACCACCATCATCCTGGACCTTCTGCATGTTGGCCACCTCTTCAAGGACCAGCTTGAGGCGGCTGTCCGCAATGTGCAACTTGCGCTCGTACTTGCGCCTCTCTTCCTCCCACTCGTCCTTTTCCTGGGACCACAACTGGTGCACCCTCTCTGAATCTTCTTCCTGTGCCCGTACCTTCTTTTGGGCGACTTCGAGCCGTTTTCGAGTATCAGTAATTGCGTCGACAGCCTCGTCGCGTTCTCTGGCAAGCTCGCCCAGAGCCGACGACGTGCCGCCCTCCAACAGGGCGAGCTGCCGTTTGAGCGACCGCCCTTCCTTTGCTGTCTGAAGGGCAGACGCTTGCAGGGCTTCCTGCTCTTCACGAGACTCCTGCAGGGACAATTCCAGTGTCTCGATGATTTTGAGCTTGTCTTCCTGGTCGCGACGCAACGCCAAGATCTCAGACACCAGGTTGGCATGCAGAGTTGGAGTAAAACGTCGCGGGTCGAGCGCGCTGATCTGCTCCTCCCCCTTGAGCTTGTCCTTCGACATGCCCCTGCTTCTGCGTTCCGGCTTTGGCTCAGGCAGCCGGGGAGGGGACGACGATGGCATCGGTGGTGTTACTGAGCGTCGGGACTTTCTTGAAGTTCTCGAGAGGGTTCGCCGAGGCGTTTCTGCGGGTGTCGGCAAAGCCACGTCCGTGAAGGCGTGCCTCTCATCTTCGGTCTCCCAAGACTCCATGGTTGCTAGAGCCGTAGTTTCGAGTGCGTGCGTTGGAGGTTGCAGATATGCAGCTTCTAGCAGAAGCTACCACGGACACATCAATCCAATCTGCCTGGGTGATATTTGGCTGTGTACTCGGGTTTTCGATGTTATGAAAGTCGAGAAGCGAACGCAAAGGGTCCAAAAGCCCTCCAGGCTTGGGTCGAATAGGCTGGAGGTCTGCCGTAAGATGCTCGACTTGAATCGCTGACGCGAAAGAACTTGAACAAACTGAATGTGCAACAAAACGAGTCAGCCAAAGTCGGCTACAAAGTTTGGGACAGCTCCGGACGGAATATAGCTAGGCTTGGGGCAGGCCTCTGTTGCATGAAGCTGCTCCAAGCATCCGAACCTGAGTGTGTTTCACCAGTATGATGGTGCTCCGATCAGCCCAATGACCACTTACCACTGGTTCAAGTCATAGTACAAGTAAGTCGTTGGTCAGCCCAATGGTCCGGTCGACTAGCAACCTCGGTCGCTCGTAGGTGCTGAGCTTCCTCGATTCGAGCAGGCCTGATCTGCTAGAGGCGGATGAGGAAAGAAGGGAGTCCCAGCTAGGGTGAAAGAGAGAGGTGCCGGCCACACGCGCGTGGTTTGGATAAACTGACGTGCCCAAGGGATTTCCACACGAGCGTATGCACCCCAACGTCCAGGCTGCATGTCCTTGTCTCGGATCAGGGGGAAAGGGGCACCCACATCCCAAGCAGGAAAGATGCAACACTGTCAGCGGCACAAGCCCTACCCAATTTGGTACACCGTGCTTCTCTTTCACGTCTTTCACGGCTTTCTCCACGTTCAAGACCGTACCCTGAAGACGGGAGGAAGGAAAAAGAAACAATGACAAGCCACGGCTTTTGTTCAAAGAATAAACCTCGAGGGGGGAGCGGCCACTAAAGGGTCGGTTCTTGCTACGCCCTGGCACTATGCCAGGGTAGGCATGGGACGGCTGGCGCTAATGCGAGGCGCCGTGGTGAACCTGGGCTAGTTAAGCTTGACATCCACTTCCAGACGGTCGGGCCAGACCAATGCATAAAGATGGGGTACAGAGGTCATCACTGCATGTTGGGGGTCAGTCCGATCCGTGGTCTTTATTCCCTTGATGCCGACACTGACTGCAGCCACTCGAGTCTCTGAGTAACGGGACGGGTAGGCAGCGCGAGCTGCTTCAAGCGAACTTACGCCCGGATCGTCCTTTCCATGAATCGTTGATCAAGGAGGAAATCCGGTGCAACGTGATCCCACATCGATGCCGAGGTCGATACCTACCAAATCGAGCTAAGCCAGTCGTTAGCTGATGTACAGTCGAGCCAGGCCACAAGAGTCAGTAAAGCTGATCACTGGTCAGGGTTCGTGGACCGTCCCAGGCAGAGTTTGACAAGGGTGCGTGATCATCCCTCCAAAACCTATACAAGATTGGGCGAGGGTACCTTTCCGTGGGACGGCCAGATGGAGTTGAGCCGTGCAGCGCCGGCCAGCAGCCGCACTGGATAGCTAGCCGCGCAACAACCTCCGGATGCCTACTGCGTACTCCATACGGACCACTCGTGGCATGCCTGCATATCACACGAGTGGCTAAGCTATCCTTTGTCGAGGACTCAGAATTGGGTCGTCGGCAACCAACAATGGCTTTCGTCGAATTTCACGTGCATATCGGATTGCCAATGAAGCACTGCCTCACAGTTATTAGCGCGAGAGCCAGGGGCTAGGCCAGCCGCCAAAGGTGGCCACCCGCAACCTTCAGCGCAAGGACTGTCCCTGAATCCGACAGTTTGGCACAGCGCCGCGCGTTTCAGCCAGCCGGCTCGCCCATTTCCGCAAAGTCTTGTTGCCTCCCGCCTATTATGCCCCCCTTTGATTGGTGTCCGGAAGCATCCGCGGGTGGCCGTCGCTCCATTTGGCAGCAAGACCCTAGACTTGTTAACCAGAAAAGGCGTAAGCTGAGCTTGCTCCCCGGTCCACCTCGATGCGGCCGGCCAACATCGTCGCGTCAAACTACCAGACCATCCCCGGTCCTTACTGGGGGCCCAGATGCGACTTGGACAGGCTGGATGTTGTGCGTCATGCTAGGCATATGCTGAGAATGTTCTGTGTAGCAGGTCGCAGTAGGTGCGGACGAACACCTACGGACCAGGGCGAACCAATCCGCAAGCAAGAACAGGTTTCGGGGGCGAATCTCAATTTGTTGGTGGCAGGGTTTGATACTCCAGAACGTGACGTCGAGCCGGGGTTGGTAAAATTTGGATGAAAGGCAGAGCCATATTGTGTACGAGCACCGGTTCAGGGATAGGCAGAGCAGAATGCCAGGCGAGGTTCCGTCGAAGACTCCAATGGTCTGAATGCAGGTCGGACGGCTGGTGTCTTCCACAGTTTCAGTGTGCCATTAGCTCATGATTGCTGTGTGGACTGAGCAGATGGCTCGAGTTGATTCCCTCAAGAGCAGAGTCGAATCCTCAAAGGATATTCCCGGCGTACGACTCTTCCACATATCACAGCTGAGCCAAGCCTGAACCGCTCAGAGCAGTCGACGGGGGCCCCCATGCAACACAGTCCAGCGCAATTGGCAGGGATCCCGGCCGTTGGAAATTGGAACAGCGGCGGGGTGGGGCCCCTGTTAATGAGCACTTTCGGCAATGCACTGTCTCTGCCACCAATTGCTGAGCACGGGAGCGGCCGGGAGAAGGACCATGGAGTAATTAGAGAGGTCTTCGATGTCGTACTTGGACGCAACGCGCCGTTCTTTGGGGAAATGGCCGTGGAGGCACGTACGGAGTAACACGATGCTAGCCCCTCTGCTGGGGAATTCGAGACGGACGGGCATGACACGGTCCACGGTCCACGGTTCATGGCCATGACGGGATCCCGCGTACTCCGGATGGGATGCGACGGTGCTGGAGAGGACGATCTCGGACGCCGGTGTGAATGTTGAGACGGGGCGGCGGGCTGGACATGTTTAGTGGCGGAATGGCACGCTCGCTCGGACCGGTCGGCAGACATCCGGAGGCGTGAGATGGTTCGAGCCGGGCTGCCTGTTTGAGAGCGTGTCCCGCTGCAGGAGCAGGGCGGGCGAGCTCATCACACCAGTCCTTGAGATGGGCGCAGTGTGACGGCCGTGGCTGATGGTGTCTCGGCCGTTTGATGGCTGCAGGCCGGGGGCCAAGGGACAGGGAACCGTTGCTATCACACCGGGACGAGGCTGTCAGGATCCTGGGCCTCTTGGAAATCACAGGGAAGATGCCGGTTGCGCTGGTGATGGCAGAAGGCTGTCCACGATAAGAAATTGCGTGTGGTGCTGTTGTGGGGGAGAGCGAGGACGGAGAAGAGATTCATTAGACGACGACCACGGGCAGGCACGGCGCGGATGGGGAGGCATGCAGGTGGGCGGGCGGGCAGCTGCCGGCGCAGAGGGGAGTACCTGCAGGCCATCACAGCGACACCTGCAGCCCCAATGCTGCCGCCAGACAGATAGATGATCGAGGTGCCCAGCCAGCGTAGCATCGCAGCATCTTCAATCACGTTCTGTCTGAGGGTGAGACCCTCCAGCTCGCGACCGCACGGACATGCGGGCCGTTGGGGAAAAGTGAAGCCTCGTTCCACCACGCTAAAGCGCACAGGCAGGGCGAGCACTGCAGCGTAGCAGTCCACAGCGGGGAGTCCGCTAGCGCCTTCGCGTGTAATCGAAACGCGCCGCCTGCATCCTTTGTGCTATTAGTGGCAGCTTGCCCAGAGGCATACTGCGTAGGTACCGTACTTAAAGTAGGCAATCAAGAGCTCGGGAGGGAGCACGGTGGAGGATTGCTAATTACGGTACAGCCTCGGCGCCCCAGCTTCGCCTCGTCGGGGTCCGCTCGCAGCTACCGTGTGATGGTGTGTCGCCGACTTGCTCCGAATGTCTCCCTTCGAAACTTTGCGCGTAGTATCGAGACACCATCCAGTGCGACGCCGGGCTCACCTGGGAGGATTTTGCGTTTGGACGACGGCGCGAGCACTCCATCATCGGGATTTGCCATGAGTAGCTCAGGCTGATTTCAAGTCCATAGCTTCGCACGGTGTTGCAATGTGATCACAACAGCCGAGTTGGCCAGGAACCCGGCGTGTTTGGCCCTGCTTCAGCAAGCCACTTTACTCGGGCAAGGCCATCCCGTGCCGGTGAACACATACTTGTTTTGTGTGGTTGCAGCCATGGATGAGGGTACTGACTGTGCGGTCAAAGCAACGCCCAGAAAGGCGTTCCCGATATCTCAACGGCATTGACAGCAGATGGGACGATCAGCCCTTGAGCACTATGGGGCCAGGCCGGTGTCCAGCGGATCTTTCGCGCCTCATCCCGAGGTCGCGATGACCACGTGCTCGTGGACCAGTGGCCAGGAACGGCTCCATGCTATATCACTTGCAGTATGCCGTTCGTGTGGCTCCGGTTGTTGCGTATAATACAATGCAAATATATGCACCATGCGGTGGGAGATCTCAGGTGGACCTGATCATTATAGTGACCCCCCTGCATGACAAAAGGGCTCTGAAATGGCTTGATTGACCTCAATGGTACTCCTGGAGAAATAAGATATAGATAAGCTGCCAGTGAGATTAATTCTCCGCGTAGACCAGGGGAACTACATAGTACAAAGAAGTGGCTATGTTATGGTCTCGCTATAGACTACATGAGCCAAGGGGCACAGGTCACAAGGCCTATGCGGCAAAGAGAGAGGTCTGAGGGGTCTCAAGTACGCTGGAGGTCGCAACGGGCTCAGGTATCTGAGCAATCGAGGTCGTGGCTATGGATTTAAAGCTTTCATTGCCAGCAGCGTAGAAGTTTCAACGGGGAACTCAGCCGCGTCCAGCAGATGGTTTGAAAAGCGCGAGATAGCGCCATTGTCACTTTCATTGACTAATATCATGCCGGTAGCATGGCAGCGATGTAGAGGCTATCAAAAACACATTCGTGTAAAAGAAAACGGGAAGCGTGGTCAAAGAAGTTCTCAACC